CATATTAATTAATTAATAATAATAATATATTACAGTGGATACTCGGGTTGCGAACGTGATCCATGCGGGATGCACGTTTGCAACCCACAGTGTTTGCAACCCATGTCTGCGCACGCACGGGTTGTGATTCGGCGCTTCTGCGCATGTGCAAAGCGCGATTTAGCGCTTCTGTGCATGCGTGACTCCCAAAATCCGGAAGTAACCCGTTCCAGTACTTCCGGGTTTCGGCAGTCCGCAACCAGAAAAAACACAACCTCAAGCGGCTGTAACCCGAGGTATGACTGTATTTATATCCCAGCCACTCTGGGTGGCTCACAACAGAATATTAAAAGGACAATGAAACATTTGAAAACATTGCCCACCTAAAAATTTACTTTTAAAACCATGAAGACTAGGAAGTTGCTTATGATCTGGAATTGTGCTTCTTCATGACAGAGCGTAGTTCCAGGGTATTTTGTAGACCGGGAGAATGATGGCTGGCAGTAGACGGAAACCTAAAGGGGCGTGAGGGAGCTTTCCTCCACAAACCTTTAAATTCTCCTCCGCCCAATGCCAAACAGTTTATATTCAAACTCCTGTCAAAATTTCACCAAAAGTTCAGCTTGGTGTACTTTCCATCTATCTTTCCCTACAATAGCCCATTATTTACAAAGCAAGCCTTTTTCTGGCCCTAGTCTGACCCATGCTTCTGTCACATGTAAGGTAAAAGGTAAAGGACCCCTGGACGTTTAAGTCCAGTCAAAGGCGACTATGGGTTGCGGCACTCATCTCGCTTTCAGGCCGAGGGAGCCGGCGTTTGTCCACAGACAGCTTTCCAGGTCATGTGGCCAGCAGGACTAAGCCGCTTCCGGCGCAACGAAACACCGTGACGAGTGCCAGAGCATACAGAAATGCCATTTACCTTCCTGCTGGAGTGGTACCTATTTATTTATTTGCACTGGCGTGCTTTCGAACTGCTAGGTGGGCAGGAGCTGGGACAGAGCAACGGGAGCTCACTCCATCACGGGGATTCGAACCACCGACCTTCCGATCGGCAAGCCCAAGAGGCTCAGTGGTTTAGACCCCAGGGCCACCTGCCTCTCCCCAGTCGCATGTACCCCTTGTTGTTATCATTGTTTCATTTGCTCTCCAATGAGCCTTATAGCTGGCAAAATCAAAGCAGAATGTATACCATGGACAAGAGAACATTCTTTCTTCCCTCAATCCAGGAATAGGGTTTTCCCCCCACTCCACCTTCCATCTCCTGAGCTCAAACACCAAGAAGGAGAAGAGGAGCTGGATATTTCATCAAGGACATGATTCCCCAAAGAAAGTCCAAACCCTTGGTTTCCCCATTGTGCAATTCCTACAAATCAGAGAGGATAGGCTTTTGCATACAGACATAAATTTGCCTGCATGTTCGTTGTTGCGTGTCTCACTTCTGAAAACGTTCCATCATTTGGGAACTGAAAAATGTCAAGGCGCACAACATGGTTTCCAATGAAAAGTCTGCCAGACAGGTAAAATCTGCCAGAGAGTAGCTTTGGAGAACACCAAAAACCTACATCAAAGAGCAAAATAGACTGTATAAATTTAATAAGAAATATAAATATAAATACATTTTAGCACAGGTATCCTACCCCTGACCTCAGGAGCTCAAGAAAGCATTAATTGGGTAGCTCCCATTTCACCTTCGCAGCTCAGACCCAGCAGGTTGCCTTAAAACTTGAATTGAATTGAATTTCATTATTATGGACACAGACCGGTTCCGGCTCACTTACAATATCAGGAAAATCATAAAACATTGAATTGCAATTGGGTATAACAGAGGCAATTCAGATATAGCAGCAGTTGAAAATATATATTAACTCTTGATCACTAAAATATAACCTAAAATTGTCATTTAAAACCTTAATCGTTTTGGTAGTACAGCTTGTTCCCCAAGTTTTATGGCAGTCGCACAGAATTTGGCCACTCTTAGCGTGATCTCTAGATCCTTGTCCTCTACCAGGAGTTTTAGACATTGAAGTTCGGACCCATTTGGAGATTTTTGTATAACAGGAGGGATAAATACCGAGCGTATATCCCCGTGTAAACGGCAGTGTAACAAGACATGAGAGACAGTTTCTACCTCCATCAAGCCGCAGGAATTCAATTCAATTCCTAGGAAAAGCGAAGTGGGGATTCGAATCCAAGACCCTGCAGATGACATTCAGCTATATACCCATCCTAGTGGAGCAGCTTGATCTAATATGGGAAAGGACCACATTTCAGTGGTAGGGCGTCTGTTTTGCGCCTCCTCCAATCCCCAGGTAGGGCTGGGAGAACCCTTTGCCTGAAATCCTAGGCAGCTGCTGCTGCCAGTCAGTGCTCAGCTTGAGGCACCAACATTCTGTAGAAGGCAGATTTCTACACCCCACTCGCCTGGTCTCTTTGCTTATAAGGTATCATGCCCATTGTTAGGGAAGGTCTTTCTCACCTGTCCGATGGAAATCCCATCACCTGGAATGGAAGGATAATGGCTCAGGTATATGTTCATCCGAAGGCATTGGACCAAAGAGCATCACAGCTTGGTTCTGGCAACCCCTTGACCGATGTAAACTGGCCAGCAAAAATAAAATAGGACACTCCCTTTGCTTTTGCGCTTGCCCAAGACAAATAATAACCCTCCAGCCTCCAAGCCACAAAGCAAGAGACGACCGGGTTCGGCTTTGTTCCTGGTAATTATGATGCGCTCGGAGGATCTGCCTGGCATTTGCTGCAGCTGCCAAGTGACGGCTCAGGCAGGAGGAATCTCCCTGTCGCCTCTGCAGAAGGGAGGGCGTGAGGATGCAGAGGGGAGTTCACCCAAGGGAGAGCTTAGAGTCAGCGGCCCATCTGGAAAAGCAGTTGTGGCCCACAGGAAAAGCATCGTTCGAGAGAGAGCCTGGCAAATTTGCACGGAAAAGGAGACGTTTTCAGGGCTTAGTGGATCTGGCAACACAGGGTTCCTGATGTCTGCAGCCCCTGGTTCACCTCCTTAAGCCACTTAGGGAAAGCTAAGCAGGGATTCGAATCCAAGACCCTGCAGACGACGCTCAGCTTTATAGCCATTCTAGAACAGCTGGCATTAATACAGGAAAGGGTCTCAGCTCGGTGGTAGAAAATCAGTTTTGCATGTAGAGAATCATAGAGTCATGGAGATGGGAGGGACCGCGAGGGTCATCTAGTCCAACCCTCTGCAATGCAGGAATCTTTTGCCCAATGTGGGGCTCGAACCCGCAACCCTGAGGTTCAGAGTCTCGTACTCTTCTGAATGAGCTATCCCAGCTAAGTAGAAGGCACCAGGTTCAATGCTGGCATCTCCAGGTAAGGCTCCTTTTTGGCTAGCTCTTCCGAATTGACTTTGGAGGTATCTCCTGAATTTTTAAGCAAAGCAATGTTGCAAAATAATTAAATATGGATGTATATAAAGGTAAAGGGACCCCTGACCGTTAGGTCCAGTCGTGGACGACTCTGGGGTTGTGGCGCTCATCTCGCTTTATTTTCCGAGGGAGCCAGCGTACAGCTTCCGGGTCATGTGGCCAGCATGACTAAGCCGCTTCTGGCGAACCAGAGCAGCGCACGGAAACACCGTTTACTTTCCCGCCAGAGCGGTACCTATTTATCTACTTGCACTTTGACGTGCTTTCGAACTGCTAGGCTGGCAGGAACAGGGACCAAGAAACGGGAGCTCACCCTGTTGCGGGGATTCGAACCACCGACCTTCTGATCGGCAAGCCCTAGGCTCTGTGGTTTAACCCACAGCGCCACCAGCATCCCTATGGATGTATATACAGGCATTTAATTCACACACACGGAGAGAAAGAGAATCCTGTAGTTTGTCAAGGGTTCTTGGATTTGTAGCTCTGTAAGGGGAAAACTACAGCTCCCATAGTTCTTTTGGGGAGTTGGTGCTCTTTAAATGCATGGTGTGTGCAGCCCATGTGAATAGGTGCTCCACTGCGTTAGCTTTCTGGAAGAAGAAAAATGCATAGAAAGAAGACGAACAAACTTTGGGCTTAAAAAAAAGAAAAGAATCCCTGGCAGATGGCCACCCAACCGCTGCTTGAAATCCTCCAAGGAGGAAGAGTCCACCACCTTCCAAGGGAGACTGTTCCCATCAGACAGATTTCACTGTCCGAAAGTTACTCCTAACGTTCAGTCGGACTCTCCTTTCTTGCAATTCGAATTCATTGGTTCGAGAATACGACAATGCACTTTGTGTGCGGCTTCCTTGTGCTTGATCCGGGAGCTGCCATTAGTGCAGAATGCTGTGGCATAATTGCTAACATCTCTGTTCAGAGACCTGCATTGCTTGAGCCAAATTCAAGGTGTTAGTACAGGCATAGGCAAACTCGGCCCTCCACACGTCATGGGACTACAACTCCTATCATCCCTTGACTATTGGTCCTGTTAGCTAGGGATGATGGGAGTTGCAGTCCCAAAACATCTGGAGGGCCGAGTTTGCCTATGCCTGTGTTAGTATATAAAGCCCTGAACAGCTTGGAACCAGTTTACTTGTAGGGTCGCCTTACCTGTATGTGGACATTCCATCTGCAGAACTTACACCATTAAAGGTGCCAAATAATATTTCCCTGTTGTAAGAAATCAATCTTCTAGTGTGGCAGAACTCGCACTTGGAACTCCCTTCCGGTTCACATCAGTACCTTCACTGTACAGTGGTACCTTGGTTCTCAAACACCTTGGTACTCAAACAACTTGGAACCCAAACACTGCGAACCCGGAAGGAAGTGTTCCGGTTTGCGGACTTTTTTTGGAAGCTGAACATGCTCTGTTTTGAGTGTTATGCTTCCAATTTGAGTGCCGCACTTCCGTTTTGAGTGTTATGCTGAGGTCTGTCTGATTTTGCTATTTATTTTGTGGTTTTGTGGCGCTTTTTTGTTGTTTTTGTAACTGCGTGAAACCCAGTTCAGCTACTGATTGATTGTGTGACTGCAGTACATTGATTATTGCTTTCATTTTATGGATCAATGGTCTCGTTAAGATAGTAAAATTCATGTTAAATTGCTGTTTTAGGAGTTGTTTTTAAAAGTCTGGAACAGATTAATCCATTTTGCATTATTTTCTATGGGAAAGCGTGCCTTGGTTTTGGAACGCTTTGGTTTTGGAACGCACTTCCAGAACGGATTAATTTTGAGAACCAAGGTACCACTGCACTCCTTTTGACACCCCGCTGAAAACATTTTCGTTTAGGAAAACCTAACAAGATACGTAAAATGTCGACAGGTGTTTTTAACCCGGTGTGCTGATTTAATTTATTTGCGGACCGTTTTAAAGAGCTGTTTTTAACTGGTCATTTTGTCCCTCTTTTTTGCTTCTGTAAACCACTTTGATGTTTCATGAGAATCAAGCGGTACATAAACCTTGGGGAATGGAAATAAATCTCCTGGGGTTGTCAGTCTAGCAAAACATCTGGAGAACCCGTTTTAAGAAACAATGCATCAGTCTTGTATTGCATCTTGACTCGGCCTCCCCTAGAGCAGCAATTCTCAACCTGTGGGTCCCAAATTGATGTTGGACTACAACATTCCTAGCCAGAATGACCAGTGGTCAGAGATGATGGGAGTAGTAGTCCAACAAACATCTGGGGACCCACAGGTTGAGAACTGCTGCCCTAGAGATCCAGGAAATGAGATTTGCTCCTATATGTGGGATATACTGCTTTATTCTTAGCACAGCCTTCAGTGGGGCCACCCACTGATCACCCCACAACTGCTTTTTGGCATGCACCAGTCTCCATCTCAGAGCCGTCTTTCCCATTGGTCTTAGTGGTTCGTTGCGCCAGGGCGCCAGCCTCTCAGGGGCGCCCTAGCGAGTGGGGGAGCTGTGCGGCTTGGCACCAGAGGAGTCTCAGTCTGCACCGGATCCTTTGCCTCAGGCATCATCTGAACCAAGTCTGGGGCCTGATCCTGAAGAGTCCCAGTCTGCACAGGTTCCCCTGCAACAAACACCAGCTGGGCCGAGTCAGGGGCCTGAGCCTGCCCTGGCTCCAGATGTGGGGATGACCTCGTTGCCTTCAGCTGGGCCATCACTTACAGCTGCTCCACTACTGGTTGGGTCAGGAGAGGCTGAGGCGGCCCCTGGGCCTAGTAACCCACCAACGTCTCCCGAGCTGCAGAGACTAAGGTTTTAGAGAAGGAGAGACCTGAGTACTCGCAGGAGGAGTGCTTGCCTTTGGGAGAAACAGGGAGGTGAGTCGCCGGGGGATCAGGACCGGCCGCTACCCCGACAAAGATAAAAGGCGGTCAGACCTTGCCCCAGGTTGCGGGAGCAACATTGCTGTATGCTAGATCCTGCCTGAGATTCTGAAAGCCAGCATGGTGTGGTTAAGAGCGATGGACTCGTAATCTGGTGAACTGGGTTCGCTTCCCCGCTCCTCCACATGCAGCTGCTGGGTGACTCTGGGCCAGTCACACTTCTCTGAAGTCTCTCAGCCCCACTCACCCCACAGAGTGTTTGTTGTGGGGGAGGAAGGGAAAGGAGATTGTTAGCCGCTTTGAGACTCCTTCGGGTAGTGATAAAGCGGGATATCAAATCCAAACTTCTTCTTCTTCTTCTGTACCTGTCCTTGCCTGGTTTCCTGCCTTGACCCTGTCGGACTGACTCCTAGCAGAACCTATGGATTCTGGACTGGACCTGGACTGCGGTTGTTGGGTTACTCCCAGGCCCAGCACAGCTAAAGACGGCCCTGATCCCGGTCGTTGTCCTCCTCCTGCTTCCTGGCCAAAGGTGGCGCACAGCCTTCCTGGGCGCCCCAATGCCAGAGAGCATGTCCGCCAGCACGTTTTCCTGCTTGATCACCGCCACCACGCCAGGGATCGGGGCGGTGGGGGAGGCAGAGGACATTTTCCACTGCCTTCTCCCTTGTTTTGGAGTTGCATGGCGGGGCGCCGGATGGATCTTTGCACCACGGCACCGCATATGTGTAAGACGACCCTGCTCCCTCTTGCTGCCATTGAGAAAGCAGGAAGATCAAAGTCGTTCCATGTTCAGGCTTGTAAAATTTCCAGTTAACGTCTCCCTTCTTCGTGCTTGGAGCTTTTCTCGGTCTGCACAGCATCCTACCTGCAAATCAGGATCGGGAAACCTCAAACACATTGAAATCGGCCCTCCAGGGCTCTCTATGTGGCCCCCAGCACCCCTCACAAGCCCTGCTTCTCACCCCAAGCACCCTTGCCCGTCTTCAATGCGTCCTTGGAAGGTACCGTATTTTTCGCTCTATAGGACGCACCCAACCATAGGACGCACCTAGTTTTAGAGGGGGAGAACAAGGGGGAAAAATATTCTCTCCCTCTCTGCTCAGCGCCCCCTCAGCGAAGCGGCAGGAGAAGCGGAGCCCCTTCCATTTCTCCTTCCGCTGCGCTGAAGGGGCGCTGCGCAGAGAGGGAAAGCTGTGCAGCGCCTTTCCAGCGAATCGAAGCCAGGAGAGCAAGAGGGATCGGTGCGCACTGATCTCTCTCGCTCTCCAGGCTTCAGCAAATGCAACGCAAAGCCTCCGGAGTGCGGCGGGAGCGCTCCTGCTGCACTTCAGAGGCTTCGTGTTGCTTTCGCTGAAGCCATGGAGCCTGCACTCGCTCCATAAGACGCACACGCATTTCCCCTTAATTTTTGGTGGGGAAAAGTGCGTCTTATAGAGCGAAAAATACGGTATTTCCTCCCCACTATTGCTTCTGGCTCCGCCCACCAGTCACATGGCCCTTGGATCGTTGTCCAGATGAGCAATGCAGCCCTCAGATTTCAGGCGGGACACCTTCCCAGTGCCCGGAAGATTTCAAACCCATAAAAATATGGATAATAACCACGCTTCGCCAAGGCGTCACAACATACATCTTTAAATAAGTTCAGCTAACAATCGCTGCACCGAGGAGAGGAGAGAAAGACAGTGGGGTTCCTTCCGTCACATGACCCTGCACGACGTTGGACTACAACTCCCATCAGATGTAGCCACGCATGGTCCTGGATGATGGGACTTGTAGTCCGGCAACACCTCTGAAGGCTATCTTCTAGTGGGTCCCATCGCCAGATTGCTCCTCGCAAACATGCCAAATCCTGCCCCACCCGCCCCCAATCCCATGATAGGCAAGAAAAGGGGTCACAAAAAGGGGGGATATTTACAACAACAACAAAAATCAAAGAAACCCAGTCCAGCTTCAGTTTCCAGAGAGGCACCAGGCCACCCGCACGAAGTCCATTGCATTAAGAGTCCCAGGCAGTCCACGCAAGAACCAAGGAAGCGTCGGAAGGTTCCGGAGCCCCCCAACCGCTTCTCCGCTGCCCCCTCAGTTGATACGAAGCTTCACTTCTCGGTGGTCCAGGGGGGTGACGACTTCGTTGGCGTAGCCGTTCTCCGAGCACAGAGAAAGCTCGTCCGTCGTCTCGATGCCGCTGTTGATCTCTGAGGAGGAAAGAGAAAGCGCGGGGTGTTAGAAGGCGGAGGGGGAAGGATCTGTATAGATGCTGTGGTTGACGCGAGGCAGTGCGGTGTAGTGGTTAGAGTGTCAGACTAAGACCTAGGAGACCAGGGTTCAAATCCCCCCTATTGAAGCCAATAATCCACATGAAGGGCTGTTACAGTTCCACAGAATCCTTTCACAGAGTCTAAGACAAGGATTTCCAGAATATTAGCCTTGTATCGCCATCCTAGGCTTCATCAATAGAACAGGCTCATATGTAATATTACAGGATAGTGGATCTTATAGCAACCACTACTATGCTATAAGATCCACTATCCTGTAATATTACATATTACATATTGTCTTAGACTCTGTGAAAGGATTGTGTGGAACTGTAACAACCCTTCGTGTAGATTATTGGACTCTTTGAAGAGACAGGTGGAATAGAGACGACGACGAAGAAGAAGAAGAAGAAGAAGAAGAAGAAGAAGAAGGAGGAGGAATTATTTATACCCCGCCCTCCCCAGCCAAGACCAGGCTCAGGGCGGCTAACACCAAATATAAAAACAATTGATTGAAATACAGCTTAAAAAACAAGATTAAAATACATAAAAAAATTAAAATGCAACCTCATTTCATTGAAAACTCAATCAAAAACTTTTGGGGGGATAAAAACGTCAGTCTTCGCCAAGGCTAACTATCCAGACTGGTCCTACATGGGCCAGAAAAAAGCCAGGGAAGTCCCCAAACAGGAGTTCCAACACAGAAGGAGAAAGGAAAAAAGAAAGAGGGGGGAGGGAATCAAATTGATCTATAAATACTTATACATGTATGGACCTTATGCATGAACTGACTAGAGAATGAACTGATCCACTGGGTCTTCTGCATTTTTCATTGAACTTTATGAGACTTCCGCTGAAATCTACCATTTGATACAATGAATAGTATACCTTATTTATTCAAAAGTACATTACTATTTAAAGCAGCAACTCTGGAAAACCTTGGGCTGGGTCTGTAATGTTTAAAAAAGACTTAACCTTAGCCGCATGACAATGAATTTGTGGCGAGATTCGAATTGAAGACCCGAAGAATAGCAAGACATCCCCACAGGAAGTTACTTCTCTGCCGCAGATCAAGTTATAGCCACGTGGAATCCAGCCTCGAATTGCCTCACCTGAGAAGATGAGTTTCTCCTTCATGATGTTGACATCCCGGCTGGACCTTCGGACAGCAGCGCTGAGCATGATCTGTTCGGGGTTGTAGCTGTGGATGCTGCCCATTCGCCACCTGAAACGGACAAGGAGAATGTCGGGAACCGAACTTTTCATGCGCCTGACCAGGTTTCCAGGCAAGGAGCTCACAATCCATGGGCTCTCAAACTCATGAGGAAGGAACTCTGCGCTATTCTCCTAGCACAGCGACAGAGAACTCGTTTTCCTTCTGTTTTGAAACTCTGCAAGCTGGCCTGACCGTCTCAGGGGCGGCTCACAGAATAAAACACAGAATAAAAACAAGTAAATAATTATAAAAACAGAAAGACAATAGCCTCCCCACCTTCTCACAGACACGTTTAAAAGGCTACATAATATGAATCAGCCCAAGGCCTAGTTGAAGAGAAACATTTTCGCCTGGCGCCTAAAAAAAATAATACTGTATTTTTCGCTCCATAAGACACCCCTGACCGTAAGACGCAGCTAGTTTTTAGAGGAGGAAAACAAGAAAAAAAATATTCTGAACGAAACAGTGGATGTATGATTTTTGCGGTTCATGATGTGGCCACAGACATGATATGTGATTTGACGGTGAGTTTGGGGTAGCCCGATGCAAAAATCCTGAGGATCCATGTGGATCTGTGCTTTGTAACCACATTTTTGCGCCATTGCAGCCCCACGAAACAGTGGCTGCGTGACTTTTTTGGTGCAGGCTGTAGCCATGGACACGCTATATGATCTGATGGTGAATTTGGGGTGACCCAATGCAAAAATCCTGAGGATTCATGGGCTTTTACCTCCCCCCTCCCAGGCAGCCTCCTTTATCTCTAGAGTCCCTTATATCCCTCCGATCGCTTGCCGATCAGCCGCTCAGCGGCTTTGTTTCAACACTCCCTTCCCTCTTTCTAAAAAAAAAAAAAAAAAAGCATGACCTGCTTTTTGCCCCTGGGCAATTCGGCTCCAGGGACCACGCATTCGCTCCATAAGACACACAGACATTTCCCCTTACTTTTTAGGAGGGAAAAAGTGCGTCTTATGGAGCGAAAAATACGGTATGTAATGAAGGCACTGGGCGAACTTCCCTGGGGTGAGCATTCCACAAGCAGGGAGCTGATAAATAATAATGCAATAAAAATAAGATAATAACGCAATGAAATCCAAAACAGCAACCGTTAACGGCACGTTTATTGAAAAACCAATTAATGCTATTTAGTTTAATTGATCTAACAAAACTGATGGACTCCCCCCACTTAAAGAGCACAGGACTGCCATGCCTCAAGGACCGCCTCTCTGCATAGGAACTGACCCAGACCCTGAAATCATCCTTTGGGGTCCTTCTTCATGTGCCCCCAACACGAGGGGTCCGGAGGGTGGCAACATGAGAACGGGCCTTTTCTGCTGAGCCGAGCACAGATTCAGTGGCTGGGCTCCTCTCAAATTGGAGTGGGGGGGAGTTAGTGGGAGGGGGCCGCAAATCTGAATTTATTGTTACTCATGTTTTATACTGTATTTAATGCTGTTTTTTTGTTGCCTCAATTAAGTGTTTTAAATTTGTTGTTAGCCACCCTGAGCCTGGTTTTTTGAGCCAGGAAGGGCGGGGTATAAATAATAAATTATTATTATTTATTAACATGCTTTCAATGGAAATATGAGAAAGGGCTGGAGGTTAGCAAAAGGAGGCAGCTGCTCAGGGACCAACACCCTTCCCGCTCCAGCAAAGCAAAAAAAAAAGGTACGCTGAGCAGGATTCGATCTCAGGTCTATTGGGAGGGGTGATGCTAAACGAAACAGGCACAGGCAACTTAATCCGACCAAGGGGAACAGGAGTCGGAGCGAGTCTGAATTTTCCAGTTAATCATTTCTGTCTCTTTTGAGTCTAGACACAAAGCGCGAGAGCCCTGGGCTTCTCACATTACCACTTAAAGCAGCGACTTTGCAAAAACCTTGGGGCGGATCTGCGATGTTTAAAAAAACCATTCATTTATTTATTTATTTTAAATTAAGCCATCTAAAAAAGGTGCCCCTGATTGATTGATTGATCAGATTGTTAGTGTGTGTGCCTGCGTGCAAGCGCGCGCGCACACACACACACACACATTAAATCAAATTAATAAAATTTATAAAATAAAATCATATATAAAGGGGGAGCCTCACTTAAGCTTTTGTTTGTCATCTGCAGTTTTTAAAAGTGCTCCCCAATACACACACACACACACACACACACACACACAAGATCAAATACATATGTAAGATTAAATACAAACACCAAAACCACAAACAAAGCAGCCACGCACCACCCCAATTTCGTCTTCGTTGCACCTCCTAGTGGTCATTTAAATCACCCACCTAAGACCACCAATGGATGCGATTTCAACAGGCCTGTGTGCTAACATCAGGTCTGCTGCCAAATCAATACAAAAACAGAGGAGTCTGCATTTTGCTCCAGGTGCACCCAGCTTCTATCCCCACCCCAAGGGGACCCTGAAACCAAAAGGCCCTCTTGCTGGGAGAATGGGCCGCAGTGCTTCTGGAATGAGAAGCTTGCAAGCAATTTTGCATTTACAACTCCCAATAATAATAATAATAATAATAATAATAATTTTATTATTTGTACCCCGCCCATCTAGCTGGGTCTTCCTACTTCAGGGGCAGGTAACCGGTGGCCCTTTAGACGTCAAGCTACAATTCCCATCAGCCCATGGCCAGGAATGATGGGAGCTGAGGTTCAGTAGTACAGTGGTACCTTGGTTCTCAAACACAGAAAACCCAGAAGTAGGTTTTCTGGTTTTCGGACATTTTTCGGAAGCCGAACATCCGATGCGGTTGTCAGCTATTGTTTCCAGGGCGCCTGCACCAATCAGAAGCTGCGCCTTGATTTTCGAACATTTCAGAAGTCAAATGGACTTTCGGAATGAATTAAGTCTGGCACTTCGGTTTTTGCGATTTCTTTTGCTTTTGAGGCTTTTTCGGTTCATTTGCTTTTGTGACTGTGTGGAACCCAGTTCATCTACTGATTGATTGATTGAATGTGTGACTGCGCAAATGGATAAAAGCCCCCCATCCAAACAACGACTATCATCAGTGCAGGTGAGAAAAAATAATAATTTTTATTTTTATCATCTACAACACTGTCTTATTTATTTTATAGTACAGTACCATGATTAGTGATTTCATTTTATGGATCAATGGTCTCGTGAGATAGTAAAATCCATGTTCAATTGCTGTTTTAGGGGTTGTTTTTAAAAGTCTGGAACGGATTAATCCGTTTTGCATTGCTTTCTATGGGAAAGCGTGCCTTGGTTTTGGAACGCTTTGGTTTTGGAACAGATGAAGTTTGAGAACCAAGGTACCACTATTTGTGGAGACCCGCAGGTTACAGATACCCTGCTCCCGACATTTTATTGTGTTTTGTTTTGATTTTTAAATTTGTAGAGAGCCCTATACCCGCAGGTCTCCGGGAGGTTCACAACGTAACATCACAAAATAAAAACACAGAATAAGTTTGGCCTGCCGCCATCACGCCCAGGGAGGTACAAAAGGCTCGCAAGTCCCCAAATTTAGCAGAAACCCATTATGATGACAAGCACCTGGGGTTAGGTCCAACGTACATGCCCTTTCCCCTCCCCGCCCCCAAACCATCGCCGTGGAGCGCAGGCTTGCTTGTGCAAAGACGGCAATTGCGCGCGCGCACACACACACACCCCCGCATCAAATGCAGCCCTCGAAAAGCCAAAGGGAGTTGCTCTTCGTAAAAGGGGAGGAAAGAGAGAGGGTCAGGAAAGGAGGAGGAGGAGGAGGAGACGCTGAGCTGATAAAAGCACAGACGTATGCGGAAGCAGCCGGGATGAATGACGGAGGAAGATGACATCAGCCAAAGCGCTTCTTCTTACTTCCTGCGATCGCTGCTGTTCCCGCAAAGTCAAAGAGATAAATAACTACAGTGGTACCTCGGGTTAAGTACTTAATTCGTTCCGGAGGTCCGTTCTTAACCTGAAACTGTTCTGAACCTGAAGCACCACTTTAGCTAATGGGGCCTCCTGCTGCTGCCGTGCCGCCGGAGCATGATTTCTGTTCTCATCCTGAAGCAAAGTTCTTAACCTGAAGCACTATTTCTGGGTTAGCGGAGTCTGTAACCTGAAGCGTATGTAACCCGAGGTACCACTGTACCTGACATTCAGAAGACATCTGAAGGCAGCCCTGTTCAGGGAAGTTTTTAACGTATGACATTTTAGCATATTTTTGGTCTTTGTGGGAAGCCGCCCAGAGTGGCTGGGGAAACACAGCCAGATGGGCAGGGTACAAATAATAAATTATTATTATATTCTTATAAAGTTTCCCAGGCCAAAGAAGAAGAGACCTGCAGCCTCTTCTCCCAGTGGCTGACCAGAAGTCTGGGGAAACCGGGGAGCAGGATTTGAGCGCAGGAACAACTCTCCCCACCTACGAGATCGCCTTATGGGATTGCTGTGGTCTAAACCACTGAGCCTCTTGGGCTTGCCGATTGGAAGGTTGGTGGTTAAAATCCCCGAGACGGGATGAGCTCCCGTTGTTCTGCCCCAGCTCCTGCCAACCTAGCAGTTGGAAAGCACACCGGTGCAAGTAGATAAATAGGTACCGCTGTGGCGGGAATGTAACTGGTGTTTCCGTGCGCTCTGGTTTCCGTCACGGCGTCCCGTTATGCCGGAAGTGGTTTCGTCATGCTGGCCGCATGGCCCAGAAAGCTGTCTGTGGACAAACGCTGGCTCCCTCGGCCTGAAAGCGAGACGAGCGCCGCAACCCCATAGACACCTTTGACTGGACTTAACCATCCAGGGGTCCTTTACTTTTACACCACAGCAGAATTGGCAGAACCGCAGGCACCACAAAACACCAGATCTGCATTGGTGAGCACTCAACGGTTTAGTGAACTTTGGAACTCCCTGCCTATAGATATCAAGCGGGCATCTTTTCCGCACTCTATTCGTCGCCTGCTATAAACATTTTTGTTCGGACGTGCACACCCAGATTCTTAAGAAGCCAAGGTGATTTTAATCTGATTCAGTATTTTACCTTTAACAGTAGGGCTGTGCCTTTTTCTCGATTTTACGGCTTTATATTCTTGCAACCACTTTGAGGTTTGCTTTTTTTTAAATGACCTGCGGTTTCCAGCAGCTGAGATTCAGGCGCATTCCTGCCTCTGACCGCAGAGACAGCGCTGTCTCCCATCACAGCCACCAATAATAATAATATATAATAATAATAATTTATTATTTATACCCCGCCCATGTGGCTGGGCTTCCCCAGCCACTCTGGGCAGCTTCCAAAAAAATATTAAAATGCTGTAATAGCCCTCTCCTCTGTGAATTCGGCTAATCCTTTTTAAAACCATGTGGGTTGATCGCTTCTTATGCCTGCTGTGGAAGTGAGTCCCACAGTTTTAAATCTGTGCTGTAGGAAGAAGCACTTTCTTTCATGTGTTTCCAGAATGCTCAGCTTTGCCGGAGGGCCTCGAGTTCGAGAGAGGGAGGAAAGCTTTTCTCTGTTTTTTCCAAGCCAAGCATAATTGTACAAACTACAAAAGCGCTTTACGCTCGCTGTGTGCCTTCAGCGCATGGAAGAGCTGTTCCTTGCAGAGAGAAAGGGGAAGAAGTGGGAAGGGGGAACCCCGGAAAGTTCAGAACCCATCTAGAGGTAATACATGCACAACACACAGACGTATTTTCATGTGTGCCTCTTTCCGGAGGGATCCAGTAGAACCTGCAACCTTCCCCCTTGCTCCCCCAAGCAAGATCCCACATGGCGGATCTAGAATCATAGAATCATAGAGTTGGAAGAGACCACAAGGGCCATCGAGTCCAACCCCCTGCCAAGCAGGAAACACCATCAGAGCACTCCTGACATATGGTTGTCAAGCCTCTGCTTAAAGACCTCCAAAGAAGGAGACTCCACCACACTCCTTGGCAGCAAATTCCACTGTTGAACAGCTCTTACTGTCAGGAAGTTCTTCCTAATGTTTAGGTGGAATCTTCTTTCTTGTAGTTTGGATCCATTGCTCCGTGTCCGCTTCTCTGGAGCAGCAGAAAACAACCTTTCTCCCTCCTCTATATGACATCCTTTTATATATTTGAACATGGCTATCATATCACCCCTTAACCTCCTCTTCTCCAGGCTAAACATGCCCAGCTCCCTTAGCCGTTCCTCATAAGGCATCGTTTCCAGGCCTTTGACCATTTTGGTTGCCCTCCTCTGGACACGTTCCAGTTTGTCAGTGTCCTTCTTGAACTGTGGTGCCCAGAACTGGACACAGTACTCCAGGTGAGGTCTGACCAGAGCAGAATACAGTGGCACTATTACTTCCCTTGATCTAGATGCTATACTCCTATTGATGCAGCCCAGAATTGCATTGGCTTTTTTAGCTGCCGCGTCATACTGTTGGCTCATGTCATGTCATCTACACATCGCTTTCAGGCTGTCTTCCAATACAGAATGCACAGCGGAGGAAAGCCGAGGCAGCGGATTCGAATCCCGCTCACGCCTACGATAGCTTTGGTTATTCCATGAAAACACTGATAATGCACAGAAACTATATCTTTAAAAAATGAAAAGAAATCTTTTGTTTTTTTAAAAAATGGGAAAGGCAGAGACAGACCGATGAGAATGGTTCTCCGTAACACAACCAAACGTGGCTGGAAGATAATGTGTGAAGGCGGAACGCTTGGGTAAACAACGAAAACGAGGAATTGGGGCTTGGCTGCAAAAATGGGGTGGGGGGGCAGGTTTCAAATGCTCGCAAGAAGAGAAGAAAAATGACCTCAGGGGCCAATTGGAAAAATGAGAATGGGTCGAGGACATAGAGGCAGCCTCCATTTCAACAGCATGCGGCCGAGAAGAAAAACCTCAGCTGCTCACGGTGCAGGCGCATGAAAAGGCCCTGGCTCTGGTTGAGGCTAATCTGACTTCCTTAGGGACCTCTAGGGTGTTGCTATTTATGGACCTTAAGGTCCTCTGTGGGGCAGACCAGGAATCCCCACTCAGCCAGGAGGAAGCTCGCTGGGTGCTCCCTTGGGCCAGTCACTGCCTCTCAGCCTAACCTACCTCGCAGAGCCGTTGTTGGGGTTAAATGAGGAGGCAGAAGGGAGGAACCACCTTGAGATCCTTGGAGGAAAAAAAGTGGAATATACGGCCTCCCTCGGAAATGGGGGTGGTCTCTCCTTCCTTGGAGGTTTTTAAGCAGAGGCTGGATGCCACTCTGTCATGGATGCTTCAGCTGAGAGTCCTGAATTGCAGCGGGTTGGACTAGATGACCCCCATGGGTCTCTTCCAACTCTCTATTATTTTTATACATGCATTAAATAAACAAACAGGACACATTTCAGGGGTTGCCATTGTCAGGGACCCGAGGCTGCCGAGTGCACTCAAATCCCAGTTCCGCGGGCAGGAAAATCCCCGCTTAGTACATTTTGTGAGCCAGAGGGTAGTTTTTTGGGGTTTTTTACTTTTAACTTCTAGAGGGTTTCTTCTGGAAACGGCCCTGCTTTTTAACCCAATTTTGCAGCGGTGCTTTTTGGGAGTTTTTTTTGAGGGAGGTGGGAAGGAAGGAAGGAAGGAAGGAAAACAAAGGTGGGATGAGGAAGAAGGCATCAGAAATTACCTGATTATATGATAGCTGTAAAGATGCCAAAATGCAGCAGCAGAGAGAGCGAAAAAGAAAGAGAGAGAAAGAGAGAGAGAGAGAGAGAGAGGAGGAACATGCAACAAGGTCAGAGCAGTAAGAAAAATAAACCAAGGAGGAATAGGGCACCTCCTTCGAGTCCATCATTCCTCCCCAGGGAGCAAAACTACCAATACAGAGTCAGGGCAAAGGAGATTTAACTGCTGGTGTGGAAGACTCAGAATCCGTCCCATTGGGTCTCTGGGCCAATCCCCCTCGTCCAACTAGCTGCAAAAAACTGGGAGAAGACGTTCTACCCCAACCCCAGGTGAGAGTGTGTCAGATACCTGCGTCCCTTCAGATGTTGCTAGACTACAACTCCCATCATCCCTGGCCACCTTGGGGTCCAAAAAACACCCATGGGGCTTCCCCACGCCTGACCTAGGGCACCCTGAGTGGATATCGCTTGCCCAAACTTTGCTCGAAAAGGGGTTGTGGGAGAGGATTCTAGTCAACGAACTGCCCTCAGATCGTCTCTTGGAATTCGCAGCTGGAAAACAATTCTCTCTTCTCCTACTAGACGGGAGGGTGGAAAAATGGCTGCCCTCTCTTCTTTCAAAGCATCTAAGAATTTTGCCTATGTTTCCTCCTTCCCCTCACTCTGTGGATCTTTAGGATGTTACTTCTACGCTGGATTTGAAGGCAGCTAGAAGCCCGCCGGGCCAAATCTGCCCCGCTGCTGTGAAAGTGGAGAAAGGGCAATTTGCAGCAACACAACCTGGCAGTGGGCTATTTTAAGGTGCCCGGATTTTGGTGCCGGCCTGCTGTTTTTTGGGGCCTTCCTGAAGTCAACCTCCAAGTAAACCAGCAGCTGACCAGAGCCTTCATCCTGGCTTTGTATTTTCTCTCCTGTGAGTTCTTTCTGACTACATGCCCGGGACTCCGACACAGCATCTTTTACAGGCTTACTGTGACTTCCCAGGCCTCAAGAATTACGTAGGAAAACAAGAGAGTGCCAGGCACCATGCTAACAAATCCTGTGTTATTCATGACCCCCTAGCTAAACCCTTGCTCAGCCGTGAATTCACTACAACTAATTTGGGGGACCCCTTGACCTCCGTCTAAATCTCACTCCAGAACCCAGGCCGGACCATCCCGAAAGATTTATTTAGAGAGGCACGGGGTTTCTCTCCTGCCGGATCACCTCAGCAATGATGGTGCAGACAGCATGTGAAATAATAACAATTTAAATCCCCGCATGTAGAAAACTAGTGTGTCAGGGAGTGGGCTAAGAAGCCTGACGTGCTAGCTTTCTACATGTGGGGGAAATTCAGAAACGAGGGCCTTTCCAAACAGAACATCTTAGAGGTGGTGCGTGCCAACTCCCTCCCTCAACGTTTTCGGGTGGCGTCTTGGTTACAAATGTGGCGTGGTGCCCACTTCCTTTGTGCCCTCCCACCCTGGAGATGTAAGAATTGAGCAGGAGAAAAGGGCCTAGGAATTTCTCCCTGCTACAACGTCTCTCCCCATTCAACGCTTGCACTCGATCTACTTACAGGACTAGGGTGGCACAGGGTGGCAGCTCAAAGGAGCGCCAGCCTCATTGCTCCTGCGTTGTAGGAACTGGGTCAACTTCTAAAGGGTTGCTGAAAATATTCCACTGCCCTTAAAGGGGCCTTTTCAGACATGGGTTTGTTGTTGTTTTTTGCAGGGGGCGAAGAACACTGCAAAACCACTGCCCCCAGCTACTTACTTCTGGAATATAAAAACTCCTACGATTACAACGAACGAAACGAGGTCGGCGGTTATCCAGATGAGATAGTATTCGTCCGGAGACTGGAAGAGGGAAAAAGAGGAGACAAGGATGCAGTTGGCTTAATGCAATAAGTAAAATAATAGTTTCTCTCTCTCAATGTGGGGATGCAGAGTTCTGGTTTCAGATATATTTGAGACATTTAGTAGCAGGCAATGAAGCCCGTTCTCTCGGTGATGTAAGAAAACAGATAAGATAATGGCAGCATGGCAGCAATGTAAACATGTACAAAGGGGGTGCGATAACATAAATAGGGGCAAAAATTAAAAATGCATAAAACTCTCTCATAGGAGAGCTTCCTTCTTCCCCCTGGTGGCTTCCAAATGTTTCCACTACAATACTCATCTGGATTTGGCTAACTGGCCCCTGTAAGCGTAAGGGAACTTTAACAACCTGGCAGCTAAAACGAAAAGCTTTCTTTTGCGTCCAGGGCAGGCTTTTCGTTTTAACTGTCCTTTTGAAGGACCAGGTGCGCAGCCTGGGAGTCATTCTGGACTCACAGCTGTCCATGGAGGCACAGGTCAATTCTGTATCCAGGGCAGCTGTCTACCAGCTCCATCTGGTATGCAGGATGAGACCCTCCCTGCCTGCGGACTGTCTTGCCAGAGTGGTGCATGCTCTAGTTATTGTTGAATGGTTTCTTTAAATGTAAAGGTTCATCACTGTTCCACCCGATGTGTATGTCTTTAAGGGGCCAAAGCAAGGGCCAGAGCAAGATAACGAGACCCAGCGTTACAGCTGTGAAACATAGCAGGTGCTGCCGAGTTGTACTGATTAAGCTGTGTTGGCAATTGGGTGTAGTATATAAGGAGCAGCACCTAGCTCTTCCATTACCCTGGGGGATGGGTTGGTGGTTGGGTCATGTTTGTTTGTTAATGTATTTAGTGTAAAAGGAGTTTTTGTTTTTCTTATTAAAACCTTGTTTAAATTATTTTTGAGTCCCTTTTTAATGCATGGTCTCCCCAGCAAGCTCTCTGCAGCGCTACCATACTGCAAAAAGCCAACATCTTTGGTTATGGGCCCAGCTGCTGAGTGGATGACTGCATATTTTTGGACTCTGAGGTTTGAAAACTCCTTCTCCTGTTAGCGTAGTTCTGTGGGTCTGGAAGAGTTCCAGAATGGTTGACCGGGTTCCTGAAGCTGAGAAGGCTCTGGTCTTCCCACAGCTGACAGATGAGAACTATAGTTTATGGTCTTTTCGGGTGGAGGCGCTTTTGACCTCTAGAGAAGTATGGACCTATGTAACTGATGACCCTCCTGACCCTGTGACTAATGCTTGGTCGAAAGGAGATGCGAAAGCCAGGGCGATAATTAATTTGGCAGTCAGCGACCAGCAAGTAGTCTATATAAGGAATAAGAAAACTGCCAAAGAAATGTGGGACAGTCTTGCAGCAGTGCATGTTAGAAAAGAGTCAGCGTCTGCATTGACGTTTTTCAAGCAGCTGTACCAGACGAAGTTGAGGCCTGGTGGTGATTTGGCAGCACACTTGAGACGTCTGGAGGCAATACGCGGCGAATTAATTCGAAGGGACATGGAGATACCTGATATTCAGTATGTTTTCATCATCCTTTGTTCCCTTAATGAGGACTTTGATGGTATAGCTAGCCAGATATCTGCCGTTCCACCAGCACAATTAACTGTGGAAGGGGTAACGGCAAGATTAATGGGCGAGTTGGACAGAAGGGAGGCTTGTGCCATAAGCACTCCTATTTCCAGAAAGAATGAGGAACGCCATATGCAAACTTGTGGTGATACAACTGCATTTAAAGCTGCAAAGCGTTGTTGGTTCTGCAATAAGCAAGGACATTTTGCAAAGGACTGCAGATCCAAAAGAAAGCAAAGTACTCCCAAGTCTGTTTCTGTTCGTCAGTCACGGTCGTCAGCTCAGCAGCCGGCATCGTACCGTAAAGACAGAAACGAGCCGCGAGCTTTTCACGCTAGCACAAGAGATCGTAAAAGAATTAAAGGTGCCAAGTGGAATTCTTTTATTGTGGACTCAGGAGCATCTCAGCACGTTTGCAACGATCGAAGCTTGTTTATTTCTTTCGAAGAGGAAATTGGTAATGTACATTTAGCCAATTCACAAGTCTTGCAGTCGCTTGGCAGGGGTACTGTTAAACTTGACTCTTTAAACATTACTATAGCGAACTGCATTTACTGCCCATCAGTGGACAATTTATTGTCAGTAAGGTGTTTTGCTCGTCAAGGCATAACTGTGCGTTTCTTAAAGTCAATGTGTGAGTTTTTCGAGGGGAACAAACGTCTATTGTATGCCCGGGAATCTGATGGTTTATATAGACTGTATTTTCGCACCTACTCCCAATCGCCTATAAATTGCAGAGCAGCACAGTCAAGCCAGGGGTTGAGGAATGTAAGGCCACATTCTGGGTGTGTCCATGAGGCGCACAGAGTTCTAGGACATTTGAATTTTGCTGATGTAATTAAGACCAAGAATATTGTTAATGGCCTCAACTTAAAACCATGTAAATTCTTTATGCAATGTCTATCCTGTTGCAAGAATAAGATTAAGGTTGCACGCAAGGGTAGGTGCTCAGATAGGAAAGTAACTGAGCCATTTGAGCGTGTACATTGTGATTTAGTTGGGCCACTCCCACCATCCTTAGGAGGTTCTAAGTACTGGCTTACCCTGATAGACCAGTATAGTAGATATTGTTGGACTTATGCAATAGCTGAGAAGTCCCAAGCATTTGAGAAGTACAAAGTGTTTGGCAACTGGGTACAAACACATTTTATCAAACCTATTAAGAACCTTTTTCTGACCGGGCGGGGAATTTGTTTCTGAGGATTTTGAGAAATTCCTGGAAGCGCAGGGGACTACTCATGAGTTATCTTGCCCCGAAGTCCCTGGCAAAATGGGCTTGTTGAAGTTGTGCAGCGTGACCTGCAGGCAGGGGTTAAAACTTATCTGCACGATGCTAATCTGCCCAAAGACTTTTGGGCTGAAGCGCTCAATGCCTTTTGTTATGTTAGGAATCGCAGTTATCATTCTGGTTTAGATGTCACCCCTATGAGAAGCTGTTTAAAAACGCCCTAATCTGAAATACCTACGCATTTGGGGTTCAGATGTAATAATGCATTATCCCGCTAAGCAGAAATTGGGTGAACGTAGTGTCCAGGGAAAATTAATGGGCTACCAGCAGGGGCGTACAGAATTTACATACCAGCAACTGGCAAATTTCATATTACCAGAAGCATGATACAAACTGTAAATTGGAATGGCGTTGCTATTTTCCAAGATACTAACGGTATAGATAATACTGAGGAAGAAGAGGTAGAAGAAGAAGCAGCAGCAGCAGGAAATGGTGCTTCTGAATTAATGGGAAAAGACGAAAAGCCTGTTGAATCTGATAATTTGTTTGATGATTTAAAGTCACAGGCACCCGAGGGGAGGTTAGATTCTCTTGAGTTTTCTGACCGTGAGCTTAGCCAACAGGCATCTCTTCAGTCTGACAATGATGATTTACAACCTGAAACTAGTAGTTTACATAGTCCCATTAAGTCTGAGGAGTCTGACTCTCCTTCCGGACTAAGACGTTCAGATAGAAAGAGACAGAAGCCACAACGTTTTGCAGATGAACATTTTAATACTGTGTATGCCAATAAGGCAGTTTTTGAGCCAAAAAGCTACAATGATGTTCAGAATTTACCTAAGCACCAAGCTGTAAATTGGTATAAAGCTATGAACTCTGAAATAGCTTCTTTAAAAGAGCATAACACTTGGTCTCTTGTACCACAAACCCCAGATATGAGACTTATTGATTCAAAATGGGTTTATAGAGTTAAAATGAATGACAAAAATGAAGTTGTAAGGTACAAGGCTAGATTAGTTGCTAGGGGTTTTCAACAAATTCCAGGCGAAGATTATGATTTGTGTTATTCACCAAGTGTAAAATATGAAACAGTTAAGCTTTTGTTAAAAGATGCATCACAGCGTGGACATTCTGTTTATCACCTAGATATAAAAACTGCATATTTGTTTGCAGATTTAAAAGAACAAATTTTTATGCGTGTCCCTGAAGGCATAGACGCCGCTGAAGGTTTGGTATGCAAATTAAATAAATCCCTTTATGGTCTGCACCAAAGTGGAAGGAACTGGCACCAAACTTTAGCAAAAGAATTGCTGGATATTGGTTTTTCACAGGGAAAGGCAGACAATTGTGTGTTTATAAAGGAAAGGGCAAACTCTGTAGCAAAAATATGTGTGTATGTAGATGACGTGTTAATTTCTACAAAAACTAAACAGGAATATGAACAGGTAGTAACACAGTTACAGAAGAAATTTGATGTGGTGGAATTAGGCATAGCTAAAAATTACTTATCCATGCAAATTGAGAAAGGCAAAAATGGATCTTTTCTGGTTCATCAAACTGCAAAAATTGATGATCTTGTTGGAATGCTACGTTTAGAAAATGCAAATGGGAAGGAAACGCCCATGGTGTGTGGTTTCACTTTTACAGGTGAAGATAAGCCATTTCCTAACAAAACTTTGTATCGTTCTGCTATAGGCAAGCTAAATTTCATTCAAAGAATCTCAAGACCAGATATAACTTATGCCTTTCACTTTCTGGCAAAATTTGTGGAAAAGCCCACTACACAATGTTTCTCTGCTCTTAAGAGAGTGGTAATGTACCTTAAACATACCAAACATTATAGGTTGCAGTTTACAACATGTATTGACAAAGGTTTTGAAATTTTCTGTGATGCATCTCATGCAGTGGAACAAAATAATTGCAGGGGTGTGTCTGGTATGGTGTTTTGTTATAACGGTTGTCCATTTGAATGGAAGTCCCAGACACAAAACATTATTTGTCTCTCCACAACAGAGAGTGAATTATGTGCATGCGTTCAGGCCACTCGTGATGTAGAATGGTATCTGCAAGTATTCGCAGACCTACAGATGCAAGTAACACTACCAGTAAAAGTTTACCTTGATTCCCAGAGTGGACTCGCTATCCTATGTTCAGAAACCAATACGCAGCGCACTAAAGTCTTAAGATTACGTTTACAGTTTGTAAAGAAACTAATTGCTGATGAAATGGTTGTATTTAAATATGTTCCAGGTGACAATCAAATTGCAGACATTTTTACTAAAGCACTTCCAAAGGTTACACATGAAAAACATGTACAAAGTATGCTTTATGTTTTTGTTCCACAATGATGAACCGCAGGGGAAATGTTGAATGGTTTCTTTAAATGTAAAGGTTCATCACTGTTCCACCCGATGTGTATGTCTTTAAGGGGCCAAAGCAAGGGCCAGAGCAAGATAACGAGACCCAGCGTTACAGCTGTGAAACATAGCAGGTGCTGCCGAGTTGTACTGATTAAGCTGTGTTGGCAATTGGGTGTAGTATATAAGGAGCAGCACCTAGCTCTCCCATTACCCTGGGGGATGGGTTGGTGGTTGGGTCATGTTTGTTTGTTAATGTATTTAGTGTAAAAGGAGTTTTTGTTTTTCTTATTAAAACCTTGTTTAAATTATTTTTGAGTCCCTTTTTAATGCATGGTCTCCCCAGCAAGCTCTCTGCAGCGCTACCATACTGCAAAAAGCCAACAGTTATCTCCTGCTTGGACTACCACAATGTGCTCTATGTGGGGCTACCTTTGAAGGTGACCTGGAAACTACAACTAATCCAGAATGCGGCAGCTAGACTGGTGACTGGGAGCGGCCGCTGAGACCACATAACACCGGTACCAAAAGACCTACATTGGCTCCCAGTATGTTTCCAGGCACAATTCCAAGTGTTGGTGTTGACCTTGAAAACCCTAAACGGCCTCAACCCAGTATACCTGAAGGAGCGTCTCCACCTCCATCGTTAAGCCCGGACACTGAGGTCCAGCGCTGAGGGCCTTCTGGTGGTTCCCTCCCTGTGATAAGTGAAGTTAGAGGGAACCAGGCAGAGGGCCTTCTCACTGGTGGTGGCCGCCCTGTGGAACGCCCTCCCATCAGATGTCAAGGAAATAAACAACTATCTGACTTTTAGAAGACATCTGAAGGCAGCTCTGCTTAGGGAAGTTTTTAATGTTTGATGTTTTATTCTGTTTTTAATCTGTTGGGAGCTGCCCAGAGTGGCTGGGGAAACCCAACCGGATGGGTGGGGTATAAATAAATTATTATTATTATTATTAATCCTTCTCTTACAGTAACACCAGGAGTGAAGCAGCTTTGAAAACCATGTCCTTAATTCACAGCTCTAAAACAAAAGGATAGGGGGGCTTACGCCATGGCATCTAGACCCCAAGAGGTCTTCTGTGGCTCCCAAGATCCTTCAAACTTCATTTTTAAAACAGGAAACTTTTTAAAATTTAACTGAGGGCTTATATGGGCTGCCTGACGCCATGAAGCCAAAGTAAATTGCGGCCCTCAAGTCCCCCCCAAATATTTCCATATCTATATCTATTGATCAATCAATATATATGATCATTCCCCTAGGCTTCCTGCTGCGTTGCCAAAAGGTTTCCATGACCCCCTACCCAATATTTGCTTTTTCAAAAAAGGACCATGCTCAGTTTTACACTTCAACCATGTCTACTTTGACACTCAGGCGCCAGAGTATTGGCCACAGGTCAAGGCAGCCCTTAGAGAACCACCCCTGACCCAAAGCTTTAGTTTATTAATCTACCGAACCAATCAATAAGACTGGGCTCAAATAAATGCCTGTGCATGAATTAAGAAGAAGCACTTTCGCGACCACTAGGTGCCGCCCTGGGCCACTAAACTGGTAGCTGCAGCAGCAGAAGTTGCAGGCACTGTCAATTTGCTTTTCCGCTTTAATCAACGAATGGATTTGACCCGAGTAGAGGTTTATCCCCTTTCTCTTTCAGTAATAAGAAGTATAATTGTGTGCATGTGTGTCCGAGCGAGAAGATAACCCCAGGTAAGCCCTGTATGAACCACAGCCTCGTCTATGATGTTTCGAGACCCAATTCAAAGTGCTGATTTTCACCTATAAAGACTTATGCGGCTCAAGACCTCAAGGACTCTTATGGGTCCTCCCCATAAGAAGCAGCCCACACCCTGCAATCATCCTATGAGGCCCTTCTCCCTGAGCCCCTCTATGGGAGGTCCAGCGGGTGGCAACACGAGAGCGGGGCCTTTTCAACGTTGGCTCCCCATTTATGGAATGCCCTTCCCCCAGGGAAGCTCACCTGGTGCTCTCTAGTCTAGCTTAAGGCACCAGGCAAAACCTTTCCTTTTTACTGGAGCTTTTGGCCCTACGTTTGAAGCGGGTGGCAGGCAGGTATCGGTTTCGTTCTTGTTTTCAATGTGTATTTGGGGGGGGGGTTGAAACTTGCATTTCTGTGTTGTGAACCACCCTGAGATCTATGGACGGAGGTCAGTGTTGAAATTTAATAAATAATAAAAACAATGATAAGTATTTGTGGCCTCTTTGGGCAGCGGAAGGATCTGCAAAAGCATCGCTGCCTCGGACTGTGGAGGCAGAGCCTAGCTATCCCAGTTAGAAGCCACCAAGAGCCCATTTCGGACTGTCTCGCCAGAGTGGTGCATGCTCTAGCTATCTCCCACTTGGACTACTGCCATGCGCTCTATGTGGGGCTACCTTTGAAGGTGACCCGGAAACTACAACTAATCCAGAATGCGGCAGCTAGACGGGTGACTGGGAGTGGCCGCTGAGACCGTATAACACGGTCCTGAAAGACCTACATTGGCTCCCGAGCACATTTCCGAGCACAATTCAAAGTCTTGGTGCTGACCTTGAAAGCCCTAAACGGCCTCGGACCAGTATACCTGAAGGAGCGTCTCCACCTCCATCGTTCAGCCTGGACACTGAGGTCCAGCGCCGAAGGCCGTCTGGCGGTTCCCTCGCTATGAGAAGCCAAGTTACAGGGAACCAGGCAGAGGGCCTTCTCAGTGGTGGCACCTGCCCTGTGGAACGCCCTCCCATCAGATGTCAAGGAAATAAACAACTATCTGACATTTAGGAAGACATCAGAAGGCAGCCCTGTTTAGGGAAGTTTTTAATGACTGATGTTTTAATGCATGGGCAGGGTATAAATAATCATATTACAGTGGTACCTCGGGTTACAGATGCTTCAGGTTACAGACGCTTCAAGTTACAGATTCTGCTAACCCAGAAATAGTACCTCGGGTTAAGAACTTTACCTCAGGATGAGAACAGAAATTGCGTGGCAGCAGCGGGAGGCCCCATTAGCTAAAGTGGTACCTCAGGTTAAGAACAGTTTCAGGTTAAGAACAGACCTCCAGGATGAGTTCTTAACCCAAGGTACCACTGTATATTATTATTATATTATATTATATTATATTATATTATATTATATTATTATATTATATTATATTTTATATTATATTATATTTCCTCTGTCATTAATTTGTCCGATCCTCTTTCAAAGCCACCCAAGTTCATGGCCATCCCTGCCTCTTGTGGCAGGGAGTTCCACAGTTTAACTCCATGCTGTGTGAAAAAGGGCTTTCTTTTATCAGTCCTGGACCTTGTAGCATTCTGTTCCCTCGGACGCCCACAACTCGGCAGGCCTGTTCCAGCAGGCTGCTTCTCCTCCTGACATTCATACGCCTGGAAACGAACAGACGCAAAGCCCAAGCCCTGCTTACCATCATCCAGACGGGGGAACGCAGCCTGCTGAGGACGCGAGAGTTGTCGGAGGTGACGGACTGGACCCCGGAGCACCACAGGACTGAGTAGAGCCAAGGCTCGTTCACCACGAACAGATTAACGCTCAAGTTCGCCACGGCGTATTCCCTGTCGAGAGAGCAGAGCGGAGAGAAGGACGGGCCTTAAAAAGCGCAGAAGAACGTCAAAATGGCATTTGCTGGATCTCGTTGGGGCACTGGGTTCTGTCTGGTCCCAGATTCTGCCGTCAGAGAACCACATCGGAGAACAGAGGCCATTTTAGGGCAGCGCCACTGTCTGAGGTGGTACCTTTTCAAAGTCTGGTAAGCGCTTCTCCAGCTTTGGGAAGGAGGCAGGTAAAGATAAAAGGTAAAGGTCCCCTGGATGGTTAAGTCCAGTCAAAGGAGACTATGGGGTTGCGGCGCTCATCTCGCTTTCAGGCCGAGGGAGCCGGCGTTTGTCTACAGACAGCTTTCCAGGTCATGTGACCAGCAGGACTAAACAGCTTCTGGCACAATGGAACACCATAACAGAAACCAGAGTATACGGAAACGCCGTTTACCTTCCCACCACAGTGGTACCTATTTATCTATTTGCACTGGTGTTCTTTTGAACTGCTAGGTTGGCAGGAGCTGGGACAGAGCAATGGGAGCTCACCCCGTCGCGGGGATTCGAACCGCCGACCTTCTGATTGGCAAGCCCAAGAGGCTCAGTGGTTTAAACCACAGCGCCACAGGACGTATGAGGGCTTTGACAAGGTCCCGGGGTCCTCCTCTTCCTTCCCAAAGCTGGGCAACTGCTTACTGGGATTTAGGAAGGAGGAGGGAAGGCTCTAAAAGCCTGCAAGAGCTCTCATGCTTCCTTCCCAAAGCCTCGGTTAGGGCTGGGGGGAATCAAATTTTGGTTTCAAGCTATATCACCAAGGTTAGAGAAAGAGAACACCACAAGGCAGCAATGAAGGCCGTTCCCCTGCCTGTTGCCAGCATCTGGTACCTGCTTCTGAATATACCTGCTGGCCTGAGGGATATCTAAACTACAACTAATCCAGAATGCGGCAGCTAGACTGGTGACTGGGAGTGGCCGCCAAGACCACATAACACCGGTCCTGAAAGACCTACACTGACTCCCAGTATGTTTCCGAGCACAAGTCAAAGTGTTGCTGCTGACCTTGAAAGCCCTAAACGGCCTCAAAGGCCCAGTAGACCTGAAGGAGCATCTCCACCCCCATTGTTCTGCCCGGACACTGAGGCCCAGTGCCAAGGGCCTTCTGGCAGTTCCCTCACTGCAAGAAGCAAAGCTACAGGTAACCAGGCAGAGGGCCTTCTCAGTGGTGGCACCCGCCCTGTGGAACACCCTCCCATCAGATGTCAAAGAGATAAACAACTACCTGACATTCAGAAGACATCTGAAGGCAGCCCTGTTCAGGGAAGTTTTTCATGTGTGACATTTTAATGTATTTTTAATCTTTGTTGGAAACTGCGGCTGGGGAAGCCCAGCCAGATGGGCGGGGTACAAATAATAAATTATTATTATATCTTCAAGAGAAGTGCATGCACACTTATCTGAAGAAGTGTGCACTTATCTGAAGAAGTGTGCATGCACATGAAAGCTCATACCAATAACATACTTAGTTGGTCTCTAAGGTGCTACTGGAAGGATTTTTTTTTTATTTTGTTCAATACAAGAGACACTGAGCCCGTGCAGAGTTGATTTGAGCAGGAAGAGCAAAGTGTCTCTCATGCACTGTGGGTTTTTGAGGGTCACAGCAGCCCCCGCAAATGTTGGTTCAACCCCCAGAGGGAACAAACAAGCAAACACCACGAGGCTGAGAAGCAAACGTTTCTCATCCAGCTGCAAAACAAACGCCTTCACTTGCTCCAGATTTACATCCCCAAAATATTATTCCAGGCTGTTCCCCAATTGGCAAACCACAACCACGCGTTGTTCTCGGAAAGTGTCCCGGCCAACGTCCGTCCAAAGATAAGACGGACGGATCAAAGTCTATTAATGGGCTGTTTTTTTTGCGCACAAAGTAATTTCTGAAATAAAAACCGGGACCTTGGACTTCTTCACAGCTCCATGGTAACAGCAGCGGCTGTGGAGAGATAAGGAGTGTGGCAAGTGGTTTGGAGCTTGTCTCTCAAAGGGCCCAGAGAGGATATTAGAGGCAGCCTCACAAAGCCATCCATTACGTTCCAGGCATGCAATTGTCTCCGCAGGCCTTTAGTCATCATTAGGCACCCCTGTCAAAAGGCCTTTTCCTCCGCCGCTAGCTCTGTTCAGGGCCGTCGTTGTCTCTGCTAACAAGAAGGTCAATTCTGCAATCTGCTTTACTGAGGAAAGCTTGCAGGAGTCACAAAATCATAGAACTGTAGATCTGGAAGGTACCCAAAGTTCAACCTCCTGCAAAGCATCTTGCCTTGAGGAATTTATTCTACAATTTCATTATGTTGCAAAATCCCTCCTGATTTCCCTAGATATTTTGGTGGGACGAACGATGAACTGTGTGTAACACTAGCACCCCACCCCTGGTCATAATTCATGTAGATTGCAGCCTTCCCTGACCGCAGAAAGCCAGCGCATCAGGGAGAAGCCAAATCTAGACATTACCTTCCCTGGCACGCCACTTTTCTAGAAGCAAGTCAGTTTTCGTTTCTCTTTTTTTAAAAAATGGGAGAAACCTGCTGTCATGGAAGCTTCCCTCGGGCCGAAGGTGGTACAGTCCAGAAACATAAAGATGCTTATGAGAACAAAACCAAAGGCATGTGGAAGAGCGAAAGCCCACAGCAGACCTGATATCGTCCCTGGTGACTTTGGTGTAGCGCAGGTTCAGCTTCTGAAAGCCTCTGTCCCTCAAAGGCTGAGCCCCAGCCTTGACGCCAGAGGTCTGCTGGAAACCTGGGGCAACCTCTTGGACCAGTTGGCGGTCTGAGTCGGGCAACCACATCACCTGATTGGGCAGAAAACAAAAGAACCCGGTAGCAGTCGCCGTTAGAAAAGAGCATTTGAAAAATCTATTGAAATCAGACATTATAAGTTCATCTTAGACTGGACAGTTCGCAAGTTTCTGTGGCTTTGCACAAGGTTTTGTATTTTTCTCAGAAGATTGGTAAAGAATGTATAATTATTTTGGTAATTATTCTGTGTCTATGAGTCGCCAGCGTGTTGCATGAGTCGTACTACTTATATCAGCAGCACAGGTTGCACTTTTCTAGCGTTAGAAAAGAGCAGCCATTACCAAAAGGTCAAGGCTGCAAAAGCTTTTCGACGGTTGGCATTGCTTTTCAAAAGATCACACTCCTCGCTCAAGGAGCAAAAACAATTTCTCAAAACCACGGCTTAAAATTGGTGCAAATATTTCACTTAAAAATTCTGGAACATTTCTGCGTTATGTAAACATACCATTGCGTATCCGGTCACAGCAGCCTTGAGTGTGGTTTCCTACTCAGTGCAAATAGGTAAAGGTAAAGGGACCCCTGACCATTAGGTCCAGTCGCGGACGACTCTGGGGTTGCGGCGCTCATCTCGCTGTATTGGCCGAGGGAGCCAGCGTACAGCTTCCGGATCACGTGGCCAGCATGACTAAGCCGCTTCTGGCAAACTAGAGCAGCGCACGGAAACGCCGTTTACCTTCCCGCTGGAGCGGTACCAATTTATCTACTTGCACTTTGACGTGCTTTCAAACTGCTAGGTTGGCAGGAGCAGGGACCGAGCAACTGGAGCTCACCCCGTCGCGGGGATTCAAACAGCCGACCTTCTGATCAGCAAGTCCTAGGCTCTGTGGTTTAGCCTTCGCTGTACAATTATAGCCAGATCCAGAGGTTTCGCCTCCTCTGTCCTTTGGCAGTGAAGGGATTTCGTTTTGTGGGACCCACCTCTCTGGCTGAGTTTATACCCTTCCAAATTGGCAGATTGGGACGCCCGGTGCCCAGCACGCTCCCTCTCTGCCTAACCTACTTCACAGGGTTGTTGTAAGGATAAAATCAGGAGAGCTACATACACCACCTTGAGCTCCCTGGAGAGAAGCCAATCTAATGTAATGCAATGTAACAAAAGAATAAGATGCCGTTGTGGACAGAATCTGCGTCCTCAACAGGCAGCATTAAACCAAGCTAGAAGCACAAACACTGCCTCCAAAAGGTTATTTTTGGGGGTGGATGAAGAGAAAAGGCTGACAGGATAGAAGCAGGCAGCCTCCTTGAACGAGGACCCGGTGGAGCAAGATGCACGTCAGATTGGAAACTGGCTGCCGGTGTTCTTAGAAAGAACAGATGGAAACTAAACTAAATGTGGAGTCGTCCCCCAAGTTAATTGCTCCATATGTGGGTGTGTGAGAAGCTTCAAGATTGAACGCAGCAAGCAACAACAACAAAACTCTCACACCCTTAACTGGAAAGGCTGTTTGGTAAAAGGTAAAGGCAAAGGAACCCTGGACAGTTAAAGTTAAAGGGACCCCTGACCATTAGGTCCAGTCGTGGCCGACTCTGGGTTTGCGGCGCTCACCTCGCTTTATTGGCCGAGGGAGCCGACGTACAGCTTCCGGGTCATGTGGCCAGCATGACTAAGCCGCTTCTGGAGAACCAGAGCAGCGCACGGAAACACCATTTACCTTCCCGCCGGAGCGGTACCTATTTATCTACTTGCACTTTGACGTGCTTTCGAACTGCTAGGTTGGCAGGAGCAGGGACCGAGCAACGGGAGCTCATCCCGTCGCGGAGATTCGAACCGCCAACCTTCTGATCGGCAAGCCCTAGGCTCTGTGGTTTAGACCACAGTGCCACCCGCGTCCCTTGAACAGTTAAGTCCAGTCAAATGCAACTATGGGGTTGCGGTACTCAGGGCCGGATTTAGGTTTGATGAGGCCCTGAGCTACTGAAGGAAATGGGGCCCTTTATATCTCCAGCTGTCCTATGTCAACAACAAATGGTTGCTGTTTTTTGTGTGGAATATATGCTATATATGATGATTTATGGACCTAATAGGAGCCAACACAACACAAAACACTGTTGCGGTATGTAGGTTTTATTTGATTTGATTTTTATCTTATATTATGGAAATGTACATCCAGGTTTTTTTCCTTTAAATTTTTTGGGGGGCCCCCAAGAGAGTGGGGCCCTAAGCTATAAATTGTTTAGCTTCTATGTAAATCTGGCACTGGCGGTACTCATCTCATTTTTCAGGCCAAAGGAGCTGGCGTTTGTCCGCAGACACTTTTCCGGGTCATGTGGCCAGCAGGGCTAAACCGCTTCTGGCACAACCAGACACCATGATGGAAACCAGAGCGCACGGAAATGCTATTTACCTTCCCGCCACAGTGGTGCCTATTTATCTACTTGCACTTTGACGTGCTTTTGAACTGCTAGGTTGGCAGGAGCAGGGACCGAGCAACGGGAACTCACCCCATCACGGGGATTCGAACAGCCGACCTTCCAATCGGCAAGCCCAAGAGGCTCAGTAGTTTAGACCACAACCCCAGGATCTAAGGGCACATGGAAATCTCACCGCCCAACCCACTGCTCTAGGCAGATGCCTCCCAGCTGACCGGATATCCCAGGTTGAAGAGATCAGGAAGAGATGTCCCACATTGAATGGACCTTCACGAAATGGTTTGTGTCTTGAACTGTATTCATATAAGGTAAAGAGGAGGGACACTATAATCAGTGGAGGGCTGTCACTCAGAAGACGGCTGCTCCAGGATGAGGGAAGATCTCAGCAGGAGACACATCTCTGGAATGATTTGACAATGGCACCAACAACAAACTGTGGACCGCCCTCCCACCAGATGTCAAGGAAATAAACAACTATAGTGGTATACCTCGGGTTAAGAACTTAATTCATTCCAGTGGTCCATTCTGAACCTGAAACTGTTCTTAAACTGAAGCACCACTTTAGCTAATGGGGCCTCCCGCTGCTGCCACGCAATTTCTGTTCTCATCCTGAGGTAAAGTTCTTAACCCGAGGTACTATTTCTGGGTTAGCGGAGTCTGTAACCTGAAGCGTCTGTAACCTGAGGTACCACTGTACCTGACTTTTAGAAGACATCTGAAGGCAGCCCTGTTCAGGGAGCTTTTAATGTTTGATCTTTTATCGTGTTTTTAATATCCCGCTGGAAGCCACCCAGAGTGGCTGGGGAGGCCCGGCCAGATGGGCAGGGTATAAATAAATTTATTATTATTATTATTATTATTATTATTATGAATCCCCAGCAACCAGGCCATTCCCAGGGAGGGCAAGGAAAATCTTCATTCACCCTCAATGAAGTCGCCATTTGCTCCCGATTGGCTAGGACCATGCAGCCAATGAGAAGGCAAGGCACATCAACAAGGAAGTTCATAGAATCAGGAGGGATCCCTGAGGAACATCTAGTCCGTCCACCCCCTGCAATACTCAGGACGGAAGCAAGCGGCGATGAGCAAGGTGCCTTTTGTGGGGGGCAGAGGGCAGGTTTCGTGGCATGTTTCTCGCTCATCCTCCGGAAAGCTACAGCGACACCCCCAGGAAAAAGCTTCTTTTGCCCATGAGCCTCTCCCAAGCCCACCTCTAGTTTCTGCTTCTCCGACCGAAGCAGAAGCCCCCACAAACATTATTAAGCATCTACCTACAAAAGTGACGTGGAACTCACAGCCTGCTGAGGGATGCCCGAGTCGAGGACGGTTTCCAGGGTGATGTTGATGAAAGCGCTGTAGTAAGGGTGGTCCCGGGGCAAGCTCTGGAAGTTTAAGAGGACGGTGGCATTGCCCTTGACGACCTCCAGCATGTCGGCCAGCTTGCAGACGGACTGGTTGGCGGATCTGACAAAGTCGGAACTGGAGAGCGACTGGGCGCTCCAGAAGGGATCGTTCTGAGGGAAGGGGGAGCAAACAGAGAGACCAGTGTTCAACGTTATCGCTTTCAAAGCCAACATTTTTATTTTTTGAGGAAGCCATCTTTTAGGCTACATCCGCGCGGCAGCTTATTCCCTGGCCGTCGATTTCTGGATTTCATTTGAGCTTTCGCACAACGTAAAAGCCCGTTCCGGAAAACCAACGAGACACGTTAACTCGTTTCTGCAAACTTTTCTTTTCCCTCAGCCCCCCTGACAAAACATCTTGTAAAGAATCTTGGGAGGCAGCAAAAAAATGCTTTGCACATCACGAGCTTTCTTGAAAGCGAGGAGGAGAAAGAGGAGAAGGGATGAAGGGGAAACCTTCCTCCAAGACGCAAGGGCGTTTTCAAGATCACTCTCTGTCTTTCAAGCTGATTAATGGGGTGCTTCGTTCTGTTCTCAAAAGCATCCATCGTGTAGAAGGAGACAACCAGGCTGGTTTGGAAAGGCCAGTTTGGGAAGCAGAGCCTTGCCCTCTAACGCTTCAACCACCATTGATTGATTGATTGATTGATTGATTGATTGATTGAATAAAGCAAGCAAGCAAGGGCAGGGGAGACCCAACCCACCCTCCAGACTCGGCTACATACCTTGAGGAACCATTCGCCGGCGTTCAGCATCTCCAGGTCTGTCCAGTTGAACATGGAAGAATGTGTGTAGGCCCTCTCTGGGAAGACGGCCTCCACATCCGTCGTCCTCCGTAGCGTCTTGTCATGCATGAGGAAAGGCACCCCGTCGTAGCTGTGCAACGGAAAGAGAAAAAGAGTCTCCCTTTACATTTGCAAGGCAGCGCTCAACCGATGCAGAAGACCTCCACTGTTCCATGTAGACTCACGGAGCTGTAAGGGACACTCGAGGGTTATCCAGTAAAATAATTTATTATTTATACCCCACCCATCTGGCTGGGCTTCCCCAGCCACTCTGGGCGGCTTCCAACAAAATATTAAAATACAGTAATGCATCAGACATTAAAAGCTTCCCTAAACAGGGCTGCCTTGAGATGTCTTCCAAAAGTCTGGTAGTTGTTTTTCTCTTTGACATCTGGTGGGAGGGCGTTCCACAGGGCAGGTGCCACTACCGAGAAGGCCCTCTGTCTGGTTCCCTGTAACGTGGGTTCTCGCAGTGAGGGAACCGCCAGAAGGCCCTCAGAGCTGGACCTCAGTGTCTGGGCTGAATGACGGGTGTGGAGACGCTCCTTCAGGTCTACTGGGCCAAGGCCATTTAGGGCTTTCAAGATCAGCACCAACACTTTGAATTGTGCTCGGAAAAAGGTACCAGTTCCCCGATTCCACAACCCCGTGCTTAAAAGCATCCTCACTTGCCCACTCGGCCTGGACAAATATGGCAAATTGCACACCTCCGAGCCCAGAAATGTAAATAAGGGCAGGAAACTTGCAAAAGAAACTAGCGTGGCAAGGGATTCCTTAGCTGAGATTCCTGCTTTGCAAGGGGTCAGACGAGATGACCCCTGGTATCCCTTCCAACTCTACAATTCAACTCTGCACCTGAGAGCAGAGAGAGGCACTTGCCTTATGACCACATCTGCCTGTACTCCGTAGAGTTTCTGCTCCACCGCTTTCTGGAAGGACATCAGAGTGTTTTCAGGTGCCATCTGGGAAGGAGGAAAAGATGAACAAACAATATCATTTATTCATCTAAGCAAGCTGCCAAACCGGACAGCGTACAAGAGATAGAGCAGTCAGTTAAAATGCCAGCATCGACTATCCAAACATGTTTAAAATAGCATCGGGCACAGAAAGGGATCGGGGCTGCCAAATGAGAATCTCTATAATACTGAAGAGATTAATTTGAGGAGATCAAAAGATGGGGCAGAGTCCGTTGGGTGTTTTGCCGCTGGAAACAGATGGAGGCCACCAGAAAAAAAAAACATATTAATGGAACCCTCAAGAACATGGCACAAATATTTCTATAAAAGGGTGCTTTGCGGGAATGCTGTGGATGCCCCCAAGACGGATACTCTTTTGCGGAAGGAAACAGAGGTCTGCAAAATTAAAGTGCTCTGTGGACTCATACAATAAACCTGCTTGTTTTTATTTTAAAAAATGAACTTTTTGCTGTTAGGAAAGCGATGCAGAAATTACAGTGAAGTAGGGGGATGAACAAATGATTAACAGGAATCAATGATTAACATCATTGAAGTCTGACTTTAGAAGAAGAAGAAGAAGAAGAAGAAGAAGAAGAAGAAGAAGAGTAGTTTGGATTTGATATCCCGCTTTATCACTACCCTAACGAGTCTCAAAGCGGCTAACATTCTCCTTTCCCTTCCTCCCCCACAACAAACACTCTGTGAGGTGAGTGGGGCTGAGAGACTTCAGAGAAGTGTGACTGGCCCAAGGTCACCCAGCAGCTGCATGTGGAGGAGCAGGGAATCAAACCCGGTTCACCAGATTACGAGTCCACTGCTCTTAACCACTACACCACACTGGCTCCCAGCTAATTTTTCCACATTGCATTTGTTTTCCGCTGCCTACAGACGACTGCAGTTGAGCAGTAGATAAATTGTTTAGATAAAAATAAGTAATTATTAGGTAGTATTATTACCATTATCTTTATTATTACCAGTTAATAAAATGGCAATCAATTGGCTGAAAAACGGCAGCTGCTGCAGAATTCTGGAGCCGGTCTGTGGACTAGAAGCAGGAGGTCCGATCAGGTAAAATCCTATCCTGTCCCAGCTAGAGATTAATTTCCAGGCTCAATTTGAAGTGCAGGTCTAAATATATGAAGCGCGATGAGACTTGGGACGTCAATACCTTTGAGACTCTGTGCAGGAACCTACCCAGACCCTGCACCCATCATCGGAGACCCATCTCTGTGTATCCGCTTTCATGGGAAGCGTGGAGAGTGACAACACAGGACAGGGTCTTCTGGGTGGTGGCTCCACGACTGTGGACTGCTCTCCACAGACAGATGACCCTTGGCACCAACATTTAGGTGCCGAGAAAAGGCATTTCGGTTTCCCCTGGCATTTGGCAGCATAGGGTTACCAGACGTCTCTGTTTCCCAGGGACAGTCCCCAGATTTGCGAATAAGTTCCCGGACAAATGAATGTCCCCGGATTTCATCTAATGTCCCCGGGAAACGCAGCAGCGGCAGTCTCAGCAGCCCAGAGCAGTTGGCTCTGGCTGGCTTCAGGAGCTGCTCGGAAGTCCCCATGTGATGGTGGTGCAGGGGCTCGAAGATGCAGCTTCCGGGCTGCCTCCGCCTTCCCTGACCCCAGCAACTAAGCTGTGAAGGGAGGCTTCATGCTGCCTATCGGAGCAGCCTCCTAACTCCTACTTCCGTGCAAGCGGGGCGGGGATCTCTCAGCTGTGAAGGGAAGCTTCACGCTGCCTATCAGAGCTTGCGTGCAAGCAGGAGGGGGCAGGGATCTCTCAGTTGTTAGGCAAGGGGAAGCCTCCCTTCCCAGCTCTGGGATCCCCAGCCCCTCCTGCTTGCACGCAAGTAGGAATGGGATTGGGGCTGCTCCAATGGGAAGGGGGGCATCGCGCTGTCCGAGCCTCGCCGCCACCGCTCTCAGCCCTCCTCAGAGAAGGGGAAATGTGGCGGTTGAGGTCAAGGCGGCAGCTTCCCCTCTGCCACCGCCATCGCTGCAGCATCAATGTCCCGAACGTGTAGTATGTATGTATGTATGTCCATGGATTCATTGAAAAAAAATCTGGTACAGTGGTGCCTCGCAAGACGAAAAGAATCCGTTCCGCGAGTCTCTTCGTCTTGCGGGTTTTTTCGTCTTGCGAAGCAAGCCCATTAGCGGTTTAGCGGATTAGCGCTACAGTATTAGTGGCTTAGCGGGCTTAGCAGATCAGCTGATAAGCGGCTTAGCGATCAGCTGTTAAGCGGCTTAAAGATCAGCTGATAAGCGACTTAACGATCAGCTGATAAGCGGCTTAGCGATCAGCTGTTAAGCGGCTTAGCCATCAGCTGATAAGCGGTTTAGCGGCTTGGGAAAAAGGGGGGGGGGAGGAAAAAACCCCCGCAGGACCTCGCAAGACATTTTCGTCTTGCGAAGCAAGCACATAGGAAATTCGTTTTGCGAAGCACCTCCAAAACGGAAAACCCTTTCGTCTAGCGGGTTTTCCGTCTTGCGAGGCATTCGTCTTGCGGGGCACCACTGTAACCTTATCTTATCTGATAATACAGTGGTACCTTGGGTTAAGTACTTAATTTGTTCTGGAGGTCCGTTCATAAGCTGAAACTGTTCTTAACCTGAAGCACCACTTTAGCTAATGGGGCCTCCCACCGCTGCCGCGCCGCCGGAGCACGATTTCTGTTCTCATCCTGAAGCAAAGTTCTTAACCCGAGGTACTATTTCTGGGTTAGCGGAGTCTGTAACCTGAAGCGTATGTAACCTGAGGTACCACTGTACTTCGTTGGACTGGTCATGTTGTGCGGATGCCTGATGACCGTCTTCCAAAGCAACTACTCTACTCTGAAATGGAAAGCGTCATGCAAAAGAGGTTTCAGGAGTCTCTCAAAAATTACAGTATAAACACCAACAATTGGGAAACTCTGGCCTGCGAGCGCTCCAATTTGAGAACAGCCTTTAGCAAAGGTGTTGTGGGCTTTGAAGACGCTTGAATTCAGGACGCAAGGGAGAAATGTGCTAAGAGGAAGGCACACTGGGCACACTCACCATGATCAACTCCCGCCTGGAAACCTATGTCCCCACTGTGGAAGGACATGTGGATCCAGAATTGGCCTCCACAGTCACTTACGGACTCCCTGTTAGAACCATGTTTATGGAAGACAATCTTACTCAGCTACGAGGGATCGCCAAAGAAGAAAAAGAAGAAATACCCTCAGATTGTATTGGCATTCACCTTTCAGGAGGGCGCAATAGCATTTGTCAGTTTGAAGCATTGTATTAAGTAGGTGTAATAATAATAATAATAATAATAATAATAATAATAATCGTGAACCTGCTAGTTATGACCCACAGGAAAAATACATCTCTGGAACAATGATGTTTCCAACTTGCTTCCCCTCACGTTAAAAGATTCAAGAGTGACATTTAATATTGGACTTTTTTTATTTTGAAAAAAATACAAAATCCGATCTAAAGGTCAAATTGGGGAAGAAGCTAAAATAGGAGCGACTTGCCTAAGCAGGAAATGAGCCTTTTAATCCACTGCAGAGGAAGAGGCTTCTACAAAAAAGATAAAACAAAGGATGAGAAAGGCTTTGAAACCTGGGGATTGTCCTTTCTGGTTTAAAAGAGCTCTTAAAAACCTCGATTCCGGAAGGAAGAGATTTGCAATGTTTAAAAGGAAGACCAAACTGTCTGTTAAATTACGGATCAGAGGGGCGGCAGAGACTTTCCTTACAACCTGCTGAGAAGAAGCGCGGCTACGCTGAAGAAGAACTTATGAATTAACACCCATTTCAGTCCCAGAAACTGTAATTCCTCTAGAGAAAGAGGAGGAAGAGGAGATGGGATGGAAATTATGCGCGGAGGTAGAGAAAAGGATTTTTCCTCTTGCCCTCGTAACAGACAGCTCAGTCGGTAGAGAACACGAGGCTCTGAATCTCCGGGTTGTGGGTTCAAGCCCCACGTTGGGCTAAAGATTCCTGCATTGCAGAGGGTTGGACTAGATGACCCTTAGGGTCCCTTCCAACTCTAGGATTTTAACTCGGTGAAATCCAACGAAGCTGAAGGTTGGAAGATTCAGGAAAGACCAAAGGAAATATTATTTCCCTGCAAGTGCACCTGATCCACTTTTAATTGCACATCCTAAATTTGCTGTTACCTGTTTGATTCATATTATTATTGTTGTTGTTATTGTTGTTGTTGTTGTTGTTATTTATCAAAGCTACAATCACTGCAAAAGGCTGGGCTGGATGAATCCCTAGGCGGAATTAAGATTGCCCGAAGAAATATCAACAACCTCAGATATACAGATGACACAACCTTGATGGCAGAAAGTGAGGAGGAATTAAAGAACCTTTTAATGAGGGTGAAAGAGGAGAGCGCAAAATATGGTCTGAAGCTCAACATCAAAAAAACGAAGATCACGGCCACTGGTCCCATCACCTCCTGGCAAATAGAAGGGAAAGAAATGGAGGCAGTGAGAGATTTTACTTTCTTAGGCTCCATGATCACTGCAGATGGTGACAGCAGTCACAAAATTAAAAGATGCCTGCTTCTTGGGAGAAAAGCAATGACAAATCTAGACAGTGTCTTAAAAAGCAGAGACATCACCTTGCCGACAAAGGTCCGTATAGTAAAAGCTATGGTTTTCCCAGTAGTGATGTATGGAAGTGAGAGCTGGACCATATAGAAGGCTGATTGCCAAAGAATTGATGCTTTTGAATTCTGGTGCTGGAGGAGACTCTTGAGAGTCCCATGGACTGCAAGAAGATCAAACCTCTCCATTCTGAAGGAAATTAGCCCTGAGTGCTCACTGGAAGGACAGATCCTGAAGCTGAGGCTCCAATACTGTGGCCACCTCATGAGAAGAGAAGACTCCCTGGAAAAGATCCTGATGTTGGGAAAGATGGAGGGCACAAGGAGAAGGGGACGACAGAGGACGAGTTGGTTGGACAGTCTTGTCGAAGCTACCAGCATGAGTTTGACCAAACTGCGGGAGGCAGCGGAAGACAGGAGTGCCTGGCGTGCTCCGGTCCAGGGGGTCACGAAGAGTCGGACACGACTAAACGACAACAAATTTGCTGTTACCTGTTTGATTCATATTAGTATTATTATTAGAATTTATCAAAGCTGCAATCACTGCCTAGAAGCTGCCTCTCTTATCCTGGCTCTCAGCTTTTATTTTGCCTTCTCTCTGCAAAAGACATCTTGACCTAACGAATGAAGATTTTTGGATCCTAAAGGGGGCGATACTATTACGCCAGATTCATGTCCCCTCGTTTACTTTTGAGCCTTTTTCATCTTTACCTTCAAGGTGGAAGAAAAACCTCTCTCTCCAGCACAACCACCCTCTATTCTGGGGAATGAGACATCTTTAGATTTTTAATTAGGCCGTCGACTCCTTCCTGGCACAGCAACAGCTGCCAAAACAAATTCCTCTTTGCGGAACATATGTTCACTCTGAGCCAAAGATCAACAAGTATTAGTGTGCGAATTAGCTGCTCTTAACAGAAAGCCTTGGGCAGAGGGCATTAAAACGACGACGAGGTTCAAAAGTAAACACACTTGGCTAGGAGGAAGGATTCCAGAAGCAAGACCAGACATTTATTTAAAAAAAAGGTTTATTTTTTGTAAGACTAGGAGGTGATATGTGTTTGAGAGAAGCTCTTCTATCACTATGTTCCAGCTGTCGAAGAGAGCCCAGGCAAACACATTTTGCCTTCCTTTACTGAACCGCTTGACTGATGCTGGCAGGAGACGCACCGGCGCTTGTGAGCAACTCTCCTCTCCTCTCCTGCAACTGGCATTCAGAATCATCTCCAACGAAGGAGCATCTCCACTCCCATTGTTCAGCTGAGGTCCAACTCCAGAATGAAGAATGCCCTCGGCGCTGGACCTCAGTGTCCGGGTAGAACGATGGGGGTGGAGACTACTGTATTTTTCGCTCTATAAGACGCACCAGACCACAACGCGCACCTAGTTTTTGGAGGAGGAAAACAAGAGAAAAAATATTCTGAATCTCAGAAGCCAGAACAGCAAGAGGGATCGCTGCGCAGTGAAAGCAGCAATCCCTCATGCTGTTCTGGCTTCTGGGATAGCTGTGCAGCCTGCATTCGCTCCATAAGACGCACACACATTTCCCCTTACTTTTTAGGAGGGAAAAAGTGAGTCTTATAGAGCAAAAAATACGGTAATTTATATTTTTTAAAAAAAATAGATGACCGGGGGGGGGGGAGTCATAAGAAGAAGCACCTACCATTGGCGCTCCCCGGTGTCCAATAATGGCAGGCTTGGGCCCCAGGTCCTTCTTCTCCATGATGCAAGGGGAATAGACCGTGAGGGGGATGAGGTACAGGGCCAGGACCACTGCAAAGTAGGCTCCAAATGTCAGCAACTGGGAGGCTACAGGAAGAGGCAAACAGATGAGAGACAGAGAGACAGAGAGAGAGAGAGAGAGAGAGAGAGAGAGGAGAGATGGTGAACAGGGATCCAGGAAAAGGAGGGAGGAGAGGCTGTTCCCAAGACATTCAGGAAGTTCACAGAGCAGCCTTCCCCATTCTGGTGCCCTCCAGCTATTTCGGAATACTACAGTGGTTCCTTGGTTCTCAAACTTAATCCGTTCCGGAAGTCTGTTCCGAAACCAAGGCACGCTTTCCCATAGAGAGTAATGCAAAACGGATTAATCCGTTCCAGACTTTAAAGAACAACCCCTAAAACAGCAATTTAACCTGGATTTCACTATCTAATGAGACCGTTGACCCATAAAATGAAAGCAATAAACAACGTACTGCTGTCACACAATCAGTCGATCAATCAGGAGCTGAACTGGGTTCCACACAGTCACAAAAACAAAACAGAAAGAGTTGCAAAAAGAAAAATGCAAAATAAATAGCAAAAACAGAAAGACCTCAGCGTAACACTCAAAACGGAAGCATGGCACTCAAAATGGAGCACGTTCGGCTTCTGAAAAAGGTTCACAAACCGGAACACTTACTTCCAGGTTTGCAGTGTTTGAGTTCCAAGTTGTTTGAGTACCAAGGCGTTTGAGAACCAAGTTGCCACTGTACAACCAACACAGTCCAAAACGTCTGTTGCGTGTCTGTACCCTGAGGCTGTGCCTATGCAGAACAAACACTTTTCCAGCTCCATAAGAACCAGAAACACTTTGCTGACTCTTCCACTCACTTGGCTTATTTTTCTTAGTTGCTATTTTGCTAATGCTGTTAATATTGTCTTATAGATTGTAAATGCCGTATTGATCTGTTCATCATATAGCATGAATTTTGCTGTGGCTGCGATGTTTAGCGTATTTTCATTAATAACGTTCTACAAACTGTAGTGGTTTTATTGATTAATTATTTTATACGACTTATGCTGCATGGCATAGAATCACAGATTTGTAGAGATGGAAGGGACCATGAGGGTCATTTAATCCAACTTCTGGGAATCTTTAGCCCACCGTGGGTCTCGAACGCATCACCCTGAGGTCAAGAGTCTTCTTGTTGTTGTTGTTGTTTAGTTGTTTAGTCATGTCCGACTCTTCGTGACCCCATGGACCAGAGCACGCCAGGCACTCCTGTCTTCCACTGCCTCCCGCAGTTTGGTCAAACTCATGCTGGTAGCTTCGAGAACACTGTCCAACCATCTCGTCCTCTGTCGTCCCCTTCTCCTTGTGCCCTCCATCTTTCCCAACATCAGGGTCTTTTCCAGGGAGTCTTCTCTTCTGATGAGGTGGCCAAAGTATTGGAGCCTCAGCTTCAGGATCTGTCCTTCCAGTGAGCACTCAGGGCTGATTTCCTTCGGAATGGATCGGTTTGATCTTCTTGCAGTCCATGGCTCCAGCACCATAATTCAAAAGCATAAATTCTTTGGCAATCAGCCTTCTTTATGGTCCAGCTCTCACTTCCATACATCACTACTGGGAAAACCATAGCTTTTACTATACGGACCTTTGTCGGCAAGGTGATGTCTCTGCTTTTTAAGACACTGTCTAGATTTGTCATTGCTTTTCTCCCAAGAAGCAGGCGTCTTTTAATTTTGTGACTGATGTCACCATCTGCAGTGATCATGGAGCCCAAGAAAGTAAAATCTCTCACTGCCTCCATTTCTTCCCCTTCTATTTGCCAGGAGGTGATGGGACCAGTGGCCATGATCTTCGTTTTTTTGATGTTGAGCTATGCTCTACTAACTGAGCTATCTGTTCTGGGATATCTGATGTTCTGTTCTCTTAGTGTTATTTATTGTTTGTACGCTGCTTTGAGATGCATTTGAATGAAAAGCAGCATAGAAATAGAATCAATCAAATCAACCAAATCACTTCTCTCTCTCTCATTCTCTCAGAATAGTATCACCCACACAGCCCATTTAGGGAATTGACTTGTCAAAAATCATTAATGCATTCTCCGAGGTTCAGCCTCCCTCCTCGCAAGGACCATTAGAAGTCAGATATCTGAGTGCACGGCTTTTTTTCTGCGGGTGGGACACAGGGGTATGCATACCCCTAAATATTTTGTGGATCTTTGTTGTTGTTGTTGTTTAGTCGTTTAGTCATGTCCGACTCTTCGTGACCCCCTGGACCAGAGCACGCCAGGCACTCTTGTCTTCCACTGCCTCCCGCAGTTTGGTCAAACTCATGCTGGTAGCTTCGAGAACACTGTCCAACCATCTCGTCCTCTGTCGTCCCCTTCTCCTTGTGCCCTCCATCTTTCCCAACATCAGGGTCTTTTCCAGGGAGTCTTCTCTTCTCATGAGGTGGCCAAAGTATTGGAGCCTCAGCTTCAGGATCAGTGAGCACTCAGGGCTAATTTCCTTCAGAATGGAGAGGTTTGATCTTCTTGCAGTCCATGGGACTCTCAAGAGTCTCCTCCAGCACCATAATTCAAAAGCATCAATTCTTTGGCAATCAGCCTTCTATATGGTCCAGCTCTCACTTCCATACATCACTACTGGGAAAACCATAGCTTTTACTATTCGGACCTTTGTCGGCAAGGTGATGTCTCTGCTTTTTAAGACACTGTCTAGATTTGTCATTGCTTTTCCTTTAATTACAACAACTTTGGAGTCTTGGAGCCTCAGTTTCAGGATCTGTCCTTCCAGTGAGCACTCAGGGCTGATTTCACTTTTGTCCTTTTACTGTATTTATTTTCCCCAATTTGAACTATAAAATAGTGGTTTTCTTTAGTCCAAATGAGAGCACCCTAAACATTTTTTTTTGGGGGGGGGGAGCACTGTCTGACTGTCTGAGTGGAAGGCAGACAATTCTCATCCCTAAACACACAGGTAAATACAGGTGTACAGGTGTGCTAGGGAGCCATGCCATGCAAAGACTCCACCTGCTGAGTGGTATTTTGAAGGACCATTCCGGTCTGTGTTTGTCTTACAAAAGCACTGAATTTAGCTTCACAACAATGGAGGGAAAGCTATGATAAAATAAACAAGAATGTCATGTTTGAACTAAGCCATAAAACTTGGCTTATGCAACGTGCCAATGCACACACTCTGGGTACTCCCACTTTGCTCGAATCTCTGTGTGAGCAGGTCATGTCATGTCCTGACCTGGGATTGCACTTTGCTTTCTCCTATCAAACCACAATTGCTAGCCAGCTGGGTGCAAGCTGCAGGCTCCCAGACTTTCCTTCCCTCCATAAATGCAAATTCTCACATTCTGTCTCAGTGCTAATCACGGTGTAGCCACTTCTGCAATAAGGAGCACTATGAACTATGGTTAGCTTTAACCAGGATCTGCCAACCAGGGTTCAAGCTCCAAGTTAAGCCCCACCCCATCCCATCTTAATGCTAACCATGGTGAAGTTCATGTCTGCAGGAAGGAGAACAGCAAACTGTGGTTAGCTTAAACCAGGATTCACCAACCAAGGTCCAAGCTCCAATTTAAGCCCCACCCCATTCCTCAAAGCTAACCATGGTGAAATTCATGCCTGCAGGAAGGAGAACAGTAGACTATGGTTAGCTTTAACCAGGATTCATCAACCAGGGTTCAAACCTCAAGTTAAGCTCCACCCCATCCCGTCTTAATGCTAACCATGTTGAAGTTCATGCCTGCAGGAAGGAGAACAGTAAGCCATGGTTAACTTTAACCAGGATTCACCAACCGGAGTTCAAACTCTGGGTTCAGCCCCCTCCACCCAACACACAGCAATGACACACAAATCTTGCCCTCAGTGACAAGAAAAAAACAAGCAACTACTCACTGGCTCTTTCGGCTCTTGCAAACTGCCCAGACACCAACCAAGACAGGGCGGTGACAGCCGCAAGGGCTCCTATGTGCAGAAAAGGTGCCGTTGCCTAGGAAAAAGAGAGCAGGGAACGGTGAAGTACACAAATACCTTTGCTATATAGTAGGGGTGGCCAGCTCTCCAGAGACTGCAATCTACTTTCAGAATTAAAAACTGGCAGGGATCTAGTGATCTACCCCCATTTTTTAGGGGTGCAGCTCAAAGATGTTGAGCTCCGTTTTTTGGGGGGGGGGGTTAAAGGGGTAAGGTCACTCACTACCAAAACCTTGCAGGGATCTACCAGCAAATCGCGATCGACCTGTTGGACATCCCTGCTATATAGCCAATGAAAGCAGTAGGAAAAGTCATGCAGGAATCATAATGCGTGAACTAAAAAAGGTATTTAAATATACCTTCTTGAAGAAACCAGAAGCCTTTCTCCTGGGCATAGTCGGCCAATCGGTGTTAAAAAAGGACAGAACTTTCTTTATGTATGCTACAACAGCAGCAAGAATACTCATTGCAAAGTATTGGAAGACACAAGATCTACCCACACTGGAGGAATGGCAGATGAAAATGATGGACTACATGGAATTGGCGGAAATGACTGGCAGAATCCGAGACCAGGGAGAAGAGTCGGTGGAAGAAGATTGGAAGAAATTCAAAGACTATTTACAGAAATATTGCAAAATTAATGAATGTTAGAATGATGTTGAATTGAAGTTAAGTGGTTTCTAGCTGTACAGGCACAAAAGAATATGGAAAAATTGGTTTTTAATATGTAAAATGTAAAATTTAAAGTTACAATATATCAAGATTAAAGATTAGGATTAAAAAGGAGGGAAAGGAATTGTTGGATTAACATATTTAATTAGAATACAAAAGAGGGAGGTAAGAGGAGGTCCGGGAAACAAGTAAACGTAAAAGAAGTGAGGAAAAGATGAAATTGTTTTTAATTGTTTTTTCTTTTTTTACTCTGTATTTTTTCTTTTTATTGTTAATTTTTTCTTTACTAATGTGATTTTTCTTTTTTTTTCTTCTTTGCAACTTTAATAAATATTATTTAAAAAAACAAAAACATAATGCGATTTAGCTGCAGTTCCTGCATTGAAGGGGATTAGACTGGATACAATCCATCTGTATGTACAGGGTCCCTGTTGCTCAACCACAGGAGTGCCACAAAAAGCCATCTAATCAGTTGAGGCTCCTCTAACCAGCTGTTTTGGACTGTGACTCCCACTGGGAGGGGCTGATGATGGCAGTTGTAGTCCTGAACAGTCGGAGGGCCACCCACTTGGGGAAGCCTAAAATAGATCATTCATGGATGGCGGTTAACAGACTGAGGTTGAATCCTGACAAGACAGAAGTACTATTTTTGGGGGACAGGAGGCGGGCAGGTGTGGAGGACTCCCTGGTCCTGCATGGGGTAACTGTGCCCCTGAAGGACCAGGTGCACAGCCTGGGAGTCATTCTGGACTCACAGCTGTCCACGGAGGCGCAGGTCAGTTCTGTGTCCAGGGCAGCTGTTTACCAGCTCCATCTGGTACGCAGGATGAGACCCTCCCTGCCCACAGACTGTCTCACCAGAGTGGTGCATGCTCTAGTTATCTCCCGCTTGGACTACTGCAATGCGCTCTACATGGGGCTACCTTTGAAGGTGACCCGGAAACTACAACTAATCCAGAATGCGGCAGCTAGACTGGTGACTGTGAGTGGCTGCCGAGACCACACAACACCGGTCCTGAGAGATCTGCATTGGCTCTCAGTACGTTTCCGAGCACAATTCAAAGTGTTGGTGCTGACCTTGAAAGCCCTAAACGGCCTCGGTCCAGTATACCTGAAGGAGCATCTCCACCCCTGTTATGTACTGAGTTGAATAGGATCCAAACTGCAGCAGTCTGATTGGTCCTAGAACAATAGGATTCAGATTTAGTGCTTCTGCACATGCGCCACCCCCAAAACCCGGAAGTAACCCATTCCGGTACTTCCAGGTTTCGGTGGGTCCGCAACCTAAAAAAACACAACCTGAAGCGTCTGTAGCCCGAGGTATGACTGTGTAAGCTAAACAAGCTATAGCTTAGGGCCCCACTCTCTTGAGAGGCCCCAAAAAAATTAAAGGGAAAAACAAACTGGATGTACATTTCCAAAATATAAGATAAAAAACAAATAAAATAAAACCTACATGCAGCAACAGTGGTTTGTGTTGTGTAGGCTCCTAGGATGTAAGCAATGGGCCCTGCCTGCTAGCCTGCTCCCGAAAATATCACTGGTTTGCTCCTTTCTATATACAGGGTGCCTACATTCTGCTATTTATAATGTAGTTTGATTCCTATATTTACACCTATTATTATTTCATGTTATAGCAAGTTTCTAGAGTCTAGATTATGGGTCTTTGTAAAATGTGTTTCTAAAGGAACTATTGTTATTGCCAAATGCCAATGTGTTTGCATCATTAAGTTTGTTATAAATAAAAAAGTCATTTTAAGGTAGAGCGTAATAATTATTTCACTATTAATATACTTCTTCTTAATTGTATTTCACTATTAATATACTTCTTCTTAATTGTATTTCAGTTCAACAATTACTTTGATAAAATATGTATTTTGTTATGTGCAAATGGCTTTAGATACCTATTAGGTCCACAAATTACCATATAGCATATATTCAACACAAAAAACAGCGACCATTTGTTGTTGACAAAGGACGGCTGGACATATAAAGGGCCCTGTTACCTTCAGCAGCTTAGGGCCTCATCAAACCTAAATCCGGCCCTGATCCGGAGGGCTATTTAGAGAAGGCGGAAGAACTATGGTTGGCCCCTGCCTTCTGCCATGACACTTACCTGCAAGGATATGGCGACCATGCTCCACTCATCATCCCATAGCTGGGCTATAGAGCACATGGTGACAACGATCGTTATCAAGGTGGTTATCAACCCAATCTGCAAGGCAAGGAAAGGACAGAGATTTCATTATATTTCTTTCCCTCTGGCACTGCGAGGAAGCGCTAATCAAAGCTCGGGCACTCTTTGTCTCCGAGAAAGGAGTCGAGCCAGCGTGGAAGGCCAGCCCGCCCTCAACTTCACAAACACCTGCTTTTGACAATTAAACCGTAGCTTTAAACTGAGGGGTTGGGCTGGATGACCCTCAGGTCCCTTCCAGCTCTGCAAATATTATGGTTTTCACTAAGCGAGCAGAGACAAAATCCTGTTAAGTTTGAAGCGGAAAGCGCTCCATTTCGCTGGGTTTTTCTTCTTTGAGGAGGAAATACAGGCTGATGGGATTGTCTCTCACCTTCTCTTTCCTTTTCTTAAAAAAGGGATTTAGATTAATCCCCGGAACTGACCGATGTAGAGGGTCTCAAAAGGAGCTTGAATGGCAAAGCACTAATAACACATTTCACTGTGACGGGCGTAACGTAATGAGATTCACTTCGCCGTAGATTGCAATCGCTGGAAGGGCGAAGCGCAGCAAACGTACTGGAGAATCTCTCTCCTGCTGCCTCCCCCCCAAAATCACTCATAAGACTAAAAGGCAGCAATAGCCGGGCTGTTCCTTTATCTCATCTACCGCCGCGACCCGGGTTCCTATTGTGAAGCCAACGCGGTTTCATTCGGAGAGGCATGAATCGGAAGCAAGAAAGAATGAGCCAGACGGGGCCAGGGCGTGTAGGGACAAAGGAAGACCAAAGGCAGCAGAAGACATTGTAGGATTCAAATTTCTCCTGTGAAACTAACAGGATCAGTGCAAAAAAGTGACTGTGTGTTTGCAGAGTTCTGCCCACCCAACTTTCTTCAACCTAAGAGTCGCAGAGCACTTTTAAGCCACGCCACACGCTCCAACACAGCAACCCTCACAGCTGTTGTAAGAAAAACTGCTCCCTTTCCCTTATGGGGTATTCCGGAGCCCGTATAGAGTCCTTAAGTGGGTTCCCTATTGGTAGGAGAAAACAACAGAGGCCAACCAGAGTACCGTATTTTTCGCTCCATAAGGCACACCTGACCATAAGACGCGTCTACTTTTTAGAGGAGAAAAGCAAGAAAAAAATATATTCTGAACGAAACATTGGATGTATGATTTTTGTAGTTCGTGCTGTGGCCACAGACATGATACATGATTTGACGGTGAGTTTGGGGTAGCCCAATGCAAAAATCCTGAGGATCCCTGTGGATCCCTGCTTTGTAACCATGTTTTTGCGTAATTGCGGCCCCATGAAACAGTGGATGTGTGATTTTTTGAGGTGCAGGCTGTAGCCATGGACATGCTATGTGATCTGATGGTGAATTTGGGGTGACCCAATGCAAAAATCCTGAGGATCCATGTGCTTTTACCTCCCTCCTCCCAGACAGCCTCCCTTATCTCCCTCCCGATCGCTTGCAGATCAGCTGCTTCCATTCAACACCCCCTTCCCTCTTGTTTGCCTTAGTGTCTTTTCCTTAGCTGGAGCAGTTTTTTTGCTCCTCCTTTTCTTCTAACTTCTCTCCTCATTACTTGTTTTAGTATTCCTGTCTCCTCTCCTTGCAAGTTCGCTGTCTTTACCTCCCCCCTCCCAGGCAGCTTCCTTTATCGCTAGAGTCCCTTATCCCCCTCTCCATTGCTTGCCAATCAGCTGTGGGCCGCTTGTGGCCCATGGGCCTTAGGTTGCCGACCCCTGATGTACATCAAAAGGGCTCCCTTTACTAGTGGTTGACCCTTATAATACTACCTGCATGACGGGCAGGAGTCAGATATAGTCGGTTCAGTTCCAATGCCTAAGCCAGTACTGCTCACATCTGTAGCCAATAAAGTTGTGGCCTTATTTATCCCATCAGCCCAAAATATTGGTGTCCGTATGTTTCATTATCTAGAGATGGGGTGGGCTTGGGGTCTTGCCATGCAACTGAAGATCTGCCTTTCTTTCCTTCTACTGGTTCCTGCTTCCACTCATTTTTCTCCGACCGATTAACGGACTTAGGGGACACCGGAGAATTGGGCTGCAAAAGCCAACCCAATTTTCCCCCCCACAGTACTCTATATCGAAAGGTGCCTTACCTTGTGGATCCAGTGTAGGTTCATTTGCTGTCCTACTGCTATGTGACATAGTGCTAAAATCTAAAAGGGAAGCAAGTTGGAAAGGAGAGAGAGAGAGAGAGAGAGAGAGAGAGAGAGAGAGAACTGATTAGGAATCCAGGAAACTTCCTTCCACCAAGGGAAGGCAATTGGTCAGTCTTGCCCAGAGGTTCTCAAACTTTTACAAAAGTTGTTTACAAAAAAGTTTATCTTGATTTCTTATTGAATATTTACAGATAAATTGTAAACAAAAAACACTGGCACGATTATTGTAACAACCTGCTGTTTCACAAGAGCATATATTTAAAGAAGATGAATAAATGAGCAAATTAAGTTAATTGGCATATGCAGAAGATATTAAAAAATAAATTGAAGCAACCGCAGAAAGAGGGGGAAGGAAATCAAGCTTTATAAATGTCAAAATGACTGTAAAATCGGTGAAATGTACAAATTTGAAAAGTATTTTTTAAAAAAATTTAAAAAGTAAACTTACCAATAATGCTGTGATGTACGTGAAACCAGCTGCCGTTGAAACAAGGATTGGAACGGACCAATCGCTCCAATATCCCATTCTATTATATAAAAACCTAAAGGATCAAAAGAGAAAACAAGAGAAGTAGAATCAGAGGCAGGCACAATGGGTATCACTGATGCTCTGTAAAGTATCACACTGTTGTGGCAGGAAGAGGGTGCCAAGCATAGCGGAAAGACTTGAAGGCAATCAATACAGGTGGCGACTATTTTGTGAGCGTCCAATTGATGCACAACCACCAACCTGCAGGTCCTTTTGGACATGATCTGGTTCCGTGGTTTATTTATTTAGTACATTTATAAGCCACCTTTACCTCCCAAGGGAAATGGGTTCTCCTGCTCCCCATTTCATTCCCACAACAACCCTGTGAGGTAGGTCCCGGGCTGGATTTAGGTTTGACGAGGCCCTAAGCTACTGAAGGTAACAGGACCTTTTGTATGTCCAGCTGTCCTGTGTCAACAACAAACGGTCACTGTTTTTTGTGCTGAATATATGCTACTGTATTTTTCGCTCCATAAGACGCACTTTCCCCCTCCTAAAAAGTAAGGGGAAATGTGTGTGCGTCTTATGGAGCGAATGCAGGGGGGAGGCAGGCAGGAAAAGCCCCCAAGAACCGCACACAATCTCTGCGCGGCTCTTGTGGGCTTTTCCTCAGGAAGGAGAAGGGACTGATGCGGCTAGTCAGTCCCTTCTCCCTCCTCGTAGAAAAGCCCGCAGGAGCTGCACGCTCCTTAAAGGGTGTGCAGCTCCTGTGGGCTTTTGCGGGAGGTGGGGGCATTGCCATAGCCGTGCGCAGCCTCTCCCGGCTGGAGAGGTTGCGCGCGGCTATGGCAAAAGCCAAGACAGCGAGCGGGATGCATCCCGCTCGCTGTCTTGGCTTCTTTGCTCTTTGGGGCTGGGGGGGGTAACCCGGGCTTCCCCGGCAGCACCGCGAAGCTCGCGGAGCAGCGGGAAGGCTGCGCGCCTTTCCGCTGCTCCCCGACCTGCTCTTTGAGGCTGGCGGTGGGCTTCCCCCTGCCAGCCCCAAAGAGCAGGTCGAAAGGAACGTGAAGCCTCCGGAGCGCAGCGGGAACTCCTGCTGCGCTCCGGAGGCTTCGGGTTGCCTTCACTGAAGCCTGGAGAGCGAGAGGGGTCGGCTTCCAAGGTAGCTGCCTGAAGGCGACTGAACGCATCTTGAACGGCACCTTGTTTAGAGGGGGAGAACAAGGGGGGAATCTCCCCCTCTCTGCGCAGTGCCTCCTGCCGCTTCGTTGAAGGGGCGCTGGGCAGAGAGGGGGATAATTTTTCCTCCTTGTTCTCCCCCTCTAAAACAAGGTGCGTCCTATAGAGCGAAAAATACAGTATATGGCAGGGATAGGCAAACTAAGGCCCCTGGGCTGGATGTGGCCCATTTGCCTTTTACCTCTGGCCCGCGGACAGTCCGGGAATCAGTGTGTTTTTACATGAGTAGAATGCGTCCTTTTATAAATGCATCTCTGGATTATTTGTGGGGCATAGGAATTCGTTCATCCCTCCCAAAAAAATATAGTCCGGCCCCCACAAGGTCTGAGGGACGGTGGACCGCCCTAAGGCTGAAAAAGTTTGCTGACCACTGCAATATGTAATTTATGGACCTAATAGGTATCTAAAGCCATTTGCACATGCAGATTGTGGGCACCCTATATATAGAAATGAGTGAACCAGTGATATTTTAGGGAGCAGGCTAGCAGGCGGGGCCCATGACTTACATCACAGGAGCCTACACAAAACAAAACACTGTTGCTGTATGTAGGTTTTATTTCATTTGTTTTTTTATCTTATGTTTCAGAAATGTATATCTAGGTTTTTTTCCCCTTTATTTTTTTTGGGGGGGGGGCCCAAGAGATTGGGGCCCTAAGCTATAGCTTGTTTAGCTTATATAGTGGTACCTCGGGTTAAGTACTTAATTTGTTCTGGAGGTCTGTTCTTAACCTGAAGCACCACTTTAACTAATGGGGCCTCCTGCTGCCGCTGCACTGCTGGAGCACAATTTTTGTTCTCATCCTGAAGCAAAGTTCTTAACCCAAGGTAATATTTCTGGGTTAGCAGAGTCTGTAACCTGAAGCATATGTAACCCGAGGTACCACTGTATGTAAATCTGGCTCTGGGTAGATGAGGATGCTAAGAGATGCCCACTGGCCCAAGGTTTGCTTTGTGGCTGAGTGGGGATTCGAACCCTGCTCTCCCAAGTCCTAGTCAGACATTCTAAACCATTACGCCACACTGGCTCTCGTATCATAAAGTTGCTGTGTTCTGTGCTGTAAATGAAGCACTGCTGAGAGACCTTGCTGTTTTCCAACGTATTTCTTATCAATAAGAAATTCAGTGTGTGGCACAGGGCAATTTTTAATTCTGAAAGTGTGGCCCTGTTAAAAAAAGTTTGAGAACCACACTGATCTGGCAGCGACACCCCCGAGCTGTCCCCATAAATCTCTGCCACAAGCGCTGACTCCATCCCATCCCAGACAAAAATGTCAAAATTTGCATTTAAATAGAGACACACTTCCTAATAAAGCTCGCTAAACCCAAAGTTAATTAAAGAGAGAGAGGAGAAGACAGTGAGCCTCTGTGCAAGGATCAAAATGAACCCCTGAAGAGCAAGTTGGGTAAAGTTAATTCAGGAGGGGAAGAAATGGAGACAGTGAGAGATTGTACTTTCTTGGGTTCCATGATCACTGCTTCTTGGGAGAAAAGCAATGACAAACCTAGACAGCATCTTAAAAAGCAGAGACATCACCTTGCCGACAAAGGTCCGTAGAGTTAAAGCTCTGGTTTTCCCAGTAGTGATGTATGGAAGTGAGAGCTGGACCATCAAGAAGGCTGATCGCCGAAGAATGGATGCTTTTGAATTGTGGTGCTGGAGGAGACTCTTGAGAGTCCCATGGACTGCAAGAAGATCAAACCTCTCCATTCTGAAGGAAATCAGCCCTGAGTGCTCACTGGAAGGACAGATCCTGAAACTGAGGCTCCAAGACTCCAAAGTTGTTGTAATTAAAGGATTTCCATAGTTAACAATGGTACTTATGTTCCTGTTTTCACAGAATCCTAGCATTGGAAAGGACCCAAGGGTCATCTAGTCCAACCCCCTGCAATGCTGGAATCTTGGGCTGAAGCATCCAACCCCAAGGCATAGAGTACTTTCTACAGATCAGTTACAATCTTCTTTTAAAGCCATCTAGGTTGGTGGCCATCAGTGGACCCTGTGACAGGGAGTTCCATAGTTTAACGGTGCAGTGTGTGTGTGTGTGGAAACATATGAGTATATTACATATTTTTAGATAGATAGATAGATTGATAGATAGATACTTTATTACGGTCAGAGACCAGCTTATAAAACACACTTGGGGGGTACAATCCCAGAAGGGCAACAAACATTTCAAACAATGTACAACAATAAATTTAAAATTTATAAATGCGATAAGCGTATAGACACTTAAACTTTAAGATAAGCTACTGCAGAGAGATGACGCAGAGTCACCCATGGAACCAAGTTTGGGGATTTTCTTAACAAACTAGTTTGGGTTGGGGGATGGTCTGCACCTAAAGATCTGTACACAGAATCTGGCGGCCATCCAGGTCGTCTTATGATCTTTGCCTAAGCGGAAAAGGTCAAATTTTTGCTTTTCCGGGAGGCCAGCGAGCCTCACCAGCAGGGGATCAATGGTCTCACTACGCGCCTCTTCATAAAAGGGACATCTAAAGAACAAGTGCTCTGGGCTTCCTATCTCCCCCAATGAAAAAGCGCAAAGTCTCTGAGCTTCAGAGACTTTTTTAAAGGATCCTTCCAGGACCGGCTAGGGCAGAGCCGAGATTCTGGCGAGTGTAAAAGCCCTTCTTGCATTTTTGGATTCGAGAAAGAAGAGATATGCTGCTGGTGCGGCTATATCTCTCTCGATTTCTCCAATTTTTACATATTTTTATCGATTGATTTGAATAATACAATCAGAGACTCCAAGAGTTGGAAGGGACCCAGGGGTCATCTAGTCCAACCCCCTGCAATAAAAGGAATCTCAACTCAAGCTTCCATGACGGAAGTGCCATCTGCTTAAAAATGCCATTATTACATGTTTTCATTATTTGTATGTATCTCCCTTCTTTCCTTCTAAAGAAGCCCAGGTCGAAAAGCACCTCGGTGAGAAAACGGAGCAATGAAAAATAAGAATAAAAACATGTTTTGAACATTTGAAAATGATTAAAACCATCTTACAACGCATGTCTTGCACGTACTGCACGGTGGTCCGTTCTGCACTCGCCACACCCATTAATGGAACGCAACCCTTCCCTCTTTGCATCCCAGGGCTGGCCAAGACACAGTGAGGGTCTCGGCTGGGGAAGAAAAAGGGTCTCCCACAGTAAACCAAATTCATATTGGCAAAAGCCCCAGAAGGGAGAGGTTCCCTGAAGTGGGATTACAGCAGTCAGTTCTGGATCCTGGCAAGAGCTCAGGAAAGGAAATTCCACAATCGAGAGCCAGCCACTAAGAATACTTCCTTAAAGAATTTGGCAGAAGCAGGCATGCAAGCTATTAAAAAAAAACACAGGATGTCAGATCCTATGCAAGATGCCCAGGGCCGGATTTAGGTTTGATGAGGCCCTAAGCTACTGAAGGTCATGGGGCGCTTTATATGTCCAGCCGTCCTTTGTCAACAACAAATGGTGGCTGTTTTTTGTGTTGAATATATGCCATATGGTAATTTATGGACCTCATCGATATCTCAAGCCATTTGCACATAACAAAATACGTATTTTATCAAAGTAATTGTTGAACTGAAATACAAAAAAGAAGTATATCAATAGTGAAATACAATTAAGAAGAATTACCGTATTTTTCGCTCCAGAAGACACACTTTTTCCCTCCTAAAAAGTAAGGGGACATGTGTGTGCGTCTTATGGAGCGAATGCAAGGGGGAGGCAGGTGGGAAAAGCCCCATAGCTACTGAAGGTAATGGGGCCCGTTATAAGTCCAGCTGAGGACGCGGGTGGCGCTGTGGGTTAAACCACAGAGCCTAGGGCTTGCCGATCAGAAGGTCGGCGGTTCGAATCCCCGCAGCGGGGTGAGCTCCCGTTGCTCGGTCCCTGCTCCTGCCAACCTAGCAGTTCAAAAGCATGGCAAAGTGCAAGTAGATAAATAGGTACCGCTCCGGCGGGAAGGTAAACGGCGTTTCCATGCACTGCTCTGGTTCGCCAGAAGCGGCTTAGTCCTGCTGGCCACATGACCCGGAAGCTGTACGCTGGCTCCCTCGGCCAATAAAGCGAGATGAGCGCCACAACCCCAGAGTAACGACTGGACCTAATGGTCAGGGGTCCCTTTACCTTTACCTTTTATATGTCCAGCTGTCCTTTGTCAACAACAAATTGGCGTTGCTTTTTGTGTTGAATATATGCTATATGGTAATTTATGGACCTCATAGGTATCTCAAGTCATTTGCACACAACAAAAAATAAAATTATGAAAAATGTACTCTGTTTTCCAGATTTGTTGAGGCTGCAGCTCACTCGAAATGCCCATGGGAACCGTTTGGTGCAAATGCCAGATAAGCAGACCAAATACATGCTTTCCTCTTGCGAGGCATATCCCTCATACACCAACGTATCCCCTGGGAGAACTGGCAACAGCCTGACGTGCTCCTGACCAAAGTCCATGTGATCCATCTCACATCAATGGCTCCTGACAGAATATCATTCGCATCATTATACTATTGGGAGTGCTGGCCTCCAAACCGCTGTGTTTACAGCTGGCTCAAACAGAAGCCAACAACCTGATGGAAACGAAGGCTGGTCCATCAGGGTGAACGCAGCACTGTTTCCCCAACTCCTGACCTAAATCTTCCCTCATCCTGCCCCAACTTGTCTTCTCACTTAGAACCAGCAAAATGATTCACAGATGGTATTTCACTCCAAGTAGGTTTGCTAAGGAAAGGAGTACGACAAGGCTATATACTGTCTCCCTGCTTATTTAACTTATATGCAGAATTCATCATGTGAAAGGCTGGAGTGGATGAATCCCAAGCCGGAATTAAGATTGCCAGAAGAAATATCAACAACCTCAGATATGCAGATGACACAACCTTGATGGCAGAAAGTGAGGAGGAATTAAAGAACCTTTTATTGAGGGAGAAAGAGGAGAGCGCAAAATATGGTCTGAAGCTCAACATCAAAAAAACGAAGATCATGGCCACTGGTCCCATCACCTCCTGGCAAATAGAAGGGGAAGAAATGGAGGCAGTGAGAGATTTTACTTTCTTGGGCTCCATGATCCCTGCAGATGGTGACAGCAGTCGCGAAATTAAAAGATGCCCGCTTCTTGGGAGAAAAGCAATGACAAGCCTAGACAGCATCTTAAAAAGCAGAGACATCACCTTGTCAACAAAGGTCTGTATAGTTAAAGCCATGGTTTTCCCAGTAGTGATGTATGGAAGTGAGAGCTGGACCATAAAGAAGGCTGATCGCCGAAGAATGGATGCTTTTGAATTCTGGTGCTGGAGGAGACTCTTGAGAGTCCCATGGACTGCAAGAAGATCAAACCTCTCCATTCTGAAGGAAATCAGCCCTGAGTGCTCACTGGAAGGACAGATCCTGAAGCTGAAGCTCCAATACTGTGGCCACTTCATGAGAAGAGAAGACTCCCTGGTAAAGATCCTGATGTTGGGAAAGATGGAGGGCACAAGGAGAAGGGGACAACAGAGGACGAGTTGGTTGGACAGTGTTGTCGAAGCTACCAGCATGAGTTTGACCAAACTGTGGGAGGCAGTGGAAGACAGGAGTGCCTGGCGTGCTCCGGTCCAGGGGGTCACGAAGAGTCGGACACGACTAAACGACTAAACAACAACAACAAAGGCTTGCTAAGATGTACAGTCATACCTCAGGTTGCGTCCGCTTCAGGTTGTGTGTTTTCTTCCTGCGTCCCGCAGCAACCTGGAAGTACTCGGAATGGGTTACTTCCGGGTTTTGCCGCATGCGCAGAGGCGCCAAATCGCACAGTGCGCCTGTGCAGACACAGCGCTTCGAGTTGCAGGCTTTTCACGTTACAGACGGGCCTACAGAACAGATCACGTCTGTAACATGAGGTACCACCGTATAAGACTGAATCAGATAGGTGCTGGAGATGCAAAGAGATGGAAGGAACATTCTTTCATATGTGACGGACTTGTAAAAGGGTAAAAGAGTATTGGGAAATGACCCATAATGAATTGAAAAAGGTGTTTTAAAGAATTCCTGCCCCCCTCAAAAAAACCCCCACCAAAGTCCTTTCTGTTGGTGATAATTCAGAATTCAGATAATTCAGAATTCCCAGGTGTCAAAAAAGGTTCTTTATGTATGCTACTACTGCGGCCCGTGTTTTGTTAGCCCCCAAATGGAAAACTAACGAGGTCCCAACTAAAGAAGAATGGCAACTTAAGTTGACAGCATATGCGCAACTCGCAGGCTTAACATATAGAATAAGAGAACAAGAAGAACATATTGTACCAGGTAGCCTGACATCCGGCTGGTTGATAGGGTATCAAATACTTATTTCACTCATTATAATGCACATCAATCTTTGACCCCTTCCTCTTGGTCATGTGGGAACCAATGACACTGCAAGCAATAGCCTCCAGAAGATCAAAAGAGACTACGAGGCTCTGGCCAGGAAAATGAAGCAATTAAATGCACAAATTGTCATCTCATCTGTCCTCCCAGTTGAACGACGTGGCCCAGGGAGAGAGGGAAAAATAGTGGAAGTGAACAGCTGGCTTCGCAAATGGTGTAAACAGGAACAGTTTGGATTCTTAGATCACGGACTGCAGTTTCTTGAAGATGGACTTCTGGCAAGCGATGGGCTGCACCTCACAACGGTTGGGAGGAATGTTTTTGCCAAAAATCTCAGAAACCTCATCAGGAGCGCTTTAAACTGACTAATGTGGGGGAGGGAGACAGTGCTCCTGAAGGTAGGAGTCTATCAACTGATGAAGATGATCATCCAAATGTCAGACCAAATGGAGCAAACAGCACGCAGACCTAGTGGTGGGAGGAAAAAATCCTTAAATAAGAGACACGGGGGAATGATTAATGGACTTCAATGTCTGTACACTAATGCGCAAAGCATGGGAAATAAACAAGATGAGCTTGAGCTCTTGGTACAGCAAACTAAATATGACATAATAGGCATCACTGAAACCTGGTGGGATAAGTCCCACGATTGGAATGTAATAATGGGGGATACAATCTATTTCAGAGAAACAGACCAGACAAGAAAGGAGGAGGAGTGGCGTTATATGTCAGGGATGTGTATACCTGTGAAGAGATCCAAGATTTAGAACCTCAAAGCCAAAGTAAGAGCATTTGGGTCAAAATTAAGGGAGAGAAGAATAACAGTGACCTCATTGTGGGAGTTTACTATAGATCCCCAAGCCAAACGGAGGACATAGATGATGCCTTCCTGGAACAGATGGCCAAGCATGCAAAAGGAAGGGAGATAGTAGTAATGGGGGACTTCAATTACCCGGATATTTGTTGGATGTCAAACTCAGCCAAGAGCATACGGTCAAACAGATTCCTCACTGGCCTTGCAGACAACTTCATTGTCCAGAAAGTGGGAGAAGCAACAAGAGGAACAGCCATTTTAGATCTGGTCCTAACCAATGTTGATGACCTGGTTAGTGGGGTAGAAGTGGAAGGATCATTAGGCGCGAGTGATCATGCTCTTCTGAAGTTTACTATACAGCAGAAAGGAGCAGCCAAGCATACTAGGACTCAATTTCTTGACTTTAAGAAAGCTGACTTCATAAAACTTAGGGAAGTGCTGGGTGAGATCCCATGGACAGTAATACTAAAAGGAAAGGGAGTTCATGATGGCTGGGAGTTTGTTAAGAGGGAGATAGTAAAAGCACAACGTCAGGCAATACCAATGAGATGGAAACATGGAAGGTGCCTAAAGAAGCCAGGGTGGCTATCTAAAGAACTTTTAACTGAGTTAAGATTAAAAAGGATGTGTACAAAAATGGAAAAGGGGGAAACCACCAAAGAGGAATTCAAACAAATAGCCAGCACGTGTAGACACAAAGTCAGAAAAGCTAAAGCACAGAATGAACTCAGGCTTGCTAGAGAGGTTAAAAGCAACAAAAAGGCTTTTATGGGTATGTTCGTAGCAAAAGGAAGAACAAAGAAACAGTGGGGTCACTCAGAGGAGAAGATGGTGAAATGCAAACAGGGCACACAGAAAGGGCTGAACTCCTCAATGCCTTCTTTGCCTCAGTCTTCTCCGATAAAGAAAACAATGCCCGACCTGAAGAATTTGGAGCAAATGATTCAGCAAAGGAAACACAGCCCAGAATAACTAAGGAGATAGTACAAGAATACTTGGCTAGTTTAGATGTATTCAAGTCTCCAGGGCCAGATGAACTGCATCCAAGAGTATTAAAAGAACTGGCAGATGTGATCTCAGAACCACTGGCAGTCATCTTTGAGAATTCCTGGAGAACAGGCGAAGTCCCGGCAGACTGGAGGAGGGCAAATGTTGTCCCTATTTTCAAAAAGGGGAAAAGAGAGGACCCAAATAATTACCGCCCAGTCAGTCTGACATCAATACCAGGGAAGATTCTGGAGCAGATCATTAAGCAAACAGTCTGTGAGCACCTAGAAAGGAATGCTGTGATCACCAATAGTCAGCATGGATTTCTGAAAAATAAGTCATGTCAGACTAACCTGATCTCGTTTTTGACAGAATTACAAGCCTGGTAGATGAAGGGAACGCAGTGGATGTAGCCTACCTTGATTTCAGCAAGGCATTTGACAAGGTGCCCCATGATATTCTTGTAAAGAAGCTGGTAAAATGCGGTCTTGACTATGCTACCACTCAGTGGATTTGTAACTGGCTGACTGACCGAACCCAAAGGGTGCTCATCAATGGTTCCTCTTCATCCTGGAGAAGAGTGACTAGTGGGGTGCCACAGGGTTCTGTCTTGGGCCCGGTCTTATTCAACATCTTTATCAACGACTTGGATGATGGACTCAAGGGCATCCTGATCAAATTTGCAGATGACACCAAACTGGGAGGGGTGGCTAACACCCCAGAGGACAGGATCACACTTCAAAACGACCTTGACAGATTAGAGAACTAGGCCAAAACAAACAAGATGAATTTTAACAGGGAGAAATGTAAAGTATTGCACTTGGGCAAAAAAAGGGAGAGGCACAAATACAAGATGGGTGACACCTGGCTTGAGAGCAGTACATGTGAAAAGGATCTAGGAGTCTTGGTTGACCACAAACTTGACCTGAGCCAACAGTGTGATGCGGCAGCTAAAAAGGCCAATGCAATTCTGGGCTGCATCAATAGGAGTATAGCATCTAGATCAAGGGAAGTAATAGTGCCACTGTATTCTGCTCTGGTCAGACCTCACCTGGAGTACTGTGTCCAGTTCTGGGCACCACAGTTCAAGAAGGACACTGACAAACTGGAACGTGTCCAGAGGAGGGCAACCAAAATGGTCAAAGGCCTGGAAACGATGCCTTATGAGGAACGGCTAAGGGAGCTGGGCATGTTTAGCCTGGAGAAGAGGAGGTTAAGGGGTGATATGATAGCCATGTTCAAAGATATAAAAGGATGTCACATAGAGGAGGGAGAAAGGTTGTTTTCTGCTGCTCCAGAGAAGTGGACATGGAGCAATGGATCCAAACTACAAGAAAGAAGATTCCACCTAAACATTAGGAAGAACTTCCTGACAGTAAGAGCTGTTCGACAGTGGAATTTGCTGCCAAGGAGTGTGGTGGAGTCTCCTTCTTTGGAGGTCTTTAAGCAGAGGCTTCACAACCATATGTCAGGAGTGCTCTGATGGTGTTTCCTGCTTGGCAGGGGGTTGGACTCGATGGCCCTTGTGGTCTCTTCCAACTCTATGATTCTATGACTTTTGTCTTCTGGATTTCTGGGAGTTTTTCTGTTGTTATTCTGTCTCCTACAGCTACAATAAACCTATAATTAAAATTATGGACTGGACATTTCTTCATCAGAGGGCAAATGGGCAAATTTAGCAGGGGATCAAATACTTTTCCCCCTCACTGTACGTTTAGAAAAGACTGGGAAACGTTTATTGAATATATGGGAAATAAGTGTATACAGCTGGAAACGCTGGCAGTGTTAAGATAAATTCAACAGTGTAAAAAAAGTTTTGATGGATGAGATAATGGAATACTGAATAGTATAGTTTTGGGAAAATATGCAGGGATTTATGATATGTAAAATGAACCACGGAAAGAGAAGAAGGGAAGTTCACTGATCTCTTAAGGATGTAAAATGAGGATTTTAAATTGTACAACAGAAAATTTAATAAATATATTATACAACCAGCAGGTCACCAGGTGAGGTTTTTTGGTGGTGGTGGTTCAGTTGACGCTGATCCCGTAACAGGGCCTTTTTGGTGGTGGTTCCCCAGTTAGGGAATGCCCTCCCCTAGGGAGGTGAACTGGTCTCCTGTAGGTCGGTAGGTAGAACATGAGGCTCTTAACCTCAGGGCCATAGGCTTGCGTCCCACTTTGGGTGAAAGATTCCTGCATTATAGGGGGCTGGACTAAATGACCTTCGTAGTTCCTTTCGACTCCACAGTTCTATGATTCTATGGTTATTAACCTCCAGGAGAAACTGGGGGAAGTTTCTGTGGACCCAGACATTCAGTGGCTGAGGAATCCTGTTCCAGGAAACCCTAAGATCATTGGAGGGAGGAACGCTTTTTAACCTTTAGCGTGTTTTAACTGTAACTTGTGTTAGATGTTTTTAATTGAAATTGGGTTTTTTTAAAAAAAAAATTTAAATAATGTTTCCTTTGTACATGCTTTAAATGGCACATCTGTTTGGGGAGGAAGGGTGGGATATAAATTCCACGAATGAATGAAAATGTAATGCAACCAGTTTGGGAAAATGGGGGCTGGACTAGATGGCCGCTGGGGTCCCTTCCAACGCTACAATTCTTTGGTTCTGTGAAAGAGAAATCTCTCTGCCATCAGTTATCACCTGGAGACGAACCTGGGGCCTTCTGCACACAGGGCACATTGTCCCCCTACTGAGCCCGGGTCCCGCTCCCAACCTCCCCCCTTAAAGGTAAGAGCTAAAGCACGCTCCCTTTCCCTACTCACCAGTTGATCTCATTGTAGTCATTGTGCGCTTCCCACCAGAAGTAAAACCAGATCAGGGTCAGGAAGAAAGAGAAGGTGAGGATTAAGAACCAGAGGCGTTCCCACTGCAGAGGCAAAAAGAAAAGAAGAAATGTTAGAGGCTGGCTGGGCTAGTAAAGGGTGTTTAGGTGCCATCCCCACAAAAAGGACAAAAGAGAGCAGGTATTTGCATAAAATCTGCATGGGCTGATTTATACTGATATCAGTCAGTCAGTTTTATTGCACATAGCCAAAGGCTGCCGCAATGTACACAGAATCATTCAACGATTAAAAGAAAATATACTGGATTGATACAAAAAACTTGAAACATTTAGGTATATTATCAAGACATTACCTACTCTAAACAGAGCTATAAAAGCACCTTAATATACAAGTTAAAACATTAAACAATAAAATTTATAAGCTGAAAATATCACATGGCCACTAATATAAAAAATACCAATACAGAAACTATTCAGAAATTACTACAGGAATCTACCTCGACACGAAAGACAGCCGAAGAGGCAAAGGAAATAGCAACAGCTACAGCCACTGTGGTAGAAGAGAAGATACCACCGTTATACAAACAACTTGAAGACGCCCAGGAACCTCACCAAAATGCTGGAGAGGGTGTACCTCCACAGGCACATACCTCCACATGTGGTGGGAGTGCCCCAAAATCCAACTAATCTGGACAACAACCATACAAGAAATAAATAAAATAACCAAGCAAGTATTAGAAATCACCCCAGAATTGACCTTACTAAATATCTTCCAAGATAATAATGCCCACTTACACCACAAAGAACTCATAACCCACCTACTTTCAGCAGCCAGAAGCATCATAGCCAGACACTGGAGAGACCTGTCAGGAGTGAGCATGGACCAATGGTACCAAATAGTATGGGAAACAGCCCTACTAGAAAAATTAACCAATAAACTGAAACTGACAAGGGGACAAATAGAAGAAGAAACGGGGATTCGAACTGCCGACCTTCTGATCGGCAAGTCCTAGGCTCTGTGGTTTAACCCGCAGCGCCACCCGTGTCCCAGTAGGACCCTGAGAAGGACGTGTGTGTCCCCACCAGAGGTACTACCCAGCCCCTAACGCAACATACACCCTCTCTCGATACAGTATATAAAATCAGAGATAACCTTGAGCTTCATTCAAAACAAGGGTGACAGCAATTTCGATAAATAAACCAAGTAAGGTTTTGTTTTGTTTTTTAAAGGAGATCATTAGCATTTTTTTGCATTTAATAAGCCAGCATCTCATTTGGCTTTCCTGACCTCTGGGGGCTACTATGTCATCCGTCTTCTGCTTCAGCGGCTGTGATGGAAAGGGGTTGGGTTGCTCTGCCAATCTGTGGCTTCCCCCACAATATTTTATGTATCTCCCATGTCATTCAACGTCCCAGTGAGACGTGGCTTCATAAAAGGCGGACAAGATTAACGAGAGAAATGATATATGTGTGTCAGAGGCATAGCTATGGCAGAGGCCCCCGGCTAAAATTTATTCTGCGCAACTTTAAATTAGAGAGCCGTATCTCTGAAGCCAATGTAACAGCAACAGTTTTACGGCCAGAATAAATGTTCCAACTCAATACAGTTCCGGTTACCACAGCTCAAAAAAAATGATACAGTGTTAGTCCAGCTTTTACTTCATTAAAATGTCTTACCGAACTGTCCAAAGGGCTTAGCAGAATAGATTAACAGTGAATTTACAAACCCGGTGCATCCGAAAGCCGGCAGCAAACGGAAAACATTTGACCTCAACGCAGAGCCCAAAACTATAAATTAGGAGAGGTCCTTTGTTGCTTGAATAGCAGCCCTGAAAGTTAGTATTCACTTGCGTGGCGATTCCCGCCCCCTCCCACAGTTGGAATAAATAAAGACACCGGACACAAGAATTTAGGTTAATGGGCGAAAAATGGCCACTACTTTATTGATTACAGGTAAGAGCGGTATTGGCTTTAGGCATTGGGGCTATCAGACTAACTGGTATAAGACCAGGAAGGCTTAAGCACCAACAGGGGGAGCCCCTGAGATGCACATCCCTAGGCGCTCCCTGAGGGGTTACCTCCGTAGGTTTCGGACAAGGCGACGCCCCCCGGAGTCCTTTATCGGACTACCCTTCAACTTTGGGGGAGGTGATGGCGTTCCTCCCCCCCGACTCATTTGCATAATAATACCCCTGCCAATGCCTAACCGCCAAACCAAGGTGTTGTGACGTTTTGCTACGAGATAGGCGAAAAAACCAAGTGGCTTCCAAAATACAGCCAATTAGCCAAATGGAAAAACTCCTACCAGGCCCCTTGCGGCGACCAGCCGAAGCCCATAGCAAAGTCCAAATGAAAACCTAAAGGGCGGGTGGGTGGGAAACCTCAGCTGGCTGAAGGAAAAGAAAGGGGCAAGCACGGGCTGCCCCGACCTTAAATGACCTGACCTAACCCCGCCCCTGTCGCCAGCCGATTGGCTGATGTCGTAAGAGATCATCCCCGGGATTCCCAAGTCCCGCGGGGCTGAGCTAGCCCCGCGAGGTTGTAGATGGGGCGTGAGCCCGCAACCCCCCCCTCCTTATGTCGGGAGTGGCTTTATCTTCACAACGGCCCTGTGAGGAAGACTAAGCAGGAGGTTCCAATTTTTCCAAGCAGAAATTTCAGCCCGAAGTCGCATATCCAACATCCTTTTCGTCATGGCACACTGGAATTCTGAAATTGCTTTCCACACACATATTACTGTAAAGGTCAGGCGCAGATTTCATAAGCACAATCTCTGCTACGGAATACGCAGATATTGATACAACTGCCGTTTAATGCTATTCTTCTATTGATTGCCTAATCTCATTGACATTTCAATAAAATCAATCAGCCTGCCAGATTCTGACTTTTAAAAGGGGACAGGGACACACACACAAACCCAGTGAAGGAAGGGGCGTGTGGTGAGCCCTTAAGACTATTACGGAAAGTTACCTCAGGAGCTGGATTTGTTAAAGGGGTGGGTACCTGAAGGAAAGTACCGCCTCAGAAAGGAACCAAACTAAAAAGCCGAAAGCTCTGTGAAACGAATTAAATTAAACTAGCGTATCAATTCTGAAGTAACCTGAGCTTCTCCGCTTGTATTTTACTACAATGGACGCTTGGGTTGCGAAAGTGATCCGTGCGGGATGCACGTTCGCAACCCGCAGCGTTCGCAACCCACAGCAGCGCATCTGTGCACACGCGGGTTGCGATTTAGCGCTTCTGCACATGCGCAAAGTGCGATTTAGCGCTTCTGCACATGCATGACCGCCGAAACCCGGAAGTAACCCATTCCAGTACTTCCGGGTTTTGGTGGTCCATAACCCGAAAAAACGCAACCTGAAGCATCTGTAACCCAAGGTATGACTGTACCTTGTTTTAAAAATAAATCGTTACTGTTTATTTGAAGAATGCCAGCTTGAGACCCCAACTTATCGGTTATCCCCCACACAAAGATCCCCCATGAGATTCTCTGGGATAGTTAGCATTTGTTTTAAGGGCTGTTCAGTGAGATGGGGGCAACATAGGTAAGAGAGAGCAGGCAAGTTGGCACGAGCGGTAACTGAGGCGTCGGGCCCGTCGCAGGTACCAGGGGTTCAATTCCTGGTGGCTTCCTTTAACGCTGACTTAGGAGCTGACAGACATGGCTGAATGTTAATAATAATAATAATAATAATAATAATAATAAATAAATAAATAAAAATTATTATTTGTACCCCGCCCATCTGGCTGGGTTTCCCCAGCCACTCTAGGCAGCTTCCAACAAAGACCAAAAATACACTAAAATGTCACACATTAAAAACTTCCCTGAAGTTGCCTTCAGATGCCTTCTGAATGTCAGGTAGTTGTTTATTTCTTTGACATCTGAAGGGAGGGCATTCCACAGGGCAGGCGCCACTACCAAGAAGGCCCTCTGCCTGGTTCCCTGTAACTTTGCTTCTCGCAATGAGGGAACCACCAGAAGGCCCTCAGAGCTGGACCTCAGTGTCCGGGCTGAACGATGGGGGTGGAGATGCTCCTTCAGGTATACTGGACCGAGGCCGTTTAGGGCTTTCAAGTTCAGCACCAACACTTTGAATTGTGCTCGGAAACATCCTGGGAGCCAGTATAGGTCTTTCAAGACTGGTGTTATGTGGTCTCGGCAGCTGCTCCCAGTCACCAGTCTGGCTGCCGCATTCTGGATTAGTTGTAGTTACCAGGTCACCTTCAAAGGTAGCCCTACATAGAGCGCATTGCAGTAGTCCAAGCGGGAGATAACCAGAGCATTCACCACTCCTAAACATTCTGTAACACGTAAGAACATAAAGAAGAGCTTAGTGGATCAGGCCAATGGCTCATCGAGTCCAGCATCTTCTTCTCACAATGGCTGATTCAAAACCATGCCACCTCTGACTACGGAAGCAGCGCAGTGCCAACAACGGCAACATTACAAAGCCATCTAGGTTGGTGGCGGCCATCGCTGCCTCATGTGACAGTGAGTTCCACAGTTTAACTCTCTGCTGCGTGAAGAAGTGCTTTCTTTTATTTGCCCTCGGCAACCTGGGGGCCGGGGGCAGCTGGCAGGAACAGGGGGCAACACAAGACAGTGTTAGCCAGCTGCTCAACTCCGTGTGTGTGTGTGTGTGTGTGTGTGTGTGTACAAGAAGGAATGAGAATCTCACTCCTGTGTGGGATAATGAAATGCTAAGTACATGACTAATGTGTGTTTAAGAGTCCTAAGTGGAAAGTGTGAGTTGCTGGAATACACACACCTGCCAGGGTGTTTCGAGAGAGTGCCAAAGAAGAACAGATACAAAGGTGGCATTATACTCAAAACCCATCGCTATCGCCACTTTGAAGGCAATGCCATTAACTCCCAAGCGGTGATTTCGTGAACTTTAAGCTCGCGTTTACAAAGGAACGGATTTTTACTACTTTCGGGCTTTATCACCTCTGCATCTTTCCTTTCGTTCCAGAGAAACTGACATGACAGCTTAATCTAGATCCCATTAGTCATCATATCCTGGCATGCCCTCCCACTCAGCCAACAAAGTCTGTTTGATGTCAAAGAATTCTTTTCGAGCACATTTAGAAAATCGACACTGGCAGAGCAATGCTTTGCGATGAGCTCCCACATTCCTCTCCTGGGGAGGGAAGAATTTGTCCGTTTCAGTTTCTCATTTCTCCCCCATCTTAAATTCCGTCTGCCACATTCCTGCACCAGTTTGCAAGCCCTATATATATATATATATATATATATAGTCCTCACAAAAGATTCGCTTCTCTTAATATGCACACACATTGTTGCATTTCTGCAAAGGTACCAATTATCATACACTGCCTTATCTAATACGCCCATTTCTGCAGAGCAATCTTCTGTAGCATAACGCCTTTTTGCATGCTCCTTTTACAAACATATGCATTCCTAGGGACACTCGCCCAAAATAACGTGCCTTTTCCCCCTGCACATTTACTAGGTTGGAAAACTGTGCCGCAAAATTTGGAGAAGTGAAAGTCTCAAAGGATGGCTGCACTTTGGGTCACAGAATCATAAAACTGGAAGGGACACCAATGATCATGTAGTCCAATCCCTGGAAATGTAGGAATATGCAACTGTCTCTTACGAGAATCAAACCCCCAACCTTGGCATTATCAGTACCACACTCTAACGGACTGAGCTATCTCTGTTGTTTCAGGAAATGAGACTTAAAGGTAAAGATAAAGGGACCCCTGACCATTAGGTCCAGTCGTGGCCGACTCTGGGGTTGCGGCACTCATCTCGCTTTATTGGCCAAGGGAGCCGGCGTACAGCTTCAGGGTCATGTGGCCAGCATGGCTAAGCCGCTTCTGGCGAACCAGAGCAGCGCACGGGAACGCCGTTTACCTTCCTGCCGGAGCGGTACCTATTTATCTCCTTGCACTTTGACGTGCTTTCGAACTGCTAGGTTGGTGGGAGCAGGGACCAAGCAACGGGAGCTCACCCCGTCATGGGGATTCAAACCGCCAACCTTCTGATTGGCAAGTCCTAGGCTCAGTGGTTTAAACCACAGCGCCACCCACGTCCCCTAAATGAGACTTAGATAGGTTCAAATTATGGCACAATATGAGCCAATTTTCTGCCCATTCGTATTCTTTGCTTTCCGGAACAAGTAAAGAACAAGGCAGGCAGGAATCTTCTTTGACATTCCCTCGTAGCCGAGTAAAAGTGACTTCCATGAACACGGTGTTAACAGTAAGTCTGTAAGTGACTGTGGAGGCCAATTCTGGATCCATACGTCCTTCCACAGTGGGGACATTGGTTTCTCAGCAGGAGTTGATCACGGTGAGGGTTTGCCAAGTGTGCCTTCCTCTTAGCACGTTTCTGCCTTGTGTCCTGAGTTCGAGCATCTTCAAACCCCATGACACCTTTGGTACAAAGGCTGTTCTCCAACTGGAGCGCTCGCAGGCCAGTGTTTCCCAGTTGTCAGTGTTTATAGTAATTTTATTTAGATTTGCCATGCGAGCGTCTTTAAGCCTCCTTTGTTGATCGCCAGCATTACGCTTTCCATTTTTAAGTTTGGAATAGAGTACAGTGGTGCCTTGGTTTAAGAACAGTCCGGTTTAAGAACGATTTGGTTTACAAACTCCGCAAAACCAGAAATAGTGTCTTGGTTTGACAACTTTACCTCGGTCTAAGAACGGAATCCAAACGGTGGAAGGGCAGAGGTGGTGGGAGGCCTCATTAGGGAAAGCACGCCTCAGTTTAAGAATGGTTTCGGTTTAAGAACAGACTTCTGGAATGGATTAAGTTCATAAACCAAGGTACCACTGTAGTTGCTTTGGAAGACGACAATCAGGCATGCAAACAACATGACCAGTCCAATGAAGAGGATGTTGAAGAATCATTGCTTCGACACTGGTGATCTTTGCTTCTTCCAGTACACTGGCATTAGTTTGCCTGTCTTCCCAAGTGATGTGTAAAAAATTTTGGAGACACCGAATCTTTTGAGGAGTTGGAGATGCCGTTTATAAGTGGTCCATTTTTCACAAGCATACAAGTAAGGTCGGCAGTACAATAGCTTCGTAAACAAGGAGGCTCTCACTAAAGCATCCTCAAGGCGGAACAGAAATAAAATGTGCTAACTTGGCGAAGCTAATACTGGCCGCAAATATTGCTTTGTTGATTGAGCAGGGATGCCTCTGACCCAAGGTCCACTGATTAAAACCAATGAGGGAAACAGAGAAGGGCGTTTTCAGTTGCGGTTTCACAGTTACAGAATTCTCTACTGAGTAAGGTCTGCCTGAGCTCAGCCCTTCCCTGCTTTTTCGGGTGGTGAAGTCACACAACGCAGGGGTGTTAGCAAAATCTTAACAAAATAAATGGATTTTGTTACCGAAGGGTTTTTTTTTTAATGGTTTTGTTTCGAATATATGCACATGGTTTTGAGAGGATAAACTACTTTCAATGCTCTATCCAGGATGGGAAGCCCAAATACGACAGACAAATAAAATTTTAGGCACTGGCAAGAACTGGAGGACGCTAACAGGAAAACAAACATTTTTTACTTCTTAAAGAGTATTTTAGCATCACAAGCCAAAGGCTCCAATGTTTGCAGAGCTCAACCACTCAGCCTAGTGTCTAGGACATTTTGAGGCAATTTGCTAAACGTTATGTTGTAATTAAGACCTCAGGCCTGGGGTTGCAATTAATTCCCAGGTAATTGACTTTCCATATATATTATAACAACAGCAATTCACAAGCGTATTACCATCTTTGTAAACATAATGCCAATCTTTTGAAACCTGGTTAGTTTTCTTCATTTCCCAACAACTGGGGGATATATATACTTTTAACCAAGATGTCTGAAACTCTGGAGTGCTGCTGCAGCCGATATGGATCCAGATAGACCAGGGGGTTGACTCTGCGTAAGTGTGATGGCCTGGGAATCTGATTCAGAGACTGAACCTGAGGAATCCCAGCCTGCACAGGATTCCCTGCCTCCAGAACCAGCTGAGCCGGGGCTGGGGCATGAGCCTGAAGGGTCCTCACCTGTGCTGGACCCTCAGGTGCAGGCACCAGCTGAGTCTGCTCTGGCTCCTGAGGTGATGGAGGACCCATTGACTGCAGGTGCTCCACTCTCAGCCCCGTCAGGGGAAGCTGAGGTTGCCTCTGGGTCCGGTCACCCTCCAGCCTCTCCTGAGCTGCAGAGGCTCAGGGCAGAGAGGCAGAGGGAACTAAGTTCCTGCAGGAGGAGTGCTCGCCTCCAGGCCAGGAGAGGCGAGACACCTGTGGACCAGGGCCGCCTCGGAGGAGATAAAGGCCAGCCCGCCCAGTCCCAGGTTGCGGGAGCAACATCGGTGGTAACCTGTTCCTGCCAGCACCCTGTCCTGTTCTCCTGAGTTCCTGACCTAGCCCGACTCCTCGCTTCGCCCCTCGCTTCGCCCCTGACGGACAGCCTCCTTACCCTCTACCTAGGACCGGACTTAGACCACGCCGCACAGTAAACCCCCCCCCCCCCGGACCAGCACAATAAAGCAGTCTCCTGCGCAAGCTGGGCCGTTTAAAAGATAAGCGTACAATAATCCTCAGTTTCTCCCTCACCACAAAAACATAAGCAGGCAAATCTCCCTTCCGGAACACCTGTCGGCATCAGATTAACGCTAAGGAATGTAAAAGGTCTTCTCATGGGATTTAACTAAATTGAACAAGATAATCCTGTAAAACAGTGCTGATATCTGAACACAGCAAACCAGGATATAATTTTGTTTCAGCCTAATGAGGCCACTGTCTCATTGAGTACTAGGCATGTCCTCGCTTTCAGAAAATGTTGCACTGAGAAAAGAAAATACGTCTTCACACAGCACATAGTTAGATTATGGAACTCTCTGCCACATGAGGAAGCGATGGCTGCCAACCTGGATGCTTTGAAAGAGGGACAGACAAATTCATTGACAGATTCGCTGATGGCTATGCTCTGCTCTTCTCAGTCTCCTCTTTTTCCCGGCTAAATGTGTATTATCTAGCTGAGATTCCTGCATTCAGGGGGTTGGACTAGATGACCCTCGGACCCCTTCCAAATCTACGATTCCATGAGAACCGTACACAGCATTCCAAATGCAAGTGCACCATATACAAACCTGCCTAATATTTGCCTGCAGAATTTACATTGCATAGGCATGGAATGCTTCTTGGGGGCATATTCAAGCATTGTCAGAAACGACAATGGCAATTGGCAACAGCACCACTCCAGATATCTAAACCTAGCAGCCTCAGGACACTCTGTGGCCCAGAATCTTGTTTGCTTCTGCTGTTCTGTCTTCCAAAGCAAATACAGTGGTACCTCGGGTTAAGAATTTAATTTGTTCTGGAGGTCCATTCTTAACCTGAAACTGTTCTTAACCTAAAGCACCACTTTAGCTAATGGGGCCTCCTGCTGCCACCGGAGCACGATTTCTATTCTCATCCTGAAGCAAAGTTCTTAACCCGAGGTAAGATTTCTGGGTTAGTGGAGTCTGTAACCTGAAGCATCTGTAACCTGAAGTGCCTGTAACCCGAGGTACGACTGTACTCTATTCTGAACTAAAAGAAATGGAAAGTGTAATGATTGTGGTCCACAAAAGAGGTTTAAAGACCCTTGCAGGGCAAATCTAAAAAAAATGAAGTATAAACACCGACAACTGGGAAACATTGGCCTGTGAACGTTCCAATTGGAGAACAGCCTTTACCAAAGGTGTCAGGGGTTTGAAGACACTCGAACTCAGGACGCAAGGGAGAAACGTGCTAAGAGGAAGGCATACTTGGCAAATCCACATCGTGATCAACTCCCGCCTGGAAACCTATGTCCCCTACTGTGGAAGGACGTGTGGATCCAGAATTGGCCTCCACAGTCACTTACGGACTCATTGTTAATACCGTATTTATGGAAGACAATCTTACTCGGCTATGAGGGATCACCAAAGAAGAAGAAGAAGCTGTTCTGGCACACACTGTTCCCAACGAAGGCATCATCCGCTTCACCCCTCTGACACTGTTCCTTGCTCCAAAAGGCTCTGAGATGCTTGAAGCCAGAGTTTTCCTGCAGCGAAGACTTGCTTCTTTAAAAGACACACAGGGAGAAAGGATTTGCTTGCTGAGATGGATTTCTGAAGGACAGGGAAAACGAGCGGGCAAGGGCAAAGGAGGACAGGCCAAACTTTGACGGAAGAGTTCGGGCTTATTAGAGAGACGGCTTGTTTGTTCTGTTTGACGCTTGGAGGCAGGCGCATCGCTGAAGCAGAACCAGGAAGGTAGTGGGGCGCATGTCAACCGAGGAGCAGGAGACACAGCGCAAGATGAATGCCCTCCTGCGCCACTAGAGGATGGAGACGGCGCCGAGGGAATTCAAATCACAGGTGCAGGAGGGAGGATCTGCAAGAATACCAAAAGGGAAGCTGGACTAGCCTGGCTTTCCCCTTGATTCCTGCTTTAAGGAGGTCTTATTTCAATGGGATGCGGGTGGCGCTGTGGGTTAAACCACTGAGCCTAGGACTTGCCAATCAGAAGGTTGGGGGTTCGAATCCCCGCGACGGGGTGAGCTCCCCTTGTTCGGTCCCTAACTCCTGCCAACCTAGCAGTTCAAAAGCACGTCAAAGTGCAAGTAGATAAATAGGTACCGCTCAAGTGAGAAGGTTAATGGCGTTTCCGTGCTCTGGTTCGCCAGAAGCGGCTTAGTCATGTTGGCCACACGACCCGGAAGCTGTACGCCGGCTCCCTCAGCCAATAAAGCGAGATGAGCGTCGCAACCCCAGAGTTGGCCATGACTGGACCTAATGGTCAGGGATCCCTTTACCTTTAAGGTGCAACTGGAAGGATTTTTTTTATTTTGTTCCGACTACGGCAGACCAACATGGCTTCCTACCTGTAACTAACACAGTAGTACCTCGGGTTACATATGCTTCAGGTTACATACGCTTCAGGTTACAGACTCCGCTAACCCGGAAATAGTGCTTCAGGTTAAGAACTTTGCTTCAGGATGAGAACAGAAATCGGGCTCTGGTGGCACGGCGGCGTGAGGCCCCATGAGCTAAAGTGGTGCTTCAGGTTAAGAACAGTTTCAGGTTAAGAACGGACCTCCGGAACGAATTAAGTACTTAACCTGAGGTACCACTGTAATAATAATAAACCTCTGCTCTCTCCCCATACCCTGCCATCCTCCCAGCTCTCTTTGACTTCTCCCAGAACGAGCAAAAATTAAGGTTTCGACTTTGGCAGGAAGGCTGCCGGATATGCTTAGAGCTTGCAAAACTGACACCAGCATTCAGGTCCTCCCATGATGGGGGTGGTGGGGGGAAACCACAGCCCTTCTGTGCACAAATGAGCACCCTAGCTCACCGCAGAGCAGATCTGAAGTGACGGCTGCCCCGCGCAGGACCCCAAGCGGGTGACTCTGTGTTATTTAAATGCCTGGCTGCCGGGAGAGCCAGAGGGCGGCTTTTTGCCTTTCGCCACCCAAAATAAGCAGCGCGTTCTATGTATAGCCAAACCCAGGGCTGCAATTAATATCAGTGGCCAGGCCTGACTATGGGGAAATGTCACAATGCAGAGGCACTCAAGTGCCACCCTGGGAGGGTAAGGGATCACAAAGAAATTAAAAGGGTTCCTGCTTTAATTTTACGGCCGAAATACCCAGTGGTTCCCAGTCGGGAAACGGAAGGTTCTGCTGCAAAGATGAGAGAAATTCATGGAGGAGACGGCTAGCAATGGCTGTTACGACAGCTATTCTCTGCCTCCACGGTCAGAGGCAGGAATGCTCCTAAATCTCAGTTCCTGGAAACCACAGCAGGGGAGAGGCCTCTTGTGTTCGAATCCTGCCTGCGAGTTTCCCACAGACACCTGGTTGCCCCCGGCAACAACAGGATGCTGGACTAGATTATCTGATCCAGCATGTTCTTCTTACTGTATTTTTCGCTCTATAGGACGCACTTTTCCCCCTCCAAAAATGAAGGGGAAATGTGTATGCGTCCTGTGGAGCGAATGCAGGCTTTCGCTGAAGCCTGGAGAGCAAGAGGGGTCAGTGTGCACCGACCCCTCTCACTCCCCGGGCTTCAGGCAGCTATCCGGAAGCCTTCAGAGCGCAGCAGGAGTGCCTGTTCTGGGGGCTGGGGTCGGGGGAAGCTCGGGCTTACCCCACCCCAGCCCCGCGGCTAGAAACGAAGCCATGACAGCGAGCGGGATCCATCCCGCTCGCTGTCTTGGCTTCAGCCAAAGCTGCGTGCAGCCTCTCCCGGCTGGAGGTTGCGCGTGGCTAAAGAGGAAGCCAAGACAGCCAGCGGGATGGATCCTGCTCGCTATCTTGGCTTCTTTGCTCTTTGGGGCTGGGGGGGGGAATAAAAAAAAAATCTTTATTTCCCCCGCTAAAAACTAGGTGTGCCCTATGGTCCGGTGCGCCCTATGGAGTGAAAAATACTGTATGTTTTTAAAAAGCCGGCAGGCTCAAGGACACAACGTCCTCATTCCGCACTTGTCAGGAATTAACCTTTGGAACTCCCTGCCTATTGACACCAGGCAGGCGCCTTCAGTTTTAGGTGCTGGCTAAAAGCTTTCTTGTTTAGCTAAGCCTCTTCAGACACATGTCTCAATCCGCTTTTTTAAAAGCTTACTGTTGCTTTCCATTATTTGGGGAAAGTTTTAAATTCTGGCTCTTAACCGGTAGCTTTATCGGTTTATTCTTTGCAATAAAACCACAGTGAGGTTTATAAAAACCAAATCGATAAAAGCAGTAAGCTGCAGGCCCCAATAAAGTTTCATAGAATCACAAAATCGTTAAGCTTAGAAACCCCCCATGAAAGCAAGTCCACAACCACATGAAGGAGGCTGTGTCCCTTTTTGAAGACTGAGAAAAAACACATCTTTGGGCTACAAATGGTTCAGTGTGCCTGCATCCTAAGAGTGGCAGAAGATTTCCATTTTCCCTGCTTTGCCAAAGCATGTTCATGCTCTCACGTGTTCCTTATCTCCTTTATTGCCTTTTACATGCATGCGCTGATGTTCTGGTGGCAAGAGAACACGTGAAAGCCCCTGTGGCACTATCCTGTTTTATTGCGCTAGAAGCCAAATTGAATCTTGCTCCCCTGAATGAGGTCTCCGCACATTAACACGGCCCATTTGCTACGCAACTGAGCAGGGCAGTAGGAAAGCAGAGGGCATCTCTCTCGAGCCATTATGGGAGTTTCTCTCTGCGATGATCGCTGTGAATAAGTTCCCTAAATTGCAAGATGGCTGGGAAAGCCCCACATCCTTTCCCTGTACGAAAGCTACTGGTATCCGACTGTGGAGCCCATCTGCGACCACCAAGTCGGGGGGGGGGGGGGCGGGCTGGAGAGAAAGGTAGAGCAAAAGCTGCCAGTTATACCTGAAGGAGCGTCTCCACCCCCATCATTCAGCTCAGACACTGAGATCCAGCACCGAGGGCCTTCTGGTGGATTCCTCATTGCGAGAAGTGAGGTTACAGGGAACCAGACAGAGGGCCTTCTCGGTAGTGGCGCCCGCCCTGTGAAACGCCCTCCCTTCAGATGTGAAGGAAATAAGCAGCTATCTTCTCTTTAAAAGACATCTGAAGGCAGCCCTGTTTAGAGAAGTTTTTAATATTTAATGCTGTCTTGTTTTTAACACTCGATTGGAAGCTGCCCAGAGTGGCTGGGGAAACTCAGCCAGATGGGTGGGGTATAAATAATAAATTATTATTATTATTATTATTATTATTATTATTATTATTATTGAGAGGAAAGAGGGAGTATGTGTGTGTGAGAGAGAGAGAGAGAGAGAGAGAGACAGAGACACAGAGAGAAAACTAGGTGCCATCTGCACTGCACACTTAAAGCAGGGACGCGGGTGGCGCTGTGGTCTAAATACTCAGCCTCTTGGGCTTGCCGATCGGAAGTTTGGCGGTTCGAATCCCCGTGACGGGGTGAGCTCCCGTTGCTCTGTCCCAGCTCCTGCCAACCTAGCAGTTCGAAAGCACACCAGTGCAAGTAGATAAATAAGTACCGCTCTGGCAGGAAGGTAAACGGCATTTCTTTGCGCTCAGGCTTCCGTCACGGTGTCCCGTTGCACCAGAAGCAGTTTAGTCCTGCAGGCCACATGAGCCAGAAAACTGTCTGTGGACAAACGCCGGCTCCCTTGGCCTGAAAGCGAGATGAGTGCCGCAACCCCATTGTTGCCTTTGACTGGACTTAACCATCCAGGGGTCCTTTTCCTGTTACCTTTTACATTTAAAGCAATATCATGCCACTTTAAACAGTCATGGCGCGCCCCCCCCTCAAAGAATCTTTGGGATATTATTATTACTACTACACTGGTACCTCAGGTTAAGAACGTAATTCGTTCCAGAGGTCCATTCTTAACCTGAAATGGTTCTTAACCTGAGGCGCGCTTTCGCTAATGGGGCCCCCTGCTGCCGCTGTGCCGCTGGCGCGCAATTTCCGTTTTTATCCTGGGGCAAAGTTCTTAACCTGGAGCAACCACTTCCTGGTTAGCGGAGTTCATAACCCGAAGCGTCTGTAACCCGAAGCGTCTGTAACCCGAGGTACCACTGTAGTATTAATATTATTATTATTATTCTCCACCCGCCTGGCTGCGTTGCCCCTGCCACTCTGGGCAGCTTCCAGCCCATTTAAAAACATAATAAAACCTCAAACGTTAAAAGCTCAGAGTGATGAGAGAGTACTTAGGAGACCCCTTACAGAGTTACAATTTCCAGTGGTTGAACAGTCCTAGAAATGTAGGACTGGGACCCCCAACGGTCATCTAGTCCAACCCCCATGAAGCACAGCCAGCCCCTCTTCCCAGGGAACTCTGGGAATTGTAGTTCTGCAGCACCTGTCTTGCCCGCAGCGGGTTCCAGTTCCGATCCCCCGCATCTCCACGTAGGGCAAGGAGAGGCTCCCGTCTGTAATCCTGGAGAGCCGCTGCCGACCAGTGTAGGCAGCACTAAACTAGGTGGACCAGTTGTGTGACCCAGGCTCCTATGTTCCACCCAGAGCCCGGACCCAGAGCAGGCGACCGCAGCTTGCAGCCTGCTCAGAGATCAGGAGGACAGCACCCCATGCCGTCCTTGGTTGTACCGTATTTTTCGCTCTATAGGACACACTTTTCCCCCTCCAAAAATTAAGGGGAAATGTGTGTGCGTCCTATAGAGCAAATGCAGGCTGCGTGGCTAAGCCCAAAGCCAGAACAGGGAGACGGAGCACTGCGGAGCTTGGGGTTAGCTGCGCAAAGCCTTTGCAGGGCAGGGGGGTGCCTTCACCCCACTGCCCTGCGGAGGCTACAAAGGCTGTCCCCGAAGCCTCAAGCCTTTGGAGAGCAGCGGGAACTCGTGCTGTGCTCCAAAGGCTTTGGGTCAGCGAACGGAACCCGAAGCCTTTGGAGCGCAGCGCAAGGTCCCGCTGCGCTCCAAAGGCTTCAGGGATCTTTGAGGCTGGCGGTGGGGGAAAGCAACACTTCCCCCCACCGCCAGCCCCACAAGCTTGGGGGGCAGCGGCAAGGCTGCGCGCAGCCTTTGCACTGTTCCCTGACCTGCTCTTTGGGGCTGGCAGTGGGGGAAAGCAGCGCTTCCCCCCGCCAGCCCCAAAGAGCAGGTCGAAAGGAACCTGAAGCCTCCAGAGCCCAGAGGGAACTCCCGCCGCGCTCCAGAGGCTTCGGGTTGCCTTCACTGAAGCCTGGAGAGCAAGAGAGGTCAGTGCGCACCGACGCCTCTCGCTCTCCAGGCTTCCAAGGTAGCCGGCTGAAGCCTCCCGAGCGCAGCGGGAACTCCCACTGTGCTCCGGAGGCTTTGGGTGAATGCACCTTGAACGCACCTTGTTTTAGAGGGGGAGAACAAGAAAAAAAAAAATTTCCCCTGTTCTCCCCCTCCTATGGTCCGGTGCATCCTATAGAGCGAAAAATACGGTACATTGCAGGCAGCTGAGAAGCGCGGAATAATTTTGCCTTGGAAGAGCCCTGCAGCCAACCTGTTCCTTCATCCCCGATCCGTTCTGAGCAGAAGAGGAGGGAGCCCAGCTTGCACAGACACACTCGCTTAACTCCAATTAGCACCAGCGGGAGATGGATCAGCCTAGCAAAGGGTCGATGCCTCGCTAGCCGCTCGCTGCTGCCAGCCGGGAGCCTAAATTTAGCCCCGGCGTGCTTCCTTTTATTACTGTTATTCCAAGGATTCCTGGAGGGGCAACAGAAATAATGACAGCCAGGTGCAAGCCGGAAGTCCATTAGTGCAACTGAGGTCACAAGCCGGGGGGGGGGGGGCAGGAGTGTTAACAGGTTCTCTTGACATTCCTAGCAGCCATAAACACAAGGCAAGGCTCAGGGTCGTGCTATAATTGCAATCCTGCAAGATGCACCGTCCAGTGCCAAGACCCTATAGGACTCTTAAATACAACCCGTGCATTTAGAAGCAGACCCAGAGCTCGTTCGGGGGTTTGGGGGGGCAGGTGGGCTCAGAAATGTGCCTTTTGCAGGGTCTTGTTCCTTACAAACACAAGCCGCTGCATTTCAATAGGCCGGTCTATTTGTTAATGCATCCCAGTATTACCGTATTTTTCGCTCTATAAGACGCACTTTTCCCCCTCCAAAAATGAAGGGGAAATGTGTGTGCGTTCTATGGAGCGAATGCAGGCTCCTTGGCTTCAGCCAAAGCAACACGAAGCCTCCGAGGCGCGGAGGGAGGGCTCCCTCCGTGCTCCGGAGGCTTCGCGTTGCTTTGGCTGAAGCCTGAAGAGCAAGAGGGGTCAGTGCACACCAACCCCTCTCGCTCTCCAGGCTTCAGGGATAGCTGCCTGAAGCTTTCGGAGCACAGCCCAAGTTCCCGCTGCGCTCCGAAGGCTTCAGGTTCCTTTTGCTGAAGCCGGAAGAGCAAGACTCTCCTGGCTTCAGCAGAGAGGGAGAGCTGCGTAGCGCCCCTTCAGCCAAGCGAGAGGAGAAATGGAAGGGGCTTCATTTCTCCTGCTGCTTCGCTGAAGGGGCACTGAGCAGAGAGGGGGAGAAATTTTTTTTCTTGTTCTCCCCTTCTAAAACAAGGTGCGTCTTATGGTCGGGTGCGTCCTATAAAGCGAAAAATATGGTAATTATGATAAGCAGAGGTGTATTGGTCCGGGGTCACAGTCCAGGGTCATGTTAACGGAGAAATCTGAGGGCTCCCTTGGACAAAAAACAAGGACACCAGCCAGGAATACAGTGGTGCCCCGCAAGACGAATGCCTCGCAAGACGAAAAAATCGCTAGACGAAAGGGTTTTGCGTTTTTTGAGTTGTTCCACAAGACAAATTTCCCTATGGGCTTGCTTCGCAAGACGAAACGTCTTGCGAGTTCTTGCGAGTTTGTTTCCTTTTTCTTAAAGCCGCTAAGCCGCTAAGCCGTTAATAGCCGCTAAGCCGCTAAGCCGTTAATAGCCGCTAAGCCCCTAAGCTGCTAATAGCCGTGCTTCGCAAGACGAAAAAACCACAAGACGGAGAGACTCACGGAACGGATTAATTTCGTCTTGCGAGGCACCACTGTACCAGAGCAAAACAGCAGCCAGTAGGCTTGGTCTTTATTGAAGACTGTCGTGACAAGACTCCCACCTGCCACAAGGTGGAACAAGATGGAAGCCCCGAACAAATGAGCACCCAAACTTTTATTAGCTGCTAATCCCCATGTTACACCCCCCAAAACTACATCACTAATACATAATGCTTACATCATGGAAGGGGAGGTCTGGTGGCAGTAATCAGAGCATCCTGGACCCTGCCCCATGGTTCTCCTCCACCAAACACCCATCAAGTGTAACAAAAGAGATATTTACATTTCCCTGTTTCCCAGCCAAGTTAATCACGCCCTTTTGTCTTCATCTGGGTTTGTTATTTCTGGAATGGCTACCTGTCTGGCACTCAGGTATCAGGATGCCAGGGATTATCCCTCAGGCAGAGGGGCTGCTGAGTAGCTGAGCTCACATGTCTATATGAATTTCTGAAGTTTTCCCAGTGAGCCAGTACAGAGATACATTTATCAGGGAATTCTTACATTTGGTATCGTGCAGCAAAGGCCCTTTGAATAGATAGGAAGAAACTGTGATGAAGTGTTTTGTGGGGACAAATCACAAAAGTCGCAAAAGCGATTGTGCTGATTTTGGTAGTGGGCTGCATGTGCATGATATCTGCTGGAGGGGCAACCCCCCAAAAAACTATACATAAATTCCTGCAACAGTCAAGGCAGCCAAATCCTGTCACTATTTGTGCAGCAAGGATCCTGCCTCCAGCACCCTAGAGTTGCCCAATCAATGTGAAAGGGGGTCTTTTTTTAGAAGAAGCCTTATCGCCCTATATGCTGGTTTGGATCCTTCAGAGATTTCCAAAAGTACAGCCAAAAAGAAGTCCTGCACATTCATAAGGACTATAAACTTGCTTTTTAAAATGTGTGTGTGTGTGTGTGTGTGAGAGAGAGAGAGAGAGAGAGAGAGAGAGAGAGAGACTGATCCCCAGGAAGTTGAAATCAGTGCCCCATTCTGGTCCTTTCAAGTGTCTCCGCAGAATCTCACCCCACGCAATGATGCCTGCACATCCCTGCCTCATAAGACCCCTGGCATCTGAACTGCAGAGACGGAAGAATGGCAGATGAAAATGATAGACTTTATGGAGCTGGCTGATCTCACCGGGAGAATCCGCGACCAGAAAGAAGAGGAATATCAAGAAGATTGGATGAAATTTAAAGACTATTTGAATAAATATTGTAATATTAAAGATTTGTAACCACTTGAAAGAACTAATTAGGCCTAGGAATAAATAAATAAGAAAAAGTATGATAAGAAAAGTTAGGAAATTTGATTATGACCGGAATATTGTTATGTGGAATAATGATATTGGAAACTGCTACATTTATTTACAAGGAAATTCAGCTGGCAGAGATTAGAGGAAGTCAAGTAATATGTTTATGAAGTTGGATTTTAATTAATTAACTAAGACTTATTGTATGTGGTGGTATATGTGAGGTTTGAAATACTTTATTTCTTTTATTTTCTTTTTTCTTTTTCTTTTATTATTCTTTTTCTGTTATGTTAAAGTTATGTTTCTGTATGAAATTTAATAAACATTTTTTGGGGGAGAAATGAATTGCAGAGACGGAAGGGTACCCGGGGGTCATCTAGTCTAACCCCCAAATCTAGCCCAGCATCCTGTTCTCACAGTGGCCAACCAGACGACCCAGTTCCCTCCATTTATGATTCCCCAAACTGGAATACGGAGACATTCTGCCTCCAACAGCGAAGGGAAAACACAGGCATCAGGACTTGGCATCACCGCTGCCTACCATTGAAAAGGGGAACGCCCCTGAACTAAAATTACACCCATTAACTCAAGTAATAGCAGCTCATTCTTCTGAAATCTAGAAAATGGGGGCGGGGGGCTAGCTGAGAAACCAGGCAGATTAACCCTTGTGCTAGAACCAACACAGTATTAGTTCAGCCGCCGCAATAAAGGAGTGATTAATATGAAATGCTTCACGAGAAAAATGACTGCTGCCCATTTTAAACTGCTCATTTCCAGCGAGGGAGTTGAGAGACAGATTCCTTTGGCTCCCGGACTCATTTTTCAAAGGAGGAACATAAACATCACCACAGTGGAAACGTTTAGCGGCTCCTTCCAGCTTTCCACTACAGGGAGCGGCGAGCGCTGCTCAGACTCCAGATTACTGACCTCGGCAAGATCAGCGTAGGAAGAACATAGATGCGCCTCAGAAGCATGTCAAAGCATTTAAACTCTGGTGCAACATACATACTCGGGTTTTTAAAACGGGCATCTTCCAAATGAATGGAATCGGTCTCGCACAAAAGGGTATGCCATCTATAGCACTCGTTCGGCTTAACCTTTGAGCAGTTTTAGAAATTCCCCAGGCGCCAGGTGCGCTTTGCAACTCACACAGGTCCAATTGCAACCACGTGGAGATCTCTGGGTGCCAGGTGGGTGGCTGACATCTTCACCTGACTGGTCCCTCCAGCTTTCTTAAGCAGGTAGGCGGGAGAGTTTATTTCTTGCATTTATATCCCTCCTCTCCAGGGTTTCCTCCCCAAGCAATCAGAGACTACGCCTGCATGCAGCCAACCTCTCCTCTGCCCTTTTCACGCCTCTTCTGGTTCTGGGAGACAGCAGGGAAGCGAGCTTCTCACAGCAGGAGGGGAAGACACCCTTGAGTGTTCACCTCCCTTGTCAAGGAGTGTGAGTTTTACGGATGCAGAACTTTTTCAAAACATGCATGCAGCCGTTTTTTTCTGGTTAGTCTGCGGGACTCGAGGTCAATGCACAGAGAAGGGAACTATATCTTCTGCCACTGAGCAGCTCTGCATCTTTCTGCACACACAGTCTATCCTGTCTATTCTTCATTTCTACAACTGGATGAGCTCTCATGAGCTGAAGTTTTGAGCCTTACTGGGGATCCAGTAAGAACTTGGACTTTGTAATCATTTCTACACTTTTGTTGTTGTTGTTTAGTCGTTTAGTCGTGTCCGACTCTTCGTGACCCCCCGGGACCAGAGCACGTCAGGCACTCCTGTCTTCCACTGCCTCCTGCAGTTTGGTCAAACTCATGCTGGTAGCTTCGAGAACGCTGTCCAACCATCTCGTCCTCTGTTGTCCCCTTCTCCTTGTGCCCTCCATCTTTCCCAACATCAGGGTCTTTCCCAGGGAGTCTTCTCTTCTCATGAGGTGGCCAAAGTCTTGGAGCCTCAGCTTCAGGATCTGTCCTTCCAGTGAGCACTCAGGGCTGATTTCCTTCAGAATGGAGAGGTTTGATCTTCTTGCAGTCCATGGGACTCTCAAGAGTCTCCTCCAGCACCAGAATTCAAAAGCATCAATTCTTCGGCGATCAGCCTTCTTTATGGTCCAGCCCTCACTTCCATACATCACTACTGGGAAAACTATAGCTTCAACTATACAGATCTTTGTTGGCAAGGTGATGTCTCTGCTTTTTAAGATTCTGTCTAGGTTTGTCATTGCTTTTCTCCCAAGAAGCAGGCGTCTTTTAATTTCGTGACTGCTGTCACCATCTGCAGTGATCATGGAGCCCAAGAAAGTAAAATCTCTCACTGCCTCCATTTCTTCCCCTTCTATTTGCCAGGAGGTGATGGGACCAGTGGCCATGATCTTCGTTTTTTTGATGTTGAGCTTCAGACCATATTTTGCGCTCTCTTCTTTCACCCTCATTAAAAGGTTCTTTAATTCCTCCTCACTTTCTGCCATCAAGGTTGTGTCATCTGCATATCTGAGGTTGTTGATATTTCTTCCGGCAATCTTAATTCTGGCTTGGGATTCATCCAGCCCAGCCTTTCACATGATGAATTCTGCATATAAGTTAAATAAGCAGGGAGACAATATACAGCCTTGTCGTACTCCTTTCCCAATTCTGAATCAATCAGTTGTTCCATATCCAGTTCTTAAACCTCCGTAAACTATCACTCATGAATTCTGCTGCCTGTGTGTGTGTGTTTTTTTCTTGGGACTCGGCACAGGAGTTGCACTTCATGCAACCGCAACTCGGCTACTTTCTGCCCATGCCCTGGAGTTGCCACACTCTGGCATGGAGACAGGGCGGTGACTAAATTCGCACCTGACTCCTCTCTGCCTCTTGGCCTCCTTCCTCCCACCCTCCTGCTTCAGCTTCTGCCTCCAGTTCTGGGCTTCCTCTGTCACAGACTCTCCCCGCTCACGAAACCCTGTTACCTCTTCAGCCTCCTCCTCCCCGTCCTCTCCTTCGGACCACCCATTGTGGTCCCACAACCACTCCCTGGGCTCTGCGCCTTCTTCCCTCGGGGGTCCCCTAGCTGGTTCCTCCCACCATTCCTCTGCGTCCAACAAGTCCATAACATTCAGATACACAGTAAAGGTGGCGCTGTGGTCTAAACCACTGAGCTTCTTGGGCTTGCTGATCAGAAGGTCAGCGGTTCGAATCCGCGCAACAGGGTGAGCTCCCATTGCTCTGTCCCAGCTCCTGCCAACCTAGCAGTTCAAAAGCACACCAGTGCAAGTAGATAAATAGGCATAGCTGTGGCGGGAAGGTAAACAGCGTTTCTGTGCACTCTGGCTTACATCGCAGTGTTCCATTGCACCAGAAGCAGCTTAGTCCTGCTGGCCACATGACCCAGAAAGCTGTCTGCGGATAAATGCTGGCTCCCTCAGCCTGAAAGCGAGATGAGCGCCGCACCCCAGAGTCACCTTTGACTGGACTTAACCGTCCAGGGGGCCCTTTACCTTTTACTGATGGAAATGTCAGCAAGTGCGTCCATTCTCTTCCCCAGAAATAGACTTTGCAAAGAGCGAATTTGCTTAAGCTCTGCTGCTGGCTCTCCCTGTCGGTCCCAGGGGCAGAATTTGGCGTTTCAAATTTAATAATAATAATAATAATTTATTTATACCCCGCCCTTCCTGGTTCAGGAAACCGGGCTCAGGGCGGCGAACAACAAATTTAAAACACTTAATTGATGCTACAAAAAACAGCATAAAATATGGTATAAAGCGTAAATAACAATAAAATCAAAAATCAGTTTGGGGGAAATCCATCCAATAAACATTAGATGATCACCAGGCTAAATCACTGGCTAAATTAGTCCCACTTGGGCCAGCGAGAAGACCTTGTGCAACCCCGGCCTCTCACGCTACGTTTCAGGACACTGCTGTGGCGTCCCCTGCACGGTGGCACCCAGTATGGCCAATCCAATCGCGCTGCCCTAAAACCGCCTCTGCCCACCCCCCAATTGGAGCTGATTCCCTTTAAATGAGTCCCTCTCCTGCTGCCAGGAAGTTGGCACAGTGTGTTTTCTTTCTGTCTTTTCTGAGCAGTTGGTATGAGGCCGAGGCTCTGGAAGCCCTCAGACAGGAAACAGCTGTCTGATCACAAAAATCTCCTTAGATTAGCTACTCTCTCTCACTGGGCCCATCTGCGAAGCTACCAGGAAGAGGGATGGGGAAGCAGCCGCCTCCTGGCACAGTTCTGAATCAGCTCCCTGCCCTTCAAAACACCAGCTTCCAGATCTTTATTGCATCAACTGGATGCAGGAAGGTCGTGCAAAAGCCCAAAAAGCAGTACAGCTGGGATGAGGAACCCGGAGTCCTGGCTCTCTGAGAGGCAGTGGTGGTGTAGTGGTTAGAGCAGGCGTCCTCAACCTCGGCCCTCCAGACGCTTTTGGCCTACAACTCCCATGATCCCTAGCTAGAAGGACCAGTGTCAGGGATGATGGGAATTGTAGTCCCAAAACATCCGGAGGGCCCAGTTTGCCTATGCCTGATTTAGAGTGTCAGGGTGGGGCCTAGGAGCCCAGGGTTCGGATCCCCGCTCAACCACGAAGCTCACTAGGGTTTTTTTGGAATTAAATGGGTTAAATTGCTTTCTGTTTTTGGAATTAAATTGCCTCCATTTTATCCGTTCATTTCATTCTCAATTGCCTCCGACAACAAGAGAAACGCACACCACGGGGAGATTTCGTACAATAGGAGGCTAATTACTAGCTTGGGAAGAGCAGAGTAAATAATAGCAAGAACTGGGGCTTTGTCTTCTCTGCGCTGCCTTTCCACGCATTCACGTAAAAAAGGCAAAAGAAGTTGAGTCACAGTTTTGATGCTGTTCTGAGAATCGGAGTATCGCCCAGCTGCTGGCCGGTGGCTGGAGCCAGCTGGGGGCCTGCCAATTGCCCCCGACTCCCGGCAGCATCCCAACAAGTTCCCAAGGTCCCATGGCTGGGTTGGGATGGCATGGGGATGAGGGACCAACTCCCTTCTCTTGCGGGGGCCCAATTAGTGCCATTGCCTTCCGTTAAGAGTTTGGGTGTAATCCTTGACGCCTCCCTTTCCAAGGAGGCGCAGGTTACAGCAACAGCCAAGGCGACATTTTTCCACCTTCGCCGCATCAAGCAGTCGGTCCCTTACCTTTCCCGCCCTGATCTGCCACAGTGATCCATGCGACGGTCACCTCCAGGCTTGACTACTGTAATTCGCTCTACACAGGGCTGCCCTTGAAGCTGTCCCAGAAGCTCCAGAGGGTGCAGAATGCTGCAGCGAGGCTCCTCACGGGGTCTCTGCCATGGGAGCATATTCACCCAGTGCTTTTCCAGCTGCACTGGCTCCCGGTGGAGTACAGGGTCAGATTTAAGGTGATGGTTTTGACCTTTAAAGCCCTTCACGGCCTAGGACCCTCGTACCTACGGGACCACCTCTCCCAGTATGCCCCACGGAGAGCCTCAAGGTCCATAAATAGCAAGACCCTAGAGGTCCCGGGCCCTAAGGAAGTTAGATTAGCTTCAACCAGAGCCAGGGCCTTTTCAACACTGGCCCCGGCATGGTGGAACGCTCTGTCTCATGGGGCCCTGCAGGATCTGATTTCTTTCCGCAGGGCCTGTAAGACAGAGTTGTTCCACCTGGCCTTTGGCTTGGAGCCAATTTGATTCCCTCCCCCTCTTTCTTTTTTTCTTTTCCTTTCTCCTCCTGCGATGAGGTTTCAATGTTTTAATGTATTTTAATTTTGTTTTTAAGTTGTATTCATTCAATTTGTTTTTATTATTGCTTGTTAGCTGCCCTGAGCCTGGCCTTGGCTGGGGAGGGTGGGGTATAAATAAAAATTATTATTATTATTATTATTATTATTATTATTAACAATTGGGTGTGTTTGCCCTGAAGAGAAGACCGAGAGGTGATGTGACAGCCATATTCAAATATCAAAAAGGCTATCACAGGGAATATGGCGCAAGCTTCTTTGCTGCTGCTGATGCTCTGGAAGGAAGGACCCAAACCAATTACAAGAAATGAGAACTCGGCTAAACATTAGGAAGACTTTTCTGATGGTAAGAGCTGTTTGACAGTGGAAGGGGCTCCCTCGGAATGTGGGGGACTCGTTGGAGGTTTTTTAGCAGCTTGGATGGTCATCCTACCTTCCAGAGCAGGAGAAAACAATTTGTTCTTTCTTCCATGTGACAGATTGGGGGTGATTGGTTTAGGGTGCAACAAACAACACGGTGGTTTTGCCAACAAAGGTCCGTATAGTTAAAGCCATGGTTTTCCCAGTAGTGATGTATGGAAGTGAGAGCTGGACCATAAAGAAGGCTGATCGCCGAAGAACTGATGCTTTTGAATTCTGGTGCTGGAGGAGACTCTTGAGAGTCCCATGGACTGCAAGAAGATCAAACCGATCCATTCTGAAGGAAATCAGCCCTGAGTGCTCACTGGAAGGACAGATCCTGAAGCTGAGGCTCCAAGACTTTGGTCACCTCATGAGAAGAGAAGATTCCCTGGAAAAGACCCTGATGTTGGGAAAGATGGAGGGCACAAGGAGAGGGGACGACAGAGGACCAGATGGTGGGACAGTGTTCTCGAAGCTACCAGCATGAGTCTGACCAAACTGCGGGAGGCAGTGGAAGACAGGAGTGCCTGGCGTGCTCTGGTCCAGGGGGTCACGAAGAGTCGGACACGACTAAACAACTAAACAACAACAACAACAACCTTTCACAATTTCGGAACTGCAGCTCAACCAAAGTGCACAAATTGGAAATGCAGCCTCCTCGGTTCAAAATCAAACAACGCACAGCTAAGTTTCTAGTCCTCAAGGAGCGCAGGAACATTGCAGCCATCAAACTTAGAACCAAAATACCAGGAAAAGAACCAAATGTTCTTGCAGCAGCCCCAATTATTGTTTGGGGAGGGAAATTAATGGAACAGGCATCTCCACTGCTTTGATTCTGCCTCCAATGGGCCTGCTGAAAATTTTTCAAGAAGAATCTCTGCCCTTGTTTGCATTTTGAATTTTGATTCCCCAAGATAAAAGGGGGAAATCTTCCAAGCAGGGGAAATGTAACAGATGTACTTTTTGTTCAACGTGAGAAACACTCGACAAATCCCTTTGCTGCACAGGATCTAAAGCTCTAACCCCAGGGGTTTCGGTATCAGGAAGCAGGGTGAATCCCTGAAGCTTCCAAGGCAACAAGCGTACTGCAAGCTGTCTCCAAAAATAAAAATAAAAGGATGTAGATTTCCTGGGAGAAAAGCCCGCACCAGGAACAGAGGCTCTCCAAGTCTTTGAGAGGCACAGCGTTCAAAGAGTTAAGCCCAAGGCAGGAAGGATGGAAGGGAGAAAAGGTAGCGCTGGATTCTGCAAGGAAGAAATACACAAAAGGCACTCTGCGCGTGCTCTGGGGGCACTCTGCTACAATTTTCCCAAATAAGAAACCCCGATTATCCACATCATCATCATCATTATAAATTATTATTTATACCCCGCCCATCTGGCTGAGTTTCCCCAGCCACTCAGGGCAGCTTCCAGCAGGATATTAAAAACACAGAAAAAGATCAAACATTAAAAACTTCCCTAAACAGGGCTGCCTTCAGATGTCTTCTGAAAGTCAGATAGTTGTTTATTTCCTTGACATCTGGCGGGAGGGCGTTCCACAGGGCAGGTGCCACAAACGAAAAGGCCCTCTGCCTGGTTCCCTGTAACCTCACTTCTCGCAGTGAGGGAACCGCCAGAAGGCCCTTGGAGCTGGACTTCTGTGTCTGGGCAGACCGATGGGGATGGAGACGCTCCTTCAGGTATACTGTAAATTTCAGAGTTTAGATGAGATGACCCTTTGGGTAAGGTTACCAGACGTCCCAGTTTCCTGGGGACAGTTCTTGGATTTATAAATCAGTCCCTATACAAGATCCATAGAAGCTGAAAAGTGTCCCTGGTTTCATTGGGATATAAATCTAGTAACCTTACCTTTGGGTCATCTACATTTTATGATTCAAGCTGATATTTTTTTAAAGCCACCTAAGGTGGGAAAGGGACACGGGTGGCGCTGTGGGTTAAACCACAGAGCCTAGGACTTGCTGATCAGAAGGTCGGCGGTTCGAATCCCCGCAACAGGGTGAGCTCCAGTTGCTCGGTCCCTGCTCCTGCCAACCTAGCAGTTCGAAAGCACGTCAAAGTGCAAGTAGATAAATAGGTACCAGGAAGCTGTACGCCGGCTCCCTCGGCCAATAAAGCAAGATGAGCGCCGCAACCCCAGAGTCGGCCACGACTGGACCTAATGGTCAGGGGTCCCTTTACCTTTAAGGTGGGAAAGGGAAGGAGCTGGCGGGTGGGGTGTCGAAAGGAAGGAAGTTCAAGGAGCAGGAAGAAGCAAAAGTACCAGAAAAAAACCCGAATTTGCAGTTCAGAATGCTGACTCTCAAGCGCTTCCTTCCTTCATATCCTGCTCTGCAGAGAAAGTGCCCTGAGAACAGCTGCCTTCAGCTTTGTTTTCCACCGCAAACTCAACAACTTCCGTTTGCTTTCTACGCATTTGCACAGGAGGCAAAGTCCAGCAGCAGGAAGCCGCAGGCAACAAACAACACTTGCAGCTCGCCTCTGGCGAGTCGCTTTTAACGCTAGGCGAATAGCTGCCTCCAATCGCCCACCGCAACCTTTTGCCAGCTGGAGAAAGCACTCAAACAGTGTTCTTAGCTGGCTGTTCCCAACCCTAGGTTTGATGCAAAAACCGAAGTATTAAAAACTGAATATTCCCACACACTCGAAAAATGTTCATGTGGGAAAACTGTACAATGAAATCCATATATATATATATATATATAAAAGTTAAAATCAGAAATCAGCTAACTATTGTAGTGAAGTGTGTTCTCAATTGCCTGCACAAGGTTTTCAGCCTCCTGAATCTTTATTTGCAGAGCATTTGAAGTCAGCTAAGGAGGAAAAAATACCCTGCAAAAAAATAAAAACAAAGAATTGACTTTTTTATTTTTTAGTCTACTCAAAATCCTAAATGAAGTGTTAACAAAATGGCAAGATTTGATTGTGAAATCTGCTTAGGGGGGAAACAAAATGAGAGAGAGAGAGAGAGAGAGAGAGAGAGAGATTTATAATATTAATATCACGAGGAGTTCTGAACAGCAAAAGCGAATCCTGGGGCACATTTATCCTGGCCAGGTCCCTGGGAGGTGAAGGACAGAGCCAAGAATTGGATGCAAGGAAGGTGCGCTGGCAAAACGCCTGGAACACAAGTCGCTCTCCTGAACATCTTTATCGCCAAAGGAAAGAGGTCATTGCCATGCAAGGCACATCTGACGGCGGCTTGCATCCGACCCTCCCTTCCGCCACTCATCTAAAATAAGGTAGGACAGCTGCCAAAATATTTTCATAAGCCAAGTGATGTGCTCAGCTTAAAATTATGCTAATGATATTCCTCATCAGCATCCGAGTGGCATTTTTAGAACAGGCGGCGATGCCTCTGTTGTCGGGCGCAGTGAGAGAGGAGATATACAAGACAAGGCAAAGGCAGGGCAGATCTTCGATTAAGCTTGCAGGAATCCGCGCTGCGAACCCTGCATCTATGGGAAGAAGGAAATTGTCCTTTCGAAGGAGCAGGTGCGCAGCCTGGGAGTCATTTTGGACTCACAGCTGTCCACGGAGGCGCAGGTCAGTTCTGTGTCCAGAGCAGCTGTCTACCAGCTCCATCTGGTACGCAGGATGAGACCCTCCCTGCCTGTGGACTGTCTCGCCAGAGTGGTGCGTGCTCTGGTTATCTCCTGCTTGGACTACTGCAATGCTTTCTACATGGAGCTACCTTTGAAGGTGACCCAGAAACTGCAACTAATTCAGAATACGGCAGCCAGACTGGTGACTGAGAGCGGACACCAAGACCGTATAACACCGGTTTTGAAAGACCTACATTGGCTCCCAGTACGTTTCCGAGCACAATTCAAATTGTTGGTGCTGACCTTGAAAGCCCTAAATGGCCTCAAAGGCCCAGTAGACCTGAAGGAGCATCTCCACCCCCATTGTTCAGCCCAGACACTGAGGTCCAGCTCTGAGGACCTTCTGGCGATTCCCTCACTGCGAGAAGTGAGCTTACAGGGAACCAGGCAGAGGGCCTTCTCGGTGGTGGCGCCTGCCCTGTGGAACGCCCTCCCATCAGATGTCAAGGAAATAAACAACTATCTGACTTTCAGAAGACATCTGAATGCAGCCCTGTTCAGGGAAGTTTTTAATGACTGATGTTTTATCATGTTTTTAATATTCTGTTGGGAGCCGCCCAGAGTGGCTGGGGAAACCCAGCCAGATGTGAGGGGTATAAATACAATATTATTATTATTATTAATTCATTCTCCTAGGATGGCAGCATGCCACAATGGCTCACAGGTTCCTTCAGGAAGGTGCGATAGTCAACGTCCATGGGAGAGAATCTTTTGTAGATTTGCTGGGCTATTATCCTTGACCATTGGCCTTTCTGGATCAGCCTGCAGAAAATGACCATTAGCTTTATACATGCTTGGAAATCAAAATGTTGGTGCTTTAAACCTTTAAAGCCCTAAACGGCCTCGGCCCAGTAGACCTGAAGGAGCGTCTCCACCCACATTGTTCAGCCCAGATACAGAGATCCATCTCCGAGGGCCTTCTGAGGGTTCCTTCACTGCAAGAAGTGAGGTTACAGGGCCTTCTTGGTTGTGGTACCCTCCCTGTGAATCACCCTCCTATCAGGAGATAAAGAACTACACAACTTTTAGAAGACATCGGAAGGCAGCCCTGTACCAGGAATTTTTTTAATGCGTGACGGTTTGTTATGTTTTTATATGTGGCTGGGGCAACCCAGTCAGATGGGCATGGTGTAAATAATAAAATTATTATTATTATTATTATTATCATCATCATCATCATCATCATCAATCAAGTCACATTCTCAGAGGAAAAGCTGGTGTGGAAACAGCAGAAACAAACAGGAGATGGAGCAATTTTGTTTGTTCAGGGGGTGCTTGCCCCATGTGCTAGATTTCCGAAAAAGAAATAAATTGTGTCTTTCATCACTCCCATCCTAAAAATGCATTTTACCTGAACTGGTCCGACTTCTCTAATCACTACAACGCGCTGGCTCTAAAGCCACATTATATTCCCCAGACTTTTGCCTCGTGGCCAGGAAACGAATGAAAGGAGCAGAGCAAGAGAGAACGAAAAACAGTGACATTTCTCCTCTTTTGAAAGTGTATATATCATCACTACAGGAAAACCACACTTCTTCTTCTTTTTGCTATTTGCCCGCAAGTGCCCAAGGCCAGTTCAGAGTCAAGCGCCAGGGGAAACTGCAGGAATTTCACACATTAGGGTTTTTTGAAACAGACACACTCAGGGACATACCAGCAAGCGGTTTTCACACATCATGGCTGGATCAGGCAACTTTCCCTGGAGGGAGAGCAGGAGGAGAAGGGGGGGGCGGACGACCTGATATTCTGAAAGTCTGGAGAGACATAGCATATGGTCCCAGAACACCGGCAGAAAGCCAGCCTTCTATTTTCAGTCTTCTATTTTCAATCTTCCACAACAATTTCCTCAAAAGGGAGAATGACTTACAGCAGGGACGGCTCAGCCAAGGCCCTCGAGCCGCTGGCAAAGTATATAAGCACAATCTGGAGGCATCAGACCAAACCGGGGTTAAAGGAGCAGAGATAACAATTCCTTGTACGACGTGGTCTGAATTGAGAAAGCCATGGTATGCAATCACCCAAACCAGAACATAAAAACATGGTACAAAGTGGTGGTGGTGGTGGTGGTGTGGGTATGGGGGATTCCCTGGTCCTGAATGGGGTAACTGGGGATTTTCCTGTCGTTATTCTGTCTCTCACAGCTACAATAAACCTCCCATTAAAATTATGGACTGGTCATTTCTTCCTCAGAGGGCAAACAGGCAAATTTAGCAGGGGATCAAATACAGTGGTACCTCTGGTTGCAAACAGGATCCGTTCCGGAGGCCCGTTCGCAACAAGAAAGGAACGCAACCCGCAGCGGAATATCTGTGCATGCGCAGGTTGCGATTTGCTGCTTCTGCGCATTCGCGTGACATCATTTTGTGCGTCTGCGCATGTGTGAGCGGCGAAACCTGGAAGTAACCCTTTCTGATACTTCCAGGTCGCCGCAGGACGCAACCTGAAAAAACGTAACATGAAGCAAACATAACAAGAGGTATGACGGTACTTTTTCTCCTCACTGTATATAAAAACATAATAAAACATTAATAAAACATTAAACTTCCCTAGACAGGGCTGCCTTCTGATGTCTTCTGAAGATTGTATAGTTACTTAGCTCCTTGGTTTGGGGGTCACATAACTCCATATGCTCCAACATTTCTCCACTGAAAATAGGGATGGCCTAAGGAGAAGTGAAGGACGCGGGTGGCACTATGGGTTAAACCACCCATGGAGTGGGTTGTCCATGGAGTTTTCTTGGCAGGGATACTGGAGTGGCTTGCTGGTTCCTGCTCCAGGAAGTGAGAGCTGGACCATAAAGAAGGCTGATCGCCGAAGAATGGATGCTTTTGAATTCTGGTGCTGGAGGAGACTCTTGAGAGTCCCATGGACTGCAAGAAGATCAAACCTCTCCATTCTGAAGGAAATCAGCCCTGAGTGCTCCCTGGAAGGACAGATCCTGAAGCTGAGGCTGCAATCCTTTGGCCACCTCATGAGAAGAGAAGACTCCCTGGAAAAGACCCTGATGCTGGGAAAGATGGAGGGCACAAGGAGAAGGGGCCGACAGAGGACGAGATGGTTGGACAGTGTTCTTGAAGCTACCAGCATGAGTTTGACCAAACTGCGGGAGGCAGTGGAAGACAGGAGTGCCTGGCGTGCTCTGGTCCAGGGGGTCATGAAGAGGCGGACACGACAAAATGACTAAACAACAACATCCTTCCATAGTTTATCCCAGGCATAGGCAAACTCGGTCCTCCAGATTTTTTTTGGGACTACAACTCCCATCGTCCCTAGCTAACAGGACCAGTGGTCAGGGATGCTGGGAGTTGTAGTCCCAAAAAACATCTGGAGGGCCGAGTTTGCCTATGCCTGGTTTATCCACACACCTGAGATCTGAGTCTGCTCTTTTTTCTTAGCCACGGGCCTTTCTGTCGGGCCTTGAATTCTGATAATGCTTTTCGTTTATCTGGATGGAGGCGGAGAAGGATTTGTGAGCGAATGAACTTTGTGGCTCCATCTGCTTTTGGTGCCGCCCCCACCTGCCACTGAATGTGGCCCCCATAATGTTCCTTTGAAGGGGATGTGGTTGCCCCAATGCCCTGCAAACATCTAATTCTGGTTTTAATGGTGTGTTAGTTGGGCACAACAACAGCCTTTTGTATGTATCCCAAATTCTCAGCCGGATCAAAATCAAGGAATTTTGTTTTATATAATTCGTTCTAAAATTGCTCTCTCCTCATGGCGTTTTATGTAATTGGACCTCTGTCAAATTCTCCCCAAATTTAGGTAAATCAGAGTTTCCACATTCTGAAATCCAGTTGACGCACTTGGCCAAATCACTTTTATATTTGGGAGAGATAATCACTTCTGTCTTTCCATCATGTACTCGTCTCGTCTTAATTCTTGCTGTGCCCCCCCCCATGAATTTTAATACCAATTATTGCCATTTATTCATTTTTTGCTTTGATATCGTAATAGGCAATGACCGAGACAGAAGGTTCGCCTAGGGTAATATTATCGTTTTAGCTGTTGAGATTCTCCCCCGAAAGAGAACAAGGGCAAATGTAATTCCATCCCCGTCTGAAGCATAAGTGATGAAACATTTCTTCTTCTCCCTTGTTTCCATGCAGTTTCTTCCTATTGCCTGTTAATTTAGTTCTTAGACATTGACTATCCCTCTTTCCCCCAATTATACTTAACTTTCTTCTTTAATTGTTTTTCTGGATTGCTAAGAATCATGATTTAATATGAACAATTTTGCCTCTTTTGAAGGTCACCCCCCGCTCTGCTTTTGCTTGATGCTGAGGCCCAGGGTTTTAAGGGATTTTTTTTTGCTGTGATTCCTAAATCTCAAGGGGTTGGACTAGATGATCCCTGGGTTCTTTCCCGAAAGACAGTAGCTAAAGAGGGCTCTTTTAGCATCGCTGTGGGTTAAACCACAGAGCCTAGGACTTGCCGATCAGAAGGTCGGCGGTTCGAATCCCCACGACGGGGTGAGCTCCCGTTGCTCGGTCCCTGCTCCTGCCAACCTAGCAGTTCGAAAGCACGTCAAAGCGCAAGTAGATAAATAGGTACCGCTCCGGCGGGAAGGTAAAGGGCGTTTCCGTGCACTGCTCTAGTTCGCCAGAAGCGGCTTAGTCATGCTGGCCACATGACCCGGAAGCTGTACGCCGGCTCCCTCGGCCAATAAAGCGAGATGAGCACCACAACCCCAGAGTCGTCTGCGACTGAACCTAATGGTCAGGGGTCCCTTTACCTTTACCTTTAAGGAGAAGTGGGACATTCTGGGATGAAATAAGAGACTGGGACGGCTTCTGTAAATCCAGGACTGTTGCTGGAAAATAGGGACACATGGAGGGTCTGTGTTGGCTATTTAAAGAGCACTCACTCTGCTTATGCGGAACGGTCTCCCTCGGGAAGTTGTGGATTCTCCTTCCTTGGAGGTTTTGAAGCCCATCTGTTATGTACTGAGTTGAATAGGATCCCAAATGCAGCAGTCTGATTGGTCCTAGAACAACAGGATTAAGAATGCGGCATTCTGATTGGTCCTAGAACAATAGAATCCAGAATGCAGCAGTCTGATTGGTCCACAGGAGCCACCCAATCCAGCTCCAGGTGGAAATGAATTCGCAACCTGATTGGCCTATAGGTGAATTCCAGAATTAGCCAATCACGTGGGGCCCATTGTGTAAATAATGTATATAAAGCAGACATTCTGGAGGAACTTCCATTCCTCCTCACCACTATGAGCTGAATAAAGAGCATGAAATCCACTCTCGACTCCGAGTATATTTCACCATCTGTCATGGATGCTTTAGCTCAGATTCCTGCATTGTGTGGGGTTAGACTAGATGACCCTCAGGTCCCTTCAAATCTACGGTTCTATGATTCCATGTGCATTTCCCCCATTGTTTGTTGTTGTTTAGTTGTTTAATCGTGTCCGACTCTTTGTGACCCCCTGGAACAGAGCACGCCAGGCACTCCTGTCTTCCACTGCCTCCCGCAGTTTGGTCAAACTCATGTTTGGAGAACACTGTCCCACCATCTCGTCCTCTGCCGTCCCCTTCTCCTTGTGCCCTCCATCTTTCCCAACATCAGGGTCTTTTCCAGGGAGTCTTCTCTTCTCATGAGATAGCTTTCCTTATTGTGAGAAGTTTGATCTCTCAGGAGAAAGCGGGCTTGCTGAGCAAGACCTCCCAATCAACTATAATTTTGCAACTTGAACGTACCAGCCGCGTGCAATTGAATCCCACCTGAAAACAGCAGCAATCTGAAAGTGCCCAAAATCTTTGAACACTGCCGCTTTCCGACTGAGCATCCCTGACCGCGCAGTTGCAAAACGTTCCTGAAAAGGGAAGGAAACGCCTGCTCTCCTCCACGCCAAGGCCATTCATTATAAAACCACGTTTTGTTTAAGAATTTGCTTCTTCGCTGAGCTGCTGCAGGCAGGGGCAGATATTTGAAGTGTTTCTGCATAGCCGCTAATGGGGGGGAAGCCTCTTCAAATCAGAAGTGATTCACCATTGTCACAAACCCGGTTTACAGCTCAATTAAAGTGGCTTAAAAGGCCAGTTCGTTATTATTATATTTTCCGTCTCTTTGCTGCCTGCTCCCGTCGGAAATCACATACGCTGGGATTATATAGCAGCGGCGATAAACCCACACACTGATTCAAGAGGGACGTGAGAAGGTTTGGTTGCTGCGATAAAGCCTAATTTACTGCCTACGGAGCCTTCAGAAGCCGCTTTGCCTGCAGAAAGGGGCAGGAGGCAGTGAAAACTAGGTAGAGGGGGGCAGGGGGGAATCCGTTCGCATTGCAATTTACTGTGACCCAGCTTCATTTAAGGCCCTGGAAAGCTCAGCTGGTCAGAGCGCTTTGCTGATAACACCAAGGTCGCCGGTTCGATCTCCATATGGGATAGCTGCGTATTCCGGGGGGTTGGTCTAGATGACCGTCAGGGTCCCTTCCAGCTCTAAGATATTACACGGCATCCCCATGAGGACCCACAGCAGGCTACAACAATATCGCCGCAAAATTTACCGTATTTTTTGCTCTATAAGTCTCACTTTTTCCCTCCTAAAAAGTAAGAGGAAATGTTGTGTGCGTCTTATGGAGCGAATGCAGGCTGCGCAGCTATCCCAGAAGCCAGAACAGCAAGAGGGATTGCTGCTTTCACTGTGCAGCGATCCCTCTTGCTGTTCTGGCTTCTGAGATTCAGAATATTTTTTTTCTCGTTTTCCTCCTCCAAAAACTAGGTGCGTCTTGTGGTCTGGTGCATCTTATAGAGCGAAAAATATGGTAAAGCCGAGTGTAGGTTCAAAAGAAAAATTGGTTTTAAAGTCACAAAGGCAGACAGGTACGAAAACGGACCTCATCTGCCAAAAAAGATTGCCTGAATTCTTCGAGCGGCTCTCTCTGCCTTTCAGCCAGAGAAGAGTCCAGCCTCTTATAGGAAGCTAATACACTACCTACACTACCAAGTGAAGTCCTGGGGAGAGGAGGAGACCCTCTCTGGTTAGGTGTAGAGCTAATTCAAAGGCCGGGCGAGACGACAGCACCCTCTGCTACCAGCCCAAAGGAAACATGAGCAGGACGAGAGAAATGAGCCCCAGGCTATGTGATAAAGCGCGTTACAGTGGTACCTCAGGTTACATACCTTCAGGTTACAGACTCTGCTAACCCAGAAATAGTACCTCGGGTTAAGAACTTTGCTTCAGGATGAGAACAGAAATTGTGCGGCGGCAGCGTGAGGACCTATTAGCTAAAGTGGTGCTTCAGGTTCAGAACAGTTTCAGATTAAGAACGGACCTCCAGAACAAATTAAGTTCTTAACCCGAGGTACCACTGTATTGGCTGGGGCTTCTGGGAGTTGTAAGCGTCTGCAGAGGAGCACCAGCCTAGAGCCACACTGTGCCGGAAGCCAGGGTTAGAAACTCAGATATACAGTGGATGCTCAGGTTGCGAACATGATCCGTGCGGGAAGCACGTTCACAATCCGCAGCGCCGCGTCTGCACACACGCGGGTTGTGATTCGGTGCTTCTGCGCATGCGGAAGTGCTGAAACCCAGAAGTAATCCGTTCCGGTACTTCCGGGTTCAGTGCAGTGCGCAAGCCAAAAACACGTAACCTGAAGCGTCTGTAACCCGTGGTATGATTGTATAAGCTGAGCACCAAATGGCTCCTTAACCCAGGGTTACAGTCGCCAAAACGGAACACCTAGTTGCCATTTTGGGTGGGGCCAGATGTCTTAAAAATGGTATTTTCCAACACAGTGGTACTTTGGTTCTCAAACTTAATCCGTTCCGGAAGTCCGTTCCGAAATCAAAGCGTTCCAAAACCAAAGCACACTTTCCCATAGAAAGTAATGCAAAACGGATTAATCCGTGCCAGACTTTTAAAAACAATCCCTAAAACAGCAATTTAACATGAACTGTGCTATCTAGCGAGACCATTGATCCATAAAATGAAAGCAATAAACAATGTACTGCAGTCACACAATCCATCAATCAGTAGCTGAACTGTGTTCCACACAGTCACAAAAAAACAGCCACGAAAACGCAAAATAAATAGCAAAAACAGACAGACCTCAGCGTAATACTCAAACTGGAAGTGTGGCTCTCAAATCGGAAGCATAACACTCAAAACGGAGCACGTTCGGCTTCCAAGAAAAGTTTGCAAACCGGAACACTTACTTCCGGGTTTGCAGTGTTTGGGTTCCAGGTTTTTTTGTGCACCAAGGCGTTTGAGAACCAAGGTACCACTGTACGGCCTTTTGGTTCCTGAAACTCATTCTGATAAAATATAACAGGTAGAATTCTGTGGGATGTGTTTTGCTTTGTTGCTTAGTCATTTAGTCATGTCCGACTCTTTGTGACCCCCTGGACCAGAGCACGCCAGGCACTCCTGTCTTCCACTGCCTCCCGCGGTTTGGTCAAACTCATGCTGGTAGCTTTGAGAACACTGTCCCACCATCTCGTCCTCTGTCGTCCCCTTCTCCTTGTGCCCTCCATCTTTCCCAACATCAGGGTCTTTTCCAGGGAGTCTTCTCTTCTCATGAGGTGGCCAAAGTCTTGGAGCCTCAGCTTCAGGCTCTGTCCTCCCAGAGAGCACTCAGGGCCGATTCCCTTCAGAATGGAGACGTTTGATCTTCTTGCAGTCCATGGGACTCTCAAGAGTCTCCTCCAGCACCATAATTCAAAAGCATCCATTCTTCGGCGATCAGCCTTCTTTATGGCCCAGCTCTCACTTCCATACATGTGTTTTGCTAGCATGTGAAAACAGCCCACGTCCAAGGATCCTCAGGCTCGCACCTCCAGATGGCAGAGACGTCAGGCAGCAACCTGGCGCCCAGGCATCTTCGCTTGGTTACAAGTGGCCGACATAGCCAGACAAGCAGAACTAAAAATTATGCAGCAGGGAAGAGAGTCGTCAAGTAGATGCCAAGCCATTAGCATTTTCACACAGCAACAGCTTTAAAAAAAAGAGAAAAGTTTCCTTCCTCTGCCAGCACAAGCACACTGCTGCTGTACACAAGAGACCCACACTGCATTAGCACACAACGGCTGCTTGCAGGCTGGCAAAAGGTGTGCCCAGACAGCTTCACCAAGGTGCGGGACCAGTCAGGGCTAATCCTCAGGCTGCTCAGCTCAGGTGTCATGACCTGGGTTCTCAGAGACTTGTCAGTATTTCTGCAGCAGGGTTTTGGCACAAAATGGGAGCTTTTCAGTGACTGCGATACGATACAATAATCTTTATTGTCATTGTCCCATGCAGAACAACGAAATTGAAAAAATCTACATCAGACATTCAAACACCAATACGCCTGCTATCCCAGCTATCCCAGCCTGGTTAACCCCCTAAAACTCTGATAAAGGTAAAGGGACCATTAGGTCCAGTCGTGGCCGACTCTGGGGTTGCGGCGCTCATCTCGCTTTACAGGCCGAGGGAGCCGGCGTACAGCTTCCGGGTCATGCGGCCAGCATGACTAAGCCGCTTCTGGCGAACCAGAGCAGTGCACGGAAACGCCGTTTACCTTCCCTGTTTATCTACTTGCACTTTGACGTGCTTTCGAACTGCTAGGTTGGCAGGAGCAGGGACAGAGCAACGGGAGCTCACCCCGTTGCGGGGATTCAAACCGCCAACCTTCTGATCGGCAAGCCCTAGGCTCTGTGGTTTAACGCACAGCGCCACCTTCATCCCAAAACTCTGAGACCCCATAATTAAATACAATATACTCCCATAGAGACAACTTTACACTGCGTTTAAAACCAAAATCGAAGCATTCAGGAGTGCTGGAAACTTGAGGCGTATGCATGCCTCTCTTCTAAAAGCATTGGCTATTCTACAGTTTTCCCCTTGGCGATACTGTTGGAAAAAGGGATTTTCAACTCTGATCAATACGAACGATCAGAAAACAGAAAGGCTTCTTTGTGTTAATCAGGATATGAGAATTTGTCTCACATTAAAGGTAAAGGGACCCTGACCCTTAGGTCCAGTCGTGGCCGACTCTGGGGTTGCGGTGCTCATCTCGCTTTATTGGCCAAAGGAGCCGGCATACAACTTCCGTGTCATGTGGCCAGCATGGCTAAGCCGCTTCTGGCGAAACCAGAGCAGCGCACGGCAACGCCGTTTACCTTCCTGCCAGAGCGGTACCTATTTATCTACTTGCACTTTGAGGTGCTTTCGAACTGCTATGTTGGCCGGAGCAGGGACCGAGCAACGGGAGCTCAGACCATCCCAGGGATTCGAACCGCCGACCTTCTGATTGGCAAGCCCTAGGCTCTGTGGTTTAACCCACAGCGCCACCCATGTCCCTGTGTCTCAAATTAAGACCTAATATAAATGAGATCACCTGGCAAAAGCAAGCTCACACCTCTCATTGAGTTGTATTTAAGGTTCTACAGTATTTGCATTTATCATTATATTTTGGAAATGACTCCTGTTCTTACATAGCTGCCTTGTTTTATACTTTCTGAACATCCCAGGACCCTATTACAGTCATACCTTGGATTACAGACGCTTCAGGTTGCGTTTTCTCGGGTTACGGACCGCCGAAACCCGGAAGTACCGGAACGGGTTACTTCCAGGTTTCAGCAGTCGCGCATGTGCAGAAGCGCTAAATCACGCTTTGCGAATGCGCTGAAGTGCCGAATCGCAACCCACGCGTGCGCAGGTGCGCAGCTGCGGGTTGCGAACGTGCATCCCGCACGGATCACATTCGCAACCTGAGCGTCCACTGTATAAAGCAGTTGCGTTATATGTTATAAATCAAGCACTGCTAGGAGTTGTTCAATGTATTTATCAGTAAAAAAAAACTCAGTGTGGCTCAAGAAAACTCTTATTCCAAAAGCGTGGCCCAGAGAAAAAAGTTTGAGAACCAGCGAGTTAACCACTGCACAGCACCGGTGCAATAGGGGCTGTAACTGGAGATGAGCATACAGATGTTCTGAGGACTTTGCAGAGGTCCAGACCTATTTGCCCGCTGTAGCAAATACAACAAAGGATCTCCAAACAGTTATAAATGTTATTACGGCATAGGTTTTCATGGGCCACAACCTACTGATGACAGATGATTTTGAGAAGTCCAAAAAGAGCAGCAAAGCCTTGAGAGGATTCAGAATTTAGGACTATTCTGGTTTTAAAGCAAGACTTGAGGATTCTAAGCGCCAGCCCTTCAAACTGACAGCATCTATTACAAGCCTCCGCTCTCATGTAACCATTCCCAGGTTCGCAGAGGAGGATTCTTGCTGAAGGAAAAGGGTTTGAAAGCCTCCGTGGATCCCGTAACCAAGAATTTGACATACAGGGTGCTATTATGCAGATCTCTCTCTCTCTCGCTCACTCAGTTAGGCGTGCCATCAATCAACAGTCTTGCGCGGCAAACGAAAAACAAAAAACTGCTGGCTGGGCCTTTTCCTTGCTGATACCTTGAAATATTAATTGGATTTTGAAAGACACAGAAGACAAGATCGCTTGTAAATGGCTATCGGGAGAAACAGGAGACCATAATCCTCTTGCTTGACAGACGAGATGACAAGGGCTCTGTGGCTATCACGGCCCTTAAAAGCACAACAAAATCTATCCTCCTCAGAAGTTACAAGGGATATCCTTCTGTCATCCACTGCTACAAGATCCTTCCTTCTTGCAGACCAAGATTACCAGAGGACAGCAAACATGGCAAAAAATTTAGCTGGGACAATCAGAATAAGATCTACCACCTGACTGACATATTAAATGCCTAGTAAAGAAAGCCAATTCGTTCATATGTTTTATTTGTAGTGAAGGGCTGTTATTAACTCTTTCATTTGTTTAGTTGTAAATTCTTTTTTTCCCTTTCTTTCTTTTTTTGCATAGCCAAGCACCCAGCTATAGCTGTATTTGATTGTATTTGATTCCTTTGCTGTAGCTTGTGGCTGACACAAATAAGGAGAATACAAAAACAGTCAGATTCCTTTCGTAGGTTCACCAGCAGGGCACAAAGGTGATGTCAACGTACTGTTTGTACTTTGCACCCAGCTCTCGCAGGTAGGCTGCCTCAGAACAAAAAGGTTCCATGTGGCTAAGAGATCATAGATATTCCCTCCATGCACTGGTCAGTTTTTAAAATAAAAAACAGCTACAACTTCCTTCCAACTTGGAATAGCGATTCTTCTGTTTAAAGCAACCTAGAAGCATGCAAGATTTACCTGCACACAGTATTCACAAAAACCACATAACCATATGAACCATATGAAATTATCACAGCCAAGTTCCATTGAAGAGGTCAGCAAACTTTTTCAGCAGGGGGCCGGTCCACTGTCCCTCAGACCTTGTGGGGGGCCGGACTATATTTTTTGGGGGGGGAATGAACGAATTCCTATGCCCCACAAATAACCCAGAGATGTATTTTAAATACAGTGGTACCTCGCAAGACGAATGCCTCGCAAGACGAAAAACTCGCAAGACGAAAGAGTTTTTTGTTTTTTGAGTTGCTTCGCAAGACGAATTTCCCTATGGGCTTGCTTCGCAAGACGAAAACGTCTTGCAAGTTTGTTTCCTTTTGGATTTCCAATGCATTCCTATGGGAAACCGTGCTTCGCAAGACGAAAAATTCGCAAGACGAAAAAACTCGCAGAACGAATTAATTTCGTCTTGCGAGGCACCACTGTAAAAGCACACATTCTACTCATGTCAAAACACCAGGCAGGCTCCACAAATAATCCAGAGATGCATTTTAAATAAAAGGACACATTCTACTCATGTAAAAACATGCTGATTCCCAGACCATCAGCGGGCCAGATTTAGAAGGCGATTGGGCCAGATCCAGCCCCCGGGCCTTAGTTTGCCTACCCATGGGTTACAAGAAAAGGGGGAGAAATGAGACTACAGGATCTCTTCATCCTGTCTGCTGGAAAACCAGCAAGTTTTGGCTCCCCGCCTCCTTGAAATCTCTCCGGTCCAATCGCCATTACAAGAACTCGGTAAGTACGGAATAGCACCTGTGTTTTCTTCTTTCCTCCTCCCTCCCAACCCCAGTTCCTTTCGTGCCACGCCTTTTAGACTGCACAAGCCCAAGGAACTGTCTCGCCACTTCCATTAGTAAGCAGCTTTGGGAAACCTATTCCTTTCTGCTGAAGAACTGGGTAGAAATGCTATAATCAGTTAAATCTGCCTGTAGTTCCGCAAGCAAAAATGACAAGGAGCAAAGAGCCTGCGGAATTCGCACACAGTTCCACAAGCAGTTCGCCTCACCACCGACAGAGTGGTCGAACCTTAAAGGTCTACGTTTCTTAATCTTCACGGATGAATCACATTCTCAGATTCTCACATCCGAGGCAGCTCACACACTCACACAGACACACACCCCCAACCTCGCAAGATTTCAAAAACCTGCCAACAAATACAGAATAAATTCCAGCGACTCACCTTGGTGGTGTCATCATGTGACCGCTGGTATCGTTTCCAACGGCAACCGTAAATCCCCGTCAGACATGACAAACACAATTGTGGCTCGTAGTACTGTAGCGGTTGGTGTTTAACCATGCTCTTCTTCCCGGATCGTCACCAGCGGGCTACCAGAAATCCATCAGGGCCTTGGGAAATGCCCTACAAGAAAAGAGAGTGGGCAGTCAGAAGAAGAAGCAACATGGAGAATCACAGAGTTGGGAGGGGGTCCCCCAGCGGTCATCTAGAGCAACCCCCCTTGCAACACACAAAACGGAAGTGTGGCACTCAAAACGGAACATGTTTGACTTCCAATAACAGTTCGCAAACCGGAACACTTACTTCTGAGTTTGCAGTGTTTGGGTTTGAGTACCAAGGCGTTTGAGAACCAAGGTACTACTGTAATGAAAGTAAGAATTAAAAGATTGGTCAAATCACCATCAAGCCGTCTTAAACATAAAACTTGTGTACAAAGCAGCAGCAGCTGAGTCAGGAAGGATTCTCAAAGACGCCTCAAAGTTCTGGATGAATAGAAAAATATTCAAAGGGCATCTGAACATCGCTGGGATGTTTCATCCGGAAAGGAGTTCCACCACAGAACATCTCATCTCACATCGCCGACTATGAGACTTTCCCTACCCCAACCACAAAACCCAAGCCAGACAGTTTTAAGGAAGGCACTTCTTCATTTCTGAAGTAAACAGGGAGTGGAAAATTTGGGATGTAATCATTATAAATAAAACAAGCTACAAGCAATTATGGGAGAGAAGGGGCCATTAGAAGAGACTTTTAGAGCGGAGTTGTAACCACTGGAATCAGTACAAACTAAATGAAGAAGTAACGATGGATGTTGAGTCGGTATGATTTAATTAACCGGATGTATAATATATGATTATTGCGTATTACGGAACTGGGAAAAATCAAATAAAAGGGCGGATTGGGCGGGGTGGGGAATGAGATAAACAAAGAATGAAGGCGGAGGGTCACAGATCAGGGCTTTTGTTGCAGCTTGCTGCCGTTAAGCAAGATGGGCAAGGGAAAGGGGGTGGGTGGCGAGCCCATCAATGACATTGATCCACATACCGTATTTTTTGCTCTATAGGACGCACTTTTCCTCCTCCAAAAATTAAGGGGAAATGTGTGTGTGTCCTATGGAGCGAATGCAGGCTCCTTGGCTTCCGCGATAGCAATGCAAAGCCTCCGAAGCGCAGATGGAGCACTCCCTCTGTGCTCCGGAGGCTTCGCGTTGCTTTCGCTGAAGCCTGGAGAGCAAGAGGGGTCGTGCGCACCGACCCCTCTCGTTCTCCAGGCTTCGGGGATAGCCGCCTGAAGCCTTCGGAGCGCAGTGCGAGTTCCTGCTGCGCTTCGGAGGCTTCAGGTTCCTTTCGCTGAAGCCAGGAGAGCAAGACACTCCTGGCTTCAGCAGAGAGGGAAGAAGAAGAAGAATAGTTTGGATTTGATATCCCGCTTTATCACTACCCGAAGGAGTCTCAAAGCGGCTAACATTCTCCTTTCCCTTCCTCCCCCACAACAAACACTCTGTGAGGTGAGTGGGGCTGAGAGACTGCAAAGAAGTGTGACTGGCCCAAGGTCACCCAGCAGCTGCATGTGGAGGAGCGGAGACGGGAACCCGGTTCCCCAGATTACGAATCTACCGCTCTTAACCACTACACCACACTGGCGCAACGCCCCTTCCGCCAAGTGGAAGGAGAAATGGAAGGGGCTCCGTTTCTCCTGCCGCTTCGCTGAAGGGGCACTGAGCAGAGGGGGGAGATTATTATTTTTCTTGTTCTCCCCCTCTAAAACAAGGTGCGTCCTATAGAGCAAAAAATACGGTACAAGCCGGAATGCTCACAGTCACAGAATTGTAGACTCGGTTTGGGCCCCTAAGGGCTATCTAGTCCAACCCTCTGCAATGCTGTCCCTGCCAGCCAGGGTAGGAGACAATACTGAGCTGGACAAACCAACGGCTGGACTTAGTATAAACACAGCAGTTCTCAACCTGTGGGTCCCCAGATGCTGTTGGACTACAACTCCCATCATGCCTGAGCTCTGGCCTTGCTAGCTAGGGGTGATGGGAGTTGTAGCTCAACAACATCTGGGGACCCACAGGTTGAGAAAGGCTGCTATAACGCCAATCCTGGCCCGACCGCACTGGCTGCCAATTAGTTTCCGGGCCCAATTCAAAGTGCTGCTATGACCTATAAAGCCTTAAACGGCTCAGGACCGAAATACCTCAAGGACCGCCTCTTTCCATATGAACCTACCCAGACCCTGAGATCATCTTCTGAGAACCTTCTTTGTGTGTCTCCTCCACGAGAGGTCTGGAAGGGCGGCAACACAAGAACGGGGCCTTTTTTGCGGTGGCTCCCCGTTTCTTAGGGTTGTGGGTTCAAGCCCAACGTTGGGCAAAGGATTCCTGCATTGCACTAGATTTCCCTTGTGGTCCCTTCCAACTCTACGATTCTAGCAATAGATAGTAATAATAATAATAATAATAATAATAATAATAATGTCGCTCCCTCTGCTTCTAATTAAGAGAGAGAGAGAGACGAGATGAATGGTTTGATGAAGATGATGGACTACGCCGAAATTGACTGGGAAAATCAAAAACCAGGAAGAGAAGAACTTTAAGAAGGAATGGGAAAATTTACACTGTACTTAAGACAACATTGTAAACAACTAAAAACCGGCAGCAATCGAGCAATGTTTGTAATGTACTAAAAATTAAGGTAAAACTGGATTGTGTAAGAAAAATAGAGAAAATAAGTGAAACAGTGGAGAAAGATTGAAAATGGTAACCATGGAAGGGTTGGGGAGGGGAGTCAAAGGATTCAAGGAATCCTAAATGATGATGGTGGTGGTGTTTGTTTGAATTTAAATTCAATAAACCAAATAAAAAAGAGAGAGAGAGAGAGAGATTAACCTCTTCGTCTGCCCGGTTGCCCTTTCAAACTCCATCACCCACCTGCCTCGTGCCGACAGGTAACAGACTCCGACAATGCAAAGCGGCCGAATCCTGGCCCTTCCACCATCCAGCCAACATCCTAAGCAAACAGGAACTGGGCCGAGAATAACATTTCCACTCTCTGGGCTTCCCCCACGGGAACTGCGGGGTTTTGTTGTTTTATCTTCCCTCAAGTGCCTGTCCCAGTGGATTCCCCGTCCTCTCTTTGACAAACCCAGCCCCCAGGCTCTGGCCTGCGAGGGACCGATTCCCCTCTGGCCCCCGCGTCTCTGCCACAGGGGAGACGCAGCCTATGAATGATTCAAGCCTCTGCCGGCTAGTGTTACGCGTACAGAAATAAAACAGGAAGCAGGACAAGGGGGAATCAATTATTCACATTTTCGCAAGGTGCACCAGTAAAAAAAAAAAAAGAAAAGAGAAACGGGAGGTGGGGGAGAGGAAAGATCCCGCTGTGCCACCCATCAGCGATTGCTTTCCGACGACATGCAGAATCATCTCGCGGGAAAGATCATGGAATCGGTTTGCTGAATGCCAATACGAACGCTTGCTCAGAATAATTGCGAATTGTTTTGTTCTCAAGGAGAATTTATAAAGCTAGGTATGTATCTTCCCTGAGCTATCAAGTTGAAAGGATACATTCGGGCATAATACGCGGGTGGCACTGTGGGTTAAACCACAGAGCCTAGGGCTTGCCAATCAGAAGGTCGGCGGTTTGAATCCCCGTGACGGGGTGAGCTCCCATTGCTCGGTCCCTGCTCCTGCCAACCTAGCAGTTTGAAAGCACGTCAAAGTGCAAGTAGATAAATAGGTACCGCTCCAGCAGGAAGGTAAATGGCGTTTCCGTGCGCTGCTCTGGTTCGCCAGAAGTGGCTTAGTCCCGCTGGCCACATGACCCAGAAGCTGTACGCCGGCTCCCTCGGCTAATAAAGCGAGATGAGCAATGCAACCCCAGAGTCATCCGTGACTGGACCTAAGAGTCAGGGGTCCCTTTACCTTTACCTTTAACAACGTTAAAGATGCCCTCCCCATGTCATTTCCGTAACACAACTAACACTAAACAGGCAAGGTGCTAATATCACCAAACATGTGAATGCCAGTTCCCAAAAACCAATTTTTTGGCTTTTCAGTGGTTCCTTTACTAGCCGGCCACAAATATGCACCTCGCTATTAGGAAGCAAAGGAAATTCTTTTACATCCACTGCCCTTAGCAGGCAGACCAAGTTCTGCTGATGAGCATCTTGGTCGAGAGCCAAGTTTCTACCATTACAATCTCTGGCGAAGCGCCGTTTGGGTGAAAATAAATCAACACAGCCAGAGAGAAGCGGAGCAGCTTTTCCACGGTGCAAATGAATAGATGAAAACAGTTGCCACCTGCTGCCACCCCATTTCCCCATCAGCCAACCCGCAAAAAAAAGTTCACCTCCAGATTATGCGCAGGAAGTCTGCAAGTCTCACTCTTTTGATACAAGGCTCCACCTTGGTTAACGATTCATCCACAGGTAATGAACGATAAGGATAATAAAAATTGTCATCAAGATAATGGGGTCGTTCCTCTTAAATGTCTCTTATTCCAGCAAGGAATAATTCCAGCAAGGAATTCCAGCAGAGCAGGATGTGCTCTGACCCTCCTAAGGCCTAATGCTGGAAACGCCAATAATAATAATAATAATAATAATAATAATAATAATAATAAGTGCAATGCTGGTGAAACATCTGTAACCCGAGGTACCACTGTACTCTATTCTGAACTAAAAGAAATGGAAAGTGTAATGCTGGTGGTCAACAAAAGAGGTTTAAAGACTCTCGCAAGGCAAATCTAAAAAAAATGAAGTATAAACACCGACAACCAGGAAACACTGGCCTGCAAATGTTCCAATTGGAGAACAGCCTTTACCAAAAGTGTCAGGGGTTTGAAGACGCTCAAACTCAGGACGCAAGGGAGAAATGTGCGAAGAGGAAGGAACACTTGGCAAATCCACACTGTGATCAACTCTCGCCCAGAAACCTATGTCCTCACTGTGGAAGGACGTGTGGATCCAGAATTGGCCTCCACAGTCACTTACGGACTCAAGACTATGTTCATGGAAGACAATCTTACTCAGCTACAAGTGATCGCCGAAGATGGAGGGGGGGAATGATGATGATGATGTTAATCTGGGCAGCGTCCAACATATATAACAACATAATAAAACATTAAACCTTAAAAGGTTTATACAGGGCTGACTTCAGATGTCTTCTAAATTTTATAGAGTTACTCATCTCCTTGACATATGACGGGAGGGCATTCCACAGGGCAGGCGCCACCACCGAGAAGGCCCTCTGCCTGGTTCCCAGTAACCAGGGAGGGAACCGCCAGAAGGCCCTCAGAGCTGGACCCCAGTGTCCAGGCTGAACGATGGGGGTGGAGACGCTCCTTCAAGTATACTGGTCCAAGGCCATTTAGGGCTTTCAAGGTCAGCACCAACACTTTGAATTGTGCTTGGAAACGTACTGGGAGCCAATGTAGGTTTTTCAGGACCAGTGTTATATGGTCTCGGCGGCCGATCTCAGTCACCAGTCTGGCTGCCGCATTCTGGATTAGTTGTAGTTTCCGAGTCACCTTCAAAGGTAGCCCCACACAGAGAGCATTGCAGTAGTCCAAGCAGGAGATAACCAGAGCATTCACCACTCTAGTGAGACAGCCTGTGGGCAGGGAGGGTCTCATCCTGTGTACCAGATGAAGCTGGTAGATAGCCGCCCTGGAGACAGGATTGGCGCCTCCATGGACAGCTGTGAGTCCAAGATGACTCCAAAATGCCTGATCCTTTAGGGCAGTGGTTTTCAACCAGTGTGCCGTGGCACCCTGGGATGCCTTGAATGATGGTCAGGGTTGCCGTGGGCAACACTGGCCTCCATCCCTCTCTCCTTCTCTCCCTCCTGATTGTGCTGGGCCCGGGGGAGACCCGTGAAAAGCGGTCCAGTTCCAGTCCAAACTCCGAAGGTTCCCCTGGGAGTCAGTCCGACAGGGCTGAGTCAGGACACGAGGCAGGAAACCAGGCAAGGACAGGTACAGGATCTCAGGCAAGATCTAGCATACAGCAATGTTGCTCCCGCCACCTGGGGCGGGGTCCGACAGCCTTTTATCTTTGTCAGGGTACCGGCCGGTCCTGATCCCCCGGCGACTCACCTCCCTGTTTTGCCCGAAGGCAAGCACTCCTCCTGCAAGTACTCAGGTCTCTCCTTCTCTCAGACCTCAGTCTCTGCAGCTCGGGAGACGTCGGTGGGTTACTAGGCCCAGGGGCCGCCTCAGCCTCCCCTGACCCAACCGGTAGTGGAGCAGCTGTGAGTGATGGCCCAGCTGGAGGCAACGAGCGCATTCCCGCATCTGGAGCCAGGGCAGGCTCAGCCCCTGACTCGGCCCAGCTGGTGTTTGTTGCAGGGGAACCTGTGCAGACTGGGACTCTTCAGGATCAGGCCCCAGACTTGGTTCAGATGATGCCTGAGGCAAAGGATCCGGTGCAGACTGAAACTCCTCTGGTTCCGAGTCCGAGCCCGAGTCCCAGGCCATCACACTGATGCCCTCTTGCATCTCTGCCTCCCAAAGGCTTGCACAGCTGTTTGTTGCAGCAGCCCTGGCTACAAGCTCCTTAGGAGAATGGTGTCTCTGGCGCTGGCCAGGGGGTGCTCGTTGCCAGGAGCTGAGGCAGCCTCAGAGTAAGCAAAAAAGCGGGCGAGGGATCCCAGCCAGCCATTCTGCTAGGCCCTGCTTCTGGGAATGAACGGACAAGTCTCAGTGCCCTGTGGGGCAATGTGAGGGGGCACCTCTCTTTGGGGTGGGGAGTGGGGCAGCTCAGAGAACAGGAGCGGCAGCAGCAGATACCCAGAGGACTCCCAAGGAGAGGGGAGAGGAGAGGAGGCTGAGGGAACGCTTGTTTGAAAAGGGGTGAGGGGCTGCCAGCTCTGCAGGCAAGGGGTGACCTAACTGGGCTCCTGAGCCCCACAGGGGTGCCGGAGAAAGAACACAGTTGGTCAAGGGAGCCGCGGACTCAAAAAGATTGAAAACTCTATTGTTTTTAATATTTGGTTGGAAGCCGCCTAGAGTGGCTGGGGAAACCCAGCCAGATGGGCGGGGTATAAATAATAAATTATTATTGTTGCTGTTGTTGTTGTTGTTGTTAAGTTGTGGGTGAACATATCAGACGACACAGCGATTCTTCAAATAGCTCTTGTTTATTCACAGGCCAGAACAGAACTGAACTGAAGGGTTCAGCCAGCCTGCTTATATAGAGCTCCACTTCAACGCAACAGGAACCACTTTCTGTAACTATCCAATCACTGAACGTTACTTCCAATCCCTTATTTGCATATGTGGACCCGAGTGAAAACTATCTACAGTATCCCCCTGCTTTAGGGACACAGTCACTCCATTCAGGACCAGGAAGCCCCACACACCTTCCCGCCCCCTGTCCATCAGAAACAACGCAATCTTTCCCCCAAGATTCAGGAACGGAGAAATCAGCTCAGTGGTAGAGAACTTGAAAACATGCGGAGAAGCCAATGGCCCATTAAAACAGAATTTAAAGAATCCAGCTTGACTACCCAGGTGAGGTTATGCCCCCGCCACATGTTTCAAGCTAACCGTTTTTTCAAAACGCAACTCCAGTCAATTAATATTTGAGAGGAGAGGCATACGCAGCTCGGGCCCAATTAGCCAGATGTGTTTCGCATGGGTATCCGTGACATTTGTAGCAGGGTGGGGTGAACCGCAGTAACAAAGCGATAAGCGATTGCGAAGCCTATTAAAGATCTGGGTAATTGTGTGCCAAACACATTTGCAATCTCTCCAGGCTCGTTAGAAGATTACTTCCCGTCTCGCGCACTGGGGGGAATACCAAAAATAAACTTTTCTTTATTTTTTTCCGCCTGCTGAAGTGTTTGCAAGCTCTCAAGGAGTCAATTAAGTCCTCCTGAATAAGCTGAAGGCCAGCTCGGAATCTGTGGGAGGCCAGACAATTTTTTATTTTTTATTTAAAAACCAAATAACCTGATTGAAACTAGACGGGATCCAATTGCATCACCACTTTGTTTGTCCTAAAAGAAGAGTAGAGAGGGAAACCCAGTCAGAGGGGCGACATATAAATTATTATTATTATTATTATTATTATTATTATTACCATTACCACAAACACCACACTTCCCTTCCAAAGACCACATGCCAAGGTGAAAGACTTCTGGGAAAAGATTTATAATGAATTGAAAAAAATGTGAAATATAAATTTATAAAGAAACCAGAGGCCTTTCTTCTTGGAATAACAGGTTTGGAATTGCCCAAGAAAGATGTTAAATTATTTTTGTATGCCACAACTGCTGCTCGTATTCTGTTAGCTAAAAAGTGGAAAGCCCAAGAATTACCAACAATAGAAGAATGGCAGATGAAGATGATGGATTTTTCGGAGCAAGACGACGTAACCGGAAGAGTCCGCGACCAGGAGGAGGAGTATCAGGAAGAGTGGAATAAATTTAATGATTATTTAGTTAAATTTGCTAAGTTAAACTAACTGAAAACAGCTTGCAGATACTTAATGGGCTTAGGATTTTATTTATGTTAAGTGATGAATTAATATGTTTAATTCCATAAGGTGAAGATCTAAGGATGTTAATGTTTAAGTTAAATTTCATAAAATTTGGGATTTGGAAAACCGTTAAAAGGACATGCAATGAAATTCAACCAAGAGGAAGCGAGGAAGTCACTTAACAAAGTTAATAACTGTAATTTTCAATAAGGCTATGATTTTTGTGTGTTTGTTTGTTTATAATATTGTGAAAACTAATAAAATTTTTGAGAAAAAAACAAAAAACAAAGACCACATGCCAGAGCAATGAATATGATGATATGGATTTGGGGAGGTACCCCCTAAACCATGGGTCGGCAAACTAAGGTCCGTGGGCCGGATCAGGCCCAACTGGATTTATTTTATTTTATTTTATTTTGTAAGCTTATGGGTTCAAGGAAGCCCTTGAGGATGATGAGAATCGATCACAATTCACTCCGAGAACATCTGCCTGGCAGGTCATATTAGGGGGTTTTGAAGGCGATGGAAGAAGCTATTTGCAATCCATTTCATCAGTAGCCCCTTCATCAGCCTTTCACAAAGAGAAACCACGAGGGAATCATCAACTCTCTTAGTGGATGACTCCAATATCTATTTAGTCAAAGTGCTTTCAAGCCGGGGGGCGGGGGGCAGAGAATTCGTTTTTTATTACCCTGAACTCTTAATGCAGTCCAGCGCTTGCTATCTCCTTCCATCTGATATATTTTTCTCATTTTCCTGCTTCTGCGCCAAAGCCACAAAACACATTTTGCCAGCTCGCAGCAAGTAGCAGGTCTAAATTGCGCAAACCAATACAACAATATTCAGCCCAGCTGTCCCCAACATATATCAGGAAGGATCGCTGCTTTCTGCTACCGACTCTCAACCCCCAAGAAATCAGTGCCTTTTGGGAAGGGTTTTTTTTAATTAAAAAATTGTGCTCCTGTGTCTAACTGCCTAACCATCAGTAAAATCTGAATCTGGCTTGCAGCCATTTCACAATAAAGTGCAGAAACATCCATTATGGCGTTAAACATCTTTGCAAATTAAGACACCTTTCAACACACACGCACAAGCAAAATCATTGCGGTCAGTTTATTAACATGCCTGAAGCACTAGTCTTGATGGTATTTAATCAGTACTTAACTGGGCTCTTTGTCATTTAATCTTCCTCCGTTTTATAATTTTGTATTCATTTTGCATTTGGACATTACTGCAAGACCCCTAGAAGCTAAATAGCTCAGTCAGTAGAATATGAGACTCTTAATCTCAGGGTCACGGGCAGCGCCGGATTTACGTACAGTGGTACCTCAGGTTACATACGCTTCAGGTTACATACGCTTCAGGTTACAGACTCCGCTAACCCAGAAATATTACCTCGGGTTAAGAACTTTGCTTCAGGATGAGAACAGAAATCAAGCTCCGGTGGAGCGACAGCAGCAGGAGGCCCCATTAGCTAAAGTGGTGCTTCAGGTTAAGAACAGTTTCAGGTTAAGTACGGACCTCCGGAACGAATTAAGTACTTAACCCGAGGTACCACTGTATAAGCTAAACAAGCTATAGCTTAGGGCTCCACTCTCTTGGGGGGGCCCCAAAAATGTAAAGGAAAAAAAACACCTGGGTGTACATTTCCAAAATATAAGATAAAAAACAAATAAAATAAAACCTACATACAGCAAGTGTTTTGTGTTGTGTAGGCTGCTAGGATGTAAGTCATGGGTAGGCAAACTAAGACCCAGGGGCCGGACCCGGTCCAACTGTCTTCTAAATCCGGCCCGTGGATGGTCCGGGAAAGAGCATGTTTTTACATGAGTAGAATGTGTCCTTTTATTTAAAATGCATCTCTGGGATATTTATTGTGGGGCATAGGAATTCGCTCATTATTATTTTTCAAAATATAGTCCAGCCCCCACAAGGTCTGAGGGACAGTGGACCGGCCCCCTGCTGAAAAAGTTTGCTGACCCCTGATGTAAGTAATGGGCCCCACCTGCTAGCCTGCTCCCTAAAATATCACTGGTTTGCATCATTTTAAGTTAGAGCTTAATAATTATTTCACTATTAATATACTTCTTCTTAATTGTATTTCAGTTTAACAATTGCATTGATAAAATACATATTTTGTTATGTGCAAATGGCTTGAGATACCTATTAGGTCCATAAATTGCCATCTAGCATATATTCAACACAAAAAAACAGCGACATTTTGTTGTGGGCAAGGGACAGCTGGACATATAAAGGGCCCCATTCCCTTCAGTAGCTTAGGGCCTCATCAAACCTAAATCGGACCCTGGTCATGGGTTCGATCCCCACACTGGGCAAAAGATTCCTGTATTGAAGGGGGTTGGACTAGATGACCCTGGTACAATGCAGGAATCTTAACTAGAGCATCTATGGCAAATGGCCGTTCAACCTCTGCTTAAAAACCTCCAAGGAAGGAGAGCCCACAAACTTCTGAGTGAGTCCGTTCCACTGTGGAGCAGCTCTTACTGTCAGAAAGTTCTTCCTGATGTTGAGTCAGAATCTCCTTTCTTGTAAGTCATGGGTTCGAGTCCTACCCTCCAGAGCAGGAGAAAACAAGCTTGCTCCATTTCCCATGTGACAGCCCTTCAGATATTTGAAGATGAAGATGATGATGATGATTTGAACCCTGCCCCCATCTGGCCGAGTTTCCCCAGCCACTCTGGGCGGCTCCCAACAGAATATTAAAAATAGAATCAAACATTAAAAACTTCCCTAAACAGGGCTGCCTTCAGATGTCTTCTAAAAGTTGTGTAGTTCTTTATCTCCTTGATATCTGATGGGAGTGTGTTCCACAGGGCAGGTGCCACCACCGAGAAGGCCCTCTGCCTGCTTCCCTGTAACCTCACTTCTCGCAGGGAGGGAACCGCCAGAAGGCCCTCAGCACTGGACCTCTCAGCCAATAAAGCGAGATGAGCGCCGCAACCCCAGAGTCGGCCACGACTGGACCTAATGGTCAGGGGTCCCTTTACCTTTATGACTTCCCTTGAGCTGGACACTAGACTTCTGTTGATGCAGCCTAGAACTGCATTAGCTGTTTCTGCAGCCAAAGAACCCCTGAAAGCTATTCCCGGATAGCAACATGATGTGCCTTTGCTTAGGACTGTACACAAATTACAGACGTTTCCGCACACAGCTCGCGCCACGGACTTTCAGCTGCTTGAGCAAAGCATTGCAATTTAGGCCTCTTCATTTAGCACCTTCATGCTTAGCTAGATAATTCTAAATGCTCAGTCGCCCGGGATGCTTGCAAGAGTGCGAAAGGGGAAGCAAATGACGTCCCTTTCCACACATCTCAGCTGCAGGGATCAGATTTGGTTAAGAATAAGGTTGGCAATATTGGATAGTGGGTTGTGATGCAATTTTATTATCTTCTGACGGCTGCAAAGCCTTTGAGGGTAATAAGGATTGACTGACAGATACTTAGCTTGCATGTTCAGACTACAGCACCCCCCGGAAACCGACAGAACTGCTCCTTAAAAATATATATACAGTGGTACCTCGGGTTAAGTACTTAATTCCTTCCGGAGGTCCGTACTTAACCTGAAACTGTTCTTAACCTGAAGCACCACTTTAGCTAATGGGGCCTCCTGCTGCTGCCGCGCAATTGCTGTTCTCATCCTGAAGCAAAGAACTGTTCCTTAAAAATATATATACAGTGGTACCTTGGGTTAAGTACTTAATTCATCCTGGAGGTCCGTTCTTAACCTGAAACTGTTCTTAACCTAAAGCACCACTTTAGCTAATGGGGCCTCCTGCTGCTGCCGCGCAATTGCTGTTCTCATCCTGAAGCAAAGTTCTTAACCCAAGGTACTATTTCTGGGTTAGCGGAGTCTGTAACCTGAAGCGAATGTAACCTGAAGCGTATGTAACCCGAGGTACCACTGTATTCTTGTTTGCTCCCTTCTTGTGGTATTGTTTTTGTCTGTTTGTGTTGTATGTTTTGCAATTAAGATAATAAATAATTATAATTATAATTAAAGATATACAGTACTATTTCTGGGTTAGCGGAGTCTGTAACCTGAAGCGTCTGTAACTGAGGTACCACAGTATAATGAAGTCATCAGATGAACCTCCCTAAGGAGAACATTCCACAAACATGGAGCCACTGCAGGAAAGGCCCTGCTCCCATGTTGCAGGTCATCGAACCTCTGAAGCTAGAGGAATGACCACAAAGGCCACCTCTGCCCATCTCGGTGCCAGAGATACCACCCAATATTAAGCAGTTTCAAAGTTTTTGTGGAACTGAAGAGTTGGAAGGGCGCCCAAAGGTCATCCAGTCCAGCCCGCTGAAATGCAGGAATCTCAACTAAACCATCACTGAAAGATGGCCTTCCAGGCTCTACTTAAATGCCTCAAAGGAAAGAGAGTCCTATGTTTACTTGATACAAAGGACTCAAGCAGGGAAAACTTCGCCGCTCTCTAGAAGCCACCTTTTCCTAAGTCAGGTCACCTGGCTGCAAGGTCTGAGATAGGGGACATCCAACCATACCTGGGAGGTGCCAGAGAGCGTACCTGGGACCATCTGCAATCCAAGGAGAGATGGATCGCCAGCAAAGGGAGAGCGTCTCTTCTGCAGACAAAATGGAGATACAGGTGATATGCCTCTTCACATACTAACCCCTAAATAAATAAAACCTAAACCCTAAATAAATAAACCCTAAGCCCTAAATAAATTGCAGGCTAGTGAGTTTCTTAGGGACGCTGGTGGCGCTGTGAGTTAAACCACAGAGCCTGGGGCTTGCCGATCGGAAGGTTGGCGGTTCGAATCCCCACGACAGGGTGAGCTCCCGTTGCTCGGTCCCTGCTCCTACCAACCTAGCAGTTTGAAAGCACGTCAAAGTGCAAGTAGATAAATAGGTACCGCTCCAGCGGGAAGGTAAAAGGTGTTTCCGTGCGCTGCTCTGGTTCGCCAGAAGTGGCTTGGTCAGGCTGGTCACATGACCCAGAAGCTGTACGCCGGCTCCTTTGGCCAGTAAAGCGAGATGAGCGCCGCAACCCCAGAGTCGTCCGTGACTGGACCTAATGGTCAGGGGTCCCTTTACCTTTACCTAGTAAGTTTCTTATTTCCAAACGTGGGTCAAATGGGCCGAGGGGGGATTAGACCCACAGTGTCCTCTCTGCCAATGAGACTACAATGGTACCGTGGTTCTCAAACTTAATCCGTTCCGGAAGTCCGTTCCAAAACCAAAGCATTCCAAAACCAAGGCGTGCCTTCCCATAGATAGTAGTGCAAAACGGATTAAAGTGTTCCAGACTTTTAAAAACAACCCCTAAAACAGCAATTTAACATGAATTTTACTATCTAACGGAGCCACTGATCCATAAAATGAAATCAATAAACAATGCACTGCGGTCACACAATCAACTAATCAGGAGCTGAACTGGGTTCCACACAGTCACAAAAACAAAATGAAAAAGAGCCGCAAAAACAAAAACGCAAAACAAATAGCAAAAACAGACAGACCTCAGCGTAACACTCAAAACAGAAGTGTGGCTCTCAAAACGGAGCACGTTTGGCTTCCAAAAAAAGTTCGCAGAGTGCAATACTTACTTCCGGATTTGCAGTGTTTGGGTTCCAAGTTGTTTGAGTACCAAAGCATTTGAGAACCAAGGTACCACTGTACTGCAATTCCAAAAGGAAGTGCTGATATTAAAACCTGATTTGGGAAAAGCATGAAAGAGTTATTACTTTGGTGTGCAAATCCTGATTTGGTGGGGGCCATAATTCACCCTCCCTGTGTGCAGGAGGGGAGACATTTCCCCCGACTTTGCACTTCTTCACTGCCTCTACGAAAGATGCTTTTTTGACCTTTCATTCAGTCTAAGACTTAAGCTGAGGTTAAGTGCGCGTTTGTTAATTAAAGGATCTTTAGCCGCACACGCGTATAATAATTTGCCCACGCATTAGCTTTTGGCCTGACAGCTTAGCAAGGGGAGAAAGGAAAAAAAACAAAACCAGAGAAGAGTTGAGAAAGTAATTATGAAAGGAATTTCTCATTAAAGGAGCTTGTGGGGAAGACCTATGAACCAACCGCCTGGTTTAAGCAACCTGGAAGTGGTGGGGAAATGGCTTGGTTCCTTTTGGAGGGTGGCAAAGAACAAGAGTTATTTCAAGGAACTTTTATTACCGTATTTTTCACTCTATAGGACACACTTTTTCCCCTTCAAAAATGAAGGGGAAATGTGTGTGCGTCCTATGGAGCGAAGACGCCATAGCCCCGCGACCCTCGCCCGGCTGGAGAGGTGACGCGCGGCTATGGCAGGAGCCTCTCCGCTGCGCCTTTCCGCTGCTCCTGACCTGCTCTTTGGGGCTGGTGGTGGGCTTCCCCGCCAGCCCCAAAGAGCAGGTCGAAAGGAACCTGACGCCTGGAGAGCGAGAGGGGTCGGTGTGCACTGACCCCTCTCGCTCTCCAGGCTTCCAAGGTAGCCGCCTGAACGCACCTTAAATGGCACCTTGTTTTAGAGCGGGAAAACAAGAGGGGGAAAGTTCTCCCCCTCTCTGCGCAGCGCCTCCTGCCGCTTCGCTGAAGGGGCCCTGGGCAGAGAGGGGGAGATTTTTTTTTCTTGTTCTCCCCCCTCTAAAACAAAGTGCGTCCTATTGTCCGGTGCGTCCTATGGTGCGAAAAATACGGTATGTTTTTATATAAGCGTGAAGCAGCCCAGAGTGGCTAGGAAAACTCAAGTCAGATGGGTGGGGTACAAACTAAAACAGTGGTCAGTAGATCATGATCTTTATTGTTGCACAACAGATCCCCACAGAAGTAAGAACTTTTTTAAAAACTTCCCTCGTCCCCCCAGAATACACTTCAAGCAGCATCATTGATACAGCATCACTGCATCACTAGCATGTCACAAATGGGGAGGGGAATACAAGGGTTACACAAGCTCAACATTAGGCCACTTGATCAGACACCTTTCCCAACAGCTCTTAAGTAAAGGTAAAGGGACCTCTGACCCCTGTTAAGTCCAGTCTCTGGGGTTGCGGCGCTCATCTTGCTTTACTGGCCAAGGGAGCCAGCGTACAGCTTCCGGGTCATGTGGCCAGCATGACGAAGCCACTTCTGGCGAACCAGAGCAGTGCACGGAAACGCCGTTTACCTTCCCGCCGGAGCGGTACCTATTTATCTACTTGCACTTTGACGTGCTTTCGAACTGCTAGGTTGGCAGGAGGTGGGACAGAGCAATGGGAGCTCACCCCGTCTCGGGGATTCGAACCGCCAACCTTCTGATCGGCAAGTCCTAGGCTCTGTGGTTTAACCCACAGCGCCACCCGCGTCCCAACGTCTTAAGTCCCCATCACGAAAGAACAATAAAACTCTTGACATATCCTTGCCCTCAAATCTTGCCTGGAGATGGGCTTTCATAACACCTGACTTGCTCAACTGCCTCTGTGGATGTCGATTGTTCCCCCCCGGTCGCTCCCTGGGTGGGGGGCCGTGTCTGTGCACTCACACTTGGGGAACTATGGCAGGATGCCCTGTTCCTGCTGGCTATGTGACTTCCGACTTCTTGGTTCATGGAGGGAGGTGGAACCAAAATTCACCTTTCTTTAATGGTCGGTTAAAGTATGGATTTTCTCCAATTTTTTAAAGCTTGGTATCTTCCCTTTAGCTATCAAGTCGAAAGGATACATTCAGGCACAATATTTGTAACATTGTAACAACTTTTAAGATCCCTCCCCCATGTCATTTCCGTAACAATAGAGCTGCCTCATAGCACACATACTTTACGGAACCAGGGTAAAAAGGTAAAGGTAAAGGGACCCCTGACCGTTAGGTCCAGTCGTGACCGACTCTGGGGTTGCGGCGCTCATCTCGCTTTATTGGCCGAGGGAGCCGGCATACAGCTTCCACGTAATGTGGCCAGCAGCACTAAGCCGCTTCTGGCAAACCAGAGCAGCGCACGGAAACGCTGTTTACCTTCCCGCCGGAGTGGTACCTATTTATCTACTTGCACTTTGACGTGCTTTCAAACTGCTAGGCTGGCAGGAGCAGGGACAGAGCAATGGGAGCTCACCCCGTTGTGGGGATTCGAACCGCCAACCTTCTGATCGGCAAGCCCTAGGCTCTGTGGTTTAGACCACAGCGCCACCGGCGTCAGCCTCTTAAGTACCCATCATGAAAGAACAATAAAACTCTTTGCATACCCTTGCCCTCAAAACGACGGAGATGAAGATGCTCCTTCAGGTCTACTGAGCCGAGGCCATTTAGGGCTTTCAAGCTCAGCACCAACACTTTGAATTGTTCTTGTAAACGTATTGGGTATTAGCTTACACAGTGGTACCTCGGGTTAAGTACTTAATTCATTCCGGAGGGCCGTTCTTAACCTGAAACTGTTCTTAACCTGAAGCACCACTTTAGCTAATGGGGCCTCCAGCTGCTGCCGCGCCACTGGAGCACGATTTCTGTTCTCATCCTGAAGCAAAGTTCTTAACCCGAGGTAATATTTCTGGGTTAGTGGAGTCTGTAACCTGAATTGTATGTAACCTGAAGCGTATGTAACCCCAGGTACCACTGTATATCTGAGTTCCTAACACTGCCTCTGTGCCCACCTAGCTTCTTACAAAAACCTTCCACCCACAAAATAAATAAAATTAGACAAGCCACACTGCATAATACAATTAAAATGCAAGGGGGCGACAGAACCAACCACTGTCATTGAGGTGGTCCCAGGTGGATGTGCTCAGATCTTGCTTGCATCCTTCCCTTTTGGCCACCTTGGGAACAGGATGCTGGTCTCTATGGGCCTGATCCCAGCAGCTGAGCTCTTCTTATGCTTTGAGGGGTTTTTAAGACAGCGTTTCGGGGCAGCAAAGGAGAGAGGGTAGAAGGCGATGGCCTGAAAGCTGGAATCCAAAGAGAAGCTCAGCACATAGCAAGCTAAAAGGACTTTTGAGCCGCAGCAAGATTATTGTTAGCCCAGAAATGGAAGCAAGAAAAAATTCTGATGAAAGAATAATGACAGATGAAAATAATGGACTATGCAGAATTGGACAAAATCCACATCTACGGAACTCGATTATTATATTCTTTCATGTTATGATCAATCATTAGTAATTGTTTTAGTCATGTTATATCAATCTTTAGTTATAATTTAATTAGGAGGTTTCATGCCTGTCTAGTTCCAGCTCCGTTTCCCAGCCTTTAATCTATCGGTGATTAATGTTTATATGTAATTCCCGCCTTGTACCTATGTTAACCAATCAGCAACAAGTTGCTTTGTGTTTGTATCAACCAATCAGCCACAAGCACACCTGTGGCAATGTTTGTAATATTCAATAAAAGAGAGTTCCCGGGGCTTGCCCCGGCAGACGCCTCTCATATGACACCTGCCACTCGTCTGTCGTGGATTCATTCCAACAAGGAAGGATTCGAAACCTGCGGGACCAGAGATTTACAGAAGATTGGAAGAAGTATATGAACTATTTGAAGAGCAACTGTAACCAACAAATTACACTAGCAGGACTACAAGTAGTTTTGTAAGGAGAAATATACGAAGTGCTACAAAGTAGATAAAGAATAGAGATACTGGTTATGAGTTTTAAATGTAACAGGGAAAATAAGAAATGTATACTAAGAGATTAGATTGGAAAATTTTCAGACAGGACTGATGGAAGTCAAAAAAAATGAATAAGATGTAAAAATATGTTTAATTACCGTTGAAAATGGTATGTTAAAAAAGAACTAATAAAAATTTTTATATATAAAAGGACTTTCGAGCCGGCCTCTCCTCCATGCAAGAGATATAACAGCAGCGCAGTTAAGTATTAGTTTTAGTTGCTTCCCAATCTGCTTTCTTCTCACAACAACAATACAGAAATGTCCAGATAAGGATAAAACACTTGAAGGCCGGAACAATAGTCTATACTCCGGGAACATTTGTTCCCAAACAATTACTGCAAGAGCAGGGATGATTCACTGAAAAGCAGTTGCTGCCTCGCACATCAGCCTCAGAGACAGCTTGCGATGCTCAGGGCATATCTAGGATGTTAAATCTGCACTAAGCAAGTGACTCAAGGCAAGGGAGTACATGTGCTGGGGGTGGAAGAGAGAATGACTGAGTTCTTCAAAAAGGGAGTTTGCCCATCTTCCACTGCCTGCAGAATGAGAAACATGCCATAGGCTCAGATCCGTGTGACTGGGGGCAGCTACCGAGACCACCGGTCTTGAAGGACCTACATTGGCTCCCAGTACGTTTCCGAGCACAATTCAAAGTGTTGGTGCTGACCTTTCAAGCCCTAAACAGCCTCGGTCCAGTATACCTGAAGGAGCGTCTCCACCCCCATCGTTCAGCCCAGACACTGAGGTCCAGCTCCAAGGGCCTTCTGGCGGTTCCCTCGCTGAGAGAAGCCAAGTTAAAGGGAACCAGGCAGAGGGCCTTCTCGGTGGTGGCGCCTGCCCTGTGGAACGCCCTCCCACCAGATGTCAAGGAAATAAACAACTACCTGACTTTTAAAAGACATCTGAAGGCAGCCCTGCTTAGGGAAGCTTTTAATGTTTAACAGACTACTGTATTTTAATACTTTGTTGGAAGCCGCCCAGAGTGGTTGGGGAAACCCAGCCAGATGGGTGGGGTATAAATAATAAATTATTATTATTATTATTCCACTTCCTTCATAAGCTTGTTCCCTCCCAAACTTACTGGTTCACGATTTGGCTATTTATACTTATTTATACAGTGGTACCTTGGGATGCAAATGGGATCCGTTCTGGAGCCCTGTTCACATCTGAATGGAACGTAAGATGCGACAGCGCATCTGTGCGTGCGTGGGTCGCATTTTGTCGCTTCCGTGCATGCGCGTGGTGTCATTTTGAACGTCTGCGCATGCGCCGAAACCCGGAAGTAACACGCTCCATTACTTCCAGGTTGCCGCGGAACGCAACCCGAAAGCGCTCAACCTGAAGCACATTCAACTCGAGGTATGACTGTATTTCCTGTGGCATTCAAAGCCCACAATGTCAGTGGTACAGCCTGGGATGGCAGGAGGGGCAGCGGTCCCAGGCACAAAATTCTGAGGGGGCGCCACCAGGTGCCCCCATAACAGGTTCCCTGGCATAGCTGAGGTCCTGCAGCCTTCTGGAGTCGCAGGGAGGCCAGCTGCATCCGGGCCAGATCTTTGGGGCTGGCGGGAAGACTGCTTCTCATTGTGGCCGGTGAAGGGACACCCTTGCCCCCTGCCCCCTAGGCTCACCGAGCCAGGAGGCGGCAGAGGATCCAAGCCGAGAAGGTGCGTGTCATCCGACAGCAGCAGCGGCAACGCCAGAGTCATGTTCCTGGCAGGCTCCACACCCCTCCAGCCCAGCTGCCCAATCCACCAGGGGATGCGACACTTGCCCCAACTCAGGCAACCCACAATATGCCACTGCGCACCGTGGTTTTCACAAACCATAGTTTACCCCTCCTTTGGATACAAAAGCAAAGTAGCTACAGCTGACGAAGCAGAAAGCTAGGTGGGAAATAGGGCTGAGCAATATCTGGTTTTCAACATCACAATATATCACCAGATAAATATCGCGATATATCGTGATATATATCTGCAGCAGCAGATAGCCTTGCTGGGCCTCCCCACAGAGGCAGAGGGTCCCGCCTACCTCCACATGGCGGTGGGGGGTGTGCCGTGCTTCCCTGCAGTAGCAAAGGGCCTTGCCACACTTCCCCGCAGCGGCAGGTGGTCCTGCTGTACCTCCTTGCAATGGCAGAGGGTGTGCCGCGCTTCCCCACAGCAGCCGAGGGCCTTGGCAAGGCTCCCTGCGGCGGTGGAGGGCCTTAAAATGGAAGAAAGTTGTAGCTTTAATAAAAATATTAAATAAACGTCCCTATATTTAAGATTAGGGGTGCGGGTGGCGCTGTGGTCTAAACCACTGAGCCTCTTAAGCTTGCCGATCGGAAGGTTGGCAGTTCGAATCCCCGCGACGGGGTGACCTCCCATTGCTCAGTCCCAGCTCCTGCCAACCTAGCAGTTTGAAAGCATGTCAAAAGTGCAAGCACAGTGGTACCTCTGGTTACGAACTTAATTCATTCCGGAGGTCCGTTCTTAACCTGAAACCGTTCTTAACCTGAGGTACCACTTTAGCTAATGGGGCCTCCCGCTGCTGCTGCCGCACCGCCGCTGCACGATTTCTATTCTCATCCTGAGGTAAAGTTCTTAACCTGAGGTACTACTTCCAGGTTAGTGGAGTCTGTAACCCGAAGTGTTTGTAACCACTGTAGGTACCACTGTAGATAAATAGGTACCGCTCTGGCAGGAAGGTAAATGGCGTTTCCGTGCGCTGCTCTGGTTTCGCCAGAAGCGGCTTAGTCATGCTGGCCACATGACCTAGAAAAACGGTCTGTGGACAAACGTCGGCTCCCTCGGCCTGAAAGAGAGATGAGCGCCCCAACCCCAGAGTCATCTGTGACTGGACTTAACTGTCAGGGATCCTTTACCTTTTATATTTAAGGTATTTTCAACTAATTTATGAGTATTTTAAGTGATTTACTAGTCAAGTTGCATATGCTTCTCCGCTCAGAGGTCTAAGTGGAATCTGTGCATGCATAAGCCCCACTGAATTCAACGAAACTTACTTCTACTTTCCTGGGAGTAAGCCCAATTGAATTCAGTAGGGCTTGCTTGTGAGTAGACACTCATTTGCTTTCAATGCTTATTGAAAAACATTTTCCTCACCATTCTCACACCGGACCCAACCTCCCATTTCCGCATAAGGCAGCCAGCTAAATCTTCTCCCCTCCATTCCCGTCCCCCCCAAAAGCCCCCCCCCCAAAGCCCTCATCCCACCAATTTCTCCCTCTTTATCAAAGGGAGGCAGGGAGGCCATGCAAGCAAAAAGATAAGTCTCCTTTACATTTAAAAAAACACACACCCCTCCGTTTTAATATGGAGGAAAGCTATTTAGGGGGAACCAACAGCATAAACACCACCAGAAAATGAAAATAAAAACTCTTCCCCCTCTATTTTTCACAGGCGAGGGAAGAAAGAATTGCTTTCTTTGTTTACTTTGCCTCTTTGATTTTTAGCAGGCTCCGAATAATTCGCTGAGCTCTAAGTGGAAATAAACCTGAAAAGTTTGCTGCTTTGTGCAACGTGCCTGCAACTTTTCTGCAAAATTTCGGTTCAGCTGAGCTACCCCCTGGGAAACTGTCCAGTCCCCACCAGTATAACGCCTCCTTGAAACACTTGATGTTATTTCAATACCGGTGTGATTTATTGCACAGCCCTAGTAGTAGTAATAATAATAAAATTATATTTATATCCCGCCCTCCCCAGCCAAAGCCGGGCTCAGAGCGGCTAACAACAGTAAAAGATACAACATTAGTAGGGAACTAGAGCAAACTGCCGTTTACTTTGGTAGCCAAACGGGGCAAACTATGGTTTGCACAAACTGCAGTGTGGACTTTGGATGTACCAGGAAACCATGGTTTGTTTGAATCGGGAAGCCAGGAAGGATATCTGAGCACACGAGGGAGGTGAGAATCTTGCAAGCCCAAGGATCAGGCATCAATGGCCAAATGACAGTGTCTTAGTCACCAAGAGAGCTCACAGTCCACCTTGGATAATTGAAAAGAAAATGCAGCTTACAGGCAGTAAAAACAATGTCATTTGACAGTGCCTGAAAAGAAGCCAAAGAATACCCTTCATCAGATTCTATTTGGCAGGTAGAACACTAGAGTCCTTCCTTGGCTAATCTAAACAAACAACTTGATAGCAGAGAAAGTTTCGAAAGTGACAGCTCTGGAGAACTGACCTTCTACAACAGCATGAAATATACAGAGAGTTTAAAACACGAGCCAGAGCTCAAGCAAAGACCAATACAGTGGTGCCTCGCAAGACGAAATTAATCCGTTCCGCGAGTCTCTTCGTCTAGCGGTTTTTTCATCTTGCGAAGCAACCCTATTAGCGGCTTAGCGGATTAGCGCTATTAGCGGTTTAGTGGCTATTAAAGGCTTAGCGGATTAGCGGATTAGCAGCTAAAAGGCTATTAGCGGCTTAGCGGCTTAGAAAAAGGGGGGGGAGCGAAAAAAAATCTCAAGACTCGCAAGACATTTTCGTCTTGCGAAGCAAGCCCATAGGGAAATTCGTCCTGCGAAGCGCATTGAAAAATGGAAAACCCTTTCGTCTAGCGGGTTTTCCGTCTTGCGAGGCATTCGTCTTGCGGGGCACCACTGTAATGCATAAGAGGCTCTCCCTCTTCTCCTGAGCATGCACAGAGTACATTCTCCATCACCATGAGGTAACCACAACTCGCCACCACAAGCCCAGAAGCAGATGGCAGAGCTTTCAGGTCAGGAGATTCTGAACTCTCAGGGTGAGTAAGAGAAAAATGATACAGTGGTACCTTGGTTCTCAAACTTAAACTGTTCCAGAAGCCCGTTCCAAAACCAAAGCGTTCCAAAACAAAGGCGCGCTTTCCCACAGGGTCGCAACGGAACACCCTCCTCTGCAGATGGGTGCTTCATTGTTATTTTTCGGAGCATATTAGCAGTTATTCCTGTAATAAACAAAATCTGCCCTTATTCCCTTATGGGAATATACACAAGAGCCCTTATAGAGTCCTTTGTAGGTTCTCCATCAGTCAGAGAAAATAACAGAGGCCAACCAGAGAATATTGAGAAGCAAAGCAGCCAGTAAGCCTGATCTTTATTGAACTGTTGCAACAGGGTCCTCCCCTCAAACGCAGGAAAGGAGGAGGACCCAGAACAAAGGTGTGTCTGCCCTTATATATACATTTTAAATTCCCTGCCCTGGAGCTCAAGACCACTCCTCCATACATTATACATACATCACAGAAAAGGCAGTCTACAGCAGAAATTCGAATGTTCTTGTTTTTCCTGTCTGCCAGGTTATCTGATAATGCCTTATCTGATTGCCTTTCCTGGTAGTCTGGCCATTCCTTTGAGATGGTGATTTCCCAATTCCTGAGACAATGGGAAGGTTCCCTCACCCCCTCCCTCCTTGCAGAGAAAACATTTGGTCAGTTTGGGAGTCAAAATGGTTTCAGGTCGGTCTTCCTGTGCTGCTCCAGACATGTGGTCCACATATCTATGTATGTGCTTGTTTGGTACATTTATGAACGTTTATTATATATATAAGACCTTAATTTTTTCCATTTCATTCCCAAGCACACTATCACGTCGCAGTCCAGAGTCTGGGAACAACCGATGCAAGATAATGTCTCTTAAGCTCAATTTGCCAAACCATTTTTAATGAATTATTGCAGCCGTTGGAACATGCAAAGAAAGCTCATTTGTCATAGCGAGCAACTGCTGCAAATTGCTCTCCCAATGTACAAAGAGTATCGATGTACTGAATATTTGTTTCCCTAGCCTTTTCGACTCCTAAGATTTCCCTTCGTGAGGCCTCAAATGCTGAAACAGAAGTTTCCCCTTTGACCCAACAGGGTAGCATTAGGGATATTGGATAAGGTGAGTCTGTCCCTCTTAAGCCCGCTTAAAGCTTCCTATTATTAGAAAAACCAACAGAAACTCTCTCTCCAGCCGCACAGAATTAGCCTGGGATCAGCCAGCTATTTGCAGTGGGGTAAAACTTTGCGCCTGCCAAGCTAGCACCCTGTGGCTTGTTACTTTTGCAGATCTGCGTCAACAGAAAAGCAGGCAGAGAACAAACCAAAGTAATATGGCCTGTGTACTGTAATGAACGTAAATCTGCCCTTATTCCCTTATGGGGGACACAAGAGCCCTTATAAAGTCCTTTGTAGGTTCTCCATCGGTCAGAGAAAAGAACAGAGGCCAACCAGAGAATATTGAGAAGCAAAGCAGCTAGTAAGCCTGATCTTTATTGAACTGTTGCAAAAGGGTGTCCCCTTCACACGCAGGAGAAGGAGGAGGACCCAGAACAAAGGTGTGCCCACCCTGGAGTCCAAGACCACCCCCAGATACATCATACATATATCACAGAAGGGGTGTAGCTCAAGACCACCCTCCAGACACATCATACCTACATCACAGAAAGGGCGGTCTACAGCAGAAATCTGACTGCGTTGTTTATCTCCTGTCATTGCTTATCTCCTGTCTGGCAGGTTACCTGTTAATGCTTACTTGACTGGATATCCTGGGGAGCCTGGCCAGTCTTTTGTAATGATGAACACTTAATTCCTGAGCCAGGTCACAGGCTCACCCTATTCATACACAGACATATCCTTAAGACAGGATTTGTGAAGGAAAAGGCAATGGGGAGGCATTTCCATTTTCCTTTGACTTTGCAGAGAAAACATTTGGTCAGTTTGGAAGTCAAGATGGCTTCATGGCTGTTTTCCTGTGCTGCTTCAGACATGTGGTTTATATATTTATGTACGTGTTTGCTTGTTACATTTGTGAACATTTATTATATATATAAGACCTTAATTTTTTTTTATTTCAGTACACATGATACATTTAAAGCACACAATTTCACCCAAGGAATCTGGGAGATGTAGTTTGCTTGGCACACTGGGGACTGCAGCTCTATGAGGTGGTAAACTACAGTTCTCAGGATTTTGGAGGGAAGACAAACAATGGACTTTTTTTTTTTAATAAATTTTATTTTATAACACCATACAAACAAAGAACACAAACACAACACATTCACACCAAAAAAAACTAAATAAAGAAAAATATATATATATAAAAAAATATATATATACTCCTGACATAAGACAACAACAAATTAACTACATTAACTACATAACACACAACACTGACTGACTTCCCTTCATCTCGGTTTCGGAATGTGTTATAAAATTTTTCTATCTGCAGTTTCTTTTCCTCAAAAAAAAAAAAATTATTTACATCACAAGTGTTATATCACACCTACTGTGTTTTTTAGTTTTTTTAACCTCTGTTTCCATGTATGCCATGAATTTATTCCAATCTTTATTAAACTTTGTGTCTTTTTGATTTCTTATTTTCTGTGTCATTTTTGCCAATTCTAGATAGTCGAGTAGTTTCGATTGCCATTCATTTATGGTTGGGATTCTTGGTGTCTTCCAATTCTGCGCTATTAGAGTTCTGGCGGCCACTGTCGCGTACTGAAAGAGTGTTTGATCTTCCTTTTGATTTCCTCTCCAATTACCCCCAGCAAAAAGGCTTCAGGTCTTTTTATAAAGGTATATTTAAAGATTTTTTTTAGTTCATTGTAAATAGATTCCCAAAATTTTCTAATAGGCTCGCACAACCACCACATATGATAAAAATCGCCATCCTTAATCTTGCACTTCCAGCATAATTTATTACCAGTTTTATATATTTTTTCCAGTTTTACGGGCGTTACGTACCACCTGTACATCATTTTGTACATATTTTCCCTGAGTGTTGTGCATGCCGAGAATCTCATACCTTTATTCCATAGTGCCTGCCATTTATCAAACTCTATGTTATACCCAAAGTCCATTGCCCATCTCACCATTACCTCCTTTACTTCTTCATCTTTGGTGTCCCATTCGAGCAACAGGCTATACATTTTCGATAGGAGTTTTGTTTTACTTTCTAATATTTCAATCTGGAATCTAGATTTTTCTCACTTATCCCATTTTTTTATCCTCGGTCCAGATAGAGTTGATTTGATGAAATTGGATCCAACCTGTCAATTTGTTCTTTATTTCTTCATATGGCCCAATCCTCCAACCGGTCTCTGTTTTTACTAATAAATCTTCGTAGGTCCATCTTTCTCCTTCGATATTTGTTTTTTTTATTGTCAGGATATCGATTGGCGAAAGCCACCAAGGGGTATTCTGTTCCAATAATTTTCTATTTCTTTCCCACACCTCCAGTAATGACCCTCTGAAGATATGGTTAGAAAATCCTTTATGGATCTTTCCCTTATTACGCCATAGGTAAGCGTGCCAACCGAATCTTAAATCAAATCCTTCTAAATCTAGCAGATCTTTATTTTTTATAATAATCCAATCCTTGACCCAACAGAGGCATGAGGCTTCATAATATAACTTTAAATTTGGGACTGCGAATCCTCCTCTATCTCTTTGGTCTGTGAGTAATTCAAACAATGGACTTTTAATGGTGCAAACAGGAGATTCGAGAGGCACTGCGGTCACAACCTCATGGAGGAGAAAGCGATCTGCGGCTACCAGCCGCAGTGACTACGCTCTGTCACCACAGTGTTGCTCGGCCACTGTACTATGCATGTTGTTTAGTCGTTTAGTCGTGTCCAACTCTTCGTGACCCCATGGACCAGAGCACGCCAGGCCCTCCTGTCTTCCACTGCCTCCCACAGTTTGGTCAAACTCATGCTGGTAGCTTCGAGAACACTGTCTCACCATCTCGTCCTCTGTCGTCCCCTCCTTCTTGTGCCCTCCATCTTTCCCAACATCAGGGTCTGTTCCAGAGAGTCTTCTCTTCTCATGAGGTGGCCAAAGTATTGGAGCCTCAGCTTCAGGATCTGTCCTTCCAGCGAGCACTCAGGGCTGATTTCCTTAAGAATGGATAGGTTTGGTCTTCTTGCAGTCCATGGGACTATCAAGAGTCTCCTCCAGCACCAGAATTCAAAAGCATCCATTCTTCGGCGAACAGCCTTCTTTAGGGTCCAGCTCTCACTTCCATACATCACTACTGGGAAAACCATAGCTTTAACTATACGGGCCTTTGCCGGCAAGGTGATGTCTCTGCTTTTTAAGATGCTGTCTAGGTTTGTCATTGCTTTTCTCCCAAGAAGCAGGCATCTTTTAATTTCATGGCTGCTCTCACCATCTGAGGTGATCATGGAGCCCAAGAAAGTAAAATCTCTCACTGCCTCCATTTCTTCCCCTTCTATTTGCCAGGAGGTGATGGGACCAGTGGCCATGATCTTCGTTTTTTTGATGTTGAGCTTCAAACCATATTTTGCGCTCTCCTCTTTCATCCTCATTAAAAGGTTCTTTAATTCCTCCTCACTTTCTGCCATACTAACCCAGAAAGCAGACTTATGCCAAGTCAGAGCCTTGGGTTCATATAGCTCAGTACTGCCAGCACGGACTGGCAGCTCCTTCCAGCCGGAAACAGAACTCGGTCGAACACACGCACAAAGCAAAACACAGCAACACTTCTGGAACTCGCAGAAGTTAGCTTGCGAAACGCTGGCACGTCCGACAGCTTTTCCTCGGATAAATTTAATGTTTAGGTAAGTGGGGAAATAATTGATTGGGGGCCGAGCAGATTCCTGCTGGACTGCAGGAACTTCGCCGTCTGTTTTGACCGACTCCCAGAAAACAGATGCAGATTTCCATCCAGAGGCGAGGGACGAAAGCAAACAACTCTGAGAGTCCCCAGAGAGCAGAGAGCCATAAACAGCTGCTATTTTTGGCCTCATTATTTGCTTTCCTTCCCCCCCCCCACGAAACGCACAGGATGCAAATTAAACTCCACTGAAAACGTAGAGGGAAACTATTTTCCAATCAATAAATGTCTTTAAGCGGGGGGGAAACCCCACCAGCTGGAGCTTACTGGCCACTTGGAAGGTTTCCCTCTAAAATGGATGGATAATTTTCGGAGAGGCAAGTTTCCCCTCTTTGTTATGAGAGAAGGAAGAGATCCCCCGTGTTCTCGAGGAAGCTGTTTGTTTTTCGGGCTCCCTGTCTCGAAAGACTTTGTTGCATTTCTTGCGGTGCCCAGAAATTGCTCCTCTGTTGAAAGCTAAAAGCAGAATCGCAACTGCCTTCCTACACATCAGTGAGAACATTCTCCTCCTTTTGATGAATATAAATCACGCCATGTTTCATAACTCTGCCGATGTAACAATGCCCCCGGGCGCGATTTGCAGTGGATGAGCAAGCATTTGTCTCCCAGTTGTTTCAACAATGGAGACAAAGCCACTATTCCCACCTTAATCCAGCTGCTGAAACCAAGAAGGGCCACAGCTCAGTGGAACAGCACCCGCCTTGCAAGAAGGAGGTCCTGCGTTCAATTCCCCCCATCTCCAGATAGTCGGTTCTCAACCTGTGGGTCCCCAGATGTTGTTAGACTACAACTCCCATCATCCCTGAGCTCTGGCCTTGCTAGCTAGGGGTGATGGGAGTTGTAGTCCAACAACATCTGGGGACCCACAGGTTGAGAAAGGCTGGTAGAGCAAGGACACTACTTCCTGAAATCCGGGAGAGTCACTGCCAGTGCAGGCAATAGTGAAATGGACCAGTGATCTGAGCCCGTGTTCAAAAGCAGCTAGGTGTATTTTGCAGCAGCCTATTGGCCACTTCATGGATCACTGCCCTTCCTTGCCAACAAAGGTTTGTAGTGGTTTTCCCAGTAGTGATGTATGGAAGTGAGAGCTGGACCCTAAAGAAGGCTGATCGCCGAAAAATTGATGCTTTTGAATTCTGGTGCTGGAGGAGACTCTGGAGAGTCCCATGGACTGCAAGAAGATCAAACCTATCCATTCTGAAGGAAATCAGCCCTGAGTGCTCACTGGAAGGACAGATCCTGAAGCTGAGGCTCCAATACTTTGGCCACCTCATGAGAAGAGAAGACTCCCTGGAAAAGACCCTGATGTTGGGAAAGATGGAGGGCACAAGGAGAAGGGGACGGCGGAGGACGAGATGGTGGGACAGTGTTCTCTTAGCTACCAGCATGAGTTTGACCAAACTGCGGGAGGCAGTGGAAGACAGGAGTGCCTGGCGTGCTCTGGTCCATAGGGTCATGAAGAGTTGTACACAGCTAAACGACTAAACAACAACAACAACATCGGCCACTTGCGACCAAGTGAAGACGCCAGGATGGTGCTGGATGTCTCCACCCTCTGGAGGTGCATGTCTGGGCATCACTGGATCTCGACTGTTTGCACACACTAACACCACATTCTGCAGAGCCTCCATCAGTTATATTTTATCTGCATAATCGGAATGAATTTCTGGAACCAAAATAAATACAGTGGATGCTCAGGTTGTGAACGTGATCTGTGCGGGATGCACATCCGCAACCGCAGCGTTCGCAACCCGCAGCGGCGCATCTGCGCATGCGCAGGTTGTGATTCGCATGCGTGACCGCCGAAACCCGGAAGTAACCCATTCCGGTACTTCCGGGTTTCGGCTGTCCGTAACCCAAAAAAACACAACCTGAAGCATCTGTAACCCGAGGTATGACTGTAATTATTATTCTTATTATTACAGTGGTACCTCGGGTTAAGTACTTAATTTGTTCCAGAGGTCTGTACTTAACCTGAAACTGTTCCTAACCTGAAGCACCACTTTAGCTAATGGGGCCTCCCACTGCTGCTGCACCGCCGGAGCACGATTTCTGTTCTTATCCTGAAGCACTATTTCTGGGTTAGCGGAGTGTGTAACCTGAAGCATATGTAACCTGAGGTACCACTGCATTATTTATTTATTTATTTATTTATTTATTTATTTATACCCTGCCCAACTGGCCAGGTTTCTCCAGCCACTCTGGGTGGCTCCCAACAGAACATGCAAAACACGCTAAAACATCAAACATTAAAAAACTTCCCTAATGCTTTTTCTGTGCAGCCTGAGAAGGAGCAATGAACAACGTTTTACAGTGGTACTGTACCTTGGTTCTCGAACTTAAAACCGTTCCGGAAGTCTGTTCGATTCCCAAAACAGTTCGACAACCGAGGGGCAGCTTCCGATTGGCTGTAGGAGCTTCCTGCAGTCAATCAGAAGCCGCGTCGGATGTTCAGCTTCTGAAAAATGTTTGCAAACCAGAACGATTACTTCCGGGCTTGCGGCATTCGGGAACCGATTTGTTCAGGTGTCCAAGCTGTTCGAGTACCAATGTTCCCACTGTGGAAGGACGTGTGGATCCAGAACTGGCCTCCACAATCACTTACGGACTCGTTGTTAAAACCGTGTTTGTGGAAGACAATCTTACTCGGCTATGAGGGATCACCAAAGAAGAAGAAGAAGCTGTTCTGGCACACACTGTTCCCAACGAAGGCATCATCCGCTTCACCCCTCTGACACTGTTCCTTGCTCCAAAAGGCTCTGAGATGCTTGAAGCCAGAGTTTTCCTGCAGCGAAGACTTGCTTCTTTAAAAGACACACAGGGAGAAAGGATTTGCTTGCTGAGATGGATTTCTGAAGGACAGGGAAAACGAGCGGGCAAGGGCAAAGGAGGACAGGCCGAACTTTGAGGGAAGAGTTCGGGCTTATTAGAGAGACGGCTTGTTTGTTCTGTTTGACGCTTGGAGGCAGGCGCATTGCTGAAGCAGAACCAGGAAGGTAGCGGGGCGCATGTCAACCGAGGAGCAGGGGACACAGCGCAAGATGAATGCCCTCCTGCGCCACTAGAGGATGGAGACGGCGCCGAGGGAATTCAAATCACAGGTGCAGGAGGGAGGATCTGCGAGAATACCAAAAGGGAAGCTGGACTAGCCTGGCTTTCCCCCTTGATTCCTGCTTTAAGGAGGTCTTATTTCAATGGGATGCGGGTGGCGCTGTGGGTTAAACCACTGAGCCTAGGACTTGCCAATCAGAAGGTTGGGGGTTCAAATCCCCGTGACGGGGTGAGCTCCCCTTGTTCGGTCCCTAACTCCTGCCAACCTAGCAGTTCAAAAGCACGTCAACATCCCCTTCAGGACTCTGCATAGGAAAGGAAGATGGAGAGCAGGCTTGGCACTCTTCCTCCCAGGGATACAATCCTGCCGTTTGCTGGGTCCTCCGTGGTACCCAAAGGATGCTCCAAGCAGAGTTTGAGAGCCACTGGGCGGAGAGAGCCCTTTTTACAGCAACTTATGCAAACAGGGAAATTTCCAATGCAAATAAATGCTTTGAAGTTCTTTTGTGGGTTATTCACGCAGATCCCCTAAGGAGGGAGCTGTGTGCGTTGCAGGCCACGTGAAGCAGCTCTTCAAAGTCCCGGACCCACAAACGCACGTCCGTCCATCCCCCACGCTTTCCCAGGAGCATTCAGCTCCATACATTTGCGAAAGCTCTCGTCCCTGGGAATCTCCGTGTGCGAGGAATCTTGCAAGAGCCATGACACCGTTCGCATCGCATATTGTTGCAGAGGTGCGGGTCTGCTGCTTTCAACAGCCGCCAGCCATCAACTGCAACATCCTGCCCCAGCATATTAAAAAACAACAACACGTTTTCTTTATTCTGCGACTTTGCTGCCAGCTTTCCTCTGGGTAACCTCTAGAGACCTGGAGTCTAAGCCCTGCCAACTTTGGCCAAATATCTCACCATATTAAACTGGGAGACGCAGGGAGATTTTCCATTGCTATCACTTATAGTTTTAGTTATTGAATTGTTGTATTTTAATATTTTGTTGGAACTGCCCAGAGTGGCTAGGGAAATCCTTATTTCCCAATGAATAGCCTTTAGACTATAATGTAACTTAAATAGAAAACTATCTTTAGAAAGATTTCCCCTCCAATAGCATTTTATTTTAAAAATCCGACTTAAGAACTTTGCTTCAGGATGACAACAGAAATCGTGCTCCGACGGTGCAGCGGCAGCAGGAGGCCCCATTAGCTAAAGTGGTACCTCAGGTTAAGAACAGTTTCAGGTTAAGAAGGGACCTCCAGAACGAATTAAGTACGTAACCAGAGGTACCACTCCCTGCTGCCAACCAGAGGACTCCCTGTTGCTAGGTAAAGGTAAAGGGACCCATGACCATTAGGTCCTGTCGTGGCTGACTCTGGGGTTGTGGCGCTCATCTTGCTTTATTGGCCGAGGGAGCCAGCGTACAGCTTCCGGGATGTGGCCAGCATGACTAAGCCACTTCTGGCGAACCAGAGCAGCGCATGGAAATGCCATTTACCTTCCCGCCGAAGCGGTACCTATTTATCTACTTGCACTGGTGTGCTTTCGAACTGCTAGGTTGGCAGGAGCTGGGACCGAGCAACGGGAGCTCACCCCGTCGCGGGGATTCGAACCACCGACCTTCTGATCGGCAAGTCATAGGCTCTGTGCTGTTTAACCCACAGCGCCACCTGCGTCCCTATCCTGTTGCTACTCAGCTTCAAAATAATAATAATACAGTGGTACCTCAGGTTAAGTACTTAATTCGTTCCGGAGGTCCGTATTTAACCTGAAACTGTTCCTAACCTGAAGAACCACTTTAGCTAACGGGGCCTCCTGCTGCTGCCGCGCTGCCGGAGCATGATTTCTGTTCTCAACTTGAAGCAAAGTTCTTAACCTGAAGCACTATTTCTGGGTTAGCGGAGTCTGTAACCTGAAGTGTATGTAACCTGAAGCGTATGTAACCTGAGGTACCACTGTAATATTAATATTAATAATAACAATAACAATAATAAAGTGTCCACGGATTCATTGGAAAAAATCTGGTAAGCATACCCTAGATAATCATACCACCCCCAGGAGGGAGTTCCACCCAGTTTGGGAACCACTGTACTAAACCCTGACCGCCTTCATCTGTCCCAGCTGGCCACACTCCGCATCTCAGCAGAAGCCACTCTTTCCTTCAGTCCACCTGCAGGAGGTGGTGGTTTTAGCCATTAGCAGCGAAGACGCATCTCGGACAATTCATGAATAATTGCTGGCTGCTGTCTCCATTACGAGCCGGAGATCTTCCCCGTGGATTCCAAATACCTTAGCGCTGGCTGCCTGCTACAAACCGCTTCCATTAGATGCTATTACTAAGGAAGGCGGTTGATCGCCCTCCCGAGATGAAGGGCAACAATTTCAGCCCAGAGCTCAGGACTGGTCGATGCTAACTGCCCCTCCACAAGAGAGGAGAGAGGTTGGGTTGCAGGTCGCTCTTGGGTTGCCCCCGGGGCAAGATAAAGCAGCTAACAAATTTAATAAATAGAAGGTAAAATGTTGAAGGGCAGTCCGATAAAGGATTCCGGGGGGCGTGGCCCTGTCCAAAGCCTAGGGAGGTGAGGGCCTAAGGCACACCCCCTATCGGTGACCTCGGGGGAGTTCCTAGTTGATGTGCATCAGCAGGACTCCCCCTAGTGGTGGTTAACCCTTCCCGGACTTCTAGCGGACGGGCTGACGTTGGATATAGTCGGTTAGGACCAATGCCTAAGCCAATACCGCTCTTCACCTGTAACCAATAAAGTTGTAGCCTTATTTAGCCCATTAACCTTAATAATTGTGTCATGTGTCATTATTTCCACTGGGGGGGCGGGGACTCACCCCACAAATACCACCTCCTGCAGAGTTCTAATCAGCTATCTTTTATTTACCACAAAGGGAGGTCCAGACAGGAGCTATTTGGGTTTCTTTTAAATGCACTTCTTTTATCCACTTCTCTGAGGTCCAAGACAGAGGACGCTGGGAGGAGAGGGCTGACAAACTGGTGCGAAGCAGCACAGACGTTCTCGAGCGCAGAAGGAATATCCGTGGAACAACATCCTCTGCGAGATATGCAGGGAGGGGGAAATGAAATCCTCCTCGCCGTACAGGAAGTCCTAGACAATGCATCGATCGGGACACGCATTAGGAAGCCAATTCTGCGGGGGACCTCGAGCGTTGCTCCAAACAGGACCTTCCCCCACCCCATTCATAATTCACAGCATCCCTATAAATAAATAAAAAGAAGCGTTTCTATACATCCCCCCCAGTACATAAGGCCACTGCAGTCAATGCATTCAAACTCTAGAGACCTTTGAACGCAGGTCCAGCCACAATGTGATCCTGCAAATAACCTCCTCCAAGCTCATTTAAATTGAGTGTTTTTTGGAAAAGAGGCTTCTTTTCTCCATTTTTGGCATTCACCTCCTTTGTTTACAAGGTCCTTGGCAGCCGGTCCACCTCTGGCTCTCGTCTACTCCAGCAATGTGGTTTAAACATCATGTTTCTAACAGATCTTGGTTGTTTTACTACAGACGCAGCCTGGAATTAGGAACAGACAAACCTTCCCGTTTTAATTTCTCTCCGTTTCTCCTTTTCCCCCAATCTCAAATCCATTCTCCGTACCTCTGCATCTATTTACAAAGATTGTTTTTTTAAAAATTCCTGTGAAGATACGTCAGCATTTTAGTGTGAATTTCTCATAATAAACAGACTTTTTGCCTGCAGTTTTCACTAACATACACATTTGTGAAAGCCATTTTTTTCATTATTATTATTATTATTTCTTAACCCACCCTTCTCTATGAGGCCGCAAGACAGGTAACTTCACCAATTCAAAAACAGAACATTTAAAACAGATTACCATCAAGAGATGATTGACTTTTTCCTTGGCAGATCGGTTTTCGTGCACATTGCATCGCAAAATTCAGGGAATTACAAATTTCAAAGAGCGGCTCTGCTTCAGTTTGCTTATTGCTTCAAGATGTGTGGACTGGGTGTCTTCTCTTTAAAATGCAAACAAAATCGGATTTCTCCACCATTTCTCTACCTGTAACCCTCAAACATTCCCACATGACAAAGAGAAAGACTTTGAAAATGATGTACCGGTGGTATTTGACTCCTAGTAAGCTGGCGAAAATGTATAAGACAAGTTACAAATATTTGCTGGAAATGTAAAGAAAAAGAAGGTCCATTTTATCATATGTGGTGGTCATGTAAGGTAATAAAGGCTTTCTGTGAAATGATATATAATGAACTGGGGTGGAAATGTTTAAAATAACCTTTATTTTTTTAAAAAACAACCCAGAAGCTTTTTAATTAGGAATTGTAGGTACCAACATTCCAAAGGAGCAGAAAAAGACTTTTTATGTATGCGGCAACAGCCGCACGGATGCTACTAGACCAGAGATGGAAAGAGTCCCTACCAGAGAGAAATAGCAAACCAAGCTGTTGGAGTGCACCGGAAATGGCAAAATTAACCTGGAAAGCTAAGGAACCAAGAATTCAAAAACTTCAATAAAGAATGGAGGGGAGGGGAATTTAATTTATTTAGGAGACCACTGTAAGCAGATGAAAATATTAGCAGGATTCGAATAACAGTTGTAATGTAGCAAATATCGTGGACAATACAGAGAGATATAAAATATGGATTACGAAATAATAGACAATAGTCGAAAAAGCTGACAATAGAGGGGAGGCGAGGAAGTCTGGAGCTTCAGAGAAATCTCTAAATATGGATATGTATTTTGAATTGTTATAATTATACAGTGGTACCTCAGGATGTGAACGAGATCCGTTCCGGAGCCCCGTTCGCATCCTGAACAGAACGTAAGATGCCACAGCGTGTCTGTGCGTGCCGCGATTCGCCGCCTCTGCGCATGACATCATTTTGAGCGTCTGTGCATGTGCAAGTGGCGAAACCCGCAAGTAACCCTTTCTGGTACTTCCGAGTCGCCGCGGGACACAACCTGAAAACACTCAACCTGAAGCAAACGCAACACGAGGTATGACTGTACAGTGGTGCCCTGCAAGACGAATGCCTTGCAAGACGAAAAACCCGCTAGACGAAAGGGTTTTCCATTTTTCGATGCGCTTCGCAAGACGAATTTCCCTATGGGCTTGCTTCGCAAGACGAAAACGTCTTGCAAGTCTTGCGATTTTTTTCGCTCCCCCCCCTTTTTCTAAGCCGCTAAGCCGCTAATAGCCTTTTAGCCGCTAAGCCGCTAAGCCTTTAATAGCCGCTAAACCGCTAATAGCGCTAATCCGCTAAGCCGCTAATAGGGTTGCTTCGCAAGACGAAAAAACCGCTAGACGAAGAGACTCGCGGAACGGATTATTTTCGTCTTGCGAGGCACCACTGTATTAGCAGGATTCTAATAACACTTGTTATGTAGCAAATATCATGGGCAATACGGATAGATATAAAATATGGATTACAAAATAAAAGACAATAGTCAAAAAAGTTGACAATAGAGGGGATAGTTGGAAGAAGAAGAAGAAGAAGACAACTTAAAGAGTGTAGCAGGATTCTCTACCCAATTCCCTTCCTCTCCTCGCTTCAGCCTTCGACAGCCACAACCAGGACCCAAGCACAGAGAAGCCATTGTCCAAAGGCCTCCCACCCATTTTATGATTAACTGCTTCCTTTTCCTGTATGCCCCCCGGGTCACATCAAACCCAAAGTCGCCCTTGACCAGCTTGCACCCGCTGCAACGCTTTCAGCCAATGGACTTTTGTTCCACCGCCCATAAATTCACACAGCGGGTGGCAAAGGGGGTCCATGCGCCCCTCGTCTTTCAGGAAACACACACACAAAAATAAAATAAAATAAACCATTGTATGCATCACTTACAATATTTGCTAGGTATCCCTAACCAGAAATGTGCAAGATGTGCAATAAAGCATAATTAGAACACGCTGCACTTAAGCGAACGGTACAAGCTGTGGCTTTATTAACAATCTATTAAACCAATCTTTGTTGCATCCTTTCATTTAACTTTTGTGTTGCCTGCTGGAAAACGCTTTAATACTTATGGATAATAGGCTGTATTATATTAAATAATCCAAACACAACCTTATAAACCGCCGTGGTGTTTTTTCTGAAGGCGCTGGCAGTGTGGAAAGAAATTTCACAAACGTAATTTTGAACCAGCAAATAGACCGAATAAAATGCGAGACAGCACGACTGGACCCCTAAACAACTAAAGAACAAACTTCATCAAAGAAAAGTCATTCGGAATTTAAAATTCCAGGGCAAATAGGAAGGCCTCTGCCTTCTCAAACCATCCTACTGTCTCATACAAGCATGGATGTTATGGACTCCCAACTCCCATCAACTCCAGCCAGCACAGCCAAAGCTCAGAGATCATGGGATTTGTAGTCCAGAACATTTGAAAAGCTCCATATTAGCTACCCTTGTTTTAGGGGCACTTCTGACACCACTTCTACACCACCAGAAATTACCGTATTTTTTGCTCTATAAGACGCACCAGACCACAAGACGCACCTAGTTTTTGGAGGAGGAAAACAAGGGAAAAAACATTCTGAATCCCAGAAGCCAGAACAGCAAGAGGGATCACTGTGCAGCGAAAGCCTGCATTCGCTCCATAAGACACACACACATTTCCCCTTACTTTTTAGAAGGGAAAAAGTGAGTCTTATAGAGCAAAAAATACGGTAATTCTTCCTTTCCTTTTCAACTACATGCAGCCCTTGGAAAGGGGAAAAAAAACAAAAACAGCAAGAAGAGGAATACCTCAAGGATAGCTTCCATAACGAAGGTAACTAAGGATGCAATTCTGTACGTGCTTTCCAGAGGGCAAACCCCCTTGAACTCACTGGGGTAGACATCCATAGGTACAGCCCCACAGCTGATCTTCGGGGCAAGGGAAATGCTATTATGTGGAGGATATCTCAGGGAGGATGGAGAATGGAGCAAGCTTGTTTCCTCATTCTCTGGAGGGCGAGATTCGAACCCATGGCTTCAAGACACAAGAAAGGGGATTCCGACTAAACATCAGGGAGCACTATCCAAGGGCAAGAGCTGTTTGACAGTGGAACAGACCTCCACAAGAGATGGCCTCTCCTTCCTTGGATGAAGAATGAGCTCACGCAGTAGCCACATAATGTTGACAGTCCATTGGGGAAGCCGGAAAAATGCCGAATTTTCTGTGTATAAGACAATGCTTTTTGCTTAAAAAAAAATTAGGAAAAATTGGGTGTCGTCTTATGCATGGATAAAGGTAAAGGGACCCCTGACCATTAGGTCCAGTCGTGACCGACTCTGGGGTTGCGGCGCTCATCTCACTTTATTGGCCGAGGGAGCCGGCGTACAGCTTCCGGGTCATGTGGCCAGCATGACTAAGCCGCTTCTGGTGAACCGGAGCAGCGCACAGAAATGCCGTTTACCTTCCCGCCACAGCGGTACCTATTTATCTACTTGCACTTCGTGCTTTCAAACTGCTAGGTTGGCAGGAGCAGGGACCGAGCAACGGGAGCTCACCCCGCCGCGGGGATTCGAACCGCCAACCTTCTGATCGGCAAGTCCTAGGCTCTGTGGTTTAACCCACAGCGCCACCCGCGTCCCTATGCATGGATAGTGAATGCAATTAATGGCAGCAGCAAGCAGGAGATTGGCAGCGGCGATTGGTGGCTGCGGCAAGGCCTACTGGCGATTGGCTGCAGCTGCAGCAACAGGGCAGGTGATTGGCAGCTGTGGTGAGTCAGGCAGGTGATTGGCGGCTGCGGCGAGTGGCGGGAGGGCTGTTGGTGGCGGTGAGTGGGCAGACAATTGGCAGCTGCAGCGAGGTGAGCGATTGGCAGAAGTGACCTCTGACACCCCCCAAAAAAAGCTAAACAACTTAATTTCTTAATTTTGGGTTTTTTAAAAAAAAAAAGTTGTTTTGTTGTTTAGTCATTTAGTCGTGTCCAACTCTTCGTGACCCCATGGACCAGAGCATGCCAGGCACTCCTGTCTTCCACTGCCTCCCGCAGTTTGGTCAAACTTATACATGGGGTCATCTTATACATGGGGCGTCTTATACATGGAAAAATACGGTAAGTGGAGAGGGTAATGGAATAGAGTTCTGGAGGAGGGCATGTCTGGCCGGCTGGCAAGTACCCTCCTCACTTACTTGAACTAATTTATATCCCACCCTTCCTAAAAGTTCAAGGTGACAGTCTTTAAAATGCAGGAACACCTACTAGGAGGCGAGAATCCATTTCTGCATTTTGTTGCGGATCCCAATTAAATATTTCCATAAGTACATCCTGTACATCTTTAGGAGACTTCTTGCACTCAATTCCCCTTCCTAAGCCGGTGGCAAGTGTGTGTCTGGAGAGCTAGAGGCTTACATGGAAATGATGTAATCCCTTCTTTAGCAATTTTGCAGCATCAACATCCGGATGTTATGTTTCCTTGGTTGGAGATTTCAATACTTAAAAGGGATTACGTTGCTCCTTGAAATGCCCGAAAACTTACTTGGGTGGGATTGGTTTTTGGACATCTTGCAGGGCCCAATGAAAGCACGTGCATCTCTTCTTAATCTTTATTTAAATGCCTCTATGAATGTGTGGAAATCACATTGCTGGCAGCATGTTTTCAGAGCACCCTGGCTCAAGGGCAGCCCCACGTAGAGCGAGTTACAATAATCAAGTCTGGAGGTGACCGTTGTGTGGATCACAGTGGCTAGGTCAGGGCAAGAGAGGTAAGGAGCCAACTCCTTTCCTCCCCCCCCCCCCCGCCCCTCTCGGGCAAAAATGTGCCTGGATTTTGTTTTATTTTCTGTTTAAATGCCTCGAAGGAGCTTTGACGCTCATTTAGAACAACATGACTTGCTCCTCTTCCCGCGAAGTCAGCATGGAACAAGGTCTGCAAAATGTGTGGAGTTTTCCCATTGTCTCTCTCTCCCAGATGCTGCTTTAATTATGGGGCGGCTGGGCTGCTCTCCATTGTGCCGAGTTTAGGAGCCGGCATAATTACAGCTCGAGCGGTTTCTCTCTCCTGACAAGCCGCCTTTGCATGTGGCAGAGGGATTTGCAACAAAAGCTTTCCGGGAAGTTCCAGAGCTGGAATCTACGGGCACGTTATGTGTGTGTGTGTGTGGTCTCTCTAGACAAATACTTCCGTTTACTCCGTCTCACCCAAGAGATGGCTCAATTTGCTTTGGCGTGTGTGAAGGCTCCGTTCTCTCTGGGTTTATTAGGCTTTGGGGACATTAACTGAACTAATTCTGAAGAGGACAATTGCCGCAAGGTGTGGCTGATCCTTTCATACTAACCATGGGATAAAATGGCCCTGAGACCTTTGTTTGGGAAAAAATATTGCTGTAAAAATTTTCAGGATGTGGCAAGGAATGCTTTGCTCAGGTGACCTGCGCAAATATTTGTGTGAAAATAGGGAAAGAGTTGGTATCTGCATTGGATTTGAATAGATACCATATGCACACTGTTGTTTTTTAATCTCTCTCTATGTGAGTGTGTGGGTGTGTTTTAAAAAAAATTATGCATGCATTTTTTAAACTATTAATATCATAGATGACCATCCAGCCTCTGCTTTAAAACCTCCAAGGAAATAGAGCTCTATAATAGGTAGTGGTACCTTGGTTCTCAAACTTAATCCGTTCCGGAAGTCCGTTCCAAAACCAAAGCATTCCAAAACCTAGGCGCACTTTCCCATAGAAAGTAATGCAAAACGGATTAATCCGTTCCAGACTTTTAAAAACAAACCCTAAAACAGCAACTGAACATGAGTTTTACTATATAACGAGACCATTGATCCATAAAATGAAAGCAATAAACAATGTACAGTGGTACCTCGGGTTAAGTACTTAATTTGTTCCAGAGGTCTGTTCTTAACCTGAAAGTGTTCTTAACCTGAAGCACCACTTTAGCTAATAGGGAATCCCACTGTCACCTTGCCGCCGCTGCGCAATTTCTGTTCTCATCCTGAAGCAAAGTTCTTAACCCGAGGTACTATTTTGGCAGAGCTGGTTTTAAGGTAAGGCAGGCAGTAGCCAGTGCCGGATTTTCATATAAGCTAAACAAGCTATACAGTGGTACCTCAGGTTAAGTACTTAATTCGTTCTGGAGGTCTGTACTTAACCTGAAAGTGTTCTTAACCTGAAGCACCACTTTAGCTAATGGGGCCTCCCGCTGCCGCCGCACCGCGGGAGCACGGTTTCTGTTCTCATCCTGAAGCAAAGTTCTTAACCCGAGGTACTGTTTCTGGGTTAGTGGGAGTCTGTAACCTGAAGCGTATGTAACCCGAGGTACCACTGTACAAACTCCATTTTCTCTGGTTTATTGTGCTTCTCCAGGGGAGCGGACCCCAGCACCCCTCGCCCTGCAATATTTGCAGTAACTCGCTGGGTAAAAATAATCATCTCCAATCCAGTTGCCAAGGATTTTAAAAAAGCAAACAAGACAAGCGGCTGACGAATTACTGGAAAGCATCTACATCTCCCGTGGCTTCCAGGCATCGCCAGGCACTGTTCCCGTTCCAGTTGGCTTGAGAGATTGCAGACATCATTTGGCTGGACCTGCCGATATGGTTGATGCCAAGGTGGAGAGGAAGAGCTCATACGCAGACCGGAAAAATTGCATTTCTTGCTTATACAAACATAGTAAAGGTAAAGGTAAAGGGACCCCTGACCGTTAGGTCCAGTCGTGGCCGACTCTGGGGTTGCGCCACTCATCTCGCTTTATTGGCTGAGGGAGCTGGCGTACAGCTTCCGGGTCATGTGGCCAGCATGACTAAGCCGCTTCTGGCGAACCAGAGCAGCGCACGGAAACACCGTTTACCTTCCCGCTAGAGCGGTACCTATTTATCTACTTGCACTTTGACGTGCTTTCGAACTGCTAGGTTGGCAGGAGCAGGGAGCAAGCAACGGGAGCTCACCCCGTCGCGGGGATTCGAACCACCGACCTTCTGATCGGCAAGCCCTAGGCTCTGTGATTTAACCCACAGCGCCACCCGCGTCCCTATAGGAACATAGGGAGTTGCCTTATACTGAGCCAGGCCACCTAGCTCAGTATTGTCTAAACTGATTGGCAGCAGCCCTCCAGGGTTTGGGACAGGGTTCCCTCGCAGGCCGGGACTGGGACCTTTTGCACGCAGGGCAAATGTTCTGCCACTGATCTATGAAGCTTCCCTGAATGGCCCTGAAGGCCATTTACACAGAAGCTGCACACCTAGGCTCACAATCCTGTGGTTGGAAAGCAATTCTATCGGTGCACAAGCACTATGCATACCAGTTTAGGCAACCCTAAACAGTTTTGTTGTTGTTGTTTAGTTGTTTAGTCATGTTCGATTCTTCGTATCCCCCTGGACCAGAGCACGCCAGGCACTTCCTGTCCTCCCCCGCCTCCCGCAGTTTGGTCAAACTCACGCTGGTAGCTTCGAGAACACTGTCCAACCATTTCGTCCTCTGTCGTCCCCTTCTCCTTGTGCCCTCCATCTTTCCCAACATCAGGGTCTTTTCCAGGGAGTCTTCTCTTCTCATGAGGTGGCCAAAGTACTGGAGCCTCAGCTTCAGGATCTGTCCTTCCAGTGAGCACTCAGGGCTGATTACCTTCAGAATGGAGATGTTTGATCTTCTTGCAGTCGATGGGACTCTCAAGAGTCTCCTCCAGCACCATAAAAATGGAAAAATGAGGGAAAATGACGGGCGACCACGGCAGTGAGCAGCTTCTGAAGCCAGCCAGAGCCAACTGCGCTACCAGGCTGGCTCCGGGCTGCTGAGGCTAACGTTGCCACGTTTCCCGGGGACAGATTTGCAAATCCGGGGACTGTCCCCGGGAACCGGGGACGTCTGGTAACCCGATGTTGGAAGGCTCAGGACAGATGAAATACAGTAACTTTCAAAATTCCCGTCTATAAATACTGCAAACTTAAGCCGTCTTTGTTTTGGGAGCAAGAGAGGCCTACACGCGCAGCTGAACACCACTTACGATAATCACAGCTCGCTCCCAGACTCTTCTGTCATCTTTATCTCCAGCTTTGAGCAGGCACCATAATTGGACCGGTAATGGTGTGATAATGGCATGCTGCACTCGCTGGCTGTTTACAGTTGAGATTCTGAAATATTTCACCTGGCGCTGGCAATTCCCTGCCTCTCACATCCTCGAGAAATCCGACTTCTGCAGCTTGAATCAGCACCATCGCCACACCCTGCCATTCTCCTTTAAGACCAAACTCTCTACAGTGATACCTCGGGTTACATACGCTTCAGGTTACATACGCTTCAGGTTAGAGACTCCGCTAACCCAGAAATAATACCTCAGTTTAAGAACTTTGCTTCAGGATGAGAACAGAAATTGTGTGGCAGCAACGGGAGGCCCCATTAGCTAAAGTGGTGCTTCAGGTTAAGAACGGACCTTCAGAACGAATTAAGTACTTAACCCGAGGTACCACTGTATTTAAATATACAGTCATACCTCGGGTTAAAGTCGCTTCAGGTTGAGCGTTTTCAGGTTACACTCTGCGGCGACCCGGAAGTAACAGAACACATTACTTCCAGGTTTCACCGCTCGCACAGACGCTCAAAATGACGTCACGTGCATGCGCAGAAGCGGCGAATCGCGACCCACAGACGCGGGTTGCGTTCTGCTCTGGATGCAAACGGGGCTCTGGAACGGATCCCGTTCGCATCCAGAGGTACCACTGTATATCTTTATTGTTTTAAAATAGATACATTTATGCCAGGAAAGCAAACCAACCAACCAACCAACAAACATACAATCAAATAAGGAAGCTCCTGCAGCCAATCAGAAGCCGCAGAAGCCCCGTCGGACATTCTGCTTCCAAAAATGGTTCACAAACTGGAACACTCACTTCTGGGTTTGCGGTGTACAGGAGCCAAAACGTTTGAGAACTAAGCTGTTAATGCGGCAGTTTTCACATGTTCGTTTTGGATTGTAAACACCTCGGGGCAGAGACCCATTCTCTTGCACTCTGCGTGGTGCCGTGTACTCTGGCATTATGCAGGGTTGCCATGTTTCAAAAAGCGAAAAAGCTGTTGAGGGTTTTTGGTTTGGTTTGTTTTTGCCCAAAGTTGTTGAAAAACGTTTTTTGCTGTTTTTAAGGGAGATCACCCAAAACGACACTGCCAACATGAATTGCCACACGGCCGGAAAAAGTGGAGGTGCGTTCATATTTCCAACTCTGACAAGGCAAGTTGAAGAGGTCAGGGAAGGAGAAATACCAGACTTCCAACTCATGACTTAGCCCTGTTCTGAAATCACATTGCAACAGGTTCATCGTCAGAAAGCCATCGCACGTCCTCCATCCTTGTAAATTAGTTGGGCAGGGAGAGGACCAGCAGAACAGCTTGCTCCACTCGGCTCTTAACATTTTCTTTTCGAAAAAGGAACAGAAACCAGATACCTTTTAATTACGAAACAATTCTGAACATTTTCCAGGCAGGGGGGAAACAGAAGCCACTGCAACGTTTTCTACAGATGTGAAGCAGTTGCCAACATTTCCCTCCCTCCGGGGGGAAAAAACCACACAGCTGGGGAGGGGAGTTTGCTTAAAAGGAGGGGAACTTTCAACATCCCTGACCCCTCAGTACACAGAACTGCATTTACTAAAAAGCCGGGCGGTGTTTATCCTTCCTCTGCTTCCTCTTAGATATCACGGCCTGGCAAGCATTTTGTGATTACAACTTCTAAAAGGTTTTTTTCCAATGCAGGCGTGTGTTTATTTGTCGTTTGGGTTATTTGCCCGTTAAGCTGAGATCCATGCAACCACGTTTCGAGGGTACTGGGTCACGATTCAGTCTTCCCCCTCTCCCTGCTGCTGTTGTTGTTGTTGTTTATCCATTAAACTAAAATCCATGCAATAGTTTTGCAGTACAGCGGTACCTTGGTTCTCAAACTTAATCCGTTCCGGAAGTCCGTTCCAAAACCAAAGTGTTCCAAAACCAAGGCGTGCTTTCCCATAGAAAGCAATGCAAAACAGATTACAGTGGTACCTCAGGTTAAGTACTTAATTCATTCCAGAGGTCCGTTCTTAACCTGAAACTGTTCTTAACCTGAAGCACCACTTTAGCTACTGGGGCCTCCCGCTGCTGCCGTGCTGCCACCATGCAATTTCTGTTCTCATCCTGAAGCAAAGTTCTTAAGCCGAGGTACTATTTCTGGGTTAGCGGAAGCGTCTGTAACCTGAAGCGTCTGTAACCTGAAGCGTCTGTAACCTGAAGCGTCTGTAACCCGAGGTACCACTGTAATCCATTCCAGACTTTTAAAAACAACCCCTAACACAGCAATTGAACATTAATTTTACTATCTAACAAGACCATTGATCCCTAAAATGAAAGCAATAATGTACTGTACTATACAATAAATAAGCCAGTATTGTAGATGATAAAAATTAAAATTATTATTTTTTCTTACCAGCACAGATATTAGTCATTGTTTGGGTGGGGGGCTGTTATCCATTTCCGCAGTCACACAATCAATCAATCAGTAGCTGAACTGGGTTCCACACAGTCACAAAAACAAATGAACCGAAAAAGCCTCAGAAACAAAAACGCAAAATAAATAGCAAATACAAAAGCGCCAAACTTAATGTGTTCCGGAAGTCCGTTTGACAACCAAAATGTTCGAAAACCAAGGCACAGCTTCTGATTGGTGCAGGCGCCCTGGAAACAATAGCCAACAGCTGCATCGGAAATTCAGCTTCCAAAAAACATTTAAAAAGCGCAACACTTACTTCCGGGTTTTCGGCGTTTGAGAACCAAGGTGTTTGAGTACCAAGGTACCACTGTATTGGGGTGTGGTGTCATGATTTGTGTGACCATCTATGCAAAACGATACTGGTTTAGTGCATGAATCATAAAGGTAAAGGGACCCCTGGCCATTAGGTCCAGTCGTGACCGACTCTGGGGTTGCGCACTCATCTCGCTTTACTGGCCGAGGGAGCCGGCGTACAGCTTCCGGGTCATGTGGCCAGCATGACTAAGCCGCTTATGGAGAACCAGAGCAGCGCACGGAAACACCATTTACCTTCCCGCCGGAGTGGTACCTATTTATCTACTTGCACTTTGACGTGCTTTCGAACTGCTAGGTGGGCAGGAGCAGGGACCGAGCAACGGGAGCTCACTCCGTCGTGGGGATTCGAACCGCCGACCTTCTGATCGGCAAGTCCTAGGCTCTGTGGTTTAACTCACAGCGGTGCTAAAAGAGCCCCCTTTAGCTACTGTCTTTCGAGAAAGAACCCAGGGATCATCTAGTCCAACCCCTTGAGATTTAGGAATCACAGCAAAAAAAAATCCCTTAAAACCCTGGGCCTAAGCATCAAGCAAAAGCAGAGTGGGGGGTGACCTTCAAAAGAGGCAAAATTGTTCATATTAAACCATGTTTCTTAGCAATCCCGAAAAACAATTAAAGAAGAAAGTTAAGTATAATTGGGGGGGGAAAGAGTGATAGTCAATGTTTAAGAACTAAATTAACAGGCAATAGGAAGAAACTGTGTGAAAACAAGGGAGAAGAAGACATGTTTCATCACTTTTGCTTCAGACGGGGATGGAATTACATTTGCCCTTGTTCTCTTTCGGGGGAGAATCTCAACAGCTAAAACGATAATATTACCCTAGGCGAACCTTCTGTCTCAGTCATTGCCTATTACGATATCAAAGCAAAAAATGAATAAATGGCAATAATTGGTATTAAAATTCATGGGGGGGGGCACAGCAAGAATTAAGACGAGACGAGTACATGATGGAAAGACAGAAGTGATTATCTCTCCCAAATATAAAAGTGATTTGGCCAAGTGCGTCAACTGGATTTCAGAATGTGGAAACTCTGATTTACCTAAATTTGGGGAGAATTTGACAGAGGTCCAATTACATAAAACGCCATGAGGAGAGAGCAATTTTAGAACGAATTATATAAAACAAAATTCCTTGATTTTGATCCGGCTGAGAATTTGGGATACATACAAAAGGCTGTTGTTGTGCCCAACTAACGCACCATTAAAACCAGAATTAGATGTTTGCAGAGCAGTGGATTGGAGAGCATTTCCAAGATTGGGGCCACCACATCCCCTTCAAAGGAACTTTATGGGGGCCACATTCAGTGGCAGGAGGGGGCGGCACCAAAAGCAGACGGAGCCACAAAGTTCATTCGCTCACAAATCCTTCTCCGCCTCCATCCAGACAAACGAAAAGCATTATCAGAGTTCAAGGCCCGACAGAAAGGCCCGTGGCTAAGAAAAAAGAGCAGACTCAGATCTCAGGTGTGTGGATAAACCAGGCATAGGCAAACTCGGCCCTCCAGATGTTTTTTGGGACTACAACTCCCAGCATCCCTGACCACTGGTCCTGTTAGCTAGGGATGATGGGAGTTGTAGTCCCAAAAAAAATCTGGAGGACCAAGTTTGCCTATGCCTGGGATAAACTATGGAAGGATGTTGTTGTTTAGTCGTTTTGTCGTGTCCGCCTCTTCATGACCCCCTGGACCAGAGCACACCAGGCACTCCTGTCTTCCACTGCCTCCCGCAGTTTGGTCAAACTCATGCTGGTAGCTTCAAGAACACTGTCCCACCATCTCGTCCTCTGTCGGCCCCTTCTCCTTGTGCCCTCCATCTTTCCCAGCATCAGGGTCTTTTCCAGGGAGTCTTCTCTTCTCATGAGGTGGCCAAAGGATTGGAGCCTCAGCTTCACAATCTGTCCTTCCAATGAGCACTCAGGGCTGATTTCCTTCAGAATGGAGAGGTTTGATCTTCTTGCAGTCCATGGGACTCTCAAGAGTCTCCTCCAGCACCATAATTCAAAAGCATCCATTCTTCGGCGATCAGCCTTCTTTATGGTCCAGCTCTCACTTCCTGGAGCAGGAACCAGCAAGCCACTCCAGTATCCCTGCCAAGAAAACTCCATGGACAAAGACAACAGGCATGGAAGGATAGTGGGGCGTATACAAAAATTAAAGGAAGTTTAACCCAGGAAAATCCCACATGGTATGAATAAAATTGATCCTGCGGAAATAATTATCTGAGAAATAAGCCAGCAGCAGAGATGCAGGCAGAAGAAAAAGGCTGGAATGAAGCTGCAGCCAAATGCATAGAGGTGAATTTGTGTAAATAAGATGAGCCTATGATGTGACTCGCTGGGACGCGGGTGGCGCTGTGAGTAAAACCTCAGCGCCTAGGACTTGCCGATTGCATAGTCGGTGGTTCGAATCCCCGCGGCGGGGTGAGCTCCCGTCTTTCGGTCCCAGCTCCTGCCCACCTAGCAGTTTGAAAGCACACTTAAGTGCAAGTAGATAAATAGGTACCGCTTTATAGCGGGAAGGTAAACGGCGTTTCCGTGTGCTGCGCTGGTGCTGGCTCGCCAGAGCAGCTTCGTCACGCTGGCCACGTGACCCGGAAGTGTCTCCGGACAGCGCTGGCCCCTGGCCTATTAAGTGAGATGGGCGCACAACCCTAGAGTCGGACACTGGCCCGTACGGGCAGGGGTACCTTTACCTTTACCTTTATGATGTGACTCAGCTGTAGTTTTGGTATTGCTCTGCTTCAATATGCTACATTTTGCAAAATGTACTTGGAGTTGATTTAAGAATAAGCAACTAAGAAAGAAAGAAGGAGATATTATATATCCTTGGTGAAATGTTCTGATCTCGGGGGATGTGGGAGAATAATAATATTATCATAATAATATAATAATAATTTATTATTTCTACCCCGCCCATCCGGCTTGGCTTCCCCAGCCACTCTGGGCAGCTTCCAACAAAAGATTAAAAATACATTAAAACATCAGTCATTAAAAACTTCCCTAAATAGGGCTGCCTTCAGATGTCTTCTAAAAGTCAGATGGTTGTTTATTTCCTTGACATCTGATGGGAGGGTGTTCCACAGGGGGCGTGCCACTACCGAGAAGGCCCTCTGCCTGGTTCCCTGTAACCTCGCTTCTCGCGGGGAGAGAACCACCAGAAGGCCCTCGGCGCTGGACCTCAGTGTCTGGGCTGAACAATGGGGGTGGAGACGCTCCTTCAGGTATACTGGGCCTTTGAGGCCGTTTAGGGCTTTCAAGGTCAGCACCAACACTTTGAATTGTGCTTGGAAACGTACTGGGAGCCAATGTAGGTCTTTCAAGACCAGCGTTATGTGGTCTCGGCAGCCGCTCCCAGTCACCAGTCTAGCTGGTTGTAGTTCAGTGGTAGATTATTATTACAGTGGTACCTTGGGTTAAGAACTTAATTTGTTCCGGAGGTCCGTTCTTAACCTGAAACTGTTCTTAACCTGAAGCACCACTTTAGCTAATGGGGCCTCCCGCTGCTGCCGCACCACTGCCGCAGGATTTCAGATCTCATCCTGAAGCAAAGTTCTTAACCCAAGGTACTATTTCTGGGTTAGCGTAGTCTATAACCTGAAGCGTATGTAACCTGAAGCGTATGTAACCTGAGGTACCACTGTATTCATTTAATTTCAATTCAGTTTTATATTTTAAAGAGGGAGGGGGGATTCAAAGCGGTCTACTCCAACACATTAAAATATCCAATAAAGCAATCTAGAATCCAACAAATTCCTTGGCATCTGCTAACAGGAGTGGGACTGTCCCCTGCCTCTAACCCTGGGGAGCTGCTGCCAGCCAGTGTGGGCAACATTGCGCTAGATAGCCGACTCATAAAAAGGCAGGTTCCTAAATCCCGACACACTAGCAAACCACACAAGGAAAGAGCAAAGAGTTGGCACGGTCTGAACGTGCACAAAAGGTTCAGAGCTCTGCTGCGCAGGATCTGCCTGGCCAACGTCTTGAAAACGTCTTTGCCGACATTGCAAAATCTGCTCCTACCCTTTTCTTGGTAACACCTCCCTCTTAGGCAGTGATGGATGGGATATAGCACAGGGAGGATCGCTGACATTTCTAGTTAGGCTCTGGCAGCAAGGGAAGGGGGGAAGCTCAGGTCTTGGAAAGCAGCTGCCAGTCAGAGAAGACAATATAGGCTTTGACGGACAAGCAAGCACTCTGACCTGAGCAACACAGCTTCCTATGTTCCCAAAGACTCTCCTTTAATGTTTTAATGTTGCATTTTAATTTTATTTTTTAAGCTGTATTCTAATCAATTGTTTTGATTAGACTGAGTGTCTGGAGGCGGTTGGAGGATGGATGGCGGCTAACAGATTGAGATTGAATCCTGACAAGACAGAAGTACAGTTTTGGGGGGACAGGAGGCGGGCAGGTGTGGGGGGACTCCCTGGTCCTGTGCCCCTGAAGGACCAAGTGCACAGCCTGGGAGTCATTTTGGACTCACAGCTGTCCATGGAGGCGCAGGTCAATTCTGTGTCCAGGGCAGCTGTGTACCAGCTCCATCTGGTACGCAGGCTGAGACCCTATCTGCCTGCGGACTGCCTCGCCAGAGTGGTGCATGCTCTGGTTATCTCCCGCTTGGACTACTGCAATGCGCTCTATGTGGGGCTACCTTTGAAGGTGACCCAGAAACTACAACTAATCCAGAACGCAGCAGCCAGACTGGTGACTGGGAGCGGCTGCCGAGACCACTGAGGTCCAGCTCCAAGGGCCTTCTGGCGGTTCCCTCCCTGTGAGAAGCCAAGTTACAGGAAACCAGGCAGAGGGCCTTCTTGGTAGTGGCACCCGCCCTGTGGAACGCTCTCCCAGCAGATGTCAAAGAGAACAACAACTACCAGACTTTTAGAAGACATCTGAAGGCAGTCGTGTTTAGGGAAGCTTTTAATGTTTAATAGACTATTGAGAGCCAGTGTGGTGTAGTGGTTAAGAGCGGTAGTCTCGTAATCTGGTGAACTGGGTTCGCTTCCCGGCTCCTCCACATGCAGCTGCTGGGTGACCTTGGGCCAGTCACACTTCTCTGAAGTCTCTCAGCCCCACTCACCTCACAGAGTGTTTGTTGTGGGGGAGGAAGGGAAAGGAGAATGTGAGCCGCTTTGAGACTCCTTAAAAGGGAGTGAAAGGCGGGATATCAAATCCAAACTCTTCTATTTTAATATTCTGTTGAAAGCCACCCAGAGTGGCTGGGGAAGCCCAGCCAGACGGGCGGGGTATAAATAATAAAATTATTATTATTATTATTACTATTATTATATTTGGTGTTAGCCACCATGAGCCCGGTCTTGGCTGGGGAGGGCGGGGTATAAATAAATATTATTATTATTATTATTAAAGCCAGAGCAGCTTTCTCCAACCTCGTGCCCTCCAGATGTTTAGGACAACAACTCCCAGAATGGCCGTTCAGGTTGGACTGCTCTGGCAGGAAGCCTCAATATGAAGGCCAGGCGCTTCCTGCAGATCAGCCTAGGTGACTAACAAATTGAGACGACTGAGTAATGCATTTGCAAAAAAAAAAAGTCCACTACGCCTCTCCCTACGAAGCACATCATTTTCTCACTGGTTTGACAAGGTCCTCAGGTTCTCCAGCTGGCAAGGCCTCTGGGTGGCCTGATGTTTTGCCCGCAAGCACTTGGCATGCCCGTGGCGACGCAATCACCCGTAACGGCCTCCTCGACCGAAATACGGCTCTGGATACGCTCACTGGGGCATCGTACAGCTGCTGCTGCGGCTGCTGCTATTCACCTCTGCCAGACGGGCTGCCTGATCTCTTCTCCCCAGAGATTTGTGGGGGGAGGGAGACCGGATCCAGGGCTTTCCTCACATGCAAAATGTATGCCCAGCTACAGAGATGCAGCACAGATCAGATGGTAATAAAAAGGCAGAGGGTTAATGCCTTTAAAACCCACCTACGTTCCGTCTCCTGTTCTTGACCTCTACATTCCCATGCCAGGAAAACAACTTCGAAACTAGGAATTGGAAGCCACCCTCGTGCGGTGTTCGAAATTCAATCACCAGGTGAAATATACTCGGAGTTGAGAGTGGATTTCTTGCTCTTTATTCAGCTCATAGTGGTGAGGAGGAATGGAAGTTCCCCCAGAATGTCTGCCTTATATACATTATTTACACAATGGACCCCATGTGATTGGCTCATTCCGGGATACTCCTGTAGGCCAATCAGGTTGCGGATTCACTTCCACCTGGAGCTGGATTGGGTGGCTCCTTTGGGCCAATCAGACTGCTGCATTCTGAATCCTATTGTTCTAGGACCAATCAGACTGCTGCCTTTTGGATCCTATTCAACTCAGTACATAACACCAGGCATGTTTTGCTTCCAGAGCGGGTCCAATTGTGACCATGTGGAGATTTCTGGGTGCCGGGTCAGCGAATACAATTGAAAAACCTCTGCCTTAGTCCATAGTTAAAGACCATTTCCATTTCCACTGCGTGCGATTCTCCTTCTTGCATATTAGAACGAGTGCACTGTCACAAGAGCTAGCTAGAGTTGAGATCATAGAATCGTAGATCTGTAGCCCGTTTAAATAGGGTGTGTCCGGGTGGAAATTGCTGATAGCTCTATTAAAAAAAAAAAACTCAACAACTTTTGTGTCCAGATTTTCACCTTTTGAAATATGGCAAGCGTAAAATGTTTTGGGGAGAGGAGGATTACTGAGTTGTTCTTGCTTTTGTTTTTATGACGGATTTTGTTTTTTCATATTGTGATTTTATGCTGCGAACAGCCCTGAGACCTGTGGGTATCCGGCGGTATGCAAAATTAATCATCATCATAATTAATAATAATAACAAAAACAAGCCTAAACCCATAGCTTCACCCATTTCTCCCCCCACCCCCGGCTCCACCCAACACTGCCCTGTGGCCCCCGGGAGTTAATGAATGCGGCCCTCGGAATGAAAAAGGTTCCTTATCACTCTTTGCACAAAGAGAACTCTGATCAAAGCTGGGCTGTGTTTGCAGAGAAAAAGACATTTTTGAAACCCAGAGGCATTCTTGCCAGGTGTGGTTGGAGATGATATAACAAAGAGTGACCAGAAACTGTTCCTTTATGCTAATACCGCGGCGAGAATACTACTCTCACAGAAATGGAAGCAACATGAAATATCCACAGTTGAAGAATGACAGCGGAAACTCATGGAGTATGCAGAAACAGCAAAATTGACTGGAAAAATCAGAGAACAACATACATAAAAAAGAACTACAGTCATACCTCAGGTTACAGACGCTTCGGGTTACGCGTTTTCAGGTTATGGACGCGCCAAAACCCGGAAGTACCGGAATGGATTGCTTCCAGGTTTCAGCGCTCGCGCATGTGCAGGACCACTAAATCGCGCTTTGCGCATGCACAGAAGTGCCAAATCGCGACCCACGTGTGCGCAGACGCGGCACTGCGGGTTGCAAACACTGCGGGTTGCGAATGTGCCTCCCGCACGGATCACGTTCGCAACCCAAGCACCCACTGTATACACAAATAAAGACACTCACGGGACTGAAATAGACCTCACAATGTTTATCAAAAATCATTCGTTTTGGATTTAAGAATATTGGACAAACATATTACAACAATTGAAGGATGTACATGAATTAAATTTTGAATAGTATTAGTCCATAGGATTAAGTACACATAGAACGTAAACATGACAAATGCGTAAATATAAAGAAAATACAGAGAAACCAGAAGGAGGAGGGCGGGAAGTACAAATTTGTTTAGAGTTAAAGTATTAAGGTTAAAAGAAATAAGGTATGTATTATGTATTAAAGGTAAAGGTAAAGGGACCCTTGACCGTTAAGTCCAGTGGAGGACGATTATGATGGCAAAATTTGAAAAATCTGTAAAACCAATAAAGAACATTAAAAAAAGAAGACATTTTTGTTAATAGGATTCTGCTATTCTGTTTGGCTGTCAAACCCACGGCAAGTGTTGGCCTTCACAAGGCAACCAACCAAAGTGGAAGGAGACCAGTCAGCGACATATTGAAATGGAAGGATCCTACTTGCGGCTTTCCCTGAAAGCAACTCCCATGGAGTTCAGTGGGGCTTACTCTGAAGCAAGCGCACGCAGCCCCGCAGCCGTCGATTTATCCCCCCTACAAAAGCACAGAGAGGCAGAGAGGCACGGAACAAGGCAGGTTAACGCAGACGTTCTCGGCTCCATAAATAACCTTGCAATGTGACAGACACGCGAAAGGATAACACGTGCCCCAGCTTAAGAATCAAGGCAAACTTGCTCATAAATCACAGCCTGCCTCTCTGCCCAAGGAGGCAGCAGATCGCTCATCTGCACTCAGCCACAAAGGCAGCAGCTCCATCCCAGATCCGATACATCCAAATGGAAAAATCAGCCGAAAGAATGGCAAAATTCACCGGACAAGGCAGAGCAGGGGGCGGGGGTGTCTCAGAATGGCAAAGCTTGAACGAAAGAGACAGCTCCACTCACAGGCACACAAAAAAAGATCTGTTGCTTAAACAGGGCTGGATTAGAACCATGTTGTTGTTGTTGTTTAGTCGTTTAGTCGTGTCTGACTCTTTGTGACCCCCTGGACCAGAGCACGCCAGGCACTCCTGTCCTCCACTGCCTCCCGCAGTTTGGTCAAACTCATGCTGGTAGCTTCGAGAACATTGACCAACCATCTCGTCCTCTGTCGTCCCCTTCTCCTTGTGCCCTCCATCTTTCCCAACATCAGGGTCTTTTCCAAGGAGTCTTCTCTTCTCATGAGGTGGCCAAAGTATTCGAGCCTCGGCTTCAGGATCTGTCCTTCCAGTGAGCACTCAGGGCTGATTCCCTTCAGAATGGAGAGGTTTGATCTTCTTGCAGTCCATGGGACTCTCAAGAGTCTCCTCCAGCACCATAATTCAAAAGCATCATAAAGAAGGCTGATCGCTGAAGAATTGATGCTTTTGAATTATGGTGCTGGAGGAAACTCTTGCCATTGTTCTTTAGTTGGTATTTCTCCAGTCTTCCAGTTATGTGCAACCAACATTCTTGCTGCTGTAGTGGCATACATAAATAAGGTCCTCATTTCTTTTGGTATGTCTTGTCCTAAAATACCTAATAAAAAGGCTTCTGGGGTTTTTTTTACAAAGCTAAACCTTTCTGTCCCCTGCTCTACAATATCCTTTTTGAGATAAGGAAACCACCTGGTGAGAGAAATTTCCCCCACCCTATACAAGAAGCTTGCTTTCAAACGGACACATTCTGAAACCGGATGTGAAAGTTCCTGGGAATCTGAAGCCAATCTATACATTCCGTGACTTCCCTTTCCCTTCCTTCTACAAAAACTCAGCACACACACAAACAGGTTCGTCTGACCGCAACTCACTTGGAGCTTAATCTGAAAGGACAGGATTTTCATTAAGAGGTTTTTATTTTAATTCACAAACCCCCACTTATTATTTTTTTTTAATGATTGCTTTTAAAATTCCAAAAGCATCCTCCCTTCTGCATGGCGTAAAGGAATAGGATCTTACAGAAAAACAAGTCAGCCTGCTTAAGACGGCAGATGTAACGTGCAGAAACAGAACATCTCTGACTCTTGCTTGCTGCAAAAGACAAAAGCCCTCCTTCTTTGCCATGCTAACTCCGGTTCCTTTCCCTCCTGTCCAAAAGCAGGCAAACAAGACAGGATTTGTGGAAGCCGCTGCAGACAGATTAAGCCCTGCTGCCTCTAAAAATAGGAAGTGCTTCAAATCTGGAGAGGGCAAAGATTTCAGGCGTGGAAAGATCCCAGTTTGCCATCTGGTCAGAGACCAGAATTCCTGCTGTAGCAAAGAACAGACAAGATGAATGGAGTTTGGTACAGCTGGGAAACGTACAAATTTGGAGAGCTGACTTTCGTTTATCTATTGTGTTCAGATCTCACCTCTCCTCCAATCAGTGTTCGAAATTAGCCAGGCGCATATTGCACCTGGCTATCGGCCACCTGTGACCAAGTGATTGATGCCCAGGGGCCAGGATGGCGTCTGATCTCTCCATCCGGGGATCATTGGATCCGGACTGTTTTCACACGCGAACACCCCATCCTGTACCATTCGATCGGTTGTATTTTATCTGCACAATCGGAATGAATTTCTGGAACTTTTTCTGTGCAGCCTGATTAGGAACAGTCGCCATTTGGCAAAAGAGGTCAGGATAGGCAAAACAAAAAGTGGACTGTTTGGATCAAGTGATTTTTCTTCTTTAGGTACTCAAAGCTCTTAACCTAGCTCCAGGTTGCCATCAGAACTAGCCAGATGTTCAACTGAGAATCAGTCACAGTCAGTCCGTCATTTGAAAAACAAAGACTCTAGAGCGTCTTGCCTCCCAAAAAATGGCAACCAGACATTCCATTTTGGCGACTGTAACCTTGGTTTTAAGGAGCTATTTGGGGCCTAGGTTAAATATCTGAGTTTCTAACACTGCCTCCAAGGTGCTCAAGGTGGCCGTACATTTATTCTCGTCCCCACAACAACCTTATATAATAATAATAATTTATTATTTATACCAAGCCCATCTGGCTGGGTTTCCCCAGCCACTCTGGGCGGCTTCCAACTGAATATTAAAAGCAATACATCACCAGACATTAAAAACTTCCCTAAACAGGGCCACCTTCAGTTGTCTTTTAAGAGTAAGATAGTTGTTTATTGCTTTGACATCTGCTGGGAGGGCGTTCCACAGAGCAGGCGCCACTACCGAGAAGGCCCTCTGCCTAGTTCCCTGTAACCTCACTTCTCGCAGCGAGGGAACTGCCAGAAGGCCCTCGGAGCTGGACCTCAGTGTCCGGGCCGAATGATGGGGGTGGAGACACTCCTTCGGGTCTACTGGACTGAGGCCATTTAGGGCTTTCAAGGTCAGCACCAACACTTTGAATTGTGCTCGGAAACGTACTGGGAGCCAATGTAGGTCTTTCAGGACCAGTGTTATGTGGTCTCGGCGGCCGCCCCCCGTCACCAGTCTAGCTGCCACATTCTGGATTAATTGCAGTTTCCGGGTCACTTTCAAAGGTAGCCCCACGTAGAGCACATTGAAGTCCAGGCAGGAGATAACTAGAGCATGCACCACTCTGGCGAGACAGTCCGCAGGCAGGTGGGGTCTCATCCTGTGTACCAGGAGCTGGTAGACAGCTGCCCTGGACACAGAATTGACCTGCGCCTCCATGGATAGCTGTGAGTCCAGAATGACTCCCAGGCTGTGCACCTGGTCCTTCAGGGGCATGGTTACCCCATTCAGGAGCAGGGAGTCCCCCACACCCACCCACCTCCTGTCCCCCCAAAACAGTACATCTGTCTTGTCAGGATTCAACCTCAATTCGTTAGCTGCCATCCATCCTCCAACCGCCTCCAGACAGGACCTTCACTGCCTTCACTGCTTCTGATTTAAAAGAGATGGAAGATTAGGATGAGAGAGACTGCCTAGGACACGGACACCCAGTGAGCTTCATGGCCGAGTGGTGATTCGAACCCGTGTCTCCCAGATCCCAGACCGATATTCTTCTAACCACTACACCACACTGGTTACGTGAAGTTGCTCTGTGGCAGGTTGCACCAGACTGCATTAAAAAGCCCCAAACACTGCAACAACACATTTCTGCTTAACAATGCATTTTAAAAATATGCTCCTAGATCTATTACATTAGACTGTTAACAGTTTCATGCAAAACACCTGGTATGGGTGTATAAATATGCTAAAAAGCCTATTTAAGTAGAGAGGGGGAATTAATTGCTGTTCAGGTGCTCAGTTGTGGGTTGGTGGGGTAAGAATATGCCCTCCCCTCTTGCATCGTATATTTGGTACCTGTCCCTGAACCCATTTCCCTCTAGATTTGCCTGCTAAGTCCCATCAATCAGGGTTTATTGGGATGCAAGACACATATCCCACTTATGCTCATACACGAACAGCTGTGGGCTTAGGAAATTTACACCCAGGGAAATGGAGCATCTGTTCCATTGTGCTAAAAAAAAAAAGAAAAAAGGAAAAGTCAGATTTTCCAAAAAAAAAAGGGGGGGGTGCAAAAGCTAAATGGGGAAAACATGGAGGAATGTTGCTTTGAGCAGAATGCCAAACCGGGTCCTCCCTTAAAGAGGGCACGTATTGCGGTGAGACCCGGACAACCGTCTCCCTGTGTTGTGGGTGGGTATGATTGGTCAGCCACAACACCCAATTGGTAGGTCCCTCAAACCTGGGTTCAATCTGGCCAATGGGACCCAGTCCAAAAGGTTTGAGGGACCTATTTATGCCCATGCACGGGACCCAGCCGCCCACCTCTCCCTACTTTTAGGGCTTTGCGCTTGACCTTGCTATGCCGTCGTGTGTCGTTGGGACAGGCAGGAATCTTCCCCACTTGGCTGATGGGCTGTGGCCATTTGGGTTTTCGCCTGCCGCGTAGCAAATCGTCACAATTTGTAAGGTTACGGATAGGCTCTGGTTCGGGTGATAGGGATGGGAGAACGCTCTCGCCATCCCTATGTGAAGGGGATTCCATGAAAGGAATCCAGGGACTCGATGGTTTGGTCAAGCCCTGAGAGGGGGTTGTGCCCATGCCTGAGTCCAGGGGACATTTGTGTGGCGGAGAAAGCCTGTTCCCGGCTTCCCGCTTACCCAGGTGTTCACCCTTGGCTGACCTATGCTGGTGCCCTGGGTCAGCACTACCTGCATGGCAGGGAGCTAGTTGAACCAGAGCCTATGCAACCAGTCACTTTCTGTAATCAATAAAGTTGTGGCCTAAATTCTGCCAAAAACCAAACCAAAAATTTGAGTCAAGTGTGAATTTATTTAGTGGGGAGGTTTCTGGGTCTGAACACACAAGGAGAAGGATACTGTAGGGTTGGGGAAAGTTCAGAGAAAGGCAACTGAAATAATCAAAGGGATGAAGTGACTGCCCTGTCTCTTGCAGCCACTGGGTCTTTTTAGTTGAGAGAAATGCAGAGTTGAGAGGAGACCGGGGAAAGGTGTACAGTATAAAAATTATGTACGGTGTGTTGTGAAGAAAACTTTTTTATGCCCCTTGGGGACATGCAACAAAGCTGAACACTGGAAGGTTCAGGACCCGCACATCGGAGTAAGTCTGCACACAGCGTGTAGTGAACCTGCGGAACTCACCGCCACAAGGTGTACTGATGACCAACTCAGATGGCTTTAGAAGCAGATTGGAGAAATTCGTGGAGGATAAGGGTGTGTCCTACCTCCGAGTGCCAGAGCGCTATGCCTCAAACGCAGCCAGTGAGTATTGCAACAATGAGTATTGCCACTGCACCTCAGGTCCTTGCCTGGGCGTTTCCCACAAGGCATCTTGTGGCCCCCGTGAGAGAACAGGATGCTGGACTAGACAGGCCTTTCGCCTGATCCAGCAGGCTTTTCTTATGTTCAAACACAGAGCTGTTCCACAGTGAATGTTCTGCATCAAAGCTGCCAAAATCTTCGCTTGGTCACGAGCTGAGCCTTCGCCAGCAGCCAAAGATGACAGCATTTGCAGTCCAGGATCATCATATAAGCAGTCAGCTGCATTTGCCACAATGGAATGTCTAGGCACTTTTTTGTAGTCAGGTTGTTTTGTATATTATTATTATTATTATTATTATTATTATTATTACAGTGGATGCTCAGGTTGCGAACGTGACCTGTGCGGGACGCATGTTCGCAACCTGAGGTGTTCACAACCCGCAGTGGCGTGTCTGCGCACGAGCGGGTTGCGATTTGGCGCTTCTGCGCATGCACGACCGCCGAAACCTGGAAGTAACCCGTTCCGGTACTTCCAGGTTTCGGCGGTCCGTAACCCGAAAAAACACAACCTGAAGCATCTGTAACCCGAGGTATGACTGTATTATTATTTCTATACTGCTTTCTATTTCTATACTGCTTTCTAAGAAAGAAAGAAAATCTCAAAGTGGTTCACAACCCATTAAAACATCAAATTAAACAAATTCAAGCTTCAAGGAAAAGATTTCAGGTCCTTCCCTAAGTGACATGTTGCTTTCCTCTGTCACCAACCCAAAGATCTCGACGTGGTCACAATTGAACCCACGCCAGTAGCAAAACACACCTGACACCTGGCTAAATTCTAACACTGATCATGGGTTCTCCAACAGTGTTAGAAATTAGCCAGGCGCTAGGCGCATTTTGCGACTGGCGTGGGTCCAATTGCGACCACGTCGAGACCTCTGGGTTGCCAGGTTGGCAACTAACAGCTCCACCTGGCTGGCCCCTCCAGCTTTCTTAAGCAGGTCAGAAGAAGAGATTATTGATTGCATTTATATCAAAGCTTTTTCTCCAAGGGGTACATCCCCCCTCCTCAGTTAATCCCTGTGAGGTAGGTGCAGTGACTGATTCCAAGGTCGCCCAGTGAACTTCATGGCAGTGGGGGGATTTGAACCCGGATCTCCCAGGTCCTAATCCAACACTCTAACCACTACACCACACGGGCTTCCCAGAGTTCTTCTGCTATGGTGCAGCCCTATAAATTAAGTAGGTAAACATGGGGAAAGCAAAAGGTCACTCAGAGAAGGATCTGAAATATTTTCCTGGAAGCTTGAACTTGTTTTATTCAGGATTGCTTGATTTGATGTGTTTTTATGTGTCACAATTGTTTTCGGTATTCTTTAAAATGCAAAGCAGTATAGAAATGAAACTAATAATAATAATAATAACAATAATAAATTTCATTGTAGGAAACAACAAATCAGTCTAACTAGCATCATTTATACTCCCGATACTGAAATCAATTATAAAACTTATAAAGAAAGAAATTAAAATTATATTGTGGTTGTTTGTTTGACTTCTCCATTATTTGTTTGTTTGTTTGTCTGTTTTCCCATAAATGTATTAATTTTAAATCAATAAAGATATACTTTTAAAAGGAGGGGGATAAATTTCATTGTAAAAAAATATATATAGCGCCTAGACATTCTGTTGTGGCTTCCGTAACCTAGGATTAAGGCGCCATTTGACAATAAGCTTATATATATCCGAGTTTCTAGCACTGTATCCCAAACCCTCCCCTGCAGGGAAGCCCATTTGGAGGCAGCTCAAAGCCATTTCCCAAGTCCTCCGCCACCTTTTAAATGCCTGTATCAGGTAGTCCAGTTTCACACCCATCTGATGGATGAACAGGGGTCAAAAGGCTGAAAGAGAGCAGTTACCGAAGGCCACCCAGCGGGCGGAAATCTCCGCTTAACCAAAGTGAGGATTTAAAAGCTCACAGTTCAATGTTCTTCCTCGCTGCGCGACGCCACCTTGCAGTTATTTAAGGACAGGCTTAGAGCAGATGAGAAAAGGGATCCTGAGAAGAAGGCAAGGCATTGCCACAATTTTTTTTCTGCAGCTCCATACAGACCCCTCCTAATTTTCCACCTCTGCTCATTAATCCGATTTCTTTTATTTCCTTTGGACAGCTCGGGAACGCTTCATTCCCGACCCTTTGTATCCACCGTGCCAATAGGATTTTTCCCGTCCATTACAGGGCGAGTTGAGCACATCCCTTCGCCTCGCTCGTTCCACGGCTCCCAGGCGAGCTCGGAAAACCCCAGTGGAAAGACGCAAGGGGTTGAGGGCACACCAGCGACAGTCGTCCGCAATTGGAGCCCAGCTGCCCAATTTCTCTGCAAAGGGGTCCTGCTGCTGAAGAGGCAAGCCGATTCTTTAAAGCAAGCAAAAAGACGACCTCTTTGCCAGTGGGAAAGGTGAGCTCAAAACATAGATAAAATTGACAGTTCAAAAGAAGAAACTGGTGTACACAATACAAGGGCATGCAACAACAGGCTTGCCCAAATGATGAGGTTTTTGGCAGGCATCGAAACCAGGGCAATAAAAGCACAGGCGTAATATCAAGAGGCAGGGAGTTCCAGAGGGACACGGGCTGCCGCATTAAAAGAGTGATTCCTTGCAACATTGTTCGGCCTGGAGTAGCTGCCTTCTTCTGCTCCGGAGGGGGCTTTGGCATAAATCGTATCCCTTCACCGCCCGCAGAACCAGGTCCCACCTTTGCCACCATCTCCCTCCCTCCTGCCCCGAGAGAGAAGTGCTCAGATCTGAAGGCGCTTTCAGCTGCAATACCTCCATGGTGCCATCAGCTTGTCCAAGCCATCAGGCTTATTAAGACATTAAGGAAGGCTCTTAATTGCTCGCATTGACCCAGCCCACTCCTCCTGGCTAAGCTGATGAGGTACCATTAATCTTGATCAGGCGGTCCAATATATCTGTACAGATAACACCCCCAAAGAAATCTGGGAAAGTTTAAGTTCTATTTAGGTGTCAAGCAGAAATTTAAAAAGAAACGCAAACCAACATTTTTGATGTTCACAAAACGCTGCGGCCAGGGGGGAGCAGAGGTTAACACTGGAGCTGTGTTCGAAATTCGCCAGGCGTGTTTTCCAACCGGCTATCAGCCACTGGCTCCTGGGTGGAAAGCCAGGCGCAAAATGCGCCTGGCTAATTTCAAACGAAGACCATGGCCACTGGTCCCATCACCTCCTGGCAAATAGAAGGGGAAGAAATGGAGGCAGTGAGAGAATTTACTTTCTTGGTCTCCATGATCACTGCAGATGGTGACAGCAGTCACGAAATTAAAAGACGCCTGCTTCTTTGGAGAAAAGCAATGACAAACCTAGACAGCATCTTAAAAAGCAGAGACATCACCTTGCCAACAAAGGTCCATATAGTTAAAGCCATGGTTTTCCCAGTAGTGATGTATGGAAGTGAGAGCTGGACCATAAAGAAGGCTGATCGCTGAAGAATGGATGCTTTTGAATTCTGGTGCTGGAGGAGACTCTTGAGAGTCCCATGGACTGCAAGAAGATCAAACCTCTCCATTCTGAAGGAAATCAGCACTGAGTGCACACTGGAAGGACAGATCCTGAAGCTGAGGCTCCAAGACTTTGGCCACCTCATGAGAAGAGAAGACTCCCTGGAACAGACCCTGATGTTGGGAAAGATGGAGGGCACAAGGAGGAGGGGACTACAGAGGACGAGATGGTGGGACAGTGTTCTCGAAGCTGCCAGCATGAGTTTGACCAAACTGCGGGAGGCAGTGGAAGACAGGAGTGCCTGGCGTGCCCTGGTCCAGGGGGTCACGAAGAGTCGGACACGACTAAACGACTAAACAACAACAACAACAACTTCAAACAGTGCTGGCACCACACAGCCATGCTGGTTCAGGGTGACGGTGGGAGTCGTAGTTCCAAACAACAACAGCGCCAGTGTAGGGCAGTGTCCAACTCAGACCTGGGAGACCAGGGTTCAAATCCTCACTCAGCCATAGAAAGCTCTTTGAGCGTGTCCTTGGGCCAGACACTGCCTCTAAGCCTAACCTACCTCGCAGGATTGTCGTGAGGGGGTGGAAAGGGGAGAGGGAGAACCACGTGCCTGAGGTCCTTGGGGGAAAGTTGGGATATCGACGTGATAGATAATAGAACATCTGGAGGGCACCAAGTTGGGGAAGGCTGACAGGGTAGCTAACAGGAAAATAAATTGCACTAACAAATGTCAAGGGAGATCTCTTTTGAGCTTGGGATATTCCCGCTGGCATGGAAACATCAGCTCCCCACAAGGATGATCGCACATTTGCCTCAAGACTTCTGTGCAAATTCCCATGAGGGATTTGCACAGGTCACTGCAGAAATACTATAGGCAGATGTGGCCTTTTGGGTAGAGGGTGAGACCATCGCGGCCACCTCTCCTGGCCGGATTCAGCCAGGGAGTGCCGGGGGAGAAGAGATACGAATAGTTCCGTCCTAAATTAAGTGAAGCAGAGATTTATGGCATGAACGGAACGAAGTCAGCCGAGCGAGCCAAGAGACGCTCGTCCAAGACGTCGGGGAAACATTAACTTCAAAAATACACATTCCGCTACAACCCTGGACACGCTGAGCATCAGTTTTAATGGCAAGCCAGTTCCAAAACACTTTGGCAGAAGGGAGCAGGAAGATGAGGGAGGCGTATGAACTAATCGCAGAACGGACTTCCCAGTATAATACAGGGGTGGGAAACCTTTCACAGCCCAGGGGCCTCATTCCTTCCTAGGCAAGCTTTCAGGGGCCACATGCAGGTGGGCAGGGCTAGAAGCAAAAGTGGGAGGAGCAGCAAATTTTCTCATGCATCCATCTCTATTCTCCATCCAGGCAAACAAGAAGCATCACCCTCGGAGTGCAAGGACAGGAGAAAACACTCAAGAAATTCTGTGGAGAGAAGAGGCAGTTCTGAGGAGGGAGCGTGGCCTTCAGAGCGGTTCGAGGGCCACAAGGCCTGAGCTTCCCTATCCCTGACACACGGTCCTTTACCAAAAGAATGAGTGGATCTCACACTCGTCAGATCTGCTTCGCAATTTTTGCTAGAACCCCAACGTTTCCATTCTCCCATTTGTTGATTATTATTTCGTGATTGCGTTTCAGTTTATGTAACCCACCTGGGCAGGTGATTGTGGGATGAAGCACAAAAGAGAGGCCAGAAATAGAAAAATAAATCAACAAACAAATACCACCCAAGCACAGCCAAGTGCAAAAGGTGTTAGGGGGCTTCCAGACTGTTGTTATTTTCAAGGCAGGGGGAGGCGGGCAAGGAACCAATCACAGAGTGGGACAGTCGGGTTGAGCAGTTATAGTCGACTGGGAGGCCTCGCACACAAACCCGCTTCCCTCCACAAAAAGATCGTACTTTCGTTCTCTTTTTTTGCAATTACGGAAGTGAAGGGGAAATGCAGCAAAAAAGGTGGAACAACACTTGTTTGACGCAACTTGGTCTAACCTCCCTGCGAACGTATCAGGATAAACACACAATGCACAGATCACCTGGAAGCAGCCATACAGTTAGAAGGAAAGAACAGGATGTGGCCAAAGCACCTCCTGAACCCTAGGAATTTGCTTTCAGAGCGGAGATGAGCTCACAGGCCTTTCACACACATGCAAAATCCACTCCTAGTCACATCACTTCATTTCAGCCGCCAAATTGGGTGGGAGAACGTAGTTCTGTTCCTGCTGTAAACCAACAGAGTCCAGTCTCCATTCATCCCTGCTTCACGGTAGCATAAACAGAGGCCACAGCCGCTCCATAATATTTAAAGCCCTCTTACCACTTTAACAGCCATGGCTTCCCCCAAAGCATTCTGGGAAGTGTAGTTTGTCAAGAGTGGTACGCATTGGTGGAAGACCCCTATTCCCCAAAGAGCTACAATTCCCAGAGTTCCCTGGGAGCAGGGACTGACGGTTAAACCCCTCTGCAAATTATATAGCTCTGTGAGGGAAATAGGGGGTCTCTTTACACCTCTCCGTAGCCTCAGCAAACTACATTTCCCAGGATTCCTTGGGGGATGCCATGACTGCTTAAAGCAGTAGCATAGTGCTTTAAAGGTACAGAACAGATGTGGTCAGAGACAACAAGTCCTAGCCCCAAAGCACTTACATTGTAGATTTGGGCAGTGAGGAGCCAGAGATCTTTGAGCCACGGTTCCTTCATTTAAATGGTGCGGCTGCTATGCCTTTACCCAGCAGAAATTCAGCTAGGAAAGGTTTTCCCCATCAGGGTATTGGGATGCTGCGGGGGTAAGGAAGATGGTGAGCTGCACCTGATGAACATCTACCTCCCATGCAACTAACACAGCACAAGAGACTTAGAGGAATGAAAAGAAGTCGATCGCTTTACTCAAGGGAGGTGGCACCATCTTCAGTACAGGCCCCCTCAGAGAGGATAATTCACACATAAACACAAACAACGCATATAGCCCACCACAAACCAAAGACTAGGGGCAAGGAATAACAAGATACAGGAATCTAAGTTGGGTGATCTCTCTTCTGTTTTCTTTAACAGAAAATGCACCTGAGAATGCATTCCTTTGCATGCCCTACTTACTTCGGAGTAAGCCCCACTGAAGGCAGCTGTACCTCCCAGCAAACTTGCATAGATGGAACGGAGTTGAAATGGGATCCGCAGCCACTCCCAGGGTTGCCAACTTTTAACCTTGCCTCCGTGGCTGCGCCGGCACAATTCCGCCTCCAGCGCTTAGCAGGCTACCCCGGCCGAGCTCCTCTCAAAGCCACAGGAGCAGAACCACCCCGGCAAGTTGGCAACCCGAAGAACCTCACACTTGCGCGTATCCAAGCCGCGCGTTAAGGAGCGCTCCTATGCGCTCCAGGGCAAGCCACTAACACCGGGGTTGAAAACAAATCTTGCGAGGCTCGATTCCACAGACCCCATAAAGCGACCCCCTCCCCAACCTAGCCCACCTCCCCGAGCGCGCAAAGAGCCTGAACGCGAGGAGTCCCAGGCGCGCCGGTTTTTGGGGAAGGGGCGCGCCAACCGCGCCAGGGCGTCCCGGAGAGGCGCCGCGCTTACCTTGGCTCGCCTCGGTCGAGAAACGCTCCGGCTCCGGCGGGCACTTGTGGGGCTGCCTCGGCGCCTTCCTGCTCCCTGGGCGCGCTTGTGTAACCTCGGCGGCGGCGGCGGCGCCTCGGTGCCTTTGGAGAGGCGAGGCGAGGCGCGCCGGGCGCAAGCGACCCTTGGCCGGACTCTGCCGTGTTCCTCCCTCGCGCAGCGGCGGCCCTGCGGGACCCAGAGCCGGGGAAGGACGGGGAGCGGCCGGGCCCGTCTCTTGCTTCTCTCTCTTTCCCCCCCGAGGCTGTGCGCTCCGGGCAGGCGGCGGCGGCGGCGGAGTTGCCGCAGCGCCAAGGAGCGGAACAAAAGCGAGCTCTCCAAGGCGCCCCAGCCGTGCGCCCTCCTCCTCCTTCTCCCTCTTTCTCCCTTCTCCCGCTTCTCCTAATCCCGGCCGGCTTGGCGGCGCTTCGGCTACCCCGCTAGAGTAGCCCCGGGCTGGGTCATCACGGCTCCGAGCCACCAGGCTTCCAGGACGGCCGAGAGAACCGCGTCTGCTCCGACCCGGGCGCCCGAAGACGAGCGAGGCGAAGGAGGAAGCAGAGGCGGAGCTCTCCGCGCCCGGACCCGCCCAGCCACGCAGCCAGCCAGGAAAGCGGGGACTATAACGCAGTTCAGCCCCGGGACCTTTCTTTCTCCCCGGCGGGAAGGTGATTTTGGCCCGTTTTCAGCCAGGAAAGGGTCACGGCAGGCAGAGAGTCCGGGGAGACCCAGCCTTCAGCCCCGGCACCTTTTGGTTTGGGAGCCGTTCGCTTTCCGGTCTCAGCCAGGTAGGGAAGCGTTTGGTTTCCAGCAACATTCAGCCCCGGGACCTTATATTATTAAAACGGGTGGGGGGCGCAACTTGAATAAAATATTGGGGGGCAGGTAAGCCTAAGCCCCGCCCCACATAATCGATCACAAGACACGGCGCACGCACACTATTTGAATGGCAATGCCTATTAACTGGGGGGGGAGCTGCCCCCTCCAAATATTTTATTGGGGGAGCCGAAGGGACCTCCACCCCAGGAGTTGGCTTCTATGTATTAAACTTGTTATGTACTGAAGTTCTCACCCTGGGCCAGCAGGGGGATACTGTAGATAGTTTTCACTCAGGTCCACATATGCAAATAAGGGATTGAAAGTGACGTTCAGTGATTGGATAGTTACAGAAAGTTGTTACTGTTGCTTTGTAAAAAGGTAAAGGCACCCCTGACCATTAGGTCCAGTCACGGACGACTCTGGGGTTGTGGCGCTCATCTCGCTTTATTGGCTGAGGGAGCCGGCGTACAGCTTCCGGGTCATGTGGCCAGCATGACTAAGCCACTTCTGTCAAACCAGAGCAGCACACGGAAATGCCGTTTACCTTCCCACCAGAGCGGTACCTATTTATCTACTTGCACTTTGACGTGCTTTTGAACTGCTAGGTTGGCAGGAGCAGGGACCAAGCAACGGGAGCTCACCCCGTCATGGGGATTCGAACCGCCGACCTGCTGATCGGCAAGCCCTAGGCTCTGTGGTTTAACCCACAGCTCTATATAATCAGGCTGGCTGAACCCTTCAGTTCAGTTCTCTTCTGGCCTGTGAATAAGCAAGAGCTGTTTGAAGAATTGCTGTGTCGTCTGATATGTTCACCCACAACTTAACAAAACCTGCATGCACTCAGAGAGGAAAGGGTTACTACAGTAAGCAAGCTTTTGCTGCTTCCCAGGGATCAGCCCCAGCACCTATTTTTCAAACATCACCCAGCATTCATCCCTGTAGTACGGAAAGATGATGAGTTCAGCTGGGGAATGCAGGAAGCTTTGTGTAGCCGCTTAGCTCAGTATTGCCAGCACTGGCCAGCCTAGGTTTTTAGGCTTTTTGTATTGTATCTGTGCTGTTTTATTGTGGTTAAGCCACCTTGAGTCCTGGTCTGCAGAAAAGCTGAGATATTAATAATAATAATATTATAATAATTTATTATTTATACCCCACCCATATGGCTGGGTTTCCCCAGCCACTATGGGTGGCTTTCAACAGAATATTAAAATACAATGGTCTATTAAACATTAAAAGCTTCCCTAAACAGGGCTGCCTTCAAAAGTCTTCTAAAAGTCAGATAGTTGTTTATTTTCTTGACATCTGGTGGGAGGGTGTTCCACAGGGCAGGCGCCACCACCGAGAAGGCCCTCTGCCTGGTTCCCTGTAACTTGGCTTCTCGCAGCAAGGGAACCGCCAGAAGGCCCTTGGCGCTGGACCTCAGCGTCCAGGCAGAACAACAACAACAACAGCAACAACGACAACACAGGCTTAAGGCAGCTCAATATACAGACTAATAACCTTAATTCTGTCTTCCTCCTTCATATTTCCTTGCTGGGTTTTCTTTACAGGTTTCAAGGCGAAGAGATAACTCAAAAGGTTCGGAATCTGCCGCTTATCAGGAACAGGGACCAGATCCTGTCCTTTACAGCAATATTAGGCTGAAGAGGAGCGACTGGCGCAAGGTCACCCAAGGTCAGCCTATTTCCTAGGCTGACACTCTAACCACTACACCACACCACCGACCTAGGATAAGCCTAATTGCTTTAGGAATCCAGGGATATGCCAAGTCAGATCATCATTGGTCCACCTTGCCCCATATAACCTGCACTGACTGGCAGAGGCTCTCCGGGGTTTTCAGATATTGACATTCCCTACCAGTAGATGCCAGGAGCTGAACCTGAAATCCGTGGCATGCGAGACAGATGCTCTACCGTTGGACTGCAACCCTTCCCCCTACAGGCCTTTTATTTCCAGCGAGGCGGAATAAGCTCTGTCAGATGTCGCATCAAGTCTGCCAGCTGGGCTGGGTTGCCAAAACAGACTTTTGAGGAAGGAAATAATATTTCTGAAGCACCTGGTAGCAGCCAAGGAAATCCAACGTATGGTGCTGACCTTGAAAGCCCTAAACGGCCTCAGCCCACTAGACCTAAAGTAGTATCTCCACCCCCATTGTTCAGCCAAGACACTGAGGTCCAGCTCCAAGGGTCTTCTGGCGGTTGCCTCACTGTGAACCAGACAGAGGGAACCAGGCAGAGGGCCTTCTCAGTGGTGGCACCTGCCCTGTGGAATGCCCTCCCATGAGACGTCAAGTAAATGCAGTGGTACCTCGGGTTACAGACGCTTCAGGTTACAGAGTCCGCTAACCCAGAAATAGTAGCTCAGGTTAAGAACTTTGCTTCAGGATAAGAACAGAACAGCGGGAGGCCCCATTAGCTAAAGTAGTGCTTCAGGTTAAGAACAGTTTCAGGTTAAGAACGGACCTCCAGAACGAATTAAGTTCTTAACCCAAGGTACCACTGTAAACAACTATCTGACTTTTAGAAGACATCTGAAGGCAGCCCTGTTTAGGGAAGTTTTTAATGTTTGATGTTTTATTATGCTTTTAATTCTGTTGGGAGCCACCCAGAGTGGCTGGGGAGACCTAGCCAGATGGGCATGGTTTAAATAAATTATTATTATTATTATTATTATTATTATTACGACTACTACAAACTCACTCACATGTGCACTGTATGTACAATTTAAAGCACATATGTACCACTTTTAACAGCCAAGGCTTCCCCCAAAGAATCTTGGGAACTGTAGTTCACCCCCTCACAGAGCTACCCTTAACAAACTACAGTTCCCAGGATCCTTTGCGGGGACCTTTAAATGGATGGTGCAACCATCTTGCCACGATGCACCAGCAGCTGGGAGGGCCAAAAGCGTCTTGGGCCAGGCTTGAGCAGCCTGCTTACATGCACAGCACCACACCGCAGCCCATGAGCAAACAGTGCTCAGTTGGCGCCCTGGCATTTTCAGCTGGTTCCTCTCACCCTGCGGCTTGGGCACCCTGTGGCTGTTCCTACCGCCTGCTCCCTTTGAAGCTGCACCGACTGCAGGCAAAGCAATTACCGCAAACACAATGGGAGAATTTCCGTCGCTCTCTCCAGCGACAGCAGGCGGATAATAGGATCAGCGCTTCGGACGCCTTCCCTCGCTCAGCAGCCGTCACAGCCTCCAGAGCGCACCGTGTGCAGCGGCAGATCACCTTGCGCGAGGTGTCAGGGGGAGCCCAGGAGACGCTCTGTGAAACGCACACACTCTGCTCTGCAAAATCTCCAGGCCAACGTACGTGTTGTCGATATCTATGTGTGTTTTCTTCCATTTTTTAATCACCGCGTTGTAGATTTGAAAGGGGTCATTTAGTACAAGCCCCTGCAAGGCAGGAATCTTTTGCGCAACATGGGCCTCGAACCCACAGCCCTGAGGTTAAGAGTTTCATGCAGAAGGCCTTCTCGGTAGTGGCGCCTCCCTGTGGAATATCCCTCCCTTCAGATGCCAAAGAGATAAAGAACTACAGTGGTACTTCGGGTTAAGAATGTAATTCGTTCTGGAGGTCCGTTCTTAACCTGAAACCGTTCTTAACCTGAGACACCACTTTAGCTAATGGGGCCTCCCGCTGCCGCCGTGCAATTTCTGTTCTCATCCTGAAGCAAAGTTCTTAACCCGAGGTACTATTTCTAGGTTAACGGAGTCTGTAACCTGAAGCGTCTGTAACCTGAGGTACCACTGTACAGTCATACCTTGGGTTGAAGTAGCTTCGGGATGAATATTTTCGGGTTGCGCTCCACGGCAACCCAGAAGTAACGGAGTGCGCTACTTCCGGGTTTTGCCGCTCGCGCATGCGCAGACACTCAAAATGACGTCACGCACATGTGCGGAAGCGGCAAAACGCGACCCGCAGACGCGCAGTCACGTCTTACGTTTACTTCAGGATGCGAAGTGGCTCCGGAACGGATCCCGTTCGTATTCAGAGGTACCACTGTACACAACTTTTAGAAGTCATCCAAAGGTAGCCGTGTATCAGAAAGTTTTTAATGTTTGATTATTTTACTATGTTTTATATATGCTGTAAGCCGTCCAGAGTGGCTGGGGAAACCCAGCCAGATGGGCAGGGTATAAATATTATTATTATTATTATTATTATTATTACACTTTACTGGCTGAGGTATCCCAGCTATATTTATTACTGATGTTGTGGGTCTGGCAGGGTCAGTCTGGATGATGCCCTGAATCCCTTCCAATTATTTGGGGCTTTTTTTGGTAAAGTTTTTTAAAATTAATATTTCATTTTGCAATGGTATATAAAACAGAGAGAAGCGTTATAACACCAGACGGAAATTAAAAGATGAGAAACAAAACTATAAAATAGGCAAGTAGAATGAGCACAGTTGCATGTGGCTTGAAATAACAAAGCCCAAGTAAAGACTATCAGTGTTATCTACAGAACAGTAATTTTAATCTTATTATTTATACCCCGCCCATCTCTGAGTTGCCCCCGATTATCAGATTATCAAGTCTAGTCCCAGATTTGCGAGGTTTGTGATGAGAAATGATGGTTCTGCTCCACGTGTCCTAAAAGAATGCCAAATCTTATGAAAAGTCTCTGGGGATTCTGATCCTTGTCGAAATCTCAAATTATGGATGATTTTATCCATTATATTCCAGAGTCAGTGGTACCAAGCGCCCGGTGTAAGATTTGGGGCTGTTTTCCCTATCTCTTCCAGTTCTTCTGGCCCAATGAGGGTTCGAATCTGAGACAGAAGGCTGCCGAACTAGTCAGACAAATTTATTTATATGACAGTGGCCTTGTCACTTAAGTATACTCATCAACATCCCAAAAGAATGAGCAAGGTTAGAAGAGATACAGTGAAGTGGAAACACCCTCCAGACTTTTGGATGGACTTTCCCTCCTACCTACTATTAGGGCTAGGCAATATATCATCCAAAACTGGTTTGAAGACCGTATCGTGATTATCGGTTTCACAATTTTTGACCTGGCAATATATCGCAAATCAAGATGTGTGTGTGTGCTGTGCAAAAATCACAAAAAAAACCATGAAGCCAGCCAATACCTCTCCATAACTCCATCTTTATTTCAGGCATTGTGATATAGGTAAAAAAGGTAAAGGACCCCTGAACGGTTAAGTCCTGTCAAAGGTGACTATGGGCTTGTGGCGCTCATCTTGCTTTCAGGCCGAGGGAGCCGGCGTTTGTCCACTGACAGCTTTCCGGGTCATGTGGACAGCAGGACTAAACCATTTCTGGCACAATGGGACACCGTGACAGAAACCAGAGCACACGGAAACGCCATTTGCCTTCCTGCCGCAGCAGTACCTATTTATCTACTTGCACTGGTATGTTTTCGAACTGCTAGGTTGGCAGGAGCTGGGACAGAGCGACGGGAGCTCACCCCGTCACGGGGATTCGAACCGCCAACCTTCCGATCAGCAAGCCCAAGAGGCTCAGTGGTTTAGACCAAAGCACCACCCACTCCCTTCCATTGTGATATATCAGTACATCAGTATATTGTGATGTTTAGCTGGTGATATACAGTGGATGCTCAGGTTGCAAACGTGGTCCGTGCAGGAGGCACGCTCGCAACCCACAGCGCCATGTCTGTGCATGCGCGGGTTGCGATTCGGTGCTTCTGCACATGTTCCGGTACTTCCGGGTTTCGGCGGGTCCGTAACCCGGAAAAACGCAACCTGAAGCGTCTGTAACCCAAGGTATGACAGTATCACAAAGTTGAAAACCAGATATCACCTCTGTATAGGAGAACAATAGCTAGAGCTTTGTGTGAGAGCTGAGTCAGAAGCAGACGGGAAGCGGGAGACACAGAGACATGCGTGCTCTGTGCTGGATCCAAAGTTGTGACTAATGGAGAATTAAGATCTGTTGAGGTGTTAATGCTCTGAGCTCCTCCATCTCATGCTCAGGTTGTAAAAGGTAAAGGTAAAGGGACCCCTGACCATTAGGGCCAGTCGTGGCCGACTCTGGGGTTGCGGCGCTCATCTCGCTTTATTGGCCAAGGGAGCCGGCGTACAGCTTCCGGGTCATGTGGCCAGCATGACTAAGCCGCTTCTGGTGAACCAGAGCAGCGCACGGAAGCACCGTTTACCTTCCCGCCAGAGAGGTACCTATTTATCTACTTGCACTTTGACGTGCTGTCGAACTGCTAGGTTGTATACATGTGTAATAAAAGCATTTATCCTAAAGACACGATTGACCCTGCTTGGCAAGTGCCTGGGACCCCTCTCACTGCTCAGAGACACGGGTGACGTGAACTTTATATTCTTATAAGCAGCATCTAGGTTTCAGCTTTTCAGCTTTCAATGAAGACAATCTGATTTTCCAGAACTTTTCATGGATAATTTATCTCACTCCCGCTGTTTTCTTTATTGCTGCTTTTTTTATTATTATTATTGCTGCTGCTCTTGCTGCTCCCTGTGGTTTGTCTGAATCTTTTAAAAAAACAAATTACAAGCTGCAATTAATAAATAAATCAAAATAGCGATCCAGCTTGTTGAACCAGTAGGATAGAGATTTTTAAATGTGCAGACGACAGCAGCCCGAATTGCACCAGTCAATAAATTTTATCCACCGGACTTCCAACGGACCTGAGTCTGTGTGGCGGATCAACCTGAAGCATCGTGGCATCGCCAGGCGAGCACAGCTCCAGAACTTTTGGCCGAGGAGAGCATGGCACCGAGATAAGCAGGAATGTGATCCGGCGGTGGAATAAGAGGCCTTTTGTTCAGCAAACAAGGTCCGAGTCAGTAGCGTGTTGTTGGGAGAGTCACTCCATCCGAACGGCCTGCGAATAAGATACGGGAATAGAGAATGCATAGGCTCCGTGACTCCCTTGGGAACAAAAAAACATATTAACCCAAGAGATCACTTATCAAGAATGCGACTGTAAAGAGAGGCCTATGAAAGGGATTGATTGATGTCCGGGAGCATGGCGTCCAGGTTTTAATGAATAACAAGCTCTTAGCCATTATTGATTAATACTGGGAAAGTATCTACCGTGTCTGTTGGTTGTGGCACTCGCTGGCTGCTTCCAGGGTCAGTAAAACATCCTGCAATCTGGTATTCCGTCACATCGAATACGCCGAGGTTTTAGTCCTCGTGGCTAAGGAGAGCAGCTAAGCCTATTGCTTTCTTTAAAGCAGAGGAGCTGTTCTCCTTTTCCATGATTTTTTCTGCCTTGTCTTTTTTGCCCAAGTTAAATATTTACAGGAGTTACAGCGCAGCTGTAAACAGAGAGATGTTTCAAAGCCATTAGAGAACCAGAGTGGAATCAGCAATGACTGGGAACTGAACCCAAATGAAGTTAGTGGGACAAACTACATAGATATCTCCCATGTCACCAAGAACATCCCAGTGGGACTATTGGCTTATGAGTTCCAGCCTTGCTCATCAAAAAACACTCCTTCCTTCTTACACCTTCCAAATGGGATGTGTCTGACTGCCAACGGTTTTTCCTGGGTCTTTTATCCAGCTGTGTGATGCAGAAATTAAGCTATTGGCAGTTTTCTCAGCGGGGATAGAAGTAAAAGCTTCACTCACAAGAGTCATAGGAACGTGCAAGCCCACCCACCACGACAAGGTGATTGCCTGTGAGTGCTCCAGTTGGAGAACAGCCTTTCCCAAAGGTGTCATGGGCTTTGAAGACACTCAAACTCAGGACGCAAGGGAGAAACGTGCTAAGAAGAAAGCACGCTTGGCAAACCCACACCGTGATCAACTCCTGCCCGGAAACCTGTGTCCCCACTGTGGAAGGACGTGTGGATCCAGAATTGGCCTCCACAGTCACTTACGGACTCATTGCTAAAACCATGTTTATGGAAGACAATCTAACTTGGCTACGAAGAAGGAAGGAAGGAAGGAAGGAAGGAAGGAAGGAAGGAAGGAAGGGCAAAGGTTTGCTTGCTTAACTTCTACGCTGCTGTCAAAGGCACAGGAGCACAGTCTATAAAGAAAGTTGACAACTCTAAGCTGGAGGTACGATTGGCCTTCATTTCTGTACATCTTTCTGGGGAGAAGCCCATAAAAGCAACTCAATAATAAGCTGAAGAAACAGTTTAGCAGACTGAAAACCAGCAGAAGTGATGGGAGTTTCCAGGGTATTGCGCTAAATATCACATGTACCACATTCTGCCTGTCTGGAGAGAAGTCACATGCTCTCCAAACATTCCTCAGATGAAAATAAGGACATTTCTCACTCCCCACCAACTGGCCCTTCTTAACACACACCCCCATTTTTGTCCCATCCCCCCTGCCACCATTTCAGCACCATTTCAGCAACAGGACACAGGGCCCATAGCCTTCAAAAATGTACAGTGGTACTTCGGGTTAAGAACGCCATTCGTTCTGGAGATCCATTCTTAACCTGAAACTGTTCTTAACCTGAGGTACCACTTTAGCTAACGGGGCCTCCTGCTGCTGCCACTGCGCCGCCACTGCGCAATTTCTGTTCTCATCCTGACGCAAAGTTTTTAACCTGAGGTACTATTTCTGGGTTAGCGGAGTCTGTAACCTGAAGCGTCTGTAACCCGAGGTACCACTGTACAGAGAAAACCCCTTTATCCTGGTTTTATTTTATTTCATCCTTTGGTAGATTTACAAAAAGGAAAAACACACACACACACCAATGAATAAATTTTAGAAAGGGGCAAAAATAGACACAGATGTACAAAGCATTTTTTATTTTAAAAAAATCCAGACTCCTTGCACTCCTCTCCCCTTTTTTCCGCCCAAGGCAGCCCTGGCCTCTTCCTGCTGACACATCAAGTGGAGCTGGGTCTTGTGTGGAAGAGGCCAACAGTAGCGGCCATGGAGAGGCAACGGGCTGCCCCTTCGCAGGCGCCATTGCTCAGCACAAGCATCAGCTCATCCTCCTCCCCAAGCTCAGCAGTGCTGGTGTTGGTGGAGGGGGGGGTCTGTGTTGGGATTCAAGCCTTTATCAGGAGAAACTGGCCACTCTCCAGGCACCCGGCTTGATCTCCTGTTGACCTCCCTGTCTGCATTCCCCAGCAGGATCCAGGCAGAGGTCGCGATAGGCGATCCTTCTCAGAGTGAGAAGAACACACCCCCTCTTTCCTGCCCCCCCCAGGCAGGGGAAAGAGATAGACAGAAACGTATTTACATTCCTTTATTTCTGTCTTTGCAGCATTACAAAAATCATGACTGCTCACTTCAAGCTCCAGCAGTCGAGAGACTAACTCCTCCTGTACTTCCTGTACAGCTCATATTACACTCTGAGCTAATTCCGGTGCCCTCTGCACTGTGAATTGACTGTCCCTCTGTTTCCCACGGAACAGTCCCAACATTCCCATTATGTTTTGCTTTCAAGCTACCAGCTTGCGGCCGCGTAACAGTCTGTGATCTAAACCACAGAGCCTAGGGCTTGCTGATCAGAAGGTCGGCAGTTCGAATCCCCGCAACATCTCCACAGATAGCTTCCGGGTCATGTGGCCAGCATGACTAAGCCGCTTCTGGCGAAACCAGAGCAGCGCACGGAAACGCCGTTTACCTTCCCGCCGGAGCGGTAGCTATTTATCTACTTGCACTTTGACGTGCTTTCGAACTGCTAGGTTGGCAGGAGCAGGGACCGAGCAACGGGAGCTCACCCCGTCGCGGGGATTCGAACTGCCGACCTTCTGATCTGCAAGCCCAAGGCTCAGTGGTTTAACCCACAGCGCCACCCGCGTCCCCCTTTACCTTTACCTAGGATCAAATCAGGAGCCAGGATGGTTTTTGTAATTCCGGGACTGTCCTTGGGAAAAGGTAAAGGACCCCTGGATGGTTAACTCCAGTCCAAGGCGACTATGGGGTTGTGACTCTCATCCTCACCTGATAGACCGGGTGTGTTTTAGAAATTCCTTCTCCACACACAGAGAGAGCTGCAAAAATTCAGGATGACCAGCCCTGGCTCAGCAATTTCCAATTACGGATTTCCTCGGTCACAAAAACAGCGAGGCTTCCTGTAAACATTTCTCACTTGAAAAAATATATAATTTCACTTTGGAACTAAAGAGGGGCTTAAGCTGTTTCCTAAGGACTAAACATCCACTTTTACTCGGCCCCGCCAATTAAATCCTTCAAGCCCTCTGCAATTTCAAAGGAAATTCAGAGCAATTAAATATAAACAGCACAAGCTCTGTCTTCCAACTGATCTCAACCCTGTATGGGAGAAGAAGGCCGGTTGGCAGGGCAGGGCGAAATTGTACCATCTCCTTTCTAAATGTTTAATGGCATTTGCTTTGCCATTGAATCGGGTTTCATCCCAACCACCTCAATCGGCAATTCCAGATCTTTGCAAACAAAGCAAAGTTGGTCTCTTGGTTGGGACATAAACAGGGAAACCTGAGCATATGTGCAAGGAGCGAACGAGAGCAGGTTTGTGAGGACACTGTCCTGTCCTTGTGCCTTCAGCAAGAGCTTCATCTTCAGAAATCAGCAGAAGATAAGGTTGCCAGACGTCCGGAATACTGCAGCCGCAAGCGAAATGTCCGGGGAAATCCGTACTGTTATGTACTGAGTTGAATAGGATTCAGAATGCAGCAGTCTGATTGGTCCTAGAACAATAAGATTCAGAATGCAGCAGTCTGATTGGTCCTAGAACAATAAGATTCAGAATGCAGCAGTCTGATTGGTCCCAGAACAATAGGGTCCAGAATGCAGCAGTCTGATTGGTCCACAGGAGCCACCCAATCCAGCTCCAGGTGGAAGTGAATCCGCGACCTGATTGGCTTACAGGAGAATCCCGGAATTAGCCAATCATATGGGGCCCATTGTGTAAATAATGTATATAAAGCAGACATTCTGGGGGAACTTCCATTCCTCCTCACCATTATGAGCTGAATAAAGAGCATGAAATCCACTCTCGGCTCCGAGTATATTTCACGTACGTATGGCAACCCATGTCTCCCGTGTCGTTTATGCTTATTTCCCTCAGAAATAGCTCAACAACTTTGGCCAAAACTAAAAAAACAAAACTCAACAATTTTTCTGTCCAGAAATATGCCTGGTAATAGGTATTTTCACCTGTGGGATTCTGCCTGGCGAACCAATGTTTACCAAAGGCACAAGCACCGTGGCTAGAAAAAAACAACAACCACAACCTTTCGTACACCGCTTTGAGGCTTTTTGCAAACAAGCAGTGTATAAATTTTATGAAATAAATCATGATAAATAAATAAAAGACAACGGCTCTTTCTTCCACTACATGTGCACAGACAATATCTTGGGCCAGGATTAGGACCCATCCAAACATCCATGTGTGGTTATGATTTGCACACTTTTTCAAAAAATAGATTTTATTGGAATTTAGAAATGGGTATGCAGAAATTATTATGAAATATCTTTTTTATCAAAAGTAAGATGTTAATCTAGATAAAAGCACAAACTAGAAAAAGAGAGAGAGCGAGAAAGGAGGAGAGAAAGATTGACAGGAAAGAGAAGAAAGAAAGCGAAGAAATAGAAAAAATAAAAGAAGGAAAATAAAGACCTAATTCATTGTCTATCAGCTATTTATAAACGTTATTCAAGACATCTACTCCAATATTGCACCTATCAAAACCACTTTCCTATAAACCAACATCATCTTCAAGCCCAAATGTCCTTAATTCATTTTCTTTTTCATGCAAAAAGTCGATAAGAGGTTTCCAATCTTTAGAAAGTGTTAACAATGATTTTTCTCTGCTTAAACATTTCTCCATCTCAGCTAAGTCCAATCATTTTAACAGTCATTCCTCCATTGTTGGTAAAGATGAGTCCTTTACATCTTTGTGCATATAAAAGTATTTTTTATTATCCGGTTATGATTTGCACTCTTGAGGGCATTGGAGCAGTTATACATGATCCCACTTCAAATACTGTTTGTGCCTGCAAAAGTTTAGGGGAAGACACACCGCTTCGTTCTCAATCCATACATACCTAGCGGCTTCCTGCTGAAATCCTGCCACTTTTCCTATGACAAATATTCTGTGTTTGTTCCCTTGCTGCTGTTATTGTTGTGCTATAGTGCAAGCGTTCCCCTCCGCTGCGGAAGCAGCGCAGAACAACTAAGAAAGCAGAATGGCGTGCAGATGATCCAGTATACAGTGGTGCCTCTGGTTACGTACTTACTTCGTTCCGGAGGTCCGTTCTTAACCTGAAACTGTTCTTAACCTGAAGCACCACTTTAGCTAATGGGGCTGCCTGCTGCCGCCGCGCCGCCAGAGCACGATTTCTGTTCTCATCCTGAAGCAAAGTTCTTAACCCAATGTAATATTTCTGGGTTAGCGGCGTCTGTAACCTGAAGCGTATGTAACCTGAAGCGTATGTAACCCGAGGTACCACTGTACATCCAGCACTAATGTACTATGACCAGGACATTCGCAGGGAAACCAAAATGCTTGTTTACAAAGCTATGGTACCACCAACCTTGTTGTATGCTTGTGAAACATGAACCACTTATAAACGCCATCTCCTCAAAAGATTCCATCAACGGCGTCTCCAAAGAAATTTACACATCCCTTGGGAAGACAGGCGAACTAATGCCAGTGTACTGGAAGAAGCAAAGATCACCCGTGTCGAAGCAATGATTCTTCGACACCAACTTCGTTGGACTGGTCATGTTGTTCGGATGCCTGATGATCGTCTTCCAAAGCAACTACTCTATTCTGAACTTAAAAATGGAAAGCGTAATGCCGGTGGTCAACAAAAGATGTTTAAAGACTGTCTCAAGGCAAATCTAAAAAAATGTAGTATAAACACCAACAATTGGGAAACACAGGCCTGCGAGCGCTCCAGTTGGAGAACAGCCTTTTCCAAAGGTGTCTTGGACTTTGAAGACGCTCGAACTCAGGACACAAGGGAGAAACACGCTAAGAGGAAGGCACGCTTGGCAAACCCTCACCGTGATCAACTCCCGCCCGGAAACCAATGTCCCCACTGTGGAAGGATGTGTGGATCCAGAATTGGCCTCCACAGTTACTTATGGACTCATTGTTAAAACCGTGTTTACGGAAGACAATCTTACTCGGCTACAAGGGATTGCCAAAGGAGAAGAAGACTTTGACTGCATCAATGGCATGTTGCAGCAGATACCCACAAAACACCCATCTGGGGGGACCCTACATTCCATCTCATTTGGAAAACAGAATGCAATATCCTGATGTGAGAAATAGATTCCTCCGGGGATCACTGGCTGCCATTATGTATCTAGCAGGCTTCCTGTCCTTCTAATAAATGTATGACAGGCTGTAATTCAACCGACGAAGCTTTCTCCAGCGCTGAGATTTGGTGCAGAGGGAGTCAAGTCTGTCGAAATTCTGCTGTCCTACCACCATTGAAAGGGACCTGGGTGGCGCTGTGGGTTAAACCACTGAGCCTCTAGGACTTGCCGATCAGAAGGTCGGCGGTTCGAATCCCCGCGACGGGGTGAGCTCCCGTTGCTCGGTCCCAGCTCCTGCCAACCTAGCAGTTCGAAAGCATGTCAAAGTGCAAGTAGATAAATAGGTACCGCTCTGGCAGGAAGGTTAACGGCGTTTCCGTGCGCTGCTCTGGTTCGCCAGAAGCGGCTTAGTCCTGCTGGCCACATGACCCGGAAGCTGTACGCTGGCTCCCTCGTCCAATAAAGCGCGATGAGCACTGCAACCCCAGAGTCGGACACGACTGGACCTAATGGTCAGGGGTCCCTTTACCTTTACCACCATCGAAAGCCACATAAGAAATGCAAAGTGGAGGAAAAGTTTCATCTACTTGCACTAAAGACCTGAGAGAACTGTCAGTGAGGAGGAGCTGACTGTTCTTAGTATTTTTTCAGTCGAAGAGTGTTTCACATGCAATATCCTCACAACGGCACTGTAAGGTTGGTCCTCAATTGCTGCTTTCTCCATATTGCATGTTGAGCGGGGAGCAACTTAAGGAAAGTAATCCATTCAGTGGATTCTAGTGCCTCGTGGCAGAGACAAGATGTGAAGGAAGGACTTTCTGATTCATCAGCCAGTCTCTTGGCTGCTCTGCTCCTCTCTTTCCTGTGCATCCAATCTAAGCACTCCTCCATGCTTCCTCTATTTATTCTCTCGTCGTTGTCATGCTTTTGCCCAGTGCAGTTAGCCAGCAGTTACTGGCTTTTGCACAAACAGCAGAAAGCGTGTTGCAACTCCTTGGTTTCTGCTAGACATTAGCTCATGTTCAAAAATGTCGCTTTTGAAATCCGTACCTTGTGACCAAATACCAGGGAACACCCTGATATCGGTGACATAAATCTGGCCTCAACAGGTGGCATGAACTTTCCTGGACCTGCTGGTTTTTAAGGGCTGCAAGTTGTTCCCGCAAAGAATCCACTAGCTCACTAATTGCAGGTTTTTTTTTAAAAAAAGGCACATCCCCAGCCAGCAATCCATCAGTTGGGTATTTTGCCCTCTCCAAGAAAATAAAATAGGATAATAATTACAGGAGCAAAACTAAATGGTGCATGGATAAAAGAAGTGTTGCAAGTCCACCCTTCCAACATGTCAAATATTAAAATAGTTCTGACTTGCAGTGTGCTTGCGGTGTCTCAGGAAAGCCCACCACTCAGTTGCAGAACACTTGCTTGGAATGCAGAAGTCTCCACGTTCGAATCCTGGCATGTCCAGGGATGCAGGAAGCTGCCTTAGACCAAGTCAGTCCACTGGTCCATCTAACTCAGTTCTGCCTACACCAGAGATGTGGTACTCATGGGTCTCCAGATGTTGGACTACAACTCCCATCATCCCTTAGCATGGACCTTGCTGACTGGGGATGATGGGAGTTGTAGTCCAACGACATCAGCATGGGGAAGGCTGTATTACACCAAGACGGCCCATCTTCCTGAAAACTTAATTGGCCTGTAAGGTGGCAGATTACAAAAGCTGCCGTGGAAGGAAGCCTAAACGGCATGTTTTGTCTTGGCTGCTTCACAGACACGTTGTGTTTTTTTGCAAGATGCCTCTGATGGTCCGGCGGGCAGACAAAAGATGTTATTTGCAAGCAGGCTTGGAGACGTATCATGTGATATGTGTTCTGAGTGTTCTGTTGCATGAATGAGATTTCCCTGTGCTTTTTTTCTAGCTGGGAACCTTTAATAATAGGGTGGCGGGGAATTCTCCCATTGTTACCTCCGTATGCCGGGAACGAGTAGACCCTTTGAAGTTGTCCTGATTGCACAGGTATTAAAAAGGAGCATGAGAAAGAAAAGAAAAGAAAAGAAAAGAAAAGACAAGACAATAATACTATTAATATGAATAAAACAGCACTTGTGAAGAATGAAGCATCACACACAATCTTTGAAAAAGACATTTGCGTTTGTATGTCATCTAAATTTTTGTACGTTTTTGTATTATTAATAATAATGGATATATTTTAATTAATTAATAATAATAATAATAATTTCTACCTGTTTATTAATGGAATTGAACCCAGAAACTCATCCATGCAAAGCACAGCTTTGTCATTGAGCTGCAGTCTCTTCACTTCTGGGCTTTAAGCTGTTTGATCTTGAACGGAGCTGAAGAGTGTTAAGCCACAAGTTCTCTCACGCATTTGCCAATTGCATTTTCATAATTTGCTGTGCCAGTTTAATTATGAAACATCAGAAATTAAGCCGAGAGGTCACAAGCCTCCGGGAACCAAAGTGAGGAATTTGCTGGTGTCGCGTGTGACTCAACCATCACCCCCAAGTCCCCACGGCTAAAGGAAGGCGTCCTCAACAGAGCACACGCCAGATATTTTTGGACTACAACTCCCATCAAGCAGAGCTGGGAGTTGTGAAGAAAGATTGCAATGCAGTATTGGGGACTTCTGTAGTCTAGAGACTACAGAAAAGGCAAGAAAGAGGTGACATGATAAAAGGAATGGGCATGTTGTTGTTGTTTAGTCATTTAGTCATGTCCGACTCTTCGTGACCCCATGGACCAGAGCATGCCAGGCACTCCTGTCTTCCACTGCCTCCCGCAGTTTGGTCAAACTCATGCTGGTAGCTTCGAGAACACTGTCCCACCATCTCGTCCTCTGTCGTCCCTTTGTCAATGTTGTGACACGCATCACTTGGGAAGACAGGCGAACTAATGCCAGTGTACTGGAAGAAGCAAAGATCACACGTGTCAAAGATCACCCGTGTTCAACATCAGCTTTGTTGGACTGGTCATGTTGTGCGGATGCCTGATGATCGTCTTCCAAAGCAACTGCTCTATTCCGAACTTAGAAATGGAAAGCGTAACACTGGTGGTCAACAAAAGAGGTTCAAAGACTCTCTCGAGGCAAATCTAAAAAAATGTAGTATAAACACCAATAACTGGGAAACACTGGCCTGCGAGCGCTCCAGTTGGAGAACAGCCTTTACCAAAGGTGTCATGGGCTTTGAAGACACTCGAACTCAGGACGCAAGGGAGAAGCGTGCTAAGAGGAAGGCACACTTGGCAAATCCACACCATGAACAACTCCCGCCCGGAAACCAATGTCCCCACTGTGGAAGGACGTGTGGATCCAGACCTGGCCTCCACAGTCACTTACAGACTCACTGTTAAGACTGTGTTCATGGAAGATAATCTTACTCGGCTACGAGGGATCGCCAAGGAAGAAGAAAACTGAACTACCTCCACCCTCCACAAAATCGTGGTTGCCTTGGCCATCTGTCCTGGATGCTTTAGTTGAGATTCATCTGTATTGCAGGGGGTTGGACTAGATGACCCTGGGACCCGCCTTCCAACTCTACAATTCTAGAATTCTGTAGTAGTATTAGTAATAATAATAATAATAATAATTTATTGTTTATACCCCGCCTATGTGGCTGGGCTTCCCCAGCCACTCTGGGCAGCTTCCAACAAAATATTAAAATATGTGAAAAATTTCAATTCCCTTTTCCTTTTTCCGATCTGGACCCCTTTACCAAGCATTTTAAAAAGCAAGCTTGCCTCGGCTTCGATGGCACGAACCTGTCAAATTCATCGGCGATGGCCCTTGCCGGTTCTCTCCTGGCTGTCAGTAGGCGGGCAGCGGACCTGTCAAGCGATGGCCTCTGTGTCACTGGGCTGCCTGCTCAGAACTGACACCCGTTTCCAGGGCGTCGAAAGCCAGCCATGTGGAATGAAGCAGCACTCCTGCCCAGGGCAGCTTTCCTGGGCTCAGCGCCGGATTTGGGAAAGTGCGGGCAGTTTCCGCCCAGGGCGGCGAGGCAAGGGAGCACAAAAGTGAGAAGATCAATTCGGGGGTGCTGAATTTGGGGCTCGCCAGAGCACACAAGATGACCAAAGTCCATCTTGGCTGCCTTGGCTGGTGGCTGGTGGAAGTTGGGAGTCTGAAGGCTGGCTGGTGGTTGGAGGAGAGAGCGGTGGGGAGGGCAGAGGAAGAGAGAGCGTGCCCCATAGCGGCTCCTGTCAGGTGCTGCAGAATCAACTCAGCTTATTGGCTCCCTCAACCTGAAACGTTGCAAAAGGTGCGTGATAAGTTTCACTCCTGGCAAGATGAGCATGTGCTCTTAATAATAATAATAATAATAATAATTTTTATTTATACCCCGCCCTCCCCAGCCAGAGCCGGGCTCAGGGCGGCTAACACCAATATAATCACAGTAAAAACATAATGGGAGGGGGGTCAATTTAAAATACAGGTTAAAATGCAATTTAAAATGCAGCCTTATTTTAAAGTAGCCAATAAATCAAGACTATAAGGGGAGGGAAACATAAGGGTCAGACTGAGTCCAAACCAAAGGCCAGGCGGAACAGCTCTGTCTTGCAGGCACTGCGGAAAGATGTCAAGTCCCGCAGGGCCCTGGTCTCTTGTGACAGAGCGTTCCACCAAGTCGGGGCCAGTACTGAAAAGGCCCTGGCCCTAGTTGAGACCAATCTAATGACCTTGCGACTTGGGACCTCCAAAATGTTGTCATTTGTGGACCTTAAGGTCCTCCGCGGGGCATACTGGGAGAGGCGGTCCCGTAGGTACGTAGGTACTATGTCAACAGGAGAGAAACAGAAAATGAGCCTTATTTATATATATTTTTATTTTTATTTTTATTTTTATTTTTATTTTTATTTTTATTTTTATTTTTATTTTTATTTTTATTTTATTTATTTTATTATTATTATTATTATTATTATTATTATTATTATTATTAGTTATGGGTTGCCATATTTCAAAAAGTACACACCAGGATGCCTCAAATTAGTTGAGCTTTTTCCCCCTTACAAAAACACCCCTAAGTTTGTTTTTTCGGCTGACTTGCCTAAGATCCAGGACAAAGCTCCGCCTTCCCACGCATGAGAATTCTGCCTTTAAAATCCCAGCAATGTCAGGGAAAATCCAGACATATGGCAGCCCCACCTTATGAGAAACAGCTGAGGGAGTTGGGGAGGATGTTTAGCCCAGAGAAGAGAAAGACAGAGAGGTTATTTTAAAGCCACCAACTTGGATGGCTTCAAAAAAGAATCGGACAAAATAATTAATAATAATAATAATAATATTTTATTTATACCCCCTTCTTCCCGGTTCAGAAAACTGGGCTCAGGGCAGCTAACAACAAATTTAAAACACATAATTGATGCTACAAAAAGCAGCATAAAATACGGTATATAACGTGAACAACAATAAAATCAAAAATCAGTTTAGGGGAAAAATCCATCCAATAAACATTAGATGATCACCAGGGCTAGCTGGCTAAATTAGTCCTATTTGGGCCAGCGAGGAGACCAGGGGAGAATTAGTTGTGGGGTCTCAGAGCAGGTAATCTTCATAAAAAGGGGAGGAGAGGGAAGGAAGGGGAATAAAAGATCAGGCTAAGTTCAAATTGAAAGCCAGGTGGAATAGCTCTGTCTTACAGGCCCTGTGGAAGGAAGTGAAATCCTGCAGGGCCCTGGAATCATTGGACAGAGCATTCCACCAGGTCGGAGCTATCACTGAAAAGGCCCTGGCCCTGGTGGAGGATAGTCTGACATCCTTAGGGCCCGGGACCTCTAAACTATGGTTGTTCATGGACCTTAAGGTCCTCTGCAGGGCATACCAGGAGAGGCGGTCCCGTAAATACGAGGGCTCTAAGCCACCTCTTCTTAATGGAGAAGAGGTGCCCCTGAAAGCCAGTTGAATACATCTCTGAAATACCTATTAAGGCAATCCCTGTGGGTTAAACCACAGAGCCTAGGACTTGCCGATCAGAAGGTCGGCAGTTCAAATCCCCGCGACGGAGTGAGCTCCCGTTGCTCGGTCCCTGCTCCTGCCAACCTAGCAGTTCGAAAGCACATCAAAGTGCAAGTAGATAAATAGGTACCACTCCGGCGGGAAGGTAAACGGCGTTTCCGTGCGCTGCTCTGGTTCGCCAGAAGCAGCTTAGTCATGCTGGCCACATGACCTGGAAGCTGTGCGCTGGCTCCCTCGGCCAATGAAGCGAGATGAGCGCCGCAACCCCAGAGTCAGCCACGACTGGACCAAAGGGTCAGGGGTCCCTTTACCTTTACCTTTATTTGGCCACGGAAAATGTCACCAAAGAGTGTGGAAGCCAGTGGACTCTAGTGCATTTGGATAAATGGGGTGTTGCCCCTGAAACCTAGCTGGCCACTGCCTCCCTGCTTCATTGCTTGCAACCAGTCCAAAGGGCCGTACTGGCGCCCAATTTCCTCCTCCTCCTCTGCCCCATTGCAGAACTCAGCTGGAACAAGCCCTGGTTTAACTTCCGAGCAAACTTGGTGCAAGGATGCTCGATAAATAGGTCGGGCGGAGCAGGCCTTCAGAAGCGTCGCTGCAGAGGCTGTCACAAAGAACATCCAGCATGCATGTCTGGCAGACAAAAACACGTGGATCAAAGACATCACCGCGTGATTGCGGTTCGGAGTCAACTAAAAAAAAAGAAAAGGTAAACAAAAACCATCCAGGGATTTAAACTCTGCTTCATCAGGAATCAGATCACCAGGTAAACAGGAAACACGCGGGGAATGTCTATCCTTTCTGCGCTCTCTGAAAAACCATTTTTAATTCCTGCTTACATAAAACCAATCCTGCTGTTTCCACTGCCTCTCTCCCACCTCTTTGAATTCCCCATTCTCTCTCTCTCTCTCCAGCCACCGACTGAATGTCAGCAGAAAATAATTCCTTTAATGAGTGTGCAGAGATACATCAGCTGACTGGGGTTTACCTCGGCAAAGTCTGGCAGGTCACAGGGGGTCAAATTCTGCAGCAGGCGGGTGTTTAATCCCAGCCTTTTATAGGACACGAGACTCGGCAGCCCAAGGAGAAAGGCCTCTTCTTTCCAGGAAAGGACTTCTGCAATGAATAAGGGGCAAAGATGGTCTGGGGTCTCCAGATGAGTTTGGCAGTGGGGATTAAAGGGCGTATGGGGAATTCGGGTTTACACATTTTGAGTAGTAGTAGTAGTAATAATAATAATAATAATAATAATAATAATAATAATTTATTATTTATACCCTGCCCATCTAGGGACGCGGGTGGTGCTGTGGGTTAAACCACAGAGCCTAGGACTTGCCGATCAGAAGGTCGGCAGTTCGAATCCCCGCGATGGGATGAGCTCCCGTTGCTCGGTCCCTGCTCCTGCCAACCTAGCAGTTCGAAAGCACGTCAAAGTGCAAGTAGATAAATAGGTACCGCTCCGGCAGGAAGGTAAACAACGTTTCCGTGCGCTGCTCTGGTTCGCCAGAGTTACTTGTGCTGGCCACATGACCTGGAAGCTGTACGCCGGCTCCATCGGCCAGTAAAGCGAGATGAGCGCCGCAACCCCAGAGTCGTCCGCAACTGGACCTAATGGTCAGGGGTCCCTTTACCTTTACTACCCTGCCCATCTGGTTGAGTTTCCCCAGCCATTCTGGGCGGCTCCCAATCAAGTGTGAAAAACAATACAGCATTAAATATTAAAAACTTCCCTAAACAGGGCTGCCTTCAGATGTCTTTTAAAGATAGGATAGCTGCTTATTTCCTTCACATCTGAAGGGAGGGCGTTCCACAGGGTGGGCGCCACCACCGAGAAGGCCCTCTGCCTGATTCCCTGTAGCCTCACTTCTCGCAATGAGGGAACCGCCAGAAGGCCCTCGGCGCTGGACCTCAGTGGGTTAAAGAGCTCTGTGCCTCTAGCACAGGGGTCAGCAAACTTTTTCAGCAGGGGGCCGGTCCACTGTCCCTCAGAACTTGTGGGCGGCCAGACTATATTTTGAAAAAAATATCGTATTTTTCGCTCTATAAGACGCACCAGACCACAAGACGCACCTAGTTTTTAGAGGAGGAAAACAAGAAAAAAATAATTCTGAATCTCAGAAGCCAGAACAGCAAGAGGGATCGCTGTGCAGTGAAAACAGCGATCCCTTTTGCTGTCCTGGCTTCTGGGATAGCTGTGCAGCCTGCATTCGCTCCATAAGACGCACACACATTTCCCCTTACCTTTTAGGAGGGAAAAAGTGAGTCTTATAGAGCAAAAAATACGGTATATATGAACGAATTCCTATGCCCCACAAATAACCCAGAGATGCATTTTAAATAAAAGCGCACATTCTACTCATGTAAAAACACGCTGATTCCCAGACCGTCCGTGGGCTGGATTTAGAAGGCGATTGGACCGAATCCAGCCCCTGGGCCTTAGTTTGCCTACCCATGCTCTAGCAAAACCAATCCACAGGGTGAGGGGACACAAAGCAGGCTTTTTGCTTGTTTGGGAAGTTATAGGGACGCAGGTGGCACTGTGGGTTAAACCACAGAGCCTAGGACTTGCCGATCAGAAGGTTGGCGGTTCGAATCCCCGCGACAGGGTGAGCTCCCGTTGCTCAGTCCCAGCTCCTGCCAACCTAGCAGTTCGAAAGCACGTCAAAGTGCAAGTAGATAAATAGGTACTGCTCTAGTGGGAAGGTAAACGGCGTTTCTGTGCGCTGCTCTGGTTCGCCAGAAGCGGCTTAGTCATGCTGGCCACATGACCCGGAAGCTGTACGCCGGATCCCTCGGCCAGTAAAGCGAGATGAGCGCCGCAACCCAAGAGTCGGCCACAACAGGACCTAATGGTCAGGGGTTCCTTTACATTTACCTTTAGGGAAAGGCACTGAAGTGTGGGGTTCGAATGAATGGCCAAGAGGAAGATGTGCAGATGTCCCAAAAGCAAATCAGGATGGATGCAGAATAATAAAAGTCTGTTGTCCTTTAACATGTACCCCTGAACTGATTAGAAGGAACGATCAGTATATAGACGAACGCAGAGCTTCCCAAACTTTTTGGGGGGCCCTCTTGGTTCCATAAACCCATCACCCCCTAGCCTATAAAAAGAATCGTTCAGACTAGCAGTTTGCACAACGCACCAGCTCTGGACACTGTGTGTGTGTGTGTGTGTGTGTGTGTGTGTGTGTGTGTGTGTGGCTCCAGGCCCACAAGGCAGACGGCTAATTTGACTCATCTGCTTATCTGTGTGTAATTGCCCGCCTTGTTCAGCGTGTACTTAATTAGAAAGCTGGTTTGCTGTTCTAGGGTGGAAGCTGGAGCACCCGCAACTGTAAAAAATCGAACGCCCTGAACAGTTATGTAAGCTCAGAGAGAGAGAGAAAGAGAGAGAAAGAGAGAGAGAGAGAGCAAGCCTGGATTAGACTCTATTTGCAAAATTCAGCTCTTCCCAGCAGGTAAAAACACTGCAAAACAAAATAACCACCCCTGACTGGCGAGGGACAGGAAAATCTTAAAGAGTTTCAGCAAGGAGGTAGATTAGCTGCCTTTGTTCCTCTCCGTATCTTTTGAAGTCTGAAACGTTAGCAGCTCTCCCGGTTTTTGCTCCGGTTCCACAAAGCTCTGATTTTGAGGATCACACAAAGGCTCTGTTTCAGGACCTGGGGAAAACTAAAAAAGGGGATAAAAATAGATGCGTAATTGTCAGTGCAAAAAAAGCAAAGCAGATGCGTCCCAAAATTGCCTGATTATGCCCTAAATAGAAGAGTATATCACCGCCTTAATTCAGGTTCCTTCATGGCCAGCTTTTTCCTCTGACTACGTTGTTGCCATATGTCCTCTTTTTCCAGGGCATAATAAGGCAATTTTAATGGGTAGGTAAAATATAAAATAATAAGGCTCTTTTTAATGGGTAGGTAAAATGAGAGTCGTCATAGCGATCCATAGTTAAAAGCAGAAGTCGGCAAATGTGTCCTCTTTTTTGCTCTTCAAAATATGGCACTGCCAGGGCTGGATTTAGGTTTGATGAGGCCCTAAGATACTGAAGGTAATGGGGCCCTTTATATGTCCAGCTGTCCTTTGACAACAACAAATTGTTGCTGTTTTTTGTGTTGAATATATGCTCTATGGTAATTTATGGACCTAATAGGTATCTCAAGCCATTTGCACATAACAGTCCATGCAGAATGTAGGCACCCTATATATAGAAAGGAGCAAACCAGTGATATTTTAGGGAGCAGGCTAGCAGGCGGGGCCCATGACTTACATCATAGGAGCCTACACAACACAAAACTTGTTGCTGTATGTAGGTTTTATTTTATGTGTTTTTTTATCTTATATGTGGGAAATGTACAGGCAGCTTTTTTTCCTTTAAATTTTTGTGGGGGCCCCCAAGAGAGTGGAGCCCTAAACTATAGCTTGTTTATACGAAAATCCCGCACTGGCCACTGCCTGCCTTACCTTAAAACCAGCTCTGCCAAGGGTGGGCGGCCTCCTGATGTTTTGGACCACAGTTGTGCTGGGTCTCCAAGTAGAGTAACTTTCATTGAAGAGAATAAAGGTAAAGGTAAAGGGACCCCTCTGACTGACTCTGGGGTTGTGGTGCTCATCTCGCTTTATTGGCCGAGGGAGCCGGCATACAGCTTCTAGGTCATGTGGCCAGCATGACTAAGCCGCTTCTGGATAACCAGAGCAGCGCATGGAAACGCCGTTTACCTTCCCGCCGGAGTGGTACCTATTTATCTACTTGCACTTTGACGTGCTTTTGAACTGCTAGGTTGGCAGGAGCAGGGACAGAGCAACGGGAGCTCACCCCGTCGCGGGGATTCGAACCACCGACCTTCTCATCGGCAAGTCCTAGGCTCTGTGGTTTAACCCACAGCGCCACTCGTGTCCCTATATTGAAGAGAATATGTATGCACAAATGCACTTTGCCATAGGGACGGAGAGGGGAAAGATAGAATCCCTTAATGTTCCATGCAACACATCAGGGAAAACAAAATACCTATCTTGCTTCCCAACAGCAGCGATGAAAAGAATTCGCAATATGCAGGCAATAACAGAGGAATTCTGCCACCCACAATCTAGGTCCCTGGTGCTTGAAGAATCTCCTGCTTCCTCTCCGAAATGAGGCCCTGGCATTTGCCCCGAAGTCCTTAGCAAGCAGAACTGCTGACTTAAGTTTCCTCATTTGCGGCCTCCCAAGATTAGCACATAACTGGCTCCTGGAAATCACCAAGGCTCTAAGAATGCAACAGGAGATTTATGTTTCTGGCTCATTCAGGCAGATACAGCCCTGGTCCAAATTTTTTCCTCTCTCTCTTTCTCTTTCTCTTTCTCTATCTGCTCACTTCCCTCTTCCGTCTCAGAACAGGTACTCTTGCAGACACGATTCTTTTTTTTTTTCCTCTGCTTTTCAGTTTTATACATTTCACTCATTCATTTTACAATCATTTCAACATTTCAAAACTCAACTTCCTTTCCCCTCCCCCCTTTGTGCAGTTCCTAAAGTTTATTTTTAATATCTTAGGTAAAGGTAAAGTCTGACCATTAGGTAAAGTCATGGCCAACTCTGGGGTTGCGGCGCTCATTTCGCTTTATTGGCCGAGGGAGCCGGTGTACAGCTTCCAGGTCATGTGGCCAGCATGACTAAGCCGCTTCTGGTGAACCAAAGCAGCGCATGGAAACACCGTTTACCTTCCTGCAAGAATGGTACCTATTTATCTACTTGCACTTTGACGTGCTTTCAAACTGCTAGGTTGGCAGGAGCAGGAACCGAGCAACGGGAGCTCACCCCGTCGCGGGGATTTGAACCGCCAACCTTCTGATCGGCAAGTCCTAGGCTCTGTGGTTTAAACCACAGCGCCACCCGCGTCCCTTTAATATCTTATGCATATCCAAATTAACTAAGTTTGCTCATTTATTCATCTACAGTCATACCTCTTGTTACGTTCGGTTCAGGTTATGTCTTTTCAGGTTGCGTCCCACGGTGACCCGGAAGCACCGGAAAGGGTTACTTCCAGGTTTTGCCGCTCGCGCATGCGCAGACGCTCAAAATGACGTCACGCGCATGCGCAGAAGCGGCGAATCATGACCCACACACGCGCAGACACGGGTTGTGTTCTGCTCATGTTGTGAACGGCGCTCCAGAACGGATCCTGTTCGCAACCAGAGTTACCACTGTACTTCACATATACAGTGGTACCTCGGGTTAAGTACTTAATTCGTTCTGGAGATCTGTTCTTAACCTGAAAGTGTTCTTAACCTGAAGCACCACTTTAGCTAATGGGGCCTCCAGCTGCCGGAGCACGATTTCTGTTCTCATCCTGAAGCAAAGTTCTTAACCCGAGGTAATATTTCTGGGTTAGCGGAGTCTGTAACCTGAAGCGTCTGTAACCAGAAGCATCTGTAACCCGAGGTACCACTGTATACGCTTATGAAACTGCAGGTTATTACAATAATCCTGCCAATGTTCTTGTCTGTTTACATCTGCAAATATTCCTGCTGACACGATTTTAAGACTGTCTAGCCTGTGACTGAGAGGCTATATTTTGGGTAAAATAAATAAATGAATCACAATTTCAGTGGGGTCAAAGCGGAGATCCAAATGTTGATAACAGCCTCATTGTAAAAATAGACTATTTCCCAACCAACCTCTGATGGCCCATTGGGTAGAGAGGACTGCCCTCTGTAAAGATGGACACCTGACCCTTTCTCTGCATTGCTATGAACATCTCTTTATGTTCCTGTTGTTGCTCCCCAGGTAGCTGGGCCCAGGAGAGGATGCCTGAATAAATTTTGGTTCCTGCAACCTATTTTGGGGGCATGTGTGCATTCAGGGACAGATTTAGGTTTGATGAGGCCCTTAGCTACTGAAGGTAATGTCCAGCTTCATGTGTCCAGCTGTCCTTTGTCAACAACAAATCGTTGCTGTTTTTTTGTGTTGAATATATGCTAGATGGTAATTTATGGACCTAACAGGTAAGAAATGCAGGTAAGAATTTTTTTTAATTTAAATTTTTTATCATCTACGATACTGTTTTATTTATTTTATAGTACAGTACATTGATTATTGCTTTCATTTTATGGATCAATGGTCTGGTTAGATAGCAAAATTCAGGTTAAATTGCTGTTTTAGGGGTTGTTTTTAAAAGTCTGGAACGGATTAATCTGTTTTGCATTACTTTCTGTGGGAAAGCGCACCTTGGTTTTGGAACGCTTTGGTTTTGGAACGGACATCCGGAACGGATTAAGTTTGAGAACTTAATTCGTTCCAGAGGTCCGTTCTTAACCTGAAACTGTTCTTAACCTGAAGCACCACTTTAGCTAATGGGGCCACCCGCTGCCGCCGCACGATTTCAGTTCTCATCCTGAAGCAAAGTTCTTAACCCGAGGTAATATTTCTGGGTTAGCGGAGTCTGTAACCTGAAGCGTATGTAACCTGAGGTACCACTGTATATAGAAATGAGCAAACCAGTGATATTTTAGGGAGCAGGCTAGCAGGCGAGGCCCATGACTTACATCATAGGAACCTACGCAACACAAAACACTGTTCCTGCATGTAGGTTTTATTTTATTTTATTTTTATCTTATATTTTGGAAATGTACATCCAGTTTTTTTACCTTTAAATTTTTGTGGGGGCCCCCAAGAGAGTGGGGCCTTAAGCTATAACTTGTTTAGCTTCTACGTAAATCCAGCACTGGTTCCTGCAACCGATTTTGGGGGCATGCGTGCATTGCATTTCTGACTGCTACCCTTGCAAGGAAATGCGTTTGGAGCATCCTTCGCTTGCAGGAAAGTGTTTTAGAAACGGTGGCGTTTCGCCACCTGCTGGCAGACACACATCTCTGCCTTGGAAGCAATTTAACACTCGTTTTTTGTTTTTGTTTTTTTAAAAAAAGGGAAGTCTCCTATTAGGTCAGCTTTATTAATAGGATGACTGGATGCCGGATTATTTTGCACTCTGAGCACTTTTCCCCCTCCAGAAATACTCTCCGTGATGACATGGTACTATTCTGCGCGGGCAGAAGGAATGGAAGGGTAATGGCTCAGTGGAAAAAGCATATGTTTGCAGTTCAAAGGCAGTGCTGGATTTACATATAAGCTAAACAAGCTATAGCATAGGGCCCCACTCTTTTGGGGGCCCCCAAAAAATTAAAAGGGAAAAAAACCTGGATGCACATTTCCAAAATATAAATAAATTATTGTTGTTGTTGTTGTTGTTGTTGTTGTTGTTGTTGTTGTTTTGCAGGAGCAAAAAAGGACTGAAAGTGGGATACTGTATAAATGCCTTGATACCATCATGAACACAAATCATCATGGATGCACAATAAGGACGTTTGCAGAATTCCATAGGCAATATTTAGTTTTTTAAGTGGATTTGGACCAGGCAGCCATTCAGACAGAGGGTGCCATGAAACTGTCTTCTGCAGCGTAGGTCACCTAGCCACCCTCTCTTACTCGTCTTTTGTTAATAATAATAATAATAATAATAATAATAATAATAATAATAATTTTATACAGTTCTATGATTCTGTGATTCTATGACTTCCAATTGCTAATCCCTGGAAAAGTGCTGGCATTTACCCCCTGTACTGAGCCTGCTTGGTGTGGCAAACCTGGAAGAATGGTCTTGCTAACTGAAGACAGAGGGACAAATTAGAGCAGCCGTTTGTCAGACTCACTGTCTAGGCGTACATCCCAAATCAGCGCTAATGTCTCCTTATCTTGCCTTCCTGCCTCTTCTGCTTCCACAAAGCAAGATGTCTTTATCTGGGCTAAATCTTGTCTCGACTTGCA